CACACCTCTTAAAAATGGTATGATCCGTCGGTGGAACAAAGCAGTGCTGCCTAAAGAAACTTTGTGAATTTAAACTCTGGTCCAAGCTGAGTTTGCGATAGCGAGATCTTCTTTCTAAAAAAGAAACTAAATTTTGGTCACCTGCGCACATCATCGAAAGCACTCGCCAAAATGCAATGAATATCTATCTCGATAACTCACATGCAAAGTCTTCGGGGATAACCAATTTCTACTTACTCATGCACAAACCGGCTTGTGTTCAGAGCAGAAAGCTTTTCCCCTTACAAAAAAAGCATTTCTTTTTTATAAAACCTTTTTCGTGGAATAGCGTGCACCATCCTCGCGGCTGTAGGACTGTTAAGATGGTTGCAATTGAGCTAAAATGCATACAGTCTAGCAGTGCGTGGGTGTTTAGCTTATTCGGCCTTTTTCTCCTTAGCTGTCATATGTCAACAGAGCTTCTCAAAATACATCTGCAGCAAAGGCAAAGGCGAGAAAAAAAAGCCAATTTTCAAAGCTAAGCGCGGCAGAAGAGAGTATAAATTTACTGGCAAACTGTTTCCCCCGGCCTTTCGTGTTTCAATAAAGCGCGAGATGCTTTTGAGGCACTAAAACAAACCATATTTGTTTCTGTTTACTTGACAAACTTCACTCGTTTTTCTTATCCATTTCAGCCTTAATACTCGGTACATTAACTCTTTTGTGCAATTCACAGTTCAGTTGCTTTTGTACTTCACGCTTGTTTTGTCTTCTTTTTAAACAGCAAAACAGGACGTCTATCCAAACATTTTTTGCTCTTCCGTCTCAGTCAAAATATTAAACTTTTACCTCAATCATGTTTCAATATTTTAACCTGGCTCTATAATCATTATACTAATTGACTTCAGGTTTTGTTAAAATGCCATCCAAATAAGAATGCAGTTTGCGTGTTTGTTTTCTAAGGGGCCTAGAGTACATGATGACAATTTATTTAGAATTATATTTCACCCTAAACAACACAAGTGATAAAGTGCATTGCAAGTTAGGAATTCTAACAAAAATGATTGCAGTTCCCCTGGTTGCGTGTTCAACTTCTGTAAAAAAACGCCGAATCACATTCAAAATTTGCATATTATTAATGGATGGACAACAAGCAAAACAGACAGGCTAAGAGAAAAGCTAAGGTGAGGCTGAAAAAAAAAATCCTTGTCTGTTTTATGTTTAGCTTTTCCAGGATGAAAGCTCAAGAAAGTAATTAAGAAGAGACGTAAAAGATAGTCAATTTCAAACTTCAGTACTTTTAATTACCGAGTCCACTTTGTAAGTTGAATTAGTACGCCCGCGCCCAGCAGACATATATGCATTCTACCGATAGTTTCAATTTTGGTGGCTATACTAAAATATTTCTTTAATCAAGCGCAGTTATTACACTTCAGAACAACGCGCAGGTGAGTTCATCTCTGATGTGATGAAGCAAAATGTGCGATTTCTCGATAATAACATGAATGCTAAAAGTTTGGCACACTTATTGGCTGGGAACACATCAAGTATAAAAAGAATGAGGCAGACTGCCATCAAATCGATAGATCACAGACCATGATAAACAAGCAATCAGATATTTTGCGTGCAAATTAAAATGATAAGAACTCTTGAAGATCCGCAGAAAATGAAATTCTGTTGACACAAACGTTCAAATGTTTTTGACTATGAAAAAAAAGTTTTTGTGCTTGTTTTCACTAAATTGCTCTCGAAAATACTTCGTTACCTTATTTCATTGCTGCCGAACTCAGATAGGGAATAATTAAGGACTATATTTCTTTCGTGAATGTCGTAATTTTAAAGCTGCATTCATTAATAACTGTTTTAGTTTTATCGCATTTGGAAGGAGTTTTGAAAGTCAGTAAGGTACAATCCTGGCTAGATGTTAGAGGTAGTCAACAGTACAAAAAATATGGCCGAAGCAGGAGGATGTTTTGACGGAGTGTTCCTGGTACTGGCGTCCATGTGAACGACATAAACCGTCTAACTGAACGTAACCATAGCACTTTAATACTGCTTACGAAACTAAAACAACTAGGGCATCTTACAAAGAATGGGCACTTTCCCAAGAAAAGCGTGGATCACTTCACTTTCCATCGGATCGTTTTGGACTTTGTCACAAAGGATACAAGTCAAAAACGTAAACATGTCATGCAGTTAAAGAATCACTGACAAGACTAGTGTTTCCCCTCCTTGTGGCATAATTTGGTTTATCAACTGAGTTGATAGTGTAAATCGGCCAGTGCAAAGAGTTTCTAGGCCGATCTTCCTTTGTTTTCTTTGAGCTAATTCTTTTTGAGTGCCATTAGTTTATTATTTCATACTTTTATATGCACCTCGTTTGATAGAGTTCATTCATTTATTCATTCATATTTTGAGCGTTAGCGCTTCTTCGGAGCGAATGGTGGAATTGTGGGCTGTGTGTGGTTTTTTTCGCTGAAAAATATGGCGTGAACGGTAACGTAAAGCTTACATGAATAAATTAGTTGGATGAAAAGCGTCGGATGATGCCGTGAGGATTAAATGTGCCGATTTGAGCGATTATTTTTTTTTAACCAGGGAAAAGCTGTAATGGGCTGCCATGGGCTTAGAATGACTAGGGAGTGTCTAGCTACTGGTTTGGATGCATCTTTGTCATTCCTTTCGTAGTGTAGACGAATGATTCTGAGAATATCTTTGTGACTTACCCCTTTATTGAAGTCTTCGGTTAGTTATCTCTGAAGAACGACGCGTGGAAATTGGTAAGAAGCAAAAACCGAAAAAAGTATTGTCTACTTTCCCTACTGCCTGCCAGTCTACCCCTTCGTTGCGCGCGTGAATGACTCGTCTTCGTCTTTCTTTTACTTCCACTTCGCGCACTAAACGACTGAGGACTAGAGATTTATGGTCAAAGAACCAGACTCTCGTTAATACTCCGAAGCTCCACCTAACTCGAAATTTTGAACAAAGACAGTTGTCTTTTGAAATTTCTCCTCAATAAATGGTGTGGAAATCAAAGGAAAAACGAGGACAGCGGGTGCCAATGTCAGTATCTGAGTAAATTTGCACCTACCCCTTCCACTAACCCAACAATAATCAACTGCATGAGTTAGGGTTCATGTTGAGTTGGGGGAGGGGTAGGTGCGTAGTTGCTAATACTCACATTGATACACATGTTTATTTACAAAAGGAGTGGGTAAGTTGTCAACGGCTGATGATGGAAACGCGGAACCATTTTTCATAATTTTTTGTTCATCTCCGACATGTTGTGCTGATGGTTAACGGTTCTTGGCTAACAGACAACTTTGTAGTTACTGCTGAAATAAATAATGATACATTATTCACATGAAAAGTGAAACAAACGAAATTAGCCAAAGTCTCGAGCCATCGACGAAAACCTGGTGAACACAAAGAAATCACATTTCTGATAATTCCTACTTGAAATACAGCAGAACGCTATTCTTGACTCTCCATCGAGCTCTCTAACGCTCAGTGGTAGAGCATCGGGGGAGTGGGTTCGATTCTTCGAGAGGGGAGTCAGACATTTTCTTTGTCCAACTTACGTGACAAAACTCGTGAGGCCTTTCTTCATTGGACGACCGAATTTCAAAAATATACCATATTTCTTGTGAGAGAGTATAGCAGGTAATTAAGTGTTAAAAATTGAGTTGAAAACGTACATTAGTAAATGTAGCCACCGTAAATGGTAAAAAGCTGACGTTTCGACGAAGTGCTAATGCTCGAAACGTTAGCTTTTTACTCTTTACGGTGGCCAAGTCATGTTTTCAACTCAGTTGTTAACACTAAATTACCAAACAACAGTCAACTGAGCTAAGGCTAAGGTTGGTACTGGGTCAGGGGCGCAGTTGCTCAGACACTCACATTGATCCTTTACATTCAAGTCGAAGGTAGCAGGGTGGCCTCTGGGTAAAATAACCACGGAAACAAGATTTCAGGGGCAAGAAAAAACTGCAATCTGAATAAAGGGGGTAAGTTTCTAAGGAAACTGTGGTGCTGCGTCGGTGAGAGAATAGAACAGGTAATTTAGCGTTAACAAATAAGTTGAAAACGTAAATGGGCCACCGTAAAGAGTTAAAGTCAGAGCGATTGACAAAGGGCTAATGCTCGAAACGTCAGCCTTTAAACTCTTTACGGTGGCCCATTTACGTTTTCAACTGAGTTTTTTAACATAAAAAATTGCAGTCTGCCAATTTATATCAAAGAAGGTCAGGATTTGTCTCTCATTCACACGTTATAGTGATAGATCGATGCAGAGTGTGTCAGAAAAGCTTGTTAAATCATATCTGTCTGTCTGTCTGTGCTCATATAGCACCTTGAGATTATTATTCAGTTGTTTTAAAAGAATATTTCGCATTCAAAAGCCAAGGTTGGTCAAACACTCACAGCGAAACCAGCGTATGATTCCTTAAATATGATTCCTCTCGGGGTGGAAGCAGTTAACAGAGAAAGATTATTGAGATGAGATGAAAATGAATAATGATTTTCGAAAAAATTCAATAATTCATGTATCATTGGGCTCAGAAAGGCAGGAGTCGCGAGTCTCGAAGGTCAGGTGAATCCATTTCCAACCCCGACTTCCTTGCATTTGAAATGGCCATCTAATTTTGGAACATGGGAATTTTTTTCAGGGTAACAAAGCTTCTCGGTGGAATGTCTAACCAAGGGATACCTCTAGCCTTAGTTTAACATCGAGGATTTGAATTTTCAAGCCTTTGAATTTTCATTCTTGATCAAGTACTATGCATTTTCGCCGACCCATCTCGAAAATCATATTATTATTATTATCATCATTATTATTATTATTATTATTATTATTATCGATTAAATTTTTTCAATCTGAAAAAAGTGATCTTTGGATCGGACAATGTCGTCAATGCTATTCCTCCTCCAACTGGTTACCAGGCCTCCTCTTGCCATGCGCAAGGTCAACAAAGAAGTAAGAGAGAGAAAACGGAAGCGAGTGGTGGTTGTCTCTGTGTATAATGTGGCGAGGCTTTAGAGTGTACAGTGGGATCTGCCCGGACCCTGAGTGTCGCACAAAACTTTATTTTCCATCTTATGCTTCTTCGAGTGTAGAGTGTACGGGATGCGGGCAACACCACGCGAAAGACAGCCTATTCAACTTAGAAGATATCCAAGACCCAGAGATTGCTCTTCGCAGTCTTCTGCGTTCAGTGTTACTTGGTCATACTTCCTCTAAGACAACACCAGATCTGGTGAAGGTTAAGGGATATTCAAACTATCACTGTAAACTCTTGTCACCGCTGTTGACGACTTATGGTATGGATAAACGAACCGGTGAAGGAAAACTGTTGAGGGAAATGGGACAAGGAGACATCTTCGATTGCGCTCTGCTTGGAGATCGCGCATTTCAAATTGAATTAGAACACGTGGACACAGCTGGCTATGGACGGGATAGTACAGGATCACAGTCATATCTCGAGCAAACATTACAGGCCATTAAAGTTGTCAATGATAACGAAGAACGACTTGTCCCAGTTCATGTTGATGGGGACGGCCATTGTTTGGTTCATGCCATCTCTCGCGCCCTTGTTGGAAGAGAAATCTTCTGGCACGCACTCAGAGCAAACCTAAAGAGGCATTTGCAAACGGAATTGCACAAATACAAAGGGTTGTTTAGAGACTTCATCCATGATGATGAATGGAAGGATATTATTGCTGAAGCTGACCCTTATTTTGAACCCCCTCCAACCTCTGCCGAAGGGCTGGGGTTAAGAAATATCCATCTCTTTGGCCTTGCGAATGTGCTGCACAGGCCTATCATTCTCCTTGACAGTGTCACAGGAATGCAATCTAGTGGTGATTACACTGGAATATTTCTTCCTGCTTTGATCCCAGAAGACTTGTGCAGAAGCAAAGACAACTTGCTCAACAAACCACTGGCAGTTGCTTGGAGTAGCCCAGGACGTAATCATTTCATTCCTCTTGTTGGAATAAAAGGAAGACCTTTGCCCAGGCTTCCACATTGGTTGATTCCTAAGGCCTGGGGTATACCCAATGAGGTGGTCAAGACGTATGTTGAATTTGACAAAGATGGTCACTGTCTCATTGGTGGAGACCGCTGCCTTCAAGAAAAATATATACAAAGACTTGTTAAAGCAATGGATGAACTTTTTGTGAAAAAAAACAATATTAGTGCACAGCTGGTCACTGAAGTGCACCAATTTGTTTACAAACCATCTGGAATGGTGGGTGTTAAACCAGAAAATGTTACTGTGGCAGCCAAATCAGCTATTGCTGATGGTCGTCTCCACCGATGTCTGTCTTGCAATGCATTGTGTGAAGTACATTTTGATGTTTCCTCTGATGATCTTAAACCAGGAGGAGAACTCTATGAAATAGCTGTAAAAACTCATGGACCCCTAGAGGAAGGCCTTAGCTATTCTTTTCCTGCTTATGAACTGGTTTGTGTTTTTGATGCAGAACGGAACTCATTGGTGGCAGTTAAATACAAGGTAGATGTGCGTTACCTTCTTGATATAAAGCTTTTTGTCTGTTCTTTCTTTGTGAATGTATTATGACATCTTGGCTCTTGGCTTTCTGTGAATGTGTAACAAACGATTTGTGTAGAGTAAGGAACAAAGTTTGCCATGGCATGATACAGCCATTACTTCCTTGTTTTGTGTTGTGGAACACTCACTTGTTCTGATGTTGTATTGCATGATGTTAGAAAATTAGAGTATGTCTTTGCAACAGGGATAGATATGTTGAAACCCTAAAGAAAAAGAGTGAGAGGTATTCAGGGAGGGATGAGTGTGACCTTGCTAAAATGATAGTCTCATGAGAAATAAACAGTGTGAAATAAAAATACAATTATTGTGATAAAATAGTGAAGCCATTGTGTGACAATGATGATGCACTATGATGTTACAATAACTAGCTTATTGTTCAAGGACATCTATTTATTTTGCTTGATAATTGAACATCAAAGATCAGCTACAAAGTTTATGGTAAGAAAGACAACTGCAAAGATGTAGGTCAACAGAATTTATTAACTGATATAAGTCACTGTCTACAGAATGCAACTTTGCTTGAGTGCCATCTCTGCCATGGCCCCTTGCGCCGAGTCAAGTCAGATGGAACTGCAGTCTACATTAATGGTGATCGCACAACAACACCGGTAGAAGGTAACAGTCGCTGTGGATGTGGATTCAAGCATTTCTGGAATGGAAGGGAATATGATAACAACCCTGAGAGGTGCAGCAAGTCCCAGTGTGCTATAAAGATGTAGAATTTGTGCACAAATCATGTATAGGTCATTTGTATCATAAAATGAAATAAGTATGAAATGGATGTTAATTGAATATGGCATATTTTGTTTGGACTATATTTTGATTAGCAATTGATATAATTATAATATATTTTTTTTTTCCTTAAATTTTTATTTGAATATACACATTATTACTTATAATACTTACATGATGTTGTTGTAATGTGCCATGGCTGGATTTAACCATGAATACTTTTTATTTGAAATTGTCAATGGTGATCTTTCATTTGGAGCATGATGTCACCTTTTTTCTGTCATTATACTTGAATTTTCCTGTGAAAGAAAGTGCTTTTATACTTTTTAATCTCTTTACTTTCATGAGTTACGGAGACAGAATTTCTCCATACAATAACAATACAAAATCAAACAGGCAAGAGATGAGATTAAAATCCAAGTGAATTAAGACATTATTACCAATACCAATTTTTCCACACTGACATCACGACAGTTGTATGGTAGACAGCAAGGAGATTTATTGATGAGATCTGTGAGTTAATGGGTTACAAGGAAGTGTTTTTGTGAAAGGGAAGATGTCATTATGTAAATCTATATTCCATTACTAAAAATGCAGTGTTTTAGCTTTTAACAAAACTGTGGTGTCGTAGTAGCAGGCAAGTGGCATGTACATGTAATCATGGCAGCCAAAGCAAATTTTTGATTAACTGATCTTTCTACTGTTAGCCCTTTTTCAGAATGAAGGTCTAATGATTGAAATCTTTAAATGCAGCAGCCTTTTCAAAATGTCAAATCTCTCACCTTCTAACTGATATACATCAAACCATTACTAAAGAGATATATTTTATTGTTTCTTTCTCTGCTATTAGTTTCCCAATAAGCTTGGAGTGGAATGGGACAACTGTGAAAGACACTGTGTTTTGGTTCCAATATGAACTGGACCCATCTCTCAATTCCAATGTGTATGATGTTGCATCAAAGCTGGTGCAGAAACATTTTCCTGGTGAATTTGGCAGTGAGAGACTTGTACAGAAAGTGGTAGACATAATTTTGCGTCAAACGGCAAGAAAGGAAGGAGAAAACAAAGGTTTGCTGTGCTGATTTGAATATAGATTCACATTATTAAGGGTTGAAATCCACTTGTAGTAAACTGAGAACATCAATCTATTCAGCTTTAACCCTTTAACTCCCAGACGTGATCAACATGAAACTTCTCCCTATAATATCCTTACATTATCCAGCAAATAAGTAATAAGAATATTCAAACTTATCAGCTAGTTGTTATCTTGATCTAACACCAAATTCTCATGACTACTGTAAAAGGAAATGTTTAGCAGCTTGAGGGGAGAATTAATAATTTGATCTTGGGAGTTAAAGGATTAAAAGGCTAAAATCTGTATTGCCATTACATGGTTTACAAATATGATTTGTTTGTCGTGATGTTTTTTGATGTACAATTTTACAACTTTTGTTTTTATTAACACCTAAAGGAGCACGGCCTTCCATTACTTCACAAAATGCCTCTGGCGCAAACAGTGATCAAGATGTCAGCAGTGTTAGCTCCTACTCACCAAGTAAGATTATTCTGACTGGAGAAAAGAAGAAGACTTTTCATAAAGAAGAACTAACCATGAGCGACACAGAGAGAGTGTTAAAGACACGTACAGAACACCATGCTTCTGTTATGCAGAAGAGAAGAAGTGGAGAAGGCACAAAGAAAACGGCAAACAAAGAAGCTAAAGTGCAAAAACAGCAGGTAAACAGTGCTACTCTTACCTCTCTGATTATGGAAAATACTTGTTTTAACCCTTTATGCCTAAATATCAGTATACATATTCTCTATACTGGTGTCCATACATTTCCTCAGGTTTTGACAAGGAGAATTGTTTTAACAATCAAGAGCATCTTTAGTTGATGATCATTTCCTTTATTCTCATGACCTTTATATGTGATTCAGGGCTGATACTGTAAGGAGAAATTAGATGCTAGGCTAACCCTTATCTTTTTACCAAAAGGCACTATAAAAAATGTTGTATACCTATTAATAGTAACATGACTGATGAATAGCTCACTCGTGCATGTATACAGACAAGTGTCAAACCTCAACAATCTGCCCAGCAAACAAGCCCTGCTAAAGGGAATGAGACCCAACCAGTTGTGAAACGAACAGAAAAGAAAGTGCGACTGTCCACATCAGATGGAAAACAGAGCATGTTGACACTTGCCATGGACACGACTTTCCAACAGCTTCTACTTTTGATTGAAAAAGAACTTGGTATTCCTCACACAGAGCTGCGAATTAGGTAAAAAATGTTTTTTGTTTGGGGTTCTAGGTATTACTTGTAAAGCTATGTGTACAGATCCCTGGCTGACTTTTTCTCAAAGCTGCCAATCACAAAATGGTGGCTTAAAATAAGTGGGTCTGAATTTGGAAAAAGGTTAATTTTTTATTTTGGTTGTGAAAGAAAAGTGTTTTCATTTTGCCATAAGCATAAGACAGAGAAAAGATTTTGACTCCTCCCGAAGGAATTGTACTCTATAGCTGTTCTGCCCCAATGCTTCACCATTGAGCTTCAATGAATTTGCATGGTGAGCTTCATGGAGCCATTACTTCATGAAGGTTTGTACATGACAAGTGTTTCTGATCTGTAGTCTCACGGATTCCTCATAACATTTTTATATCCAGGTATGGATTTCTATCATATGAACTCCACTGTCCTAACATATGCATGTGCAGTAGACATGTAACCATTCCTGCTCTTTTTAGGCTGTTCTCTCAAATGTCTCCGTTTTATAATTTTTCTCAGGTATGGATTTCCACCCCGTGAACTGCACCCTCCTGATGAAGGTCATGTGGATGACCCTGTTCCCTTGCAGCATGGTGACCGTGTGATGGTAGAACACTTAAAGCCTGTTGTCCCTGATGAGCACCCTCCTGATGTTGTTATGTCAGAAGTAAAAAACCAGGGGGGTGAGGGAGTTACACCTACAACAAGAGAGATTGGGGAAGAAGGACAGGCACAAGGTACATGTATAACACTATCTGACCCAAGATCTGATTGTTAACTCTCTCCTCCAGCTGCTACACATTTCCTTGCAAATAAGTATAGGTAATGACATGATTTTGCATGCAATGATGATGACCATGAGTAAATTTTTCAAAGACATTAAAATTGCATGAGCCTGTAGGGCAATTTGCAGTCTTTGAAAATTTTTACAAGTTCTTGTTTATAGGAAGGTGCATGAGAAATCATTTTGTTAATAATTTTCATGAGAAAAGCCTTACAGATTAAGTCAAGACAGATGTAACTTTGGCTTGCGCTATTTGTAGTTTGCACTCATGTTACAATTTTGCACTTGTGCACACTATATGCTCATAATTTTTACATGTATATTCATATTTTGTGTATATCATATTGATACTTGAATGTACTAGTATATTCACTTGCAATGCAAATGTATGCACTGTAACTGTTAAACAATAGATTGTCAAACAGATGGAAATAAATATTAAATTTGGTCTTGTTGTAACACTAAATTTTAGGAGTGATAATTCAATAAAGTAATTGTGATTCATTTTTTTGTTGTTGTTTTACTACTTTCAGCTGAAAACACAGCTGCCATGGCATCAGCCCTTGTGGCTACACTCGCTGGTGGTGATGTGTGGGAAGCAGTACAGAACTGTTATGAAATGTTTGACAAAGGAGGGTATTTTTATAACAAGGTCATGAATGATCTGGGTCAGCTTAAGCCAAATCAACATTGTACTTTATCCTTCTTTCCAAACAAGGTCAGTGATTTTAAACTTTAGCTCCCAAGATCTGATTGTTAATTCTCCCTTAAAACTACTACACATTTCCTTGTAAATTGGTTATGAGAATTTGGTACTCAATCAAGACAATAAGTTGTACCTGATGAGTTTGAGTAGGTATTCTCACTACCTGTTTGCTAAACAATGTATGGGTACCACAGGGAGAAGTTACATGTTCATCAATTCTGGGAGTTGGAGGGTTAAGTCAAATCTATAGTAAAAAATTTAAGATCAATGTTAGTATCTGAGCAACTGCATCCCTACCCCTCCCCTCCCCTAACCCAACATTGACCCTTACTTGTTATCTGTTGGCTGTTATTGGGTTGGGGGGAGGGGTGTGTAGGTGCACAGTTGCTGGGACACTAACATTGACCCAAATTTTCTTCTCAAGTCCAAACCAATGCTGATATCAGTTTTGATGAATCAGTAAAGTTTCAGAACAATGTTATGTGTTTAAGAGAATGAGAGGAAGATGAATTCATGGAAAAAGTTGAAACATTCCACTCTAAATATCCTGAAAGAAAATTTCTGGGTCTTCTAAATGGGAGTTTAACTCATGATTTTTGAAATCTTGGTTGGATGATGTCTAACTAGTGTCCTCAAGGGGACACACATCTTATTAAGACTTGTTCATGTTTTGACAATAGCCATGCAATTTGTAGTATCTAGGAATCACCAAAGTATATATCATGCATTTTGCTTCCTATTCACCAAATACATGTACTTTTATCTTATTAAAAACCAAGACAAAACAAAGCAAAGTAATCACTAGTAGTGAGCAAGTTATTCTTAATTGTTTTTGGCTCTTATTTTGTGCATTTAATGGGGTGCTGTTGCTACCTTTGTTACGGGGTTCCTTTACTTGCAGCTCAGTAGGTTACTACTGTTATGGGGAAGGTCTTTAGAGCAGTGCAAGGGAAAGTTTCCTTTTGATAACATATACATGCATGTCTGCGTCGCTGATTGAAAAGCATTATGTTTCACAGTTATTGTCTATTTTTTCTCATTACAAATGAAGGTGTTTGCTTACAATGCTGAAAAAGATCGATTGGACCTGTGTCTTGGTAAACGGCACATCCAAGTGCAACCACTGGACGACGAAACATTATTGCAGGCTCACTCTCGTTCAAGTCAAGCACCTGTAGAGGAAAGGAGCAGCAGCAGTGGTACGGGTGGAAAGGGTCTGTTTAGCGAGGCAAGCTTCAGTGGCGCCATTGCACCAAGAGATACATCCCATGCTCGGATGGCATTTTCAGGCCAGGGACGGACTCTTGCTGGTGCGCAATCAGCTCAGAAACAAACTGCTGAGGTAATATCTTCTGTTGAGATTAATGAAAGGGCCCCCTTCCATCCTTGATACATCGGCCATCTTTCTCCTAGTATATCATGCATTGTGTCCCTATCTCTTAGATTGTTATATTCGCAGATTTAATTACATGGTAGTTAAGATGCATTTTATATTAAGGATTTTATACTGGCTAGAACTTTAATCAGTGAATGCCCTGCCCGAAAACATGTAGTTGGCTGTTTTTTTTTTTTTTTTTTTAGGGGGCGGGGTAATAGAAGCGGGTGTCAACTGCGCGTCAAGGCAGCCAGCACTGAGATCAACTTAGTGAATCATAGGAATGTGGTTTTTTAAGTTTTGATGTTTATCATCTTTTTCCATAGACATCTCCATCAAGGATCCTACTGACCGATCCTCGATCTTCTCAGACAAATACCTCTAGCTCTACTGCTGTGTTGGAACAACAGCAACCGCGACCCGGGCAAGGGGAGAATGTTAAAGATGTGGAAGAAGAAACAAATCTGCCTTCAGAGGCCATGGACACCCAGGGAGATGTGGAAAAGGAGGAAAATATGCAAGAAATGCTTGTGGAGAGTCCTGCTGCAGCGCAGGATGCTATTGATGTGGATCAGCCACAAGTAGAACAAGAAAGCACTACACAGCTTAGGAGTGATGGAAGGGTCGAAACAGTAGAGGTGAGCATGGCTTTACGGAAAACAGATGAAGTGAGCGGAACGGTAGAGGAAGCGGAAATGACGCGCGTGACAGCTGATGAAACAGAGGTGGTGCGCGTTACAGACCAGGAAAACGAAAATATGGAAACAAATCAAGATGTAAGTCACATTGAAAGCAACCAAAGTAAGATTAAGAGTAATGTTGATGATGTCAATACTCTTACTAATGACTTAGCAAACATTTCGGGGCAAGGAGACGACTCTAAACGTACAGAACCTGTTTCTGAATCGATGGAAACTGATCAGCTTAACCCAGAAAAATATTGCGTGACTAGCGAAGGCATGACAGCTACGTCAGATGAAGCGCAAGGCGAGGAGGAAATCAGAGGTTCAGAGCAAGATGACGTAACAGTTGATCCCATGAGTCCTGAGCCTAGTGACGTCACAATGGTGCGTGCATCTGTTGCCACAGAGATCGAGGCACCAACAGAAAATAGTGACACAAGGTTTGTATCAACACATGATGTGACGGAAGGTGATACACCTCCGGTTGCTCAGGAATCGGAAGTTTCGCCGTTTATTATTGCGTCAAATCAACAAGCAGATGTTATGCAAAGTGGAAAATCAGTCGTAATGAACAGTGAAACAGCTGCTGGAAAAGATGGTGTTAAAGCTTCAATACAAGAGGAAAAATCTTCCAATGATCAAGGAGTGGCTGCTGAACTTGCAGCAGATACTAATGTAGAAAAGTAACTTAGATTGTTGCTATGATAGTAAAATAGTGCCGCAGGAGTTCCCTTGGAAAGGATAAGCGTTCCGGCTTAGAAATAAAAGCTCTTGGCTGAAGGAATTAGAACTAGGTTTCTCATAGAGTAGGCGTATGAGGCAGTGTAGAAATCCCGAATAATTCGGATTCAGTAGTTTGAATTTACCGTGGCTCTCCATTTGTCTTTGCCACTTTGCAAGAGCTATTTCCGCTTACGTGCTCTAGGAGTGTGATTTTTTTTGGAAAGGTTTATCTCTACAATGCTTTGTGATCCACTTAAATGTATGCCGAACACTACTGAATCGTTACATAAATTTCGATAGTAGGAGTTTTGTTGAGGTGGAGATATTATCACCTAACATATAGATGTATCCAACAGGTCATTCAATGCCAGTTACATTCCTCAGTATTAACGAAGTAAAGAGGAATTACAAGCACAATTACAACACACATATACAGCCATAGGTAGTAATCTTTGTGAACAAGCTTTGTTAAGTATTAGGGGCGCTTTCCATCCAACAAAGATCCTTTCCCTGAGCTGAGGGAGATTTTGATGGCCAAAGAGAGCAGGTCCAAGAACTTTTAAATCATTCGTTTCAAGACAGTAGCCGAAAAAACTAGCACCAAGAAAAAATCCAATGGAAAATATTTCCGAAAATTTTTTATTCCCGGAAACGAGCAATGCGCCATACGTTTTCCTGAATTTTCATAAAATTATGCCGAAATCTTTCTTGTTCCCTTGAATTTCGGGCCGGGCGCATCAAATTTTTGGCTGGATGGAAAGCGATCGAGCTCCTTAAACTTAGCCGCAGTGCTCCTTACAGGGGTGGTGAAGGTCCATTGAGACCCACACTTCATCCCCCCTCTCCACCCGCTTCTCATTATATGGAACTTAAGTCAACGTCAATTGTTTTGGAGACAAAAGCACTATATTTTTACATCTTTTAATCTTGAATGATGGGAATATCCAGTTGATACCAGTGGATTCACGTGATTATGTAGGTTTTTTCAGAAGATAGACCTGTCGTAAGTTATTGCTCTGAAAAATCTGTGGACTTAAACTGCAAGCTTAGTAACTTCCAGTCTCCTACTTTCGGTTACCAACTTACGACGTAGCTGGATAGAACTTTGAATTTACGATCATTTCAACGAGCAAATATATGGAAATAAGAAGTGGCTCGATGATAAAAACGATCAACTCTTTAAACAAGTAAAGGTTACCTTAAGAGAAATTTTATAAGGGTCATTAAAAAAACAGCTTTAAGTTGTGATTGAGAAAGAGATCTGTTGTCAAATTGCTTTTTCTGAATTTTTGAGTGGTGGTTTGTAGAGTAGGGTAAGGTGCAGGTTAGGTCGGTGCCGTCCTGTAGCCATGGCTCTGAACCCTTAAGCTCCCAGAAGTGATTAATATGTAACTTCTCCCTCTGATACGCATACATTATCCAGCCAACAGCTAATGAGAACACTCAAACCTATCAGGTAACAGTTGTTCTCTTGATCTAACACCAAATTTTCGTAACTAATTTACAAGAAAATGCACAACGGCTAGATAGGAGAATTAAATGATCACATCTTGGCAGTTAAAGGGTGAAAGAAAACTTACTGAGATTTCGAAGTGAGCAGAGGTCATCATTAGAGTCGGAGAGAATTGTGTCAGTCGACGTTCAAAGGTGAAACGACAAGACTGAAAATCGATTAGTTAGTTTGCTGTAATGCTATGTGACATAAGATTCAGGAAGGCGTTCGTCAGTTTTAATGTCATTTTCCGTCTGTTGGCAATGCCAGGCTGATCTCTTCATTTTGTTGGTTACGTGTACGTTGTGAATAATTCGTCTCACCAGAGGTTATTTGAGAGGAATCTGATCTGAGTCAGTTAACCAGCTTTCAAAAAGAAAGGGTTCGTAGGTGTTGTGGGTAAATCATCCAAAAGAGTAACTATAAAATTATATTTTGAAAGTAAATGAAGTTCAACAACGTGACCAGTGCAATCAACATTTTTCGTCACTCTTTTGTTCTCAAGCAGTCACGTGCCGAGGCTCATGCCAGTATCTCCGTAGAGCTGGGTAGTCGGAGCACCTGATCTTTTAAACCGAACCTATCAATCAGTGGCCAGTGTTAGGGCTACGCAGATAATTTTTGAGGTAGCTCAGTACTTAACTAAGCTGAGCTGTCAATTCTGAGTCAGAGTTCTGTCCTCTCTTGAACCCAGTTTCTTAAATTTTGGAGTCACTCTCTAGTGGAAGGATAGCGAGGGACTAAAATTGAGGCTATGAAATCACCCGTCCTGTAAAGTGACGTCATTTGTCAGTTTGCGTCAAAAGATCTGTTTGGTTCAAATCATTACTCAGAATTACTCAGATAACAAAATTCAGTCGCAGTTGAAAGAATTGCAAAAAATGGGATCATTTAGCACCAAAATGCGATTGATTCGTGATGGTGGCAATTTTCGCAAAACGTCCCAAGAAGAAACGGGTCGAGGAATCGAGGACGAACATCACTCGATAACTAATAATGGTGAAACATGCGAGAACTCCCCAGCTTCGGGACAAGCAGACGCCGCGAATAGAGCCACGGAATCAAACACAGCTGCCACAAACCATGAACAACAAGGGGCTCCGAAGGTGGGTCAATCATTTTCATGGCTAGCTTCGTCACCAGTTGTTTTGAACACCACAACAAAAGATCTGAAAGCAAAGGGCAAGCGGCAAAAAGAGACACGAAATACCAATTGCATTCGGAAATACAGTCATGCAAAATATCTGAATTCCTGGCAACAGCCTATTGAGTTACCATCAACCAGTATGAAACGAAAACAGCAAAACAACGCTTCTTCTTGTTCAGCCATTGAAGCAAACAACAGTAATCTGACCAAACATCCCAAAACATGCGTCAATAGTTACGAGAAGACAGGGAATAGAAGCACAAAACAGGCAAATAACGGAGAAGCTTCTTCATCCCGTGGTGGAAGTCTTCCAGTCGGGTTTGGTGTAATCGAGAAGCAAATTTCTCACCAAAATAATTCTTCTAGTCCATGGCAGACAGTTCGCACCACAAAGGAGAAAAATGAAGAGAGAAAGTGTATGTTTCCATAGAAAAGTGCGAACGTGAACTTAACGCGCTAATGTATATGAAAGGGTTGAGTACGAGTGTTGAGGTCTAGATCCAATTTTTAAAACTTCAAAGTAACACGGAGGAAGGCAAAAATATCGGTTCAATTTCTTTGAATAAATTGTTTGTATGTAATGTTTAAAAGGTACTTTTAAGTTCATTTAATTGTATGTTGCACATGTGTTGTGAAGCAATTTTTTTTAATCTGATGCATGAATGAACAGAAAAATAAACACGAACGGTATCTTGTTTATTTATATCTAACAAACAAAAATACTGATGTTATCCTAACGAAAGGGACTTTCACTCTCAAGTATTTACTTTGATCAAAAATAACTAAATGAACTAGCTCAGCTCTAAAATAAAAAGATTTACGTTATAAATGTGACGTCTTTCGCTTCATCATTTTAATCGTTTATTTAAGTCAGTACTTTCCATCTCCAGTGATCAGAACTGGCATTCTGAAACAACCCTTGACAGTGACTCGTTGTTTTCCATCAATGATGCTCGTACCGCGAAATCTACAATTTTAATTTTAGAAAGTCCCAGATAGTGGTGGAATCTTGCCTGATTAATTGCAAATCGCCTGCACTCACCCTATGTTGGAGATTAGGACCGAGGTAATGAACTGGGCAAGGTGCAAAGATCCCGCTGTTAGAAATCTTGTGTCGTTCTCCCTGCTTACTATTTAGGCCATTTCCAAAGGCTGAAAGTTAACGTCTTTATGGCGAATCAGTATGGAAAATGGTACGACACTGGGACAATCATGTGCAGCAAACTGTCAGGGAAGGGCACATCTGGTCTCACGAAATGACTCTCTCGTAATGGTTGGATTTATGCGCCTTACATTACGTTTCTTTTACAGAATCTTTCCTTTTTTTTTTTTTTTTTTTTTTTTTTATCGTGGACATGCATAGCACCAGTAGTACGATTTCTCATACGGCTCTTGCTGGTAACGCCAATTCAGTTGCATTAAACAGTTTTATTACCTAGTTCATGGCAGGCCACACAAGCATTTGCTTATCTGAAACAGCTAAAGAACTGATCATGATTCTATCCCCAATAAAAGCATGTCGCGCAAAGTTGCGCAGCGCTGTCTACTTCTGAACTCGCCGACGCTAACACCCCTCTTACGCAGCAAATTGAACTACGTCATGAAGTAGAGCGGAGAGTTCTTTTCATGATCATTCCTTAAAAATTCCAATTTCTTGATATAATATCTTCTCCAGTTACATGAATCAGCAAATTTTCTCGATTATCATTGTTATTTCAAAAGTTATTTTCTTTTTTCGTACTATTGCTTTAGTGGACATTACAAAACTTAGCCCATGGTTGGAGGAAGTTGCTGTTGCTGTTTGGGGGGGATGTAATGATTTTTTTCTTCGTGGTATCCGAAGGTCTGAAGGTCTATTCCTCATGAGTACTCAGAATTATTTTCTGTTCTACGCTCGTGACAAGACCGAAAAACATCTCTGTCTAGTTCATTATCGTGCACAAATTAAACTTAGTTACCGTTCTATTGAGCTTATGTTTACTGATGCAAAATAACAATTTGGAGCAGTTTGACGTCGGAAGAACCTTTTAATTTGCGCTCATCTCAAAAGCGTTTATGCAGTAATCAAACACGTGGACGGTATCTCAAAGGGATGATAATTACTCCACATACAGAGAATTACCAAGTGCCATAACACAAGTCCGCCCTGAGCTGTTAACAGTCCGATACAGAATGGGCTCGTTCAACTCGAAAGTAGCATCGATAAAGGACCAAACGGCAATCCATGCGTCAAAAACAAATGCTAAAAACGTAAGGGAGCGGAAAGAGCATGGTGGTTCAGTGGAAAATGAAGAAAAATGTCCAAGAAGCGACGAAGATAGCTGCGCTCCAAACCAAAGTTCGAAAACTCCAGAGAGGTTGTCCTCGTCCGATAAATTTCAACATCAGTCTCGAAGCGTTTTGAAACGTTCATCCAACGTACCAGAGTACAGATGGCTTGTCTCATCACAGATATCTCAGGATGAAGAAACTATGAAGAGCGAGTCAACTGCGTCATCAAACCCTAAACCTTCATGGAGAAATTCTCTTCGCAACGGTCCCAAAGACGAAGGGAGCACTACTCTTTTAAAGCCATTGTTCACTGCATACCCTTTGATGCCAGGGATGAGGAAAAACACCAAAGACAAAGAAAGCACTGTTCCCCTTGGTTGCGTTTTACATAGTGAAAAAAGAGTTCGACAGGAAGGCGTGCCAGCTGGAGCAAATACCTTGATGTGTTTTACGGCGGCCAGTAGGCCTGTTGGATTCGGCGTGGATAAGTCCTACTCCTACAACTTGTCCAAACATTCAACCGGTCAACGTAAGTAATCGAACTGAAGACATTTATCCTCGCTGTTGCCAGTCCGAGTTGAACTAGACAAACACGGTTTAACCAGAAAGTAAAATACCGAGTTTTTAAAATATTTTTCTGTGTAAATTATATCGTGCAATTCGTTTTGTTACATTTACATTGACGTGAATTGGTAGTTATTGACTATAATTAAAAAGATAAAATGTTCACTTATTGCGCAAGTTTTTGGTTTAAGTCATATGTTCTCGGCCAAACAAAGTTTATCTCGAATGACCCGAAACTTTTAACCAATAGATAAATAGAAAAAAACTAATTAAACATCCATCCTTGAAAGGGGTCTCGTATTTCGTTCTGCCAGGATAAATTTGTTTCCTCTGTTAGCTAAAGTTTCCAAACAGAGTTTGGTGGAGATGTCTATATACATCACCCCCCCAAAATTGCATTTGCGACCCGCTGTCGTTATCTATAATAACCTTAAGCAACATGGATCATAGTCTTCGGCCATATTGGGTCTATTCACTTGGCGATATCGATGTTCTAGTTGACCTTGTCGGTCTCACTCTATTCTTGATTGTAAAGGAACTTCTGTATTCATCGGCGGAGGGCAGGCCGGGAGGGAGGCCAGGAGGTCCAGAGGATTTTAGTCTTGTCACATTAAAATATTCCTGATCCTCTCTTTCTTGTGTCACAGTGACCCCACTCATTGGTAGTTGTAATTTTAATGATCTCCCACACAGGGTGGCTATGTGCAAATACCAATATCAAAATCTACGCCAGTGGTATACATTTTACAGCCTTCTGCTTAATGCCTCATGAAAAAGCCTTTTTTTATGTACGTCAACAACTACCGTAAAATATCGTCATCTGCTAAGATATTAATTGTTCTTAATTCATTCAAAATCGTCTTCACTCTGACTCGTCTTCCTCACTTGCTTCCGCGTTAGATTCGAGTTCTTCTCTAACAAGTCGTTCACACCAAAAAGCCCTCAGGTTGTCAGCCTCCTTTCCGATGGCAGTCGAACCATGTTATTTGAGGCGCAAATCAAGCTCTAATACCGCTCAATCAAAGTTAAAGAAAGGAAAATTGAGTTGGACTAGTCAGCGCGATTGGTTTGAAGAGGCCCGAGCTTAAGTAATCGATATGTCATTAACCAAGGATACGATTTTTAGAAGCAACTGTAGGGTTTGATAAGATTGTCCACATGATGGCCAACTGTGTAGGTAAACGCGACCTTTTCTTGATATCATAATTCAAGAGTTGAAAATTAAATCGTTGAAATCAACTTAGTTTCGCAAAAAAAAAAAATTCAAATTGCGAGCACAGTCTTACTTTAGATTTTTCATTGCCCTAAAAGAACAAAACTCTTATTTCGTTCGCGGAAAAAGCAGCGTTATACTGGATAACAAAGTTCGGGTTTAAAGCTGTCTTCGTTTAAAATGACACTCGTATTTGTTGTTTCTTTTTTTTTACAGAACGTTCGGGTAAACTTTCCCTTTACTAGTCCACTGCATTTCGACATGGGGTCAAAAGATCTTCGCGGGAATGTTAGTGAACTTTCATAAATAGCCACAAAAACACAAACGCTGAGAGAGATTTTAGCAGCCTCTACGTTTACTGTACAAGAAGCAATATCATGAGTCCATATCTGTATTCCAACTGTATTTTCCTGGCATATTATTGCACTTTAGGATGTGAATTTCTCCTCTCAGGAAAGCGATTTGTCATTAATGTTACATCAATTATATTTACTACCAACAGTATTACTGTACATTCTGTTGATATATATGAATTTATTTTAAAATACCCCGTTCTTCAGTAATCCATAATAATTTCTTAAGAGGAAAGTTTTACGGTTGAGTCAATAATTTAAATAGTTTCTCTTTAAAGATATAAACATAAGCTTAATTATAGTTATTTATTTGTGCAGTCTTATTAGAAACAAAAGGGTAATTGTTCATGACGATAATTTTCTGTTGAATAAACGCACCATTTTTAGGTGAGCGAAAGTAAAGAAAAATAGCACCATTGAATCAAAGACAATAATCGTGAACAAAACATACATAAAAAGGTAAAACGTACAAAAGCAGATTTCTATACTGCAAAATAAATATGTACATAGAGTTATTATCCCAAGAAAAACAATATTTTCAACCGGAGTTTCATAGCAGATTTGTTTGATAGCAAATGAAATAAACTGGATCTCAAAATAATACCACTACATAAGCTCATCAATTTTCTAAGTCAAACGTTACCAGAGTTCTTAAAGAAAATTGCCTTTTAATATTTTTTCCATTCTCAGATCAAATGAACTGACTCATTTACATTCAGTCAGTAGTCAAGTGTCTCCAAAGGCGTCATTTATCTTGGTTAGATGTCTTATGGCCAAATCTTCAGGGATATGGAAATTATACTCATTGAGACGATCCAAGTGTTCTAAAGCCTCATTCATTCCTGGAAAATAGTAAACAGTTGAGTCAGATGATGATCATAACAGAGAATCGAATAAAAAATATAGTATATTTCTCCCTCATATAACGAATCTGATTATACATTTACAACTAGTGAGATGAGTAGGTCAAACTCTCAGCATAGTTTTAAAGAGGTACTTTACTTTGCTTCGGGGTTTACTAGCTTTGCCTCGTTTTCAACCACTTGAAGAGGGCGAAGAAGGCTGTTGGAGACTTTATCTTGAAGTCGCAGTCTCTATGTAATCACTTTTCTTTTCCATAAATGTGAAGTTTTGTTAACAAACGCAGGGTTTATCAGGTCAGCTACGCCTACGTTATGGACGTGGAAAAACTCGGTCGTTTGCCAAAACCTTTGTAGCTTATGGATGGAGAAATGTCCCCACAGCCAAAAATACCCATTAGAAAAAGCCTCCGCTTAAACGTTAGAACAAGTTTAACCTGTTATAAAACAAATCTTACCCGTTTTTAAAACGTACGACCATGATTGGTAATGTTCTTCCAAGAGTGACGAACTCTTCACGATGAGACGACACCAGTGAGTCAGTCTTTTTTGACTGAAAAATATTTAAAGAAAGAAGTCAGACCCTCGAGAAATAAATAAAAGGTTGGGAGAGGAAATGGGGGGGACTTAGGTAACCCACACCCCACACATACTCCGTTAATGGCGACAAAGCTCAGTGAAAGAAAGTGAACCTAAGAGCCTTCCATTTCTATTGGCCGGTAGAGTATCGATACTTTAAGTGTAATGGCCCTATTATGGCAAGGAATCATGAACATGTTTTTTTTTTTTCAAAAATTAACCCTTTAAGCCCCCCTGGTGACCTAGACAGAATTTTTCCGTACACTATCAGTATAATATCAAGCAGAGAAGTAATGAGAATAAAGAAAAATATCAATTAGGGGATTATTGGTTAATCCAATTGCAAATTCTCCAAACTAACATCACATGAATTGTATGGCAGAGAGTAAGGAGAATTACTAATTAAATCTTGGGAGTTAAAGGGTTAAGAATATTATCGTAATATATCTAATAGAGTAAATTCTTCTTCTGTAATCAGTAAAAAAACCTTTGGGGTCAGTTCCCTCGTCAGGGAAAAACACCCACTTGCATTACTTTCCTATGATATACTCATAATCAACATCAATGAAGTGAATGTTTTTAAAAACAGATTGGCTGTGATTAAAGAACTCTTATGACGCCAAGAAACCGCTAGACGCAACTTACTTTATTCCAGCGCACACCAAAGATTTGAACTGGAAAAGAAATAAAAAACAAAACAAATAATTAGAAGAAGAGTCGTTACGCGAAAAGTGAAATGTAAAGAACACAAACAATTTCCACAAATTCAGACGGCTGTAAAATGATACGAATAAAGAAGCATCAATGCTACAGCAGAGAGATTTTACCTCAAAATGTTTCATTGCAACTAGAGTCTTGCAGAGAAAGATATGTATCTATTTACAAAACTGGGTGTTCCAGCTAACAGCTTACCATTGCATCCATACTTCTCCTACAGGGTTCGTGTGTTGTTTTTATTCTATGCAGTGTTCTCAAAAGGGTCTAAAAAGATAAATTGCAATATTTAAAAAAACCTTGAGTAAAGGTGTGTGTAAGTCTTTTTTGTAGGAGGCAACAAATACTGGCATATCAGACAGGCACCAGAATACCGAATTACGGGTGTGTCAACATCAAGAGGCTGAAAATACTTCCTGAGCTCACTTATTATTGGCCTAACGTGTGAATCAGTTTAATGGTCAATATTAATTTTCTAAGGGAAAGAGAATGGTAGGCTTAAAGAATTTGAGAGGTTCGTTGATGAAAGAAGAAAAAAAAGAAAAAAAAAAAGACAGGATGAATATTTCGGAAACATACACTCACCTGTTTGGCTGTGACGATGTTTGTACCTTGAACTTCGATACCAAACGCCTCAGAAAGCCGTCTAGCAGGCGTAGAATTATATTCTCTACCATGCTAACAAATATTGATGAAAAAAAAAACAGTGAGTTTCAACATTACTGACCATAGGGGGTAACCTAACGAGCCAGAGATAACTACGGTACCTAACAAGACTGCCAATAGACCACAAATTAACAAAAAAAAGAGTTAAGCCTGGAGAAGAACTGGCCGACGACACGTGGTCAGTCGTAACATGGCTCCAAGGTTTCAGAGTGTGTTCTGTTGTAGTGTACATGTTCATGGATTATGTATAAAGAACGTTGAAGAGCTCGTACAGTTTCGGCAGGGAAGGTCAACAAGTGGAACTAAATGGCTGTAACTAACATAGAGAAACCAACCTTCATTCCGTAATATTCATTGAAAAGTTCCCATATATGCATTCTCTTGGGAAAGGAAGACCTTGTTGTTGGTACAATACATGCCACGAGTGACTTGGAAGATATGAGACGATTGTCGACAGACTGAAAACATAAATGTAAACTTGAACAAACAAATCGTATCAATACTGTCCAATAGCTATGCTAGTTTGAAGGATAACTTTAGCAGGGCAGATTTTTGGGGCTTGGCAACTAAAATAATGAATGTATGACAAAAGACTGAACATCTGAACCTGTTTGAAATTTCCCGAATGTTCATTCCCAGTTCGCTTTGTTTTCGACTATCTATTTCGGCTAAAGGACTTTACAACTTAAATAAATAACTAAAAAATGAAAAAAAGGAAAAGAAGAAGATATAGAAATACAGAGAGGGTCTAAAGCTCAGTCAGTAGTGCCTCACCCTCACTAGTCCATGTTGAAACAAAGCCTTCAATGCCATGGCCAGATCTTTTCTAACGACATTCACCAGTTCAGCATCTCTGGCGTAATCAAACTAAAAAATTAATGAACAAAATAAGAAGGAGATAAATAGAATAATTGCATCTGGTAATAACTAAAGATTGCCTTTGAGTACAACAGGTTGGAATGAAATCAAAACAGCCGTTAGGATTTCGAGAAATTTTCAACTGAGTATCGATTCAAGTGATTCGGGATATCAACAGTTTCATTTTAACTTTACTGAGTAATCGGCTTTAAAAATAAAAAAAAAAGCACGCTGCCTATTTGGCCAATCACATGCTAAGAAAAAACCAATCGTGACTTGGTCACTAACGTTTTCCCGCGTTTCAACCGGTGAACATATGCTAGGTTCAAGTTCTTATTATACTGTTGTGTTAACATCCTTTGTTCTGATGGCTCACTGTTATTACTTTAGTCTTATTTACTTGTTATCTTACCCTGTCACTGCTTTCTGTGGTATCAGAAGACATCGAACTGGTGCGAATTCGAGACCGTCTTTGCACGGCCATCGGAGACTGAGGAGAATTAGAGCCAGACTCTTCGCCATCACTGGGAGGCTCACGTGATTTGATGTCGATAATTTTCAGCACAGCTTGCTGGAGCTGTGCAAGATTTTCGCTGTAAACAAAAGATGGACTAGTTTTACAACCATGATTAAAGCTGATCAATTTCGACTATAATTAAGCTTCAACTTGCTTTTAAATCTTTTTCAAGCCATGACGCTGTAAACTTTGCTGATTCCAGGACTAAGCTGGACGCTGATCACTTATACAATAGCAATTGATCTAGCGCACCAACTGGTTCTCTGTAGATCAGTGGAAGAGCATCGTACCGCAAAAAAGGAAGGTCTGAGGTTCGAGTCTTCGCGCCCCGGGAACTCATAATTTTTTCTTCCTTGCATGATCGAGACTTATGTGTCATAGAAAATTCTCCTTCTTCCGACAACTTTTCTTCGACTTAAAGTATCTTAGCTCCTTTTTGGCTAACTCAGATCTGAATTACTCACAAGTATCCTGGTGCGGCTACTGAAGTAGCTTTTCTTATAATCTGGTCTTGAATCTGTTTCCCAGTACACCCAAACTGACTTTAAGACACAAGGAATAAAAGGAAATTAGCCACAGCAACATAACAAGTCATTACTTAAAGTCCTCAGTGATAACCAATGTCAACACATAATTGTTGGGTCCGGCCATCTAAGAGTCTTGTCGATCCTTTACAAGATCTTACCATGGCTGGGATTCTCTTGTTATCCTAAAACCTGAAGAGCGGCTGGAAAGCGTCTCTTCGTTTTTTGGTACAATATAATTCTAACTGTAAATTGCACGACTTTCCGCTTTCAAGAGGTATTTCTTTGACTTCTTGACTCATAGTTCTCGAGTCTTATAGACAATAACCACGGTAAAATTGAACAATCACATTTTCACAAAACATAATATTTATTGCACTCGACAGACAAACAACTCCTCCCTTACCACAACTTAAATCCAGGCTGCATAACGAGAAACGCGCTTCTAGCTTTTGAAAACCTCACTTCTTATTGCAGAAAGAATTAAAAGAAAGTCATTCATTAAAGTTTGCCTCACCTTATCGCAAACAACTGTAAAATTGCCAGCGCTCTTTTGATTATGGCCAGGCTTGCATCTCGGATTCTCTGCTTGAAAGAGAAAAAAAGGAAAGTTTATTTGAGATATTACTAATAAAGTAATCAAGGAATGAAAATCAATACTCGCAAGCAGCAAGTAACTAAACTTGAACTGACATTTAGCGGAGAAACACAAAGCTACATACTATACGAGTCATATCTACAAACTATACGAGTCATATCTCACCTTACTATGGACCTGCTCTGGTGTTTCAGGCACGGGAGGCACGTGAAGACAGCACCCATTACCATCGTCACTGCCAGACATATCCTCTTGTAAACTGTAGTCACATGGATAATCCAGCTTGTTTTCGCTCTCCGATGAATATTCCATTGATCTGTGCGCTCCTTTACCCTTTAATAAATAAACAATCAAACGAACTAACAATTAAAACATCTTTTACAAATTGAAGAGTCTTTTAAAGGCTTTACTTTCATGCTAGTGTTGGCGAAGGATAAATTTTAATCGGCTAATGTCTATTCATCGAATTCTTCCTTGTTCATAGACAACTTCTACATATTTTGATAAATTTTCAAATAGCAGAAAGATCATCCACCATGTTTACAATCAAAGAAATTTACAATTTACCCTCAGTCGATCTTTTTGCTTTCTTCCGCCTCTTTTGGCATGTACAGGGCACGGACATTGTTTAGCTCGTTCAGTGCGCTCCTCTGCATTCTCAACTTCTCCTGTAAGACAATAAATGAACTATGAAGGAAGAGACGCGTGTAGCAACGCAGTAGTCAAGTGGTTAACCCTTTAACTCCCATGAGTGACCAAGACAGAATTTCTCCTTACAATGTCAATACAATATCAACCAGATAAGCGATGAGAATAAAGAAAAATATCAATTTGGGGATAATTACTCGATCCCATACTAAATTCTCTGAACTAACATTATAAGAATCGTATGGTTGACAGTAAGGAGAATTACAAATTACAAAGGGTTAATAGACAAGACTCTGTATCCAAAGGCTCGTGTTTTTAAGTCATTTCAGGTCGCTATGATAGTTCAGAACACTTCGTTCTTACAATGTCTCTCTGTACTACCAGGAAAAGAAACTGACGCTGGAACCCTCTCAGGAAAACGCCACGATAAGGGCAAAGCCTGGGAAGCACTCCCAGAGGCGATTCATATGTATCTTTTCCCTATAATATCCAAACATTACCCAGCTAACGGGTAATGAAAATACTCAAACTTATCAGGTAGAAGTTGTTACCTTGATTTAACTACAAATTCTTGTAACTTATTTACAAGGAAATGTGTAGCAGCTAGAGAGGAGAATTATCAACCAGATCTTGGGAGTTAAAAGATTACATGTAATAATAAGGGCTACCAAACCAGTGGCTAAAAGCTTTAAAAAAAACACGTAATTAAATAAACATATATTTTAAACACAAACCTTGTAAAAAGGTGACAAATCTTTCTAGATCAGCAATTTGAGTTGTGAGTTGTTTAACAAGTTCTTCCTAAATGAAAAGAGTTAACTATTGATCAACAAAAAAACAAAGAAGATACTAAAAGCAAATAGAATTTTTTACAACAGTAGCTATAGTCTCCCCACCTTTGTCTTGACAGGATTCATCAGCTGGTCATGAAAACCAAAATGAAACATAATTAGTTCCAGTAATTAACCTTGTACAGTCAAGAATGCTTTACACATTTCCAAGTAAGACAATGATTTGTATAAGGCTCCATCAGAACTGCATTTAATTTCAATCTTCTTACCTCTCCTATAGCACTGTCAACATTCTTTCGCACATCATCATTGCTGAAACACAGAGAGAAATGACAGAGAGATTTTAATGTACATAATGTAGGGATAATTTGGCTTTAAATAGTATAATTGCTCCAGTGATTAAAAAGATGTGCACACTCTGATTGGTTGAGGATTGCATCATATCTTGTTGTAATCACCTTGTGCAAGGTCATTATAGCAGGGGTGCTAGATTTCACAATGGCTGCCTCCCATTTCCTCAAAGTTATAGAGGAAGTGATAAGTGCAGAAGAAGAAATATCATTTCTAAATAGCACAAAAGATGCTTCTAAGTTTGGTGTACCACTTTTCAAAAGAAAGATATGAAGTTTTAGCTGATTGAATTAAATAGGCCTGTCAAATTCTAATGGAATCTGGCTGCTCATCTCAATACCAGTAATCAAAAAAATTTTAACAGAATGGTTTCAAAAACAAAACAAATTTACAACAGAATAACAAAGCATCAGAGCAATTATACTAAAATAAATATTCACTTCAGACTCTAATTCCTCGAGATGAATAATATTCTGTTTGCCTTCAATTAGTAATTATTAAATACAACATACATTTGTTTGACTAAAATTTGTGACAGATTTAAAATGTGCTTAAATCTGAATAATAATGTATCAATAACATAGAAAAAAAAACATAAAAGACGCATTGTAATTATCAAATCAAGTTTGATTTCTAACTTAACACTTGAGGTATACACAGTACATGAAGCTTTGTTTACATTTATCTAGGTCAAACTAAAATCAAATTTCATTTGGTTCTGAAAAGTTCAGCATCTGAAAACCAGGCCTAAGTGAAAAATGGTGGAAAATGCTAAATATGAAGCATAGAAGTCAATGGAAGTTGAAAATAACTAACATGATTCAACTACACACGGTAAGTGGTTGTTTATTTTTATGCAAGGTTGTGCTCTAGGAAAACTTTGAAGGGAGCCCATCCTCTGAAATTGTCTGGCATATGCTTTCTACATAAAAAAACCTAGTTGCCCAGGAGAAAAACTGCCCAACATATATGCTTTCTGCAAAAAGATTAAGATTTTCCCAGGCTTCCAAGAGCTAAAGTAAGGATCCAGCACTGCTAGAGAACAGCTCTAGCATTCATTTAGTGATTTCCTTGTTTCTTTTGTCTTTCTTCAAAGATGAATGAAAGTTGTTCTCACCTTAATTTTTCTATTCCATCTAAGTTTAGACCCATTTTTGTCCTTAAGAAAATAAACAAGTTTTGCATTTAAAACATGATCATCAGTTAATTCAAATTCAAACAAAAATATTTGTTTCACCTTATAGAAGAAAACAATATCTGCTAAAAAAATTAAAATTATAGTCACTTGTTTAGACTGTTTTCATATAATGATAATTGAGGTGACAACTTAGATTGATCTCAGGTACAAAATTTAACATTATTTTACATATCAAATCTTTAGTCTCCTTTTACTCTTTCATTCTAACATTTTAGATATCTCATACATTTTTGTTTTCAATAGTTTAGAGGTTAGATCAAAGTTTTAAAGTTTTAAATTGAACATCCAACAATTTATTCATTGCTTTAAGTGTGATTGTTTAGATGAGAATGACCCCACACACTGTAGATTGGTTATGATGCCTGTTTTAGTTTAACAACTGCTTTCTTTCATGACACCTCTCTCTCTCTCTCTTCCATGCAATCACAATCAACAGTCTGGGGTCATTTATGAAGTTATAAAGTTTATCAGATTTGTTTAAAAGTTTGCTGTCATTTATACCGTATATCTGCCGCAGCAAGTCTCATCCCCAATAACACCAGTTCACAGGCCACGGTCCTTTGAGCACTGCTTATTAAGAATTTAATAGTTATGTACTTGTCTCATCTTTTATTATATAAATAAAAAAAAGATTTATGAAGCCTATCGACTAAGCGTGACCATGTTAACATGCTTGTGCTAATTTTCACATGAAGTTGATTACAAATTTACTGCATGCAGGTACTAACAGTGTAAATGTATATCATCTTAAAACTGTCAGTTTTGAACAACTAGCATTTCCTTTTTTCAGCAATTTAAAAATTTAAACAAGAAACAGTTTAACTTAAAGATACATATTAAAAAGTTTAAAAAATATGTTATGTGCATTTCATATTTAATTCTGTCAACTATTATCAATATGCTCATGAAAATCTTTATAACTAGAACAATCATGCAAAACAATCAACTAAATAATATAATTGCCTTCAATAGAAAAAAAATATATAATTTCATCCTGAGTTTAAGTCATGCTACACGTAAATTATCCCTTAATTGCCGGTAACATTTATTTATTTTGTTGGCTTTTAAAATTGAAGGAAAAAATTTCCCATAGATTATTAAACGTGTTGTCAAGAATTTATTATTAAATAATGTACATGTAACTGTGAAAAATGATACATGTAAATTATCAACTGTTTTGCTGTGTTAAAAACCCAAGGTTTACTTGACAAAGTTGGACTTACTTCAATTCCTCAATCACAATCCGTTGCTTCTCCACAAGCTTTTCAGGGCTTATTTCTCCATTCACATTTGCAGAAGCTCCCTAGTTAGGAAACACATTTTGACTATCAATAAATTGCTTTATTGCTATTAAACCTGTCCATTCCATGAATGATCAATGAGCAATTTCTCCTCACAATGTCAAATTTACATGCAGAAAGGTGATTAGGAGAAAGAGACATTTTAACCCTTTTCACCCTAACATCAGTATGCATAATCTCCATACTGTTCTCTACATGATTCCTAGCTTTCTGACAAGGAGAACTAGTTGAACAATCAAGAGCTTCTTTAGTTGGTGACCATTTCCTTTATTCTCATGACCTTAACATGAGACTCAGGGCTGATATTATAGGGAGAAATAAGATGTGAGTATCACTCTTAGCAGTTGAAGGATAAGAAAGTACAGTATTCTCACCCATCTACAACCTGACTATCCTGGATTCAAACCAATTTTTCAATTTGCTAATTTTTTAAATTTCTAATATTTCAATCTATAAGTACATGTAATATCACCACAAGTGTTAATCTTACCATAGCCACACATTTCTCCATTTCTTCTAACTGATCTTTCAGCTGTCCTATCAGGCTAGCTTGTTTCCTTTTCTCCACACTCAGCTTTAGTTCATATTCCTGTAAGTTCTAAATATTTGAGGAAAAAGATAAGTTACATAAAATGAATCATTTCAAGACATCAATGTGGTACAAAAAATTGTGGACTGAAAATCTAGTGCCATCTATAAATTTGTAAAAAGATGATCCCAGATGTCATGGCTTAAGGGCTGTCATTACTTTTTGTTGAATTCTGGAGAGAGGACACTTTGGTGCCAGAAAAAAGTACATGTACACTGTACACTGTAATTGTGTTTGGGCATTTTATTATTGATAATGGTTACATTTGCATCATTCTACAGGGGTTGTTTTTCTTGGCTTACATTTGTACAAAAATTGCATTTTGTTCCATCAAAGCCTCATGTTACTTATTATTGGATAAAAAAAATATTCACATGCAAACTTCAAGGTTAAGGTAAGAATTTGCTGGAAATGAACCAATTTTTAACTAATGACAACAGCTATTTGAAACTCTCTATAAGTTAATTTAAGAGCTTTTTGAGGCTGTTGTAGGCAATTGGAAGGAAAAAAAACCCCTAAGTGAGCTTTGAAATGAAAGAGATTTTCAAAAATTAAATAACAATTATTATTATAATAGTAATGTTACAGTTGTAGTCTGTAAGCCTGATTTGCATAAACTTGTAGGTCAGTCTTGTAAATAACACTTGACTGATGGGCAACTTCTTACTAGCCTTGGATCAGACCACCTCCCCTCTGGTTGTCCACACATTAGTCCCTACCGAAAACATTCCCTCTCAGGACTACTCTTACTTGCACAATCAGACTACATAATTGCATGATCTTCACTTTGGCCTCATATCAATCTTTGAAAGTCTTGACGGGATCTTTAGGGGTTGAAAGTGAACATACTCGGTATTCCTAAGCTAATGCAGCCCCATCAATCGACACTCCAAACAAATGTTTCCAAACTTACATTTTCTCCTGCACCATTATCATTCAATGCCTTCTTTGGACTTTCCTTTGCTTTTGGACCACGTACATCAGGGCATCCTTGGAAAGCAAACTCTTCCAATTCCATCAACAAACGCTGCCAAAGAAACAAAACACAAATAATTTAGATATTACTGTATAATATAGTGAAATACCTTTCTAGAGAGTATGCACAAATAGTGTACTATATGTACTTACATGTACATGTATCACATGCGAATTCTTACGGTTTCCATAGTTTGTATTGCAGCTTCACAAGAATTTAGCTTTAGGTGAGATGATTTTCAACTAGCAAAATTTGAATTTTCTTTTTTCAAGCTATACCATCATTATTCTTTAACAAATAAAAGCACATTCAACCTAGTTTGATATCAATTTAACCCATAACATACAGCTTGATATGGAATTAAAAATTAAAAGTAGACAAGAATGCATACATGAGTATTACTACCATGAAAAAGTGTTGCATTTATTTAACATATCACATGAAAGTTTTAGAAAAACTTTGCCTGGAGGCTTAAAGGAATAATTTGTACACAATGCTTTTTTTGTATATTTGAACATCATGCAGTTCGACTCCTGGCCCGAGTTGTTCAAAGCTGGGTTAAGATAATGCAGGGTTAGGGTGGAATTTCATATCAGGTCTTAAAGCTTTCAAAGAAAATTAACACAAAATCTTTTTGCTTGCAATTTCATCGTTGGATGTTCAAAAAAGAATAGGGAAATTTTTCCCTAAAAGGCTTTGGATAAAAGAAATAAAAAAACCTAGATTAAAAATTTAACCCTGGGTTGGCACTAATTGGTCTTCCAACAACTGGGCCTGGTCTCTCCCTGCATTACAAGAAAAGATTGGTCTGAATATCTGATTAGACATGCACATCTTGTTCAGTGTGTTTAACAAACCTCTCTAGTCTCTGCAGGAGCAGCAACAACCTGCTTCAATCGAAACTGGACCTATTTGTACATGTGTAAAGAACACAACAAAGTGAGGTTCAGCAGCCATTACCAATCATTGTTTTAAACTATTATCAATGATCCAGGGTTAGATTAAATGAGTCTTTCACCAAGAGTCTTAGCCCAGACATTATTTTTATAAATTTTGGAAGCTCCAAGCTTGCACACTCCATTTAAATACATTACACATCCTTCTCCAAAGAAAGAAGTAATAATAATAAAAAATACAGCCATGTACCTGGGCAAAATGGCTTGTAAGAGCAAGTAGAGAGCCATTCAACTCCTCTTGTTCATCCTCAAGGTCTCTGATCTTTTCAGGATCTGACCTAATCAACAACAACACAGAAAAATTACCTTTCTTGCTGTAAACTGCTACTCAAATTAAACTGGATCAACAAAATTGATACATGTATGTACAAAATGTATGAGAAAAATTAATATTAAAAGACAAAATAGCAAAGTATGGTCAAAATATGGTCACCATTACAACTACAATTGAAAGTAAAATAGCAATAAAAATCACTCCTCAAGTGACATTAACAAAGGTGTAACAGTCCATCAATGTGGAACTCAATTGACAAACAAAGACCTCTACTTAAGTTAGTCTGCACATTGAACTTCTTGGATAAAATACAATACACTTTAGCTGTTTTATAGCATTACGTAACTTAACAGTACAGTTGTTACAGGGTCACTCTCCCCCTTTTTTGACCATGTTTAACAGTCTAGTCTTGATGGTAGCAAGCTTAAGTCTGTCATTCTAATTTTATTTTTGAGTGTTCCAACAGTGTATGGTTTTGTTAATGAACCTGCCTTGAAAAAGCCAGTTGCTAGGCACTGGAAACTTCTAAGGTTAATTCATCCAAGTGATATCCTTGATAATTATATATTTTTCCCTCAACAAATTGCAAAGATGACACTCTTTATCCTACAGACATAATAATTATTAATACTATATGGATAGACTACAGCTTCAGAGAGTAACAAAAAGAGTACGAAAGACATGTTATACAGCTGTAGCACAAAAACTCAGCTTTCAGACAATGCCAAAAAACAAAAAAAGCAAACATAAGACAACAAAACAAAACCTAGGTCAGCATTTACAATGAGCTTCTTTCCAACAGTCATTAAATGGGAAAAATGGCTTGTTCTAAATACAAGACTACGAAGTATATTTTGGGTTAAAAATATCCTTTTTCAACAACCGCCAGTAATGAAAACAAAGGATTTTCATGAAGAAATTAGCCCTTACTTGTTTAATTTTGTCTATCATTTATCATGCAGCAGCTGCAAAGTAGATTTTAGGTTAAAAATATTCTTTTTTTTAACAACTGCCAGTAATGAAAACAAAGAATTTTCATGAAGAAATTAGCCCTTACTTGTTTAATTTTGTCTACATTTATTGCCAAGCAGCTGCAAAGTATATTTTCAGTTCACTTGAAAAGAATTGCAGTAAGAATCTTTTTAACACTGCTTAGAGTTGCATTCAAATCTTGATAACTTTACACCACCAAGTGGTTAAAATTAAAACTTCATTATTTTGCAACTCATGAACAAAATACATTCAGAAATTAAATTATATTTCTGCATCTGATGACAAGTAAAATTATACAATTTTTTGCAACTTTCTGTATGATCTTTTAAAATTCACCAGAGGGAGGATTGTCAAAATTGGCTAAAAGCAAGAAGACCACCACTTATGTAAACTATATATTCTGTTGTTGGCTGGCAAATCTGTGGGAATATTTTTTCTCTGGTGTTATCAGAGAAAGAAGTAGCTGCTTTCTTAAAAAATAAGTGCCTTTGATTCAAAATCTGTTGATAACCTTGAGACCTACACAAATGGTAAGTTAGAAATTATATCATAGTGTACCAATTTTACCAAATTTACCCTTACTTGTCCTGTATTTTACATTATATGTCACTCACCTCTGACCTGGTACTTCCCAAAGAGTATAAAATAAAGCTTTTTCAAAAATCTCTTTAGTAGGTAGCTCCTAGGAGATCTAATAGCCCTACTGTTTTCAGTGCATGTTAATTTCTGTCACGGAGAATCTATTTTCACATTAGCTGTTTGTCTTGATCAATGGTCAGATTTACAAATTCTTTAAGGTAACTAACATCACCATGGAAATTGATAGTGACACTTCCCTGAATAAGATAATGAAGAAATAGTCTCTTACAGGGAGAGGGAAATCACAAACAACTGAAGAATCCAATACAGAGAGTAACCAAAATTACTGTTTAATAATCTGTCTATACTTTCAAACATTAAGTAACCTTCAGACTTAGATAAATTGCTTTGTGATCTAAACAAACAAGCATTGCATTGAATCTCACACCTCTAGAATATCAACGTGAGAATCCCACATCTGTGGGTGGAAAAACACTTCTGGGAAACTTATGTGCCAAGAATTTAATATACATTGTATTTTTTCTCTCTCAGTTAAGGCTGGTTGAATAGGTATGAAACAGCTTTAGGTTATGAAAATCAAGGCCAGAAAAATCTCTTTGATTTCAAAGCACAAGAACAAGTAAGAAAATGCATTGTGTGATATGAGCTGCATACGTGTACATAGTGAGCTGTCTTCCAACTTAACCATGGATGATTTTCAACTATACTGTTACTTTCAATTGGTAAATTGGTTATTTATTTCAATCTTCATACAGAATCGACTTAAAATACAAGTAAAGATTATGCAAGCTTATAATATTATACATCTGGATATCAACAGGGTACCCAATTATCCATGCACTAAGGACTTCTTGAATTTCATAAAAAAATAAGAAGGATAGTTATATACATGGCATGCAAAGCAAAAAACTTGGCCCAGCAAAGTGAGCTTAGATCATTTATTTCTCATGAATATTATGTCCCTCTTGACTAAGTGCTACAGCAAGACATGGAAATATTTGGGTCATGGTCAGGATGTGCCATGCAATGCAGCAAAGTGAGTACAACCTGACTGAGAGCCAGACTTAAACTGCTTTGACCAAATCATAGAGCCACTAAATGAAGGTGGTGAAAATTTTTCAAATAACATTAACCAGCTATAATAAAATATATCACAAAGGTGTACACAAGCCAACTGCAAGAAAAGTGTACAATTGAAACATTTTCTGAATTCCTTTGTGATCAAAAAAGAAACTCTGCCTAACAAGGGGTAAATTTTTGTTACACTCTGTAGTTTTCAGTCTTGGATAAAAATTTTTAAAATAATCTTACCATGTCAAGAGCCCTGTCTCTAAAGTTATTTTAGCATATGTGGAGTTTATAAGAAGAAAATTGACCCTGCATTATCCTCTCAAATAAAGTGAGTACAATACTGAAATTTTGTGCACTTTAACATTGTGGATCCAGTGAAGAAAGGCTTTGCATAGATAAGCAATTTAATTGTCTTGGAAAAAAAAAAGCACAGTGAGGCTGTTTTTGAAAATAAACTGCTTTTTATCACTACAAACATTTTTTTATGGCTAATAGGCCAAATTGAAAAAAAAATCTCTTCTTACAGACATTTTTCTTAAAACATAAGTGAATTAATCATGCTGTGAAAAAGACATTTTCATAAAATAGTCGGGTCGTTCCATAGGGAAACCCGACACACATGTACGTTTCCTGCATTATTGAAATCGGAGATTCTGAAAAATGTCGACACGTACAAACCACGAAAGAATCAGGAAGTAAAATAAACCATCATTACGCGAAGGATCCGAATGGTTCTTATTTATAGCATGAGTCAATTCAATTATGAAAGGCTGATTTTACTCTAATATTTTCATAAATTATTCAAAGAGAAAAAGACATTTTCATTGACAAAACTTTTCGACAAATCAATCTCCGTACCTTCATTCCTGTGATCAATAAATACAATCCAAAGACAAATTATCCTCCATAAAATTACACTAATTCATCAAAACAACGTTCAAATTACAATAAGCATGGAAAAAAAGAATTTCGGTTAAAAACGAACTGTCCACGAAAATGATCATGAGGGGAACGAATACATGTTCGATATTGGATTTATCTAATAACACATTTCTTGGACTAATTTCAAACCAACAGTTACGAGTAAGATACAAAACTAATGTCGTTTCGCTTCGGCAGTATTATTATCAAAAATTATTAAGAATATTTTCAGAAAAAGCGAGAGAGAACGAAAGATCACACGAAGAGATTGATGTGCAAAATGAACTAGCAACCGACCGCAAACAAATCTACCGTGCAAAACTTGTTTGCAAGTTGGAATCGCTCCAAACATGAACGATTGAACAAAATCACATTACGAACTATGGAAGAAAAAAATTACTTACTTTCTCGAAATTTCAGAATTCTTTCCACCGTTTTCGGCGGGATTGTCGATGGCTGCTCCCAAAGGCGGCCATCTTTCCTCCAAAGGACGAGAGCTGTAAAAGGTCGAATCGTCGTATTCAAAGTCTGCCATGTTATGTTTCAAACACTACCATACATTCTCATTGCAGACTCACGACTCTCTGGAACTATCTTTCGAATTTAAGTCCAAACTAAAGCAGACTAAACCGCATAAATCCGTGAGATCAACGGTAGATCAAACTACTGAGCGGTGACGAAAACAAGCAATCCAATATTATTGACGCGCACTTCTGGACGCGACGCGCAGTCGCTGCGTGGGCGAGCGTGCGTGGGTCTTACTGACAGGGGAGGGGTGTGACTGAACCCAGTGGAGTGGGATGAGAAAGGAAAGACGGGGGATCGTTACTAACCCAACTTGTACCCTCTCCTCCAACGCCGAATTTCGAATACAGGCCTAGACACTGGTGCCTGAGAAATAATAGTGGCGAGTGTCAGAGCTATAAAAACAGTTCTTTTGGTTATTTTTCCTGATATTTCATGTCTGAACTTCAAAACTATTCGTAGATCTTTCTTGAATGTAAATATGACAAACAAAAACGTCTGGACAAAAAACCACTGTTAAAAAAACGGACTCCTCGAGGGTAGGGTGAGGGAGAATTAGGCTGGCCTGTTCAGTGGTGCTGTTCGGCTCAGAACAGATAAATTCTTGTTTCTTCAGTTTTGGCTAAATGAAAAAACTAGAAGGGTTTGCAGCAACTCCACACGCAACAGAAAAGGAGCCAGCGGCCAATACTGGAATTCGTTTGGTTAGAACAAAAATTGAACAATCGTCAGGAGTGAGAACAGGAACGAATGCTTTTTTTTGCGGCTATGTTATAGACCCGGATATTTTGCGACTGTAAAACATTTCTTTGTTGACTGAGACTCACTTAAATGCTACCAGATTTTTTTCATTTAACTTTCTAATTTCTAACGAAAAAAACATTTTTGCCACAAAACAGAGAAGAACTTACGAAGTGAATCGTGAGGACAATCGTGAGCAGTGTCGTCAAGGGCTTTCGACACTGAGCTTTGTCGACATAAATTTGAAACATGCATGTCAAACTTCAACCAATTGGAAACCACGTCGAACGTCTGTTCTTTATTCTGATTGGTCGAAGGGCCTGTCACGGCGTCAGCACGAAAACCTTTCACTGAAGATTATTTTTGCTGGCCAAGTTGTTCTACATCTTTTCTGGGCTTCTTCACCACAACTTGTGAAGGTTTGTGCGGGTTATCTTTGTAAGTTTTCTTTTTATTTCCTGAAATTTTCTTCGTTTCGTCTTAGGCTGGATAGGTTTTGAGTTTTGAGTCGTATGTCGAGCGGCGAATTTAATGTTTCTTGGTGAAAAGGCTTGTCTTTAATTTAGGAGGAATTCCTTCTTCTAGAATGAAATCTATGAAACGAAGAAAGAGCGGTAAAAATGTGGTTTCAAGCATAACGGAAGCAACGTTTGCTTTAATAGTTCTTTAGGAAATACCGTCGACTGAAATTGTTTGCTCTCTAAAAGAAAAGACGGCTGAACTACTTATTCTTTCACAACTTTTCGACTTGTTCTCTGCTCGTCAAATTTGTGAAATCGTTACTTTTGTTTTCCAGGTAGTGACGACAAACGTTTAGAACGACTCTGCTCAGAAATGGACATGGCCAACACATTGTTCACTCCTGTTAAAGGAAAGCCTCTCAGTCCTTTTATTTCCAAGCTGAAGCTGCTTCTCAATGAAGAAAAATATCGTAAAGCCATCCGGTGGTCTGAAAATGGTGGGGCAATTCTCATTTCCGACGGTGAAGTATTCAAACGCCAGGTTCTAGACGAAAGCGCAGAAATGTTCAAAACCAGGAACTTTACCAGCTTTGTAAGGCAACTTAACCTGTACGGTTTCCGAAAAGTTCCCGTTAACGGAAAGGGTGATCCTTCAAAAAACATGGAGTTTGAACATGTCCATTTTAAACGAGATAAGCCGGAACTAATGCATTTGGTCAAGCGAACCTGCCCTTCAAGGAAAAAGAAGAGAGTTGCTCAAGGAACGTTGACTACCATCAAAAGAGAAAGTCCATCTTTTCGAGAACAGCGTCATGACAAATTCAAGTCACCTGGAGGAGAGGAGAGAGTCTCTGGAAAGTTAAGAAAAAACGAAAGCAGTTTCTACAGCGAAAGTCCGAGTTCTTCGCCGCGCAATGAAAGGGAAAGCGAAGAGGAATCGACTGAATTCAATCACTCGAGTCACTCTCCGTTTGAAGCAGCACAGAACAACGTTGGAAATTCCCTACAAGAATATTACTATCAAAGATTTCAAGAAGAACAGATCGCAGTTCAGCTTCTGTTGAATTTGCGTTACTCGTCGTCTTCGCCTCAAAGTTGTGAAAATTTTCAGCCACAGCCAACTGCTTACGATCCATCTTGCGCCGGATATTCCATGTACATGTACCCTTCGGTACCTTTTTATGGCCAGTACACTTCCATGTACTAATTCAAACATTGACTAACTTTTAAATTTCTCATTTATTTTGGATTTTTATGATTTTCGATAGTTTATTTGAATCTTATCTATTGTTTAATCAGGTTTTGATGTTGTCTTCAGCACCCGCCCAAAATACGCCCTACTTGATGGGCCACATATAATTCGTACGCATGTATTTTTATGACTCAATTTATCGCGTAAGCTCTTTTTATTCTTACTTCGTCATTTTTATATTTGAGTTTTGAAAAATTAAGATTAACATTTAAAGATTATTGCAATGTATTACTGTTCAACGAATTGCTGAATTATTCTCACTGCAAGCATTGTAATTAATTTGTATTTTAGAATCTTAAAGCACGTTGTATCAAATACAGCGAAACTATAACATGTATTAGTATCTCCAATTTTTCATAAGTTATTATGAATTTTAATAATCAGTTCTGGAAAAAAAATCAGTGTCTTTTTGTAACTGATTACGATTTTGTGATGTAAGCGGTATTCAAAATGCTAAGGTTGTCAGAAAAGGGATAAATGTAAGATTGCAATTTATGGAACCAATCATTGACGGATTTTTTGCATCAGAAGTGTATCTTAAGGAGCTGAATAGACAATGTTTTAAATAAACCATCGCATCAGTCTGTGTTCTGATCATTTTCTAGATGAATCCCATCTTAGTTCCAAACAGAGTATAACCTGTAATATTCGTGCTAAGGATCACGTTGTGCTGTAGTAAGACACCGATCAATTCATGGCCTGGGGGAGGGGAGGGGAATATCATGGTCGTGTCCCGATGAAATTTACCTGTTCCCCCTCTTACGCTCTGCAAACTCTTATGATCCCTCCCTCTCCCCCCCACTCCCCCCTTTATCAGTAATTCTCATATTCCTCCCTTTATACTCTATTGGCGACGACTGATCCCCCTTCCGTTTCCCTGAAAACTATGTGACCCCACAAAAATTCTCCACTCCTCCTCAGGCGATGAATAATACAATAGCCCACGCTTAGTTGGTTGGCAGTGAGCAGTCGCGACTTAATTAAGAATTAATTAGAATTCTAAATGAAATGACCGAGGTAATTACTTTGCCTTAAAGCCTTACGGCCTTGTGTCTCTTCATAAAGGGAGCGATGATTCAACCTTTTAGAGCTATTCCAATTGTCCAATGAAAACGGTTATAGTTTGCGCTGGAAAGGGAGTGGAAGATGAAAATCAGTTACGATTATTGATTCCATAAATTGTAGAATATATTTTTTCAGCGGTTATGATTAGAATTCTCAAAAATTTGATATTTCAGTAACTGTAGAAATTCTTGCGCGTCCATTGGCCGAGAGCCATACTCGGTTGCACCGAGTGCCATTTTTTCATTTTTATCACATTTTGACGTCGTGTGGAATCTATTTCTGAACATCAGTGCAGTGACACACTTTTTTTGTTTAAAAGTGACAAAATTATGAAGTCAACTCCGTAATCGACCAAAGAATTTCTTTAGAAATGCAGAAAGGTTTTCTCTTTTCTTTAAACATTTTATCGTGAGTAACTCCCTTGAGACACTTGGAATACAGATGTACAGCCCCAAGTCCTGATCGTATGGTCCATTCCTGTAATTCCAGCATTTCCCTGATTTCCTAGGCGACGAGCCCAGTTTGGCGCGCACTTTAACCGGCGGACTTTTCGTGACCCACGTACACGGAAAACATATAACCGCGACCATTAACTTGAATGGAATAGTTGAGATGTTTGTTCCTTTGGACTTTTCGCTATCTTCAAAACTTGCTTGAATCATCATGGAACAAGACGGCGAAACTGGAGTCGAAGAAATTCTATCGAATGGCCAGCGAGGCTACTTATTTACAAACTGGGCGAAAACGTTCTCGTGTACACCAGAGCTATTTTTCGTACCAGAATCTATTGAAGATATCAGACAAGTGAGTTGAAGAATAGAGTTAGCATTTAATCTATTTTTCGTTCTAATAACAATCGTTGGGGTCATCCTTAGTCTAAAAAGACATATTTTGGTAAAATTTATGTAATTTTGTTTCTTTGTAAAACGTAGATCCTTCGTGTGGCCACTAAATTATGTAAGACTGTCCGTGTTGTGGGCGGAGGACATTCGCCATCCGACATTGCCTGTACTGATGGGTACATGATTAGTTTAAAGAATATGAAAGCGGTTTTGGAGGTAAGAGTCGATTGACGTGTCTTGCTTTTCTATTTGTTCATTCGGAGTCTTCAGACTTATCTCGATGCACATGTGTATTATGTAATATAAGTATAACTTTCACGATCAGTTTAAAGTTTCAAGTATCTTTCACACCTGTGCGTTCGTGAAAGACAATTTTTCAATGCCCGCAGGCTTCCTGTCCACTTGTAAACGTCTTTAACAAAAACATGAAGAGACACGCTCGAGAACGCTAGCCAGATTGGGTAAAAGTGTCTAGCACATGCTAGCAGAAGATTTTCTACTGTAAGCCCGGTATGCACTGTATTAGTGAGTACTTTAGTAAAGTGCAGGCATCTCTTGCTCTGACAAAGCGTTTTTGTCGGGAAATCAAGTGGACATGCATAGGAGTTTTGTCTACTATATTCGATATTTTGGCTAGTTATAGGAAATGAACGGATGCTCCTAGGGATTTATTTATCCTTTACTGCTTTGATTGGGATTGCATAAGTTAAAAGTACGTAGGTCACGAGATAGTATGTTTATAATCATATGCATGCCACGTACCAACTGACACGACAAAAATACATAAGTATGCTTCGCATACAAGAGTTATGTTTTGGGGTGGGACAAGTTGAGTAACTGATGTTTTCTCTTCTTTACACGAGAAAGTTTAAGGATATTGACTTCAAAAACATTCCAACGGAAGAACTACTTAACTTTACTTTAGCATTATCAACACACCTCTGATTGTTGTGAATTATTAATATATTTTGGGTCTATTTTCTCTTTTCTTTTAAATAATTTCAAACAAAAATAGAGTGAATTGGTTCCACACTTACAGCCATTTCTCTGCCAGTGTCAAAATAAAAATTATTTTACAGTTACATTGTAACTGCCTGCTAAATATTATATAACATAATTTTACTTGGGATGCAAAACCAAAATATTTATCCCACTGAACCCAACCAAAGATCTTTTGGGACCTTTCTTCTCCATACAAGTGAAAGTACATGTTAGGGACTTGTCAGAAATTAGCAGGGGGGGAGGGGGGGTGGGAATTTTAAATTTGGGTTAAGAAATTAGGTGACCCATCCCTGCAATGGGAGTGAAATTTGCTAACCCTCCCCTTGAGCTTGGCCTAAAATATCATGACCCTCCCCCTCTTGTATAACAGTTTATATCAATAACGTTCCGTAAACCGTTGTATTTTTCTCTTTTTTTTGCCAAATAAAGAACTTCCTTTTTCTTCTGTGGGTGAACCTCTACATGATCATGGGCATATATTTGCATGACCCTCCCCCTTTTAATTGCCCATTTTTCATGACCCCTCCCTTTTCTGAGGCTCAAAAAGTTGTGACCCCCCCTCTCCCCCTGCTAATTTCTGACAAGTCCCTTACTATAAAGGTAAAGGGTCACATCTGAAAGACTTTGATGTTGGCATGATAATGTGGTCTATCTGGACTTTAATGTAGATTGTGTGACAAAATACAGGTTGTTTACTTGGAATTGGTACATGATTGGGTTAATTTGAAGGCAGCTAAGAGCAAATTAAGAAATTGTTAGAATTGCATGGAAACATGATTAGCAATAAAGCACTCAAGGCTATGTGAGCTTATTTTCAATCAAGTAGGATTGTGTCAGGGGTTGTTCATGGGAAAATGTTGTGGGATGGGGCAAAGCCTGATCAGAAAAGTCAAGTAAGAAGATGGCAATTTTGGGAAAATACTGTTTGAACATATTACAAGTTTTCATTGAAAACTACTTAAAGCAAAGAACCAGAGGTCTAAGCGTTGATTTCAAAACACAGAAATAAAACAAAGATAAACTTTTCTCTAATAATTTAATGACAATGTTGATGTAAGTTTCTAGTGGGCTCTTCTTTGGTGTGATATGAGTAACTTTCATTGTCTGTATTTCTTTGGACCATGGGAGGTCAGGCCAGGTCAATGTATTGTTTTCATGGACAAAATACTCAACTCTCACAGTTCCTCTCTCAATCAGACAAGCATCCCATCCAGGGGAAGGGGTAATACTCTTTTTTGCTTCATGCGAAGAATACAGGGATGAGCTCCAGTTGTGGGGAGGGGCACTAGGCTTCAGTATAGAATTTACTTTTCTTCTTTTTACCAACGAATGATGTAAAATTTAATGGAAAATGTATTATTCTCAAAGATAGCTAGTAGATAACAATACCAATAATAAGTGTTATTTTAGATAGACTATGACAAGAAACAAGTGACAGTTGAAGCTGGTTTGATGGTTAGTGAACTCAACGAGTTTTTGGCTGACTATGGCTTAGCATTACCCAGGTAGGTACATGTATTCACAGACAAAGTTAGCTGGTACAAGGCTTTCAGTTCTATTCTTTTCAAAGTTGTCATTTGGAAACCTTAAGTCATTTAAGTATTGCCAGAAAAGAAACCTGAATTACAAGCAATAAATTATATTCAGAGGCTCATACAATGTCTGAAACTGTAACATAAATTAACCCTTTAATTAATTAACTCCCATGAGTGACCAAGACAGAATTTCTCTTTACAATGTTAATACAATATCAAGCAGACAAGTGATGAGAATAAAGAAAAATATCAATTTGGGAATAATTAGGTGATCCAGTATTAAATTCTCTGCACTGACATGATAAGAATTATATGGTTGACACTAAAGAGAATTAAAATTTGATCTGGGAGTGGAAGGGTTAATCCCTTGAGGAAACCACTTGAAGCAGCATTTACTGGTAAGTACTCCTCATGATTCAAAAGTGTTATCTTCAGTCACACTCACATTATGAGAACTGACAGGCTATTATTTATCAGCTCAGTTCATATCAGTTAGAGGATGTTTTGTAGACATAAACCAAATTCTCCCAAGTCATTTGCAAGGAAATGTTTGACCATCAGAATAAACATTGTCTTGAATGCAGATGTTTATCTGATGTTATCTGTGGACCATGAACACTTATAACTAAAAGACACACCTCTGACAGTTTATTACATTACTGCAAACCATTAAGGTCACCAAATTGAAAACTTACGCTTTAAATTTAGATACCAAAATATTTTCAAAGGTGACCAAAACATTGTAGCACAAATAGCTCAGCTGGTCATGGTGAGTTGGCATATTCTTAATCCCTTGACTCCCAAGATCTGATTTTAAATTCTCCCCTCTAGCTACTACACATTTCCTTGTAAACTAGTTAAAAGAATTTGGTGTGACAACTGTTGATCAAGATAACAACTTTTGCCAACCAATTGGGTATTTTCATTACCTGTTTGATGGATTATGTGTAGATGTAATAAAGAAAAAGTTACATGTTAATCACTTCTGAGAATTGAACAATTAATTAAAATTGAAAATTGTGAATCACTTCTGGGAATTGAAGGATTTGTCAATATCAATAACTGAGTGCACTTTTATTGTAACATGATTTTAGTAACCAAGTTTCTACTTTTAAGTCACATACTTGTTAAAATGGACACAGTGTTAATGCTTCTAACAGGAACTGTACCTGTAAAACTTACACTTTGTTTGTTTCTTTGTTTGTTTGGTATGTAGTCTTAGTTCAGTGTCAGAGATTTCATGTGCAGGTGCCATTGGTACATGTACACATGGTTCAGGAAAAAACTTTGGCATTTTGGCTATGTCAGTAAGTTTCTCACATACACAGCATTGATACAGTCCATTATGTATGCTTGCTCCTCTACTACATGAAATTTCATTATTGTGGCATGATAATCAATTATATTTCAAAATGTGGTCAAATTTTTTTTATCCCTTTCTGAGTTGCTAATTCCTTTGTGGAAAGAAGAACCTGCTTAATTAAGTTGCCCTGCTCCTGAAGTGGCTTTGTGGCCCAGTTGGTGGAAGAAGTGCCCATGCAACTTGAATCTGGGTGGCGCATTAGTCTGAATCCTGTTGAAGTCAAATTTTTCAGACTTCTTCTCTGCAATTGCTTTCATTGCAGGTTTCTCAGGAAGACTGTTTCCTTAGTTGTTTACTTTGCATATGATCAGTGGGTCAGAATATTATTATTTTATTTATTTTCATTCTCAACAGTTAACTAAATTGGTGTTTATTTTACATGGCATTGTACATCAGGGAATTATGTTCCTAAATTTTGATGCCTTTGGGCAATTTTTCATACAGAAAAGGAGAATATTCTGCTAAATTAGGTACTACTATTTACTAGACAAAGTACTCTTAACTATCCTTCAGTAAAGCCTGCCTAAAGCAAGGCAATTTTTTTTCTCTGCAGGTTGTATCCCTTGAACTGATGACAGCCAGTGGTAAGGTCCTCTACTGTAGTAGAGAGAAAAACAAGGAAATATTCCTAGCTGCACTTTGTGGTCTTGGTGCTGTTGGGATAATTCTCAGTTTGACTTGGCAGTGTGAAGAGGCTTTCAAATTACAGGAGACAAGCAAACCTTTAATGCTGGAGGAGGTATGATGCTGGTTGTGCAGTTATTCATTAATATGTAATTTTGATTCTTGGAAGGATAAACTTTACCCTATAAGGACAAAATTGTTTGGATCAATATCAGTATCTGGGCAACTGCCCATCTACCCCTCCCCTAACTCAACAACAGTCAATTGATAACAAGTTAGGGTTAATGTTGGGTTAGGGGAGGGGTAGGTGGGCAGTTGCCCAGATACTGATATTGATCCAATTGTTTCAATTTATAAGGATACACACAGAGAATGACTGGTGACTGAAATAAATGTTGAATTAAACCTACCACAGGCTTACAACAATCAGCCTCAAGAGGGAAAGCTGTGGAAATATATAGAGAATTAAAGTTTCTATAGATGACTTAGAATTTATATTAATTCCCCAACTACACCCTCTGACACAAATAAAACACAATTCGCTTTTTGGCACAGAGAGAAGTTTATTAAGAATACGAATCAACAGTAAACAAAAGCTAATGATATGCTTAATAAACCTCTCTGCCACCCTAATGACATCACACAAAATCATCCAGGGTAGGAGGGTGGGTGGAAAGGAAAACAAAACAGTACGCAATCTCTGGTATACGCTCGAAGTGAAAACTGATGCAAAATGAAACACAAAACTCCTCTTGCCTTGTACTAGAATGTGTGTGTTGCACAATCAATCCCTTTGAACACGTGCTTGTCCAAAGGGGGTAAATTTTTGGTCATAAATGACCTGATTTCAGCAATTTAGTGTATGTGTCACAGTGACTGTAAATGAATATGATTACTTCACTCAGCATGTTTATTTCTTCTTTTTTATAGTTATACATTGTAATTTTGATGTGACTGTTAATTATTTTCTCAGATGTTAGAAAATCTTGAAACAAGCATATCATCCAGTGATCATTTCAAGTTCCATTGGTATCCACACACAGGATATGTCAAATGCTATGAGGTCAATAGGACTGCCAAGGTGAACAATCTTCCATCTTAAATTTTTATAATCTAGACAAGCCTTGTGATGAAAATTTTTAAAATCAGTGAAGTGATAATGATTTGCTGTTGTTTCTGTTGAATAGATGGAAAATGAGAAACTAAAGAATAAAACAAATCAATCAAACTCCACAAGAAGCAATTTAAACCAAAATAAACACAAGCCATGATTATCATATACTGTATTTAAAGTACTTAAATCTTTCAATAGTCCACAATAATAACCTAGCAGATAATAAATGTCCTTTGAAAAGATGAAACTAAATATATTTTGATCTTAAGAAGGCTATACGCTTACAAATGTCTGGGTTTAATTTCTGCATTGTTCCTGGGTGTGGTCTTTTATCCTCCTGAGAAGTTCAATCCATGTGGTTTTGGGGAAGGACCCCCTTGGCTTGTTTCCCAGACAGTGCCTCATAATTCAAGCCTACATGTTGCACATGGCCAAATAAGTAGTATTTTGAAACTCCAACTTAATATTAACTGCTTATAAACCCTTTAACTCCCAAGATCTCATTAGTAATTCCCTACCACTGTCTGCCAAATGATTCTCATTGTGTTATTTAGGAGAATTAGATAAATTAGTAATTCCATAATTGATATTTTCCTTTATTTTCATCACTTGTCTGCATGATATTGGATAGATTTAGTAAGGAGAAACTTTTTCTTGGTCACTCATAGGAGTTAATGGGTTAACCTCCATTTGACACATCTGCTGCTCTAAAAGTGCCTATCTTGTTAATTATCTTTTAGCCCATAGAGGACAATCCAAGTTGGTTTTGGGACTATGCTGTGGGTTATTACTCCTATGAGCTTGTGCTTTGGTTAAGGTGAGAGTGCTACACTTCACGGCATTTTTTTTTTCTATTATTGTAGACTAAAAAAGGTCAAACCTTATTTCAGTTGTTAAAGTATATTTTGTATACTGAAATATACTTTTCAAATTGTTGTAATGTAACTTAACAAATTAACATACACTTTTTGATAATTTGAATTTGATTTAACAGCTTTTTGTTGTCTTTCATTAATTTTATAGCTCATTTGTGCCACCTTCCCTACGATATGTGAACTGGGGTCTTTTTAAACTCTTCCACTGCAAACCTCACAGCAGAGTGAATCAAAGCCACAAGGTAGGATGGAACTCACTCTCAGAATTTTTCCTCTCACTCTCAATTACAATTTTCATTCAGGATTGTAGTAGCAGGAAAGTAGTGTGAAGTAACAGTCAATAATAATAATTGACGATGTATGTACCAGGTAAAACACAATATAAAAACATTGAAAACATTTGTGAGTTTAGATTTGGCAAGTAGCTGATACTTGCTGAAACAATGGTAAATTGTTTATCATTCTTATTACTGCTCTAAGTGAGTGTCATTTCTCTATAGAGATTAATATAATGACATTTTGGAGAGTATAGCACATAATTGTATGTTCTCACCTAAATTTAAAGTTGGAAACTCACACTATAACAATTAATTTAAAATTATTTTGTTTGTCAGGTTTTTAACTTTAATTGCCTGTTCAAGCAGTATGTGACAGAGTGGGCCATTCCCCAGTAAGTTTTTTTTTCTTTTTTTTTGAAATACTGTGTGCCATAGTGGCAGGGAGGGGTAAGAGTACCATGTAGGCATGTAGGGTGGAGGTAAATGTATAAAATTAAAAAGGTAGCCATGAAACAAAAAACTCAGAAAATAGGATTATGGAAATAGCCACTGAATGTGATTCATTGTAATCAATTGGTCATTGCATCAGCTAAAATCACTACTTCCTCCTAACTGTTGGCTTGGCCACTTGAACAGTGAGTTGGAACAAAAAGGAATATAAGAATATTTAGCGATTTTGTATACTCCCGATGTGCTATCATTTTCTTGGGGAAAATTAAAGCACTCATTGCCTTACCTTTCAGGTTTTAATTGAGTTTTCATGCAGTTCGCCAACCTCCCACTTTGTTTATAGTATCACCTGGGACTAGTAAACACTGACATTGCAGTGAGGATGGAAGCTAAGCCTAAATATTTAGTATTGAGTTTTTACTAACATTTTTTTTCCTTTTCCTTAGGGATAAGACAGTGTATGTACTTAGAAAGCTTCAAAACTGGCTCAAGGAGTCTGGATTTCATGCACATGCACCTGGTAAAACCCCAACTTTTATTTTCCATAAAAGCCATAGAGTCATATGTTCAATCTCCTATTCCCATTAGGCTTTCTCTATACAGTCAATTCTCGCCCTGCGGACACCTCACTATTGCAGACAAGAGCCAGCCCGCTGCTGAAATGCATAAAGAAATGGCTGTAATAAACTCCTGTTATTATGGACTCTTGCTACTATATATATGGAAATGTGGATGCTTTCATGCCCCCCCTCCCCCAGTGCAATGTTTCACTTGTTTTTTTTCTCTCACTAGAGCAAACACTTAAGTACTTCTTCCAAAATATTGACTCACATAATATTAAGCAACATTACAATAAAAGAAAATAAGGAAACCATTCTTCAATTGGGTGCAAAAAGAAGAATTTCCTGCTTGCAACTGGATCTTTTTCTGGTTTGTGAGGCCACAATAGAAACTTTATGTCTGCATAGTTACATATTAATTATTATTTCATATGTTTAGAGAAAAAACAATTTTATTTTCTCTGATAACCCTCCATTACTGAATCTTGCTATTATTTATTTCTTACAGTTGAAGTTAGGTTTGTAAAGAGAGATGACATCTACTTGAGTCCATGTTATGAACAAGACACCTGCTTTATCAATGTTATTTCTTATAGGTAAGTAACAGTCTGTTTTTTATTTTTATTTTGGGGGGAGTGTTTGGAAAGCTTAGAAGCTCTGCAAAAATTAGTTTTAAACCCTATGCAGTAGTCTACAAAACTAATCATTCACAATATATATTTAATGTTATGTTTTTCTCTGAGCTTGAATAAATGCAGGGATGTAGGAATCAACCTACATACATGTATAATTGCTTTCTAGTCAATAGCTTATTTCACTAAGTGGTGCACTTGAAAGGTATGGAATAACAGTAAAAATTGTACAAATGTATTTTCACACTTGAAAGGGTTATTTCTTTGAGAGCATATTTAGTTATATTACTGTTTTGTTGTTGTTGATTTTTCTATTTTTGTTTCTGTTTTTCTCTGCCCCTATGGAGAATTTTTTGCTCTCTTCTTACCTCCAACATATCTGGAAGATAACTCTGAGGGTGTTGTTGGTAGCAATAACTAAATTATGTGAAGTATCAAAAAAAATCACAGCATGTGATTTGGAGATGGATGAAAGCTTTTTTTCCAATATATTTCCATCTGCCAGTTCCTTGCACTGCAGCTGTTCCCCCTGGTACTTAATGCTGTAACTTATTTTCTTTTTCATCAACTTGTTCATTCACTATCTTTTGTTTGCAATCATGTTTTTCCAGGCCTTATGAAAAATCACTTCCACATGAAAATTATTGGGAATACTATGAAAACCTTATGCTTTCAGTTGGGGGCAAGCCGCACTGGGCAAAGGTAAATTTTAATTTATTAGAATTCACTGTAATTTGTTTAGATTAATGCAATATTTTCCAGTGATTTAAACATGGTCATAAAGACTAGGTCCAAGCTTACATTGCACCCAGTAGCTTTCCCTCCTACTAAACTAAGAACATAGAATGATGATAATAATAATAATAATGATGAATGATAATAATGATAATAATAATAATAATAATAATAATAATAATAATAATAAATAATAATAGAATAAGAAATATGGTAAGTCTTAAGCTCGGTAAAGAAATAGAGAAAGATTTGCTTTGCTCACCATAGAGTCTCTGTGGCTCAGTGGTAGAGAATCAGAGGTCTGAGGTTCAATTCATCAAAGGTACTCAGAATTTTTTCTTTGTTCCACGCCTTGTTGTGACAAGATGAAAACATCTTTCTCTTCAACAATAATAATAATAATGATAATAGTGATGATAATAATAATGATGATAATAATACAAAACTGTTTCTTCTTATTACAAGGCACACAAGTTGACATCATCAGATTTTGAAAAATTATACCCCAAGATACACAAGTTCCGAGAGGTCTGCCAGAAGTTAGACCCTCAAGGAATGTTTCACAACGACTACTTGAAGAAGGCCATCTTTGGACCAGCACAGAAACCTGAAGTGGACAACAAAAAGACTAACGACAAGTAAAGTCGCCCTGGCGACCAACTAGCTTCTCTGGGTATGGGAGGGAAGTGGGGGGGGGGGGGTGAAATTTGTTATCATGGGACTATAGTAGAGTTTATTATAGGGCAAAACCTCTGGTAACAGTTCCTTTCCCTGAACTCCCGAAAATCAGAGAAAGGAAGGATAAGAGAAGGTGAGAATTGGAGAAGAAACAGGGGATGGGGGGGGGGAAGGGGTGAAAAGCTCCTTTTTGTCACTCCCCCCTACTTCGTTCCCTTCCCAAATAGTTTTTAGTCCATTCACTACATGCTCTTCTCTACGTGTTACTAAATATTTGAGGAGTTTCAAAAGTAACTTAAAATAATACAAATTATGTCAGGTTTGGGATAATTCAACATGTAAAACCTGATGAAAAGAACCAGAATTTTCCGTATTATGATGTAATTGAAAAAGGTAACTAATTAAAAGGCAAAAAGTTATTTATCGCTGACCATGTTGTTCAACACATGGATATTACGATGATAGTGCTTCGATTGAAAAACTACGCATTACAAGTGGTATCAGTAAATGTTTACCACCGAAAGAGGGGGGGGGGTTGAGGGGGTTGAGGATTTTTTCTTGTTTACTCACGGCGTGAACAATAATTAGTTGAGTTAAATAATAAACACACAGTAGTCTCTTTCCGGTCACCATGACAGTGGTGTCACTATTTCTAGTTTTGCTTGTGTAATAATATGATATACATTAGTAAATTTATTGATGCTATAGGGTCTTAAAATGTTTCTTAATTAACTGTGATATTGATAAATCTGAATGATGTGTTGACGAATTCAGGAAGCAGTACGTACGTCAAAGCCTTAAGTGTGGTCTTTAAAATTTTACGTTAAAGTTAATACCCCAGAAATATTAGAAATTAAAATATTGACCAAGGTTTTCACGAACACAGGTTATTAAGATTCAGTAGTATAATATAAGGCATTCAGAAAGTATTTACGTGAACACTGAATCTGTTAACTTATGTAGTGTGGTTTGCATATAGACCATACAATATTGCAATGTGTATAACGCATTTCCTGGTTATTAACACATTTTTATCGTGACGGAAGCTTCTTATTATTTTATTTATTTATTTGTGATGTAAGAATATCTTAAGAGCGCACCCAAGAGAATACACTTTAGCAAGTTGTCAAATTTCTCCGCGAAATAGTTGTCTTATTGCTAACATTGTGTTCAGTGCTGAACGAGATTTACATTTTGCGTACTTGATGTATAGTTGTTAGATAGTGAGATATTGTTGAGTTGTTGGACAAGCTTAGTCCAATTTCACAAATACTAAGTAAAGGGAAAGTACTCTACTTGCTGTTTTTTATTGTTAAAGATATATAGTCTTGAGTGGACCTGCCGTTATGGAATGGCAATCTTTGTTGAATTATTTTGTAGCGAACTCAGTTATGAAGCGTTGGTGATGCACACTTCTCACATTTCGGAATATTTTATAATGGTGGCATCGTGTCACATAGCAGTATTCGCTGTAACCGAGAACAATATGTTTACATCCAAAGAGAAAAATTAAACCTTTCCTACTGAATCCATGTTCTGTTTTTTGTTGTTCAAGTCATGATCGGTCACTCTGAAATCAGAACATTCACATCGTGGTATTTATTAAAGAACAATATATAGATTTAGCCAAGCCTAAAAGCGGAGCTCGCATTTTTTTCCCGCACGTCTCAAGGGCACAACGCCTTGCCCCGGCCAGGACTAGATCCCGGGACGTCCGACTCGGAGCCCAGTGCACTGACCACTGGACTTGTACGGTCGTAGGGTCGTACATCCAAATTTTTTCGGCTTGATGGATTACTACTATTTTGTATAATTATGGGGCTACGCTCTGCGAGCTCCGCTATAAATTATAATTAACGATATAAATAATTGTGCACGCTCGGTAGCTTAATAAACTTGTTGACTTTTTAATGAATTTACCACTAACCGTACAATATCAGTTAAAGATATCCTACGTCATGCGGCCCAACCTTCCGCGCCCGTCTCCCCACCCAACAAATGTCTCTGGATTCCCGTAGCCTTACTTTTCACATTTTTTTCTACTATCCTAATTTGGAAATAAAGAGTAACTTAAGTTTTGAAAGGAACTGTTTCGCTGCGAACCTAGGCAAGTGAAACATATAGTTTTTATAGGTTTATGAGCTAACGCAGTGAACATGTAGAAGCTGACGTTTCGAGTGATAACTCGTGGCGGACTATAAGAAGACCCCCTAATCGTGGGTAACACGAGAGTGACCTTGTTTTGCGTATCCTACACGCATCTTGTGCCTCCTAAGGGCGTTTTATCTGGTTGGGCGCATTCCTCTCGAACCAAACAATGCCGTAAGCGTTCTCGAAAGTAGCGGTATAATTACAATATTTACCATATTTTTGAATTCTATTGAATACATACGCCTCAGGGAATCTGGATTATTTTTCTTGAAGGGAATAATCCTAAATGCCATTCCTTACTAGTTTACTATCAATATTTTAATGTTGGCCTCTAATCTGAAACACTTGTAATCAAGATGCCAGACAGGAATTTTTACAAGTACTTCAAGGATGTCCTTAAAATGACTTTCTTAAAATTGTTCCCATAATAGCCAGCAACTTGGCTCCTAATTAGGTGTGTCCTGGGCCAAAAGTTTTCGATAATTTTAACGCCGCGTTCTATCAGAAGAAGAACCCGTTTTATTCGAGAATAAATTTTCCAAACAGCATAAAATATCAGTTCACATCTGTACTATTTATAATTAGTTATGAAGTAGTGAACACGAGTTATGACTCAGAACGTGTGAGCAGCGAAATAAATCCGATTACGTCAGATGTTTTCGACTATCGACGGCCAATACTAAAATTTTTTTGACGTCATCAACGATTTACACATCTGCCCCGCGTGAAAGACGAGAATAGAGTTGCATTCGCGGAACAAGTCGTTGGATTTGTACTAGAGAGGATGGCCGAAAGCGATCTTGGTAAGATTTTAATTCTAGAACCAATTCTTTAAGATACTTAACTTCAAGAAATGGAAATGGACGACTTTTGTTGGTATGAATATGCTCGCCTGTACCAAATCACTTAATGGCGGCCGTGAAATACTGTTTTGCTCAATTTCGCAATGATTTTGTCAATGAATCGAGCGGGTGAACAGATATTTGTGCGAATATAAGTTAACTTAAAGCTTGTATTGCGTTGAATTGTGAACATCTTGTCACACCGTCGGTACTAAAAGTAGTGTTTAATTGCACCTTACTGTTAGTTTCCTCGAGCGATTATACAGTGCAAACTCTATCAACGACTTGATAATGTGTTTGTACTGCAGAGTAAATGTAAGCGAAGAAGGGCACTCCTATCCTTAAAATGACCATTTAAGGCATTGTTCCTCGAATAAAAAAAAAACACAGGGTTAGGAACGTAATACAAGTTTTTATGAACCTGATCAAACATAATTGGTTAATTTAGCAAGCTCGATCGTTCTCCAAGTTATTGTCAGTGATTGCTCCATTTTCTCTCTCACCTCTTCCTTTTTTTTTAGTTTTTTGCGTTGAATATATCATCATATAATCCTGCCAGAATCTGATGCAAGCTTTGACATGATTTGAATCGAGTAGAGTAGTTATAATATTGAGATATTGTATGTTTAACATGTAAGGTTAGGTTATATGCGGTACTTCTGATGACAGGCAAGTGCGTGACGATCGAACGTTCGATCTCCTTCGTATGTAAGAGAAGATGGAGTAAATGGGGAAAATGACTAAGGGTGACGAAGGAAGTATAGATATGTTTACGTTATTATTGCAAACGTCCTGCTGTTGACGATCGTGCTCGAACTTTCCGTTTTGTCTTGCATAGATCGTTATCGAATTAAAATTTAGTCCCTCGTAGGGGAAGGAAACAAAATGCAGATTAGTAATTCACAATTTCCCTTGTATTTTTTTAGTTTTTTTCAAAGCTGGAAATATTATACACCTTTCATTCTTAGCTGTAGTGGCCTTCTTGATAAGAGAAAAATTTTAAATACTATGTTGTATTGATCTCAAACTAATTTATTGATTAAGTTATGTTGTGAATTCTATATTTAACATATATTATGTGACTCTTGATAAGATTTTCATTCCTCACTCTTTGTGTGCATAAGTACCCACTCTTACATCTTAAACCTGGCTCTGGTCCAGATTTTCAGGCTGAAGCTATACTTAACTCAGTGGAAATAGCAGCCTTAAGGTGTTTTTGCTACATGTACAATTATGCAATCTGCCTGCTAACCATCTTGCACAGCTTCAGATTTTCTTTTGAAAGACTATCTCCAAAAAGGAATGAAAATAATTTGTTAATGTGGAAAACACCAAAGCAGTGATTGCACCTAAGAAGGAGAGAGCCAGAAAAGGAAAGATAAGATTAATGCAGGTTGAGAATAAAAAACTAGAAAAATTTAGGCAAAATTTTTCAAGATGCACTAGATAAGAGATCTCTTTTTTAGGAAATAGGGACAGTTAACCTTTTCAGTGAGTAATAGCCGATTTAAGCAAATTTCTTTCTTGGCTAGATCTTTCAAAATCTTATGGTACTCTGCGTCATGAACCTCAGCCTTATGTGCCATCAAATCCAATCCACGAGAATGACATTGAAAGGTTACTGTCAGTGGAAAGTGAAGAAATGGAAGGCACATGGTCACGTGTGAAAAAAACTAAAGATGCAGAAGTCTGGAGAAGGGAAGCAAATGAAGAAGGTTTTCCCCCAATTACAAAGGTGCTGTTTAATATATGTTACCAGTTCTTTACTTTACTCTCTCTACTATTCCTCGCACTTGCAGTTGTCTGCTAGAACTACTTTTTAGCTTATGGTGGTTGGGGTTATTGTGGCTTAATGATATGCACTACTACCCTTGTGAAATGGCTTTTGGAATTCCTAGGAATTCCTAGGAAAATCCTAGGAATTCCTAGGAATTCCTAGGAATAAAGGTGTGAATTTTCACGGTAAATTCCTAGGAATTCCCAACCATAACAACTCTGGTTCTAAAAACCTAGAAATTCCTAGAAATTCCCAGAAATTCCCAGAAATTCCCAGAAATTCCCAGAAATTCCAAGTTTATAGCCAACAGGACTTGGAATTCCTAGGAATTCCAACTCAGAGAACCAATGACTTTCCCTGAAAAGCTGTAAATCCAAAATATTCCTAGGAATTTCTGGGAATTTTTGGGAATTTTTAGGAATGTTTAAGAATTACTGGGAATTTTAAGCAAAAATTTGAGGCTAATGATATAAAATAAATACTTTAAATTAAAAAAACCCAGCTAAAATTCAAGTATTCAATGAAATTTATTTAGAAGCTTAATTAAGGCTTACACGTAAAATATTTTTGATTAATTATTAACATCAATGTGTGGTAATATTAGGATGGAATTTGATTTATTTTTCTTTTCTTGAAAACTTCATACGGATTAATCCTCAATTACAGCTATTCATATAAAATAGTTCTAATCAATCATTAAATTTGGTTTGACAAATATTGTGAATAAAATCTGTTGATTCTTTTCCATAAAATACAATATCTTAAGTTATATTTGAAAAACCAAGCACTCTTGGGAGTGAAGGGGCTAATTACAGACAAATAAAATTAATTTTTTGATTAAAATCTTGTTGTAACCGTAACAATAAATTAGAATGAAGTTATCCTAAACTGCAAACTTAGCTGCTGTTTGTACTGTTTGTATTTTTTTTCCTGGGCTCACAATGAGTTGGCCTTGAATGAGGTTGTCAACAAGAACCTTGACCATTTTGTATCTGGATTCCTTGACATCTGAATTTGAAAAAAATAATAAATTAAAATATGTATATTTAAAGCTCAGACCAGGCTTTTAAGATGGCTATGAGGAAAAGGGCATTCATTGGATTCTCAAATTGAGAAATCTCTGTTATATTGAGTCACTTTTATATTGGAGTTAGTACATCTCTCTCATGGATTTTACTAAAAAAGGGCTGAATACATTATTTTGTTTTTACCAAGGAGGGCTTCTTTATGTACTAAGGTTTGTTTAATAACAGTTCCTATTATGAATCTTGAATGTTCCCAAACGTGACTAGAGAAATCTTGAAACCTTACTGATAGGTTTATTTCATTGTAAAGCATAAGCTTAAGAAACTGCGGCATGCAAGTGACCGATTCGATTCTCAGAATTATTCTAGTTTCAGTTGCGCCGAGCGTTATGTAAGCTTAATTCAACCTGCTACATCTATTCTTTTATAAGATTTTGATCACGTAACGAATATCGCAATTTTTACTCACCACAAACTTTCAAAGTCGCAGGTTTACAGATGGCCACTCGACCCTTGTTTGTACCAGTCAATATATCAACTATTGTCCCTTCTTTTAACTCTACGGTGCCAACGACTTTCTTTTCTTTTACAACACTCACGCTATTCTCGTTTTCCCATTGAACCACAATAAAAGCTATCTTTAGAAATGTTATATTAAGCAAAACAGTTGATGAAAAGTACATTCAAAGATGAGCGCCAATGGAGTCTTCTTTGTTTCTGATCACGGGCATGATCACGTGGATCTTTTAGGACTTGTCATTGGCTAGCAAAGTGAATCCGCTGGCTTGCCAATTGCAGTGTCAGGAGAAGCGCCCAACTTTATTCTGACTTCTCCGACTGGTTCTCTGCTTCTCGAAGATGGATAGCTTGGTGATATAAATAAAGATGTGAGCTCACTCTATGTAGAAATAATCGACAAGAATCGATCGTATTACAAATGCACGATTTGTGGCCGAAAGTTGTCGAGGAAACAAAGACTCAAAACTCACTTGAGTTGTGTTAATGGCAAAGGTGAGAAATAACACAAGCCAATCACAGTTTTGAATGCGACTACAAATCGTCTTTTACCCTCATATTTATAAAAGAAGGATACCACATTCGGAAGTATAAGAGATACATAGATGATCCCAGTGTACCAGTACCTAAATCTACAAAGCTTGACCGTAGCAAGCGTTCAGCAACACGTTCCAACACTGCCATCTCGATTCCTCAGTCAGTCGTTTCCACTGAACTTAAAGCAGTATTGACAACAGAGTAGAGTGCGTCTTACAAAGGAGAAACATTTGTACAAGAGACAGAAGTAGCTATATGCGATTACAGAGGTGCGTTGGAACTCTGGTCCACAAATAGTTATGCACTGCCCGAAGTATAAAACAATTTTGTTGATAGCTGACAGACAGAGAAGAACAACAAGTAAACTTAAGAGCTGTTATTATTGAAGTGTGACTAGCACTTTTCATTTTTATATAAAGAGAGACTTGTAATTTGTGCCAAAAATAAAAAGATGTAATGTTTTTTGGGAGATCCAGTGATTGGGACATTTAAGAAATTAAGTTATGAAAGGAAACTTGGTTGGTACTTCTCACTACTAACAAGTCTTGTTGACAAATATTTTCAGATCAGAGTTTCAAATAAAGTAAATTGAAGACGTCATATAAAAGGTGTTTTTCCTCAAAGGGAACATTGACTACCTCTGTCTTGTCTGCATGCCAAATGTTTGCAAAGTGTGTGGATGATCCACAAGTATTGGAACTCTTACAAAAATGTTTTGTAAGAATAAAAACAGCAAAACAAATTACAGCAATTAGTCATGAAAATAGAGCAAAACACTGAAAAAAAAAGCAGCAACAACAATCATGAAAAAAAGAAAGATTAATTAGGTGTTGAATTTGTTTGTCTAAGGCATGCAATTTCTACTAAAAGAATTGTCAACAAAAAGTCTCTGACAGCGTTTGAGGCAACTGAGCTTGACTGTTCCAAGGTTTTCTAACAAAGGCAACCAGTAATGTAGGTTAGGGAAGTAAGATAACAATGTAATTATTGTTAGTTATTGTGGAAGTTGGCAATTTCCATTTAACATAACTGACAGCTGGTTCATGAGAAAATCCATATTAATGTAAAGATTTACTAAAACTTAGTTTGAGTAATAAATTTCATGATCTTTAAGTTATAAACATGTACATGTATGTATATCTCTTGGTAAGTTTTGTATAGCATACCTTTTAATTGAGCCAAAGTTTTAAGCCTCTGAAATTACTCTTTTTCTTAAAACCTTCACATTCAAGGTATTGAGAATTTCTTAGAATTTATGTGGACCTCAGGGTATTAAAATTGCCTCAAATTCAATTCCCAGAAATTCCCAAGAGTTCCACACTTCTTAAATTATAGGTAGTTTGTAAAGCTGAGAATTCCTAGGAATTCCTAGGGATTCCAAGTCCTCACAAAACTGGAGTCTTCCTTTCCCAGAAATTCCCAGTAATTCCAAGCTTTTTAAATCAGAGTTAATTTGCATAGTTGGGAATGTTTGAGAATTCCTAGGAATTCCTAGGAATTCCCAGAAATTCCCAGAAATTCCCAGAAATTCCCAGAAAACTGGGAATTCAGTTTGCAAGGGTCATTTGCATAATTGGGAATTTTTGAGAATTCCTAGGAATTCCCAGAAAACTGGGAATTCAGTTCGCAAGGGTAGCTTGGAGGTAAAGAGGCTAGGGTTACCAGTAAATGCCAAAATAATGTTGATTTGTTCTGCACTCTTGGACAAAAACATTACTCTCTCAGATTTATGGTGAATGGGTATTGAAATACTCAAAGAATGAATGAGATGAGACTAGCACATTTCTATCTAGCAAGATTACCAATAGGAAAATGATACTATAAAAAAAATAACCTCCTTTCTAGAGGCTTTAAAGACTAGTTCAGAAGGGTTTTTTGATTGGCTGAAGATCATGATTGTGCCTTTGGTTTTACAAGCAAGCGAAGTGTCCATTTGATGGAAATGTGAAACTATTAAAACCTGGTTGTTTTGTTGCTGAATGAAACTTTATTTGTGATGCTTATTTTTCTTAGGCTGTGTTACGTCTAGAAGATGTTCCATTCAAGACAGGTCAGTTCACATAAAAGCTGTTCAAGTTTTTTAAATTACTGGAGGATAAAATGCTGTGTGTATGCAATTGTTGAAAGATGTGCTTTCTGATATCTCAGCGGGCTCACTTTTTGCCATGATTTTTTAATGTTATGCTTAATTTTATATCATATGTATGCATAATTTTTCTTGACAGCTGTGAAACTGATGACAGATTGGAAATTGCGACAAGAATGGGACAAAACTGCATCAGTTGTGGATGTTTTGGACAGAATAGGAAACTTCAAAGTGGTTTACAAGTAAGAATATCAAGGCCAGTTATCAGATGTTAAAAAAAACTTAGGTATTACTACAGAAGGTTTTTTTTTGTAGACTTTTAGACCAAGGCATTACCAAATTTTAGAATGAAATTACAACAATGAAGCAACGTTGTTGGGATGCCTTTTGCCTCAATACTTTCAAAGTATTATTCATATATATTCATGTACATACATGAACCCTTTCAGGCAGCTGGTATGTAGGCTGATAATGTCTGCAGCTGAGAGATTGTCCAAAAAAACTGAATATTTTGCTGAGAAGCAAAGCTTTGAGGGCAATTGTGAAATTTTGAGAAGAAACTTTCAGCCAAGGATGTTACCTGCTGACATACCATGTAACAGGAAGGAGGTTCATTTATTTTCCAACCCTCCCATTAACTTTTATATTGGGTGTTCACAGTAAACTTTGTTGTCTCTTTTGTACTTTCTGGAGCATCATTTGAGATCAGCTTTCTTATATCACTTTCACTGAACTCTTCAAAATGAGTTCATTTTTCTTCCATGTAAAGTAATAAAGATGAAAAAATGAAACTCTCAAGCAGGTTATTATCCTCTTCTTTGTTTTTTTTTTGAAAGAAATGATCAGAGAACAAATATCATGTAAATGGGGGTAATTGTGTGTTAATTGTTGGTTGATTTTGCACTACATGATGTAAAGTAGCAGACAGAATCAAATGAAAATTTTAAGTGATATATCCCCCCCCCAAACCATAGTCAAATTAAACATCTTTCATGTAATTAAAAATCATTCTGTTTCCTGATCAATGTATTTTTTGTAACAATACAGCCGTCTGAAGATGCCTCTGTTTTGTACCAAGAGAGATGTTGTACTGGCATCACTGGAGCGTTATGATTCAGACCAGCATTGCTATATTCTAGCATTGCGTAGCACAGAACACCCTCTCATGAAAGATTCAGTCAAGTCAAACTTTGTGAGGTAAAAAAAGTCCTGTTTTCATATTTTGGTGATCATAAGGTGCTCATGCTAGATGCTTTTACCTTGTTGCATTCAGGCAATTTTTGCCATAGAAAAATTTGAATTGAACCAATCATAATTGGGCAAACTCTGGAACCTCCAACTTTGTATGAGTCAGAGAACCATGTCATGTCAACACTCTTAAGAGACCTTCGTGATCCTGCAGATATGATTAGATCCTGACACTCTTCAGATAATCAGCGTCTGCCTTTAGCTTAAAAGTAAGCGGTAGTCAGTGAAACCCACATTTCTTCCATTTGCTAACACTCAAAACATCAGCTTTGAAACTGTTAACAGTGGCCAATTTATGTTATAAACTCAGTTGATAATACCAAATTACCTTGTTACACTCTTGCACTGAAGCAGCACCACAGTTTCTTTATAAACCTACTCCCTTAAAAATTAACTTTGAAGTATTTCTCTTCATTATTTAGGGCTGAGACCATCCTGTCAGGCACAATAATCCGTCCAGTGGATGATGGTTCAACATCTTCCACTGTCACTGTCATTACACAGATGAAACTCATGGGTTCAGCTCCTCAATTCATCAAGAACAGTTATTTGGCCTGTAGCCCTGTGAAACGAATGCAGCTGATGAGGAAGTTTTATCTGAAATGCCAAACTGATGCAGACTTGAATTTGAGTTTGAGTGGCAGTGAGAAAGACATCAAGATGAGTCCATTTATCAGCACTCGCAAGACCAAGTCATCCACAGGAAGTATTAATTTTGTCACAGATGACTAATTATACTTACTAGGTTGAAATTTGAAATTATTGGCAAGCTAGGCCAGGTATTTGTAGTTATATTTATTTTCTTTGCAGTATATTTTAATGTTACTGTGGTATCTTACTGTGAGAACAACTAGTTTCAATTGGGATGTAAATGTATTGTTACGTTTTAAAGTAAAGTTAAAATTAAGTTAGTCATTAGGTTTAATTTTTAATTAATAACAGTCGTACTAATTAAGTGGATGATTGGTCAACTGTATCGTAGAAGGAAGGATAGAAGTCCCCAAACGCAGTTGTATAAGTTATTCTCATTGATGATCAGGCTTTTGTCCTGTTAGGTTTCAGGAATATTTGAATACTTATTAAGTGATGAATATTTTGAGAGTATTTGACTGTAACAGAGGGAACACATACTCTGGGTTGGAGCTACAGTACGAGAAAAAACTCAGGATGAGTATGTGTTTTTTTTTCTTATGTGGACTTAGATCACATAGTATGTGAAGTCTAGTCATTATATTTGCTTGCTTTCCCTTTTTTTGGTACCTCATTACATAACTTGTTCAAAACATTTTTTGCAGTTATGTTGCAGTGTACTTTCTTGCTTCGTTGTGATTTTTTTTTCTTCTTCTGAGTTCAGAAGTCAGTACTGATATTCATATTGAGGGTCAGTGTATCTGTGTCATTAATTCCTATTGACTAATCTCACCGTGGCAGTAGTAAATAGTGTAGAATATTTTTAAGGGAAAAAAATCATCATTTTGTGATGTACAGGCAGCTTCAAGGTAGAACCTTTCAAACTTGGTGTTTTCTTTGGTAACTACAAACCTTTTTAGGTCTTAGTTTTCGTGCGGTTAGGGGTCAAGCGATTTAATCGGAAATCCTCAATAAAGATTTTATTTGTAAGCTATTCCCTTTCGAGTCACTTTACATCTCTTCCGTTTTCGGAGATAACACGGGGAATCAAGAATTAACCGAACTTATGTCGCGAAATTTCGTCACGTGAACACCACGTGCGACCAAATACTTTGATCCAAAAATAATTGGTCATTCTCTCTCGTGGTCTCGATTACCAAATGCGGTTCGGGAAATGAGCTCATGCTGTTCCTTCCTTTTAACGATCGAAGATCAGACTTGAGAAAAAAAGGCAAATTTCGAGCTTATTAGTGCCTTGGCTTTATTCTCACCTTGAATTTTTCACATATTCCAAAAGTTTCGGCATTACTGCCAAATCTGGTACTCCATAGAAATCTGGAGTGTCCATGATGAAACGTAAACAAGTGTATATGACATGCACATATATATGGCGATATTTCCCAGCCAGAAGTCAAAGTTTAACTTTCCTTCGCAAGATGTTGTACATTTTACAGTTAACTAATTCTGAGAGTGTCAGATTGTAAACTTTAATTAAAAAATCATCGAATGATCAATTCGTTTAACTTGGTTAAGATTAACCATTTACTTGTAATGGCGTTGGTTTGACGAAGAGCGATGAACCTCTAACCCCCAGAGGTAATTTACATGTAACTTCTAATTTTGATATCCACACATTGTATATCAAACAGGTTTACGTTGTTAACGTTAACGTTGTTTTCTTGATCTAACACCAAATTCTTGTAACTAATACATGAGGAAATGTATGACAGCTAGAGGGGAGATGTAACAGTCAGGTGTTGGGAGTTGAAGGGTTAAATGTCTTTTGAATTGTTACTTGCGATGGAACTTTGACCCTATGAAACCACTTGACACGTTTGGGCCAATCTCCACAAGTTTTTCTTTTAAACGAAGCAGGTGCGAAATCGAAATTGATCCCAACTTGCGATTTCCGTGTTGTGGTGCGTCTTGTGATGAAAATTGTTTTGTATTAGGAAGGCAGTCCGAGAGACTCTTGGTCTCGTCCTAAATTGTCCATAGTGTTTTATATCTTGTTGAATAGGAACCTGTTTTTTACGCAGCATTTGCAGTCTTCCTTCCAAAGATCATTGTAATTGATATTCATCCTTGTAAGCAATCTCTGCGATGTGACGATTCCAGCAATTTATGGCCTTTATAATATACTATTTAGTCTAATTAAAGTTTTCTTAAAGGTTACAGAGTTGACATTTTTGCTCGTTTACTGACGATGTCTAGATTTGTTAAACTTAAAACTGTACATTAGATTTAGCTATCTGATTCACCTTTCTATCTTGTTATACTTAACTTTTATTCGCTGTTATTATAAGCTCAACTGCTGGGATAAAATAAAACAATCTACTTACTTTGAGGGTTGTTTATTAAAATACGAAAGGAGATTTTAAAAACCTTATATTTTTGTTTTTCGTCACGTGCGATGTGTAATGCGTGGCAGGTGTTAAGGTGTGATGTGAAGGTCGAAACTGTAATAAAGTTTCGAGATGTACACCGTTCCATTCTCAAAATTGATGAATGGATTTAAGAAGGAGCACATTGGAACAAGTTTGAATTAACCAATCAGTGGCATTTTGAAATAACTCAGCATATTGCTTTTCATCCTACGACTTCCAAGACTGTACCACAAACTTGTTCTCGGCTCTATGTGATTATTGACCCGACCAAAAAAAAGGCCAGCGCGTGGAAATCTTTGGAAGAATGTTTGTGACCCTGGGTTTGTGACCCTCCATTTTCGCTTGTCCCTCTAGTCTTATTGCCTAGAACAGGCAATCACAAATCAGAACTTCTTCTACTAAGCCTTGGCCTAGGAGCGCGTGACACAACTGTGGTCTCAGTCTTGTTTTGACTGCACCTGTATAAGCTGGAACAGGCAGAAATGAAAAGAAAGGTCAAATGCTCACGATTAAAACCCCAACGAAGATTTACTCGAAGTGACAAAAAGCCTACCTCCCATCTTTCTCCACATCTTCCCCTTGTGTGAAGTTTCATCCGTAAAAAGCCAGAATTCGATGAGCAGAGGATTTTTTTCAAGGTCTTGCGTTGCTTTATTTCAAATGAACAGCCGCAAGACTAACATAAACGGAGTGTCTTAGTTTATAAAAGAAGGCGCTATGGAAATATTTTAGCATCCATAAGATTGATGGCTCTCGGGGTTACTCTAATCGATCGGAAACCCGCCCAACGGATATGAGTCCGAAACATGTAAACAAAACATCAAGTCCACGAGAGCATTCAAGTTGAACAATTCAAATGGCTGTTCAAGGGTAACTTATGCAGAGGAGCAGCGTACACGTGGCTGTTGTAGACTTTTTTCGCCAGTCATTAAAAACGAAGTTCTTTTGTCACGTGTGACTTGAACTTTTTCGGCATGTTGCCTTCGAATGCGCGCATGGGCTCATGATAACCACATCAAAGTGCCGTGATTATTTTTAATAATCATAGCGGCTTGTATGTGTTGCACTTTTCGTAAAGTTTCTCCAAAAGAATACGACAACTAGTCATCTGTCTATACAACGCACTATGATAAACATCTTAATCATGCCTAAGCCCCGACAGGTTCGAGCTTAATATCTCATAAACAATCTTAATCTGTGAGGCATATCATTTTTATCACAAAGAGAAACAAGCACATTCCATCCCAGAATTCCGAGGAGGACGCGCATCACGCAAAGAGGTATTGTCGCTGTCTTCTGCCTGGTGTTCGCGAAAGCATCACTTTCTTCGAGCCTGGGCAAGGTAGGATGATAAAATTCTCAATTTGAGGGATAAAATGCAAGCTATTTTGTATTTCAAGAGAGGTATTCAGTGAAAACCGAAATCAAAATAGTTTGTATTCGCGTGAGGGTGGTTCGTATTTTAACTTCTACCTCGCGTGCGCGCGAAGTTGATTTCCTGCAATGTACATTTTGGACAAAAAGGTAAATATAAAGAGGAGGTACATACTTCAGGCTGGTAAATATTTGAGCTGACTATAGGCTGCGTTTAGAAATCTCAGCGGGTAAAGAAGTGGAGTTTCCAAAACCACATAATGAATGAAGCGGAAAGAGTCCATAAACAACATATCAGGGAATTCTTGGTTCCAAAACATTAGTTATTGTTCGACGTGTGACATTTAAATGGTTCTTAATTGTAACGTAATAACTTTGCGGAACGATTTGGGGAATTTAGTCGAAATTTAGCGTGTAAATGCTGGAAAGTGTCGATAATATGATGATATTTTGAAAGATGATTTAAGGACATGAATTCAAAGTGCCTCGATCACGAACGTTCTTTGTAGTTGATCATTTGACCATGTCTGCTCTTATATAAGTGTAAACGCTCATGATTTAGAAAACACGCCAATTGAACAACTATAAAGTCCCATTTTCTTTCGAAAACTAATAATAGCGCTTTCTGAAGCAAACGAATTATCTTTACACGTTCGTCTCGCTTCTGAATTTCTGAGAGGTCAATGAGGTTAAACTGAATTTTTACTTGCATTCTGTTGTAAATATCAATTTCGCTATTCAGTTAGAACTTGTATATTTGGGCTTTAATGAATTTTTAGTCTGAAATAAAAATGTTGATCTCCTGTGACATGAGAAGATTAAAGATTTTCAGCTTAAATTTATCTAGCATATCAAAATGGTCTGACTGCAGGACTGTTCTGATTTCTAGCACTCTCTACATGCCTAGCGTCATATAATTCCGATAATATTCAGATATTTAACGCGCTTGATTGGAAACCATTATTGTTTTGTTTGAGAAACTTTTTACGGTCTTCAGAAAACGAAGAACAAAGAGATCTGATTAAAAATTAAAAGAACTGGTACTTATAAAATAAAGTTGTATTCTAAGGTGCACCTTCTGTAGCTTATTGGCCTCCTGTGAATAAACTGGACCCCGATTTTTTAAATTTCACGAGAAAGTTCCTGGGAGTTAATTATCACAGACATTAATGGAAATTTGGGTTCATTTTTTTTCCTGATAATTAGTTTTCAGAAATTGATTTTTTCCCATCACAAGATCTTGTTGTCAGCGAGGTCATACCGGCGTGTTTATGACTGTTTCGCATTTGTTATGACTTGTTTCCGGCGGAGGTTAAAGTCTGTGAGAATTTAATAAGGGTAGGCTTGTTGTGTACAGTTCTAGAATAAATTGACTAAAAATGCACCATAACACAGGAAAACATGAGAAATTTGCGGTGCTCTAAAATAAATTAATGTTTTAAAAACAGTATTTCAAGTACGTCAGGTGACAGTGACGATCGAAAATCGGCGCCGAGCCAGAAAGTCAAATCGTTGTTAAAATTCAAATAATTACTGTTTGGGTCTGTGTTCATAGTGCATCGTTTTCAGGTTTGTTTCATTTTTGCTATAAATATTCCACTGATAGTTGATTTGTTTTAAAGCTTTCTCGTTGGCTGGCTGATTACTATTGTCAAACTTATATTTTCTGATAGAAAGAGCCATGGGCACAGTCGTGGAAACATCGTACACGGTGGAAACCATTCCAGGTGAGTTCTCTCCTCAACTGAATATTTTGCGGTCAGAGTAACTCTTTAATGAGCCAGATTCGTCGTTCATCGTAATCTTCAGCCGTTTTTGTGTTTTGATATTCCTTTTCAAATTTTTATGTTTTGTCAGTGTAATATTGTAGTATTAATCAAAATATATGTTCCATCACTCTTTTACACTGAAAACCACCAGAGTACATTACCATGCTGAAGTTAGTGATTATGTTTTGCGATATCTCCTAAATCTATTATCGGTAGGTCGATTCAAACACGACAAACTTGTTCCTTCTTTGAAAATAACGCCTTATTGAAACCATAGAACCAGGCATTTCGTGGAACAAACAGAGAAATCATTTACCGTGATGCCGTTGAAAGAACAACAATTCCCCATTTCAACAGCATCATGCTGTTCATATTTTTTAAGAGTTCATTTAATCCACTTAAAGAAGTTAGGAAGGTCTTAGTAATGAAATAAATGTTAAAATTAGAATTTTCTTTAGAGGGATTAAAAATTGCATCGAGAGGTACGAGCTGTGGTAATTCGAATGGCAATGGTTTAAAACATGCAACTTTCGCTCCTTATTTAAAGTTTATAACGTTGGAATTTTGCCACATTAAAATCTTAACATATATAACTTCTTGGCAACAGAGCAAAAATTGAAACTCATATCATGATGACTCAAAATTGTCACGTATTTTTAACCCTTGTCTTTTAGGTTTGATTCGAGTTGCAAAACAATTGGATTCTTCATATCTTGTCTTTCAAATGAAACCAACAGTTTCTGTTTGCCTTTGGAAAAAAAAAAGGGAAATATAATCTTGTAGAGTTTTTTGTAATTCAGATGCAAATTTTCTGCACCAGTGCGAGTATATTGGCATACAATGAAATCATTATACCAATTAGTAAACATGACTCGAGTTTATTTATTCAGAAATGAATACTTTTATTTTTTTTAACTATCTTTAAAGGATATGGGGCTCAGTTATTTGTAGGATCATCAAAAATAAACATTTTTGTGTCTTTGTGGCTAAAACACCAGAACACCCTAATGGAGTATTTTAATTAATTTAACGACTCTTGTTCCGCTGTTTATTCTTCCCTCTCCTTCTTTCTTTAATTTCTTCCTCTATGTTTTCAGGAGGTGAGCCTCTTGGAGTGGAAAATGGAGCTATAGCGGATAACTGTCTCACTGCTTCCACATTCTCAGGCCACGCGCCTCCACATTTAGCCCGTTTAAACGGGCCTTCGGCCTGGTGCGCTGGAAAAGCAACCGACTGCTATTTGCAAGTAAGAATCTGTAAAAAAGAATTGTTTTCAGTCTGCCACACATGAGTCTCTCAGAAAATTTGACCAATCTAGGGAAAATGCTGGTGTTCTCTTGTGAGAGGTGTAAGGAACTTTTCAGACTTTACCGAGATTGAAACCTCTGACGCCAAAAGATGTATATGTTTCTTAGGGCGAAATATCATCGTTTTGCTATCTGTGTTAACCTTAAGAAACTTGAGGAATTGTTGACAATGGAGTGGTTGTCAAGACGAAGAGCGCAATTTTTACTTCATCACCTAACTTCGAAGATTCAACTTATTATGGAACAAGAGAATGTAAAGTTTATTTGTAATGAAATTATTACCAGAATGATAACAAATAAATGTTCCTACATAGCTAACATCTTGGGTGGAGGAGGTCTTTTCCACGAGCCTTCATTTCCTTGGGCTGTCTGTGTTTCTCTCGGTCTCTAAATCTTTTAATTGTTTGAAACTCATCTGTTTATTAATTTATCTCTTTATTTCCTTGAATTAGGTTGATCTTGGAAGCCTTCATTTGCTGTGTGGTGTAGCAACACAGGGAAATCCAGGTGGAAACAGAGATTACGTCAAACGATATAAACTTCTCTCCTCCTCAGACGGCGAGAGCTGGGATACGTATGAGGAGAATGGAAACGATGTAAATTCTTTCTCTGTTTTCTTTCACTTTCTTTGTAAAAGTCAATCTTAAAGTTGAAGAGCGTTGGGTGACATTATAATGTACTACTGCGGTGGTCATTTTCTCGACACTGACAATAATTGACCGTGAACAGCGTTTGGAAAAAACCGTGACCTTTCGTTAATGATTTATTTTCAACCAGGTATTCTAAATGACGGTTTGAAACCATTTCTTGGATCTTTCTTGCTATGACAAGAGATTTCCTTGAAGGTGAAAATTCAGTAAGAGGAAAAGTTTGTCTAAGAACAGTAGACACAACTGAATCGCTTGATAATTCCGTGTTTGAAAGCCAACAGCAAGCGCATGGCTAATTTGCATACTGGGACTTTTCATCGCCCTAATTGTTCTCTGTGATTTAATCCTATTGTTCATTCACAGAATTAAATTGCATGAGAACAACCAAGCCACGTCGTCAGTTGAATTTATAATCAAAGCAGACCATTGATCAGGGTTTAACTTTGTGTTGTTCGTTTTTAAAGACCATCGACGGAAACTCCAATAACTGGGGCATAAACAAGAAGGAATTGGACAAAGAGATCATCACTCGATACGTGAGGTTTTGCCCAGTCGACTGGTATTGCTGGCCATGCATGAGAGTCGAATTGTATGGAGCTGCACTCAACATAGGAGGTGAGATCTACATCGTGGTTCCCTCAGTTACTCCTGATTGCACTTAGTAACTAAATTATAAGCAGTTTTATAGGGAGAAAGAACGGAAACATCGTAGAGAATGAATTATAATAAGCCTAACCCTGTAAAGTTCATACACAGCAAATCGGCGTGAAATGCGTTTCTTATCGGACGGATTAGGAGTATATAAGTTTCCCTTTGATGGTTCAACGACTTGACTTATTAGTGTCTAGTTCTGTTCGGACTCAAACGTTACAACAAACTACTTCTTGCCGATGATTGCAGATCAGGGTGAATTGAGGGTGAATTTTAAAATCAGAGTTAGAAAATGCACTATATTCAAATAAACAGAATGTCGCAAATAGAGTACGAGTTCAAACAATTTACGATTGGGCGGGTTAAAAGGAAGAAAATAGAAGCGGTTTCACGAACAAGTATTGTTATGGGTTAGATTCGGCAAGCTTGGTCTTTTATGATGGAATCATTTGTTTACATCAAATTTTTTTGTATTTTTAATCACCCGCTGTGATTGCTCGGTAAGTGTTCGGCTTGAAATGCTTAATAAAAGCTGGGATTTAAAGCTTAGCTCCATGTTTACATTTGGATACAGGTAGTTTTATCTGAGGAGATGAAAAATGATAGAGAAAATGTCCCTGTCGCGGTGATGATCTACAAAATAATTGAAAAGAAAAATACTCTTCAGAAACGTTTTATTGATAAATTTACTTGTTCCTCTTTTCGATAAGCTTACAAAGAACATCACATTTGTAGATTGTAGTCCTTTCAACAAGCTCTTTCGCAAGCAAAAAACTTGGTCACAAACTGAATGATCTGTTTGATAAACTATTAGCACGTGCTCGTAATGTGATCCTGGTCAAAAAGAAAGTAGCTGCACGTAGCATTGGAGGAAACAGAATATTCAACTGTTTCTCGGCGTCAAAACAAGTGATAATAAGAGACCATTGTTATGTTATTTTCGACTGTGGGGTCTTTACTTACAATGTCCATATTGCTAGGCAGTTCTTAGAAAAAATGTAATATTTACGCTCCGAACGGCTAGCAATGAAAATATTAATTATATACCTTTGCGGAATCGAAGAAAAGTAACTCCCACACTTGTATTGTGAGTCCTGTATAATTAGTATTTTATAGGATCGGTCACAATATTTCCTTCTACGGCCATCTCACTGCCACCTGTTTTGACAATAACAAGGCGCGGTTACTTAGCAGATAATTTTTCTATTCACAAAGTTCGACTTTCTTGATCATTCTGGGGAAAATTTCTAGATCGAAATATTCATATTCTTAGCATTTGAACATTTAGTTCAATTTGGGTGAGTACATCTTTTAGGTGGAGAGTTTTTCCTTGTCTTTTATATGATCAGATTTTGAAAACGGTTCGAGTCTTTTGAAAATTGCTTTTCAAAAAATTCACTTTCGAAAAGCATAAACGAGGTATACAAAGCTTCTGTTCTTGATTTTGAGTGGTGAGTCACATCATTTGTAAGAGCTACTACAGTTTAAATATTTTCGGTATAACTTGACTTCATTGTAATTGTAACCAAGAGACTTGAAGAGTGTATGACTGAATTGACAGATTCATATCGAATTTACCTATTCTGAGGCAACATTTTCATGTTAAACGAGTGATATATCGCTAAATTTTGAAGGTGCCGATTTTGTTTCGTTTTTTTTTTCCAGCAAATTTTCAGTTTATTCGTGTGAGAGCTCAAACTAATTTTTCTTTTAGTAATCTCACTCATTCCCGATGTTTTGTATTTATATAGTTGAGGTAAACAAATTTCTATTAATTTATTTCTTTCTTTCCAAGACGGATTTCAAACAACTCAGTCCGATGATGATGGAAGTTATGTTGTAGGTAAGCGATGGATTTTTACTGAATGATTTGCAAGGAAATAAGATTGTAATCCCATTCGATTTGAATATTATTGTTTTGACTACTCAGATCAATAAAAAATTTCGCTCAGTTACTGTATATCGTAGTTCGAATGACTTTAAGCGACAAATATGTCTAAAATTTGCATTTCGATATGATTATTATCGGAACAAAGATTACAATATTTCGTTGCTATGGATGTTATATTTGTTCGTCTTAGACATGTAACGCCCCTTGATGAATCTCAATTCATTCAGGCTCCAATACTTTCTTTTGGGTACCCGATGACGGTCTTCAAACTGTGAGGGGGTCACAGCGGAGGTCTTTCGACTTAAACTTCCCGGCCAGACAAAATTAAAACTTTAGCGAAACGCAGCTTTAATCTATAGCACCTTCATGTACAAAGAATATATCTTTTTACGTGATTCGGAGCTTTGCGAGCATTCCAGATAGCCTTTCAACGTTTAGTTTCCCGCCATTTGGTGGCGACAGGTGATTTGTTTCGCGCGTCTTGTGCTCATTGGTTATCACTCATGCAAATCACTTTATTTCACAGAGAAAGTTTTGTATACAACTGTTGAGACACGTGTTGAGGAGAATGGCGAGCCAGACGACGACTCGCTGAAGGAGCAAGAGAAACAGATAATCCGAGAGGCAAAGGAAAGGCAGCGAATTGAAGAAGATCAACAGAACAGATTGGAAGAAATTCAATTGATTATTGAGCAAGAAGAAGTTAAGAGAAAGCCATCCAGCGGAGATATGGATGAGAAGGAACGAAGGGAAGCTGAGGCGCGAATCCAGTTGGTTCTCAATGAAGAAAGAGCATTAGAGCGGCGAGAAAAACCTGATGGACAAGATGTACCACCACAAATGAATAACATTGAGGAGGACAGAAACGAACGGGTAACAAAAGAATACAGCAGAATCGATGAAGAGCATCGAAAACGAATGGAAGCGCTTAGTGCGATACTGAATGAAGACGAAGAACGAAGGAAGAGAGAGAGAGAGGAAAGACGGTTAGCTGAGGAGGAAGCGAGGAAAAAGAGAGACGAAGAGAGACGAAAACAGGAAGAAGAAATCAGGCGAAAGCGCGAAGAAGAAAGAGTTAAGTGGGAAGAGGAACATCGAAAATGGGAAGAGGAGAGGAAAAAACGAGATAAAGAATTGGAAGCTGTGTTAGAGGAAGGAAGGAGAAGACGAGCTGAAGACAAGCGGAAACGAGAAGAGGAATTGAAAAAAGCGAGAGAGGAGGAGAGAAAGAAACGGGAGGAAGAAAGGAAAAAACGTATGGATGACGAGATGAAGAAGCTGGAAGAACAAAGAAAAGAAAGGCAAGCAAAATGGAATAGCAGGACTGAAGTTTTCATTCCTGAAAAGAAGGACGCCGTAGACAATAAAAATCGACAAGATGAGAAAAAAAAGATAGAGGAAGGATGGATCAAAAGGGTTGAAACCCCACGCAAAGTTGAGGAAGAAATGAAACGATTCAGAGACGAAGAACGAAAACGCCTTGAAGAGGAAAGAAAAAAGTTGTTAGAGAAGGAAATTGAAGAGGTAGAAGCAGAAAAAGAATTTAAATCAGAGATTAGAGTTTTAAGGCAAGAGAGACCAGAAACCGTAACCAAAGTGTCTGTGGCAACCATTCAGTTAGTCCCTGGAGGAGACCCCGAGGAGGAAAAGCGAAGGATTGAGTGGAGAATGCAGAAAATTGAACAGGATCGCTTGCTCAGAGAGGAAGAAGCTAAGAAAAGACAAGAAGAAGCTGAAAGGAAGAGGAAAGAAGACGAAGAACGGGCAAGGCAAGAGGAAGAAAGCAGACAGAGACAACAGGAAGAAGAGAAAGAGAGGCGTCGGGAGGAATCAAGGTTACAGAAAGAGGCCGAAGAGAGACAGAAGAGAGAAGAAGCGGAACATAAGCATCGAGAAGAGGAAGAACGTCGACTCAAAGCGCTCGAGGAAAGAAGGAAACGATTAGAAGAGGAAAGGAAGAAACGAGAGGAGGAAGAACGAATCTGGAAACGCGAACTGGAAGAAAGAAAGCAACGTGAAGACGAAGAAAAGCGCAAACAGTTGGAGAGCAAGAAGCTTAAGCGCCGTAGTATTGAGCGAAAGAAATTCGAAGAGGAAGAAAAGAAGAAGCTCGATGACATTGAACGGAAGCGGATTGAGGAAGAAGAAAGAGAGCGAGCAGAAGAGGAACGAAGGCGACGTGAAGAGAGGGAAAGGTGGAAACTAAAGCAAATGGAACGAAGAAGGAGTGGAGAGATGTACCGACAAAAAAGTGAAGAAGACATACGAAGAAGAGAAGAGAGGTCTTCAATTAAAGACAGGGAAAGGAAAAAGAGAGACAGCAGAAGTTTTGAAACCAAATGGATGTTTATAAATGGCGAGAGAACAGAAGTACCAGGTAAAACTATTGTTACCATTGTCAAGGACCCATAACAATCTCGGGACAGTGCCACTTTAGCTAACAATACTCCTTCCTTTTTGGTACTCTTCTATCTAAGCTTAGTGATATCTGTCTTACATGGGAGCGATATTCAAACTTGTCGTTGGAGGGTTTAAGGTTGGAGGGGTGTGTCGTTGGAGGGTTTATGGTTGGAGGGGTGTGGAGAAAAGAAGCGATTGGTCAGCTCTTCTTATTCCTAAGTATGACCAATCTCTAAATAACGAACACTAAAATATTCACAAATTTGTTGAAAAATTCAACACTAAATTCTTTACTGAAGACTTGAAAAACGGGAATCGATGGTCGAGAAGCCAACTCACAGCCAAAGCGATTTCTAATTATGAGCCTAGTTGACGATAGGGAATCTAGTTTCACGTACTTGCGCCAATTGACGATAACAGAACAATCTTTTGTTTTCAACAGTGAATGAATCATTCGTATCGACAACAAGTCTTCCAATTCAGAGCGAGCCTCCTGATGTTTTCGAAGATGAGTCGCCCAGCAGCAGATACAGTGTAACGGTCAACACTGTGTCAACGAAAACTATACAGAGGAGCCGCAGTTTTGATTACAAGGTAAATGGTAAATCTTCCCCCCCCCCCTCCTCCCAGACATGCGATCTTTCGTCGTGGCCGTCAGATCATTTCTCTCACGGAAACAAGCGAACCAGCAAAGCAATTTGGTGGGAATGGAACGGAAATTATAGTACAGTAGTTTATTAACTGCATGGATTTTGATCGGGAGGTGTTTTAGGGGAAGAGGGAGCAGTATGCAGGGAGGGTTGGTGGGGATGCGCGTTTCATTATCTTCTTGACGTTTTCATAAACTAAGAATCTTAAAGTGGGTGATATGTTGATGTGAATAAGGGACATTCTAACAGCACACTCGTTTCTTATTTGTTCTTCATTCTGTTTTGTTGAAGGATTCAAGACAAGTCCCCATCATCCGCAGCAGCAACATGTACGCATCTGAGAGACATATAAGAACTGTTTCTCAGTTATCTTTAAAAGAAGAGGTAGTGCCATACAGATCTCAGCCTCACTGCGATCACCTTCTGCCCACAGATCCTTCCGTTCAGGAAGCAGTAGGTACGCTATAAACTTATTTCATCGTCGTCTAAGGGGCGTCAATAATCCTAACCCTTCTTTCGTCGTAATGGTATTGTACAACTAATTTTATTGGTTAGTGTTGCAAGACTTTTGATATTTGGAAATCTTGTACCACATTTAAGGGCGTTTTGAGAATTCTTGTAGCCAGCTGGAAATCACTTATTTAGCCGTTCCATCCCATTATTGTATCGTATTAGTATTCAAGAAAGTATTTCATTAGATTTCTTACTGACTCACCCATGGTAAGCATGAATCATTGTCTCTTTGGTGAAGTCTGAATACCAAATAAATATGTAAAAATTCTGACTCATGTCGTGTTATTACTTTCAGAGATGAGCTTTTTCGACAAATATGAAGAAAATGACGGTACGTTGAGACCATTTCCCAGCTGGTACGGAGGGCTGGACATGGGAAGTTTGCCTCATCTTTATTCACCCACAAATCCCATCGAAGACTCTGACATAGATCGACTGCTGAGCATAGAGAACGAGGGCTTGAAATCTTGGAAGCGTGTGAAAAAATCTGGAGAGTTGGAGGTCTATTCACGCAAAGGGCTGGAGCGAGGCAGTCCGCCTGTTACCAAGGTAACCGTCATAATTGTAACTTTTTGAGTATCGCTAGATGTTAATCCTGGGTTCATAAAACTTCACTAAGTTTTAGAGCTTGGTTCTGTTACAGTAATTAATGGGTAAATAAAGCCTGATAAAAATCATTCAGGTTTGAGCTTTTTGTTAATGATAATGAACGTCATAATGATTTATTTCTTTTAATTTTACAGGCAGTGATGGTCTTAAAGGATATTCCGTACAGAGACGGTGTGTAACGTGTTACAAACACTTTTATTATATAAGCTGTTGTGTTCGACAAGGATTGCTAGTCCTGAGAAAGGTCGAAACTGCACACGTGAAATTACGTTAAATTTTATGTGTTTGATATCGCCAATCAGCTGCTGACACGTAACTCGCCTTTCACCCACTCTGTCGGGTTGATGAATGAATGGAAAAGCTTTCACTATTATCGATTCAAGGTCGTTTGTCGAGTTTTCTTGTCAGTAAGGGCCTATGGTTTCTTGTAGATATAGAATTTCTCCTCTCGTGTTCAACTCGAAGAGAAATTCAATATTTGCGCACGCCCATGTGATTTTCGCTTTGTATTCACTTTTTCGAACAGAGGACTTGGGAATCCCCTGAAGTTGGACGCATTTATTGATTATACTAGCGAGAACAATCTTGTTGAAAATACTATCAATTTTTTTTCTGGAGTTTAGAGTTTGAGCATCCATTGCTAACTGTTACTCAAACATTTCCTTTTAGCTATTGACTTAGTCTCTGACTGGGATGAACGGACTAAGTGGGACAAAACATTTGACGGTGTCTCATTTCTGGATCAGATGGCGGACTTTAAGGTCTTGAAATGGTGAGTCTAAGAGCCTAATGGGAGGTAAATTCAATCTGCTGAACTAAAAAAAAAATGGAAAGGGGGTATTAATATTCAGATGATGTCTATTTTTTGACTTTGTTATGTTCTCACCACACTTGTTTATTCATAGCTATCAGAAGAAGAAACATCGATGTGTAGTGTTGGCCACCTTAGATCGAGAAGATGAAGAACCGTACCACGCATGCGCTTGGAAAGGGGGCACCCATCCGAGTGTTCCTGGGGAGGATAACAAGCTCAATGTGATGAGGTAATGGTACTGGTAATTTGTTGATTTGCTCAAGAATTCCGTTCTTATATTTAGAAGATGAATAATTCGTTGATTGGTTGAAGTTTTTTTAATAAGAAGCACTTGCCATTTTGTTTCCATCGCTAATAACAAGTTTCCCCGCCTTGAATTTACAGGAGGTTATATTGATTATACTTGCAGATTCTGTTTTCCATTGCAAAGAATAGTTAGGTATGGGCTAGTAAGTTACGTTCCCAAACCACCTGTTTTTGACACATCCATTCGATTGTGTTCCCTCTTTAGACTGGAGACAGGTATCTGTGGCGCCATTATCCGCCCTTATCACGATGCTACCAGATCCTCGAAAATCACAATAATCACACAGGTACGAGGCTCTATTCCCAGTCCTCTGAAGAGCACGTTCTTGACGGGTAACCCAAGCAAGTGGCTGATTTGGCTCAAAAAACATCACGACACACGAGCTAAGGACATCGTGGAGAAAGAGAACGAAGATGATTCCAACAAAGACGAAGCCTCTTCTGTTTCATCCAGGTCGGAAAAACAGGATTAACGAGTATTGGGGAAGTTTCTTAAAATCTTGCTCCTTTAGTGATATTCTCTATCGATTACGTATTAAGAGGAAATTTTTTAGAACATTGTAATCTAGCTGTTTATTTTTTACAATTTTAAGGTAATGCTTGGCAAAATTAAAAAAAAAAAACAGTCTCGGCTCGCAGCAGTTGAAAGCTCGTGTGTAATCAAACCGCATTGTTATAGAAGTAGTTTTTAAACATTTCCATACCTATTGTATCAGAAATCATCGTCTTTTCTTATTGTTTTTTCTGAAATTTTCTCTAAAAATTGACAGAAGTGATAGTACTATAAGCAGCGGTCAGCGGTAAGGTCAAATTAGGTGTACGTACGCAAGGTTCAATTACGTATTAAGGAATGATCACGTGCGTTCCACGACCACAAGCTTCCGTCCCGTTCAGTTTTGGAACACACTAAATGCGAATAGCAGAGATGCCAATTTTAAAACGAGTGAATTAAAAAAGGTTAGCTTGGCTGATAAAGGAAAAAAGAAAAGATAGTATTTTAAAGGGTTATTACAATCTGAATGAATCTTTAAGGATCTACTTCAACTGTCACAAACTCAGCCTTATTATCAAAATGTAACTTTTGCACACATTAGATTAGCTCTTGGCTTTGATAACTTGAATCCTTTCTAATGCTGTGGCTCTTCATAGGACACCAGAAATACGTTACATAAATTAACACCTGCATCTCGCATCATATTTGTATCTTAGATTAGTGACAAGTATCTAAATTCTCCTTACAGAATCACCTCTGAATCACACACTAAGGTCATGAGAATAATGGAAATGATCAACAACCACAGAAGCTCTGAATCGTTAAGCTAATTCTCCTCGTCAGCACCTTAGGAAATGTACAGAGAACAGTATGGAGAATATGCATACTGATATTAGGGTGTAAAGGGTTACGAGCAGCTGTAGTTATTTAAAGTCGCCTAGTTTATCATGTTGTGGTAAATTAGAGTGTTGTGGAATCTTATATTGGTAGAGAATAATTGTCATTAAGATTATTTGATCGACATCGGTGTCTAAACAACTGCACACCTACCCTCCCCTAACGGAACATTAACCCCAACTTGATGTCAGCTGCAGTTGACTGTTGTTGGGTGTGGGGAGGGGTAAGTACGCAGTTGCTCAGATATTAACATTAATCCAGATTATTCACAGGTAATTGATTAAGGTATAATGTGTATTTAATGAGTAGTATTTTTTACATGAGAAATGAAAATATCTGAGCTGTTAATCACCAGATGTGTGTACTTAACACCTTGGGCTAAACTTTCATCAAAGAGTACGAAATCAAAGCTTAAATCTCGCAATCTTTTTCGTAACATTGCTACAATTAATTAATTATGCATTTTGCAGTTCTTGTGGAAGATGATTATTAAAGTGCCAGTCCACGCATTTTTGTTTAATTCATATCCAAGGTTACCCTTGCACAGTCAAATGCTTTACAATTTGACTTTATATGAGATGTGGAGAAATAGATGATGAGCCATAATGAGTAGCAAAAGTCTTAGCACGCTCAGCTCAAATAGATGAACTTCATGAATTTTTTTATAAGTTTAAAGTATCTCCCCCGTATCAACGATGCCGGGTGTTACGAAACGGTCAGATATTTCAAGCAACATTGTTTGGGGGGAGGGGGGGGGGATTATTAGGGATTACTTACAAGATTTCTGTCAAGTATGTCGAGTGAAGGGTTGTCGACCGCCCAGTGAAGGGAAGGTGTGCCAATTACGTTTGTCACTGTAGGCCATGAAGGTCTTTTTCTTCAAATGCGATAAAAGATGACTTGGTTCAGGCTCGGTCGTCACTGTCACATACACAGTGAAAGAGGTACAAAGATATACTGAAAATGCAAAGAATTTTTGGTGATAGGACTTTGATAAGTGGAAAAAACAATCTCATTTCAAGTTCGTAGAAAGCCCATCACTGACGTCGACTGATCCGATACAAAGGTAGGTGGGATAAGTCTGCGCTCGAGCCAATTGACCCATCTAGCAGAATTTTTTCTGGTTTGTTTAACAAGAAGCAACTAGGAGTAATACTACTCCTCCCTGGACATGCTGGATGGGATGTTAGTCCATTCAGCTTACCCCTAGGTATTTCATTAGCTTTCCTTGACGGTTAGCCGTATACATTCGTACTCCTGGGTGAAAGGACGCACCGCAAGAGTGAAGTGTTTTACCCAAAAACACAACACATTGATCTGGCCATGTCTTGTACCCCCGTATCCGGGGTTCAGCGCGCTAATTAACCACGCCTCCACATCGAACACAAAGCCGGCCGATGAACAACTGATCAATTCCACGGAAAACTCATCGTCAGGGATATCAGTTGGACTTATCAGAAATAATTTGTATTCTCTTTTCGCTAGATTGAATCTAACGAAAATGGGATAAAGAGCCGAAAAGAGAATATTCTGTATACGTGATCACTGCATGCAATATCCGGTCTCCAGAAATAAGCAGGCTGTGATGATCTGTCAAACAATAGCAAATCTGTGCATTGCGTTAATATGTGCTTGCGTGGCTACTTTTTTCTCTTCTGTTTCGTAACTTAGGTTCTTTACTTCTGTTCGATTTAAGCTTTGGTCGTTTTATCTAGTTGATCTCCTTAATAGTTTTATTCTTACTACAAGATTTAGACCACAATCTTCCATCTTTTCGATCTACGTTTATCAATATACAGTTGATTTGGATATATGTTTACATTCTTCAAAAAAATGACTTCCTTCCACAGTTTGAAAATGATGTTTCCGCTCATCCGTGATCGGCATATTGTTTGCAAAAGCTAAATAAAGACAAATCACATCAGAAGCCCACGTTCTCTCAGCAACCAAATATTAAAAAAAAGATACAAGTGTCATTGGGCAGTGCTGAATATCTTGATATGTTTTTACCCGATAGTTAGTACCCCTTGAGTTTATGTATCAAATTTGTAATGTTGGTGCTAAGTTTCCAAGTAACGCTAACGGACATAGAACATTTTTATTGTTTTCTTACACAATGTTTCCTCTGTAAAATTTTAACGGTTCCAATCAAATCGGCAGAAATCCGCACTAAACGTTAATGAGTAAATTTTTGAAATATATGTAATGTTTCCCGTCTCCCTGTTAAGGCCATGGATCATGTTCCGGGTTAGGAACGGTATGAAACTTCGTTTTTTCGTGTATCCAGCCGCTTAGCGTTTCAGCATCAGAAAGAACCCACGCAAATGGGCGAAATTAAGAATGACAATAAAACACGAGAATAATAATTACTTTTAGAACAGTCATGTAACAGTACTAACAGTCCGTATAGGTTTAAAATTCCAGTTCACCTCTCATTACAAATATATATATATATATATATTTTTTAAAGCACATTTGTTATTCTCAAATTAGAGAATCGTAACACTAATCTTGCTTTTTCCCCTGAGGCAGATTTAATTATAGGATCAAAAAAAACTTTGGTTGACTTAAACAGCAAGGTACCGAGTGGCCACTGAAAGATAAACAAAAAAAAACAGCAGGCAGCTGGTGTGGATAAACTTTTTAAAAATTGTAATGAACGTTTACAATTTCTTGCCGCGCAAAGCTCGTGACTATTGATCGACCGACGCAAATAAACTTTTCTTCAAAATTAAAAATTTTAATATGTCGGCTATTAATATTACGTTTAAGGCGTCATTCTTAGCAAAGTCAGGTCGCAGTTTTAAAAACATTATTGTTCCTCCTTTCTGCGAATATCTGACATTGTTTTCAAAACATAATAATGTAAGTTTTGGCAGATGCCTCTTACTGTACTAAAAGGTCGTTTAAAACTCTTCTTAGAACTGCTGGAAGGCAAAGTTTTGGAGTCACATGTTTTTGTCTTCAACCACGTAATTTTGATGCTTTCTGTGGGTTCTAACCATGAATGTTTGAAAATTAGGAGGCGCGTTTCTAAATGCTTTTTTCAGGACCGCCTCATACATTTTAATTTGTTCGCAGTAATAACTGAAAAGGTGTTACTTTGAACAGACGCTTTCGAATATTTAACAAGTTGGAGTCGGGAGGAATATTTCGCCCTACTACCAACCCAGACTGATAGGTAAATCCTTACATTGCTAATCGCTAAGCATCTATTCGTCAAGTTTGCCGCTAAAATCCTCACAAGTACCTTGATTTCAATGACAAAAAAAAAAGCTGGTTGAAAGATTAATGTATTAGATAAAACAGGCAGGCATATAAGAAGAAATTGAAGAAACATCTTGGTAAACCACACGATTCCTGGGAGTGTGAAGAACACGCCGAATAATTATGTCTTTGTCTTTCAAATGAGACGAATGTAATAACTGGTTCCCCGTCAGGAAATTCAATTTACGAACACCAGTGGGAAGTGTGTATATAAACAGACAATCTGTCGAGCTGTCCTTGAGGAGTGACACAATTTGGTCCGCGAACGTGACGTACTCCTTCGTTTTGTAAACAGGAGAGAACAGATAAAGCAAACGAATGAATGAACACACTGTTTCCAAAGCATTTGTCAGAAAGCTGCTCATCTAATCAATCAACTAAAGAGAAAGAGGTTTTCAGTGATAGTTTCATTTCGCCTTGGCGATCGTTCAAAGGTATTTGGTCAGGGCGTATAGACCAAGGAACACAACGTGACGGACTGGAGGAAACGTTTGAAAAAGTTCCGTGTTGGAACACGTAATTATTCAACTGAGTCTCCAACATCTTCGAACTGTGGTCAGCTCTGTCAGCCAAAAATAATCTACGGTGGAATAAAAAATCAAGCTCAGATTCGAGCTCTATTGAAAAACAAACAAACAAATAAATAAAAAACGAAGAAATCAGGCAACACGACTTATTCGCAAGCAGCGAAGAACAGAACATTTGAATGGCCGCAAATGAAAGTCTATCGGTGAACTTTAACAATCTGAGAGATTTGTACATGAAGTTTGAGCTCGCAGAGGGAATTTGCCTTCCAGTTCTGTCTGTTTTAACGGTTTCCACCAACATTTTACTCTTGATAGCGATATGGAAAGACCCGGAGAAAAACTTTAGATCACCAACAACTTACTTCCTGATAGGTCTTGCTATTGCAGACCTCTTAACTGGCATGTCGACCGAACCATTTTTCGCCGTTTATCACATCATGAATTACCAGAGTGGAGGCAAGCCTATTCCCAGAGTGGTTACTAAACTCTACAACATAGGACAGTCAATATCAACTGTAACTATAAGCTCCTCGTATTTAATAATCCTGGGTCTGTCGATATCGCAATACATTGCCATTAAGTGGCCACACAAGTACAAAGTTTTAATCACGCGAAATCGCGTCATCGTAAGTGTTCTATTAAGCTGGTTGTACTTCATTTGTTTCACGCTAGTCCCGTCTTTCACACCAAACATTGATCACCAATTGTTCCTGAAGGTAGATCTGGCCTTGCATCCTGTATTGATTTCCACCATTTTATTCACAACGTTAATTTTATTATACAGAGTTTTCTCGCAGGAAGTTCAGCGGAGGCGATCATACAGAAAGTCAGATAGTCAGAAAGGAACTGTCAGGGGCAAATCGGAAAATCTTCAACGGCAGTTTGTAATAGTCACGTTTTATTTGGCAGCAATTCTTCTGATTTCAGCTTTACCTCATATCGCTATTCAATTTGTCTGGCTGTACGTAGCTCTATCTGAGGAAGGATTATATTACACCTTCATGGCTTTACGGGTTCGAGATTTGTTGCTCTTTCTCAAAGTGGCGCTTGATGCCTTCATATACGCGTGGCGATTGCCTTCTTATCGTAAAGCCTTAAAAAGGTCGATAAATCATTCAAGGCGTGATAGTAAATCTTCTGTTGAAGTAAAAGGGTGAGTTAAGCAGAAATGAAATTTTTTCGTCATATTGTGAAAAAAAAATTAATAAAAATGAAAGTGAAATATGACAGAAGCAGAAATTATTCAGGCTTTTAGGGAGCAGTTGTTGCTTTTTTTTGAAGGGGCCTGTGTAAACAAATTCACCTGGAGAACGGCCTTTTTAGAGAAACATTAAAAGGAAGTAAACGAGATGAATTTTATTTTTTAACTGAAAAATTTCGATTCGAAATTTATCGGGCTAATACTGGATAAGTCACGAAAGATTGTAGCTCGTTTGGGAGGCGTTTAGAGCAATTAAGTTTGTATGAATTTTATGTCATAGCGATTCTTAATAAATAATTCAGTAACAAAATAGGAAATAAATTATTATCAGAAACTCCAATAGTATTGTCACATTGTCAAGTGTCATTTGTTTTGGACCAACCATATTTATGATGACCAAACTGGTTTATTGACTCGCTTCAAGTGGGATTCCAATTTATTTTTCCACTGTTTCCAAATGCGTCATTATTATGCGTCTGTATTCCTCGTCTTGTATACCGGATTTTTATCTTTTTTTCAAAAATGAAATTCTGAAATCTTTTTCATGCTTTCTCAGTTGAATGCGAGATCAAAACCATAGCTTTTTTGGACATCCGCATAAACGAAGTGTATCGTGGTCTTCATTTGTATACACTTCCAATTCTTGAAAAGAGAGTAAGTTTGAAAAAGAAAACGAGAAAGAGATTAAAAAAAATTTATGCAGAGTCACTTCGATCCTAGCGTTTTTAAATTTAACTATTAGAACGGTTTTTTCTAATGCACATCATGATTTTTACCAATTGATGTTACCGACGATGTCAATTTAACCACTTTAACCGAAACTGATCTGAGGTGATCAGAATTCATTTCCTGTGCTTTCTAGAATCTGAAATTCCTTTTTATTTAAGTGTTCCCTCCGGCAAGATAATTAATGAACTGCTAAAAGCATTGTGTCATTTGAACTCTATTTATCCTAGATTATTATGCAAGAAACGAACCTTTTCCTGTGGCTAAGTTTTAATAGCTTTGCAAATGAACGCCACGCAAACTGTTTGGAGCACTCAGTGTCCGGTGATAATTAAGTTGGCGATGTCATTTGTTGACGCAACAATCCGAACGGTAATAGGTTGATCCATTCCAACAACTCGAATTTAACATTGCAATTTGTATTTTGTTCAAAGTTTATCGAAAGAGAGTATCGAATGGGCATGTCTTTTATTTGGGACCTTTAATTGGATTTTCCTCGAAAATGATCTATTGCTCTATTACTCTAAAAGGATCTACATTTTGAACGAAAAATAGGTCCTAAAACTTTTTTATGGGCAGCAGCATCTTGCCGACGCACAATTACTCCACAAGTATCATCGCACCTGAAATAACTGATTAGTTACTTTTCTTTGGTTAAGGATTTTCTATCAAATGCCGTCACAGCAACTCACTTTTAGACCAAACAAAAAAAAATCACACTTTACTCTATAAACCTTTTGATAAAAGTGTCGGTGTGAACACTTCTCATTAATCACAACAGTTATGCAGGTGGTTGAACCACAAGTCGGCAGCCCGGAGGGGGCCTGGCACCCTGCACGTTGCGATTGTAACAGCATCCCTTGGGTTGCACTGTGCGGTCAGGACAGCATTGGTGTGTTGCGAAAGTAAAAACACGAGAGAAACCACAGCAACCCTAAAAGATAAAGAGAGGAGATGTTGAGCTGAAAACGACTGTTTTAACAGATTTCTCAGCTTGACACGTTTTTCAAAGTTTTGTACTCAATTTCAAAGGAAATAAACGGGAGGGGGGGTGAGGGGGGGGGGGAGATTCATATGAATGAGATGTTCTAAAATTTATCAAATCTTTGATGAGTACTCCATCCTTCCTTGTCAAAAAGGTCCACGTAATCCCCAGATTTGCGTGTATTGACGACACGATTTCATCCCCGAACCCATATGTTCACCATGTCCTGACAAAGTAGCTAGCATTACCGTAGTTACCTGTTTAGATGGGTCATATGACATCTGGCCACAGCAGCGCGGGGATCTGATGTCTGGTGGTCTGTAGGTGATCTGTCGAGCACAGCACAACTGATTTGATGGGTAATATGGAGTTAGACCACAACAGCTCATTGCCACATTCGAACATGGCTTGGAATAAAGAACTGAGCCACAGCATACCTATGTCAAAGAAAAATAGAAGTCTCTATCACTTTGATACGGACAGCGTAAAAAAGGTAAGGAACCTCAACGAAATTTTACTTCTCACAAAAAACCTTAATTTGAGAATGTAAGTGACGTTAACAATATTAGGCGTCGTGTTTAATTTTTTTTTCTGTGTTTCTATTTGTTTTGTTATTCCTACCCTCTGTCTACGATCATATGGGACAGTTCCACAGCACGCATAGGCAGTTGATGTTGGAGTTGGTTTTGGTATCACTCGTCGGTTGCAACAGAGATGTGTGGCTGTGTTAAATGCTTTTGGATCGAAAAACGATCTGGAAAAAAAGGCAATAGTTTTGAATACACTGTAAGTTGACCCTGACAGATCTTGATAACTTATAAATCGCGTCAAACTTATGTAAGTTTACAGTAAAGTAATTGGAAAGGTTTTGAACCCAGAACAACTGGGATGGTACCGTTGTAAGAAGCCCTGGGTCTCCAACTGAAAATCAAGACAAGACTTACCCACAGCATCCAATTCTGGAAGGAATGGAAGGAAAGGGATCTGATGTGCTGATTACTTTACCATAGCAACACTTCTGCCTTCTGGTGTCATATGTTGCCCTGCCACAGCAAGCATGTGAGTTTGAAGGCTTGTTGTGCAACTGTCTACCGCAGCATAGGGAACTCTGTGGATCATACAGTTTTGTGCCGCAGCAGCGTTGTTTGCGAGGGTCATAAGGGATGCCTCCACAACATCCTGTATGAGAAAGCGATGGTTTTGTCATTACTTGGCGATTGCAACAGAGTTGATTTGCACGATTGTATGGCTCGCCGAAGCAGCAGCGTTGTTTACGAGGGTCATAAGGGATGCCTCCACAACATCCTGTATGAGAAAGCGATGGTTTTGTCATTACTTGGCGATTGCAGCAGAGTTGATTTGCACGATTGTATGGCTCGCCGAAGCAGCACGATTGTTGGCGAGGAACATATGGACTCCTTCCACAGCACGCCGTATGAGAAGGCGATGTCTTTCTTACTGGTTGACGGTTGCAACAGAGTTCCTTACTTCGATCATACAGTCTTGTTCCACAGCAAACCTGTCCTGGCTTCCGGAGTTGTACTGTGTTACTGCAGCACAAGTATTTGGATGGGTCGTAGAGGTCACTTCCACAGCACCGGTTAAAAGGGGATGATGGTGGCTTTGTTACTGGTTGACGGTTGCAGCATACTTGTTTCTTTGGATCATATAGTCCCATCCCACAGCAAAATTGTCCTCGCTTCCGGGGGAGTAGCCTGTTACTGCAGCAGATTTTTACCCTGGAGTTGTATATACTCGATCCACAGCATGCATAACCAGGTTTCTTTGGATAAACTCGGTTGAGGCAACAGACACTTGTAAAATAATTGTAAGGAACGCTTCCACAACAGCGGTACGGGAAGTTTGGCGTCGGAGAAAATTTGTAAGGAGGGCCACCTTTGATCAACACAGGTCGACACTCTGGCCTCGGGGGACCTGGAGGACCTATAGGACCCGTGGGACCAGACACCTGGCAGTTGATTGCTACAACTTTAACAAATAAATAAATAAAGAAAAGAATAAATTTATAATGATTTAGTTCAAATTAATCAAAGTTTTGAGAAAAACCAATGATAGGAATGAATGAATGAATCATCTATTGTCTCGAGGCAGTTACTCACGACATTATAAAACAATATTTTACGCCCAGACTTGGCTTTTCTGATAGAAATGATGGGAGAAATTTGTATTGCTCTTGTTGATGGCCCTCGCGGCCTCGGAGTTTCATTTTCATCAGTTTTTCTTGTTGATGCCAGAGACGTCTTAACTGAATCACCTTGACACCCTGACAACATAGACCAGAAAATCCAAAAGTCTGGAAGACAACGATCAAGAAACACAGAAACAGAAGTGATATAGGGAGTGAATACGTGGTAAGACAACTGTATAAAGGGTAATTAATTCATTATCACTGAATTTTACCGCGATGAGCAACCACAACCTTGTTCATACAACTGATAGACCGAAGATAGACGACGGCCCGTATTATGCTGCTGCAGATAGAGTATTATGGAATACTTATGACAACTAAGAATCACTTCTAAACACCAAAGTATAAAATAAAGACAATTAAACTCTGATTTTCGAATACTAACGATGAAGGACCTTTAAACCACAAAAATGTTTAAATGTGAAAGTGGCACGCAAACGATTTAAGTTTAAGCTACAAAAAAGGAAGCGATAACTCCCCCCCCCCCCCGTTTAACAAACAACAAAGGTTGCTTGACAGTGAATGCCCTGAAATAGAGAACACGCTTCGTTTAAGCATTTTTTTAGTTTTTGAACATCTAACGTCATCTCAACGGCCATAACCCCCACCCCCCCCCCAACCACAAATCAAAATTTTAATTCGTGATAGGAAACCCAAGGGCTCAATCTGTTTCCGGCTCTCTCGTACTAACTATTTTAGTAACCTGACCAGTATCATAACCATCCTTGGATACTTGAATTACATATTGCTCAATTATTCTTGAGCGCACGCGAAGAGATTTTTTGCCAGCGGGAATCAAGTTGAAGTTAGATCACCTCTTTTTGCTGACACACAACGAAGCATGCGGCAAAAGTTAATGAAGATCAAGTTTAGCTCGAAAGAGTTTCTTATGGAAGTAACAATCGCTGAGATTTCATTACTGTATGTCGAAAGTATAGATGAGCTAAAAACTGTCGTAAGTCTGCTTTGAGCTCCTCTATCTATTAACTGCTCAAGGAAGTTTAAACAATTTGTATTTCTGTTAATTCAAAAGTAATATTTCTGCTGTTTAAGCAGCTTAGTGTTTCTTCTTCTCCTGAAATAGTGTCTTGTTTCCAAACTGCGAGCGCATGTACAGGGATTGGAGAATTCTATCGTTTCATGCATTTCTAAGGCCCAAAAATTCCCCGGCCTGTACACAACCATATGGTTCGTACTTGGAAGTACCAGCCACATTGCTTGCTTAAACCGCACGAAAGGTTCTAGAGGTCATTTAAAACGGTTCAAGAATAAACACGAGTGTAAAGAAGGTTCTGTTACATGCTTGTTCATTCAAAACCTGGAAAAATGTTTTCTACGTACCTGATAAAAGAAAAAATGCAGCAATTTCAATCCAGCGAGACATGTTCTCTGAGCTTGTTGCGAAGTACGAGGTCGACTGAAAAAGACAAAAAATCAGGATGATATGTGGATTATTTCAGAATCAATAATGTAACTGATTTAAACGAGAAAGACGTTTTCTTACAGCAGATTAGTACAAACGATTGCTTTAATTGGTAGGCACTTAATACCTAAACAAATCTTCAAAATGAACGAACACGAATATAATCCCCTGTTCTCAGTTTTTAATCAGTAGAATCCGACGAAAAGTCATCCTCTTCTGCAAGTCACTTAACCCCGAAAAGATTTAAAAATTTGGCAAGTCAGGTCAAACTTCACCACAACTTTTTAACTTGTAGCAATAATTTCTCGATGCCAACAAATGAAAAAGATCTAACCTACCTGCTCCACACACTCCTTGCAGTCTGCTTCACTGTAGAACACGTAAAGTGAACCTCTTTAAATATGAAAGAGCTGAGTGAAACTTGAGGATATCAGATCACAAATCTTTTAAAAGTCACGTTTCAATAACATTACCAAGCTAAAACGCCCCTCCAAGTGTTTACCGTCATTAGCAAATTCCCGATACGTGCTTACAGGAAGGTCAGGAAATTTAAAACGGAATTTCTATTTACGTAATCAACGCAAACCTCGGCTCATCCATATTTCATCTGATTTCTGTGGAAGATGAACAGATAGGTAATGTATAACACGTGCTGTATTTTCCTAACTTTCGCTGTTTTATTTTTCTACATTTAATTGTTTTCTTTTCAATTTTTTTTGTTCGTTTTGTGTTGTACTTGTTTTTCTATACAGTTTTAGATCGTTTCAGGAAATTGCTCGAACTTGCGTCTTCCATCGGACTAGTGCCCTTCCCCACAAGTCACCCGTTTCCATAGATGATAGATCACGTTCGCCGAATAAGTCCAGAGCTTTCCAACGGCATTACACGTGCACATTTTTAGAATCCTTTTTCAACTTGGTAATCCGCTAAGTTTGGGAAAAAAAACTAAAAGTGCCTTTGCTAATATGACTAAGATCGGCCTTTTAGCTTTTAAATTTAATTAAGAGGTCAAGCTTTTGTTTTCGGCCACGTAAATTTGACTTTGCAAACAACGATTATGTCTAGTTACGATGGAGGGAAAATCAAGCAAGTGCCTCCCTAGCAAAAGTGTGCACCCTTTCAAAATTCGCCAAGTTTGTCATCGTATGGCCTAAATTGAGTGAATTGTGGGCGCTTTTCAGAGGGTAGCAAAACAAAAAATTGGGGGCGTTGCGTAAAAACCATATTCCACCCTTTCATCAAGAAGGCTTTCCGCTGTTTTGATAAACAATTCTAACCAGAATAGCTTAATTAACTTAATTAACGTGGCGAAAAAAATTTCCGGCTTTCTGTGATAAACAACTATAGGTAAGTCGAGAATCTCAAAGGGGTTAACCGTAAGCCGAAAAACGGCCAAGAAATTTAGACGTTAGGCATAAAAACTAACAGATTTTAACCGTTGGTCGTTGGAAAGTTAACCCTTATAAATTTCTTTCCACAGTGTATCATTTTTGAGTCAATCGTTAGCCATAAATTGGCCAAAATTTTAACCGTCAGCCGTAAAAGCCATCAACTCATTGAGACCCTAGTGGCGAAAATATATCGTTACAAAACAGTGCACCTTAAATGAGTTTTAGAGAGCTCTTTTTTTTCAACTTGTTTTATGAACTGGTCGGCTCCTTGCCAGCGTTCGCAGAACTTAGCTTCTTTTGTCTTTTTTTTTCAGAAAAACTGGGAATGACTATATATGATATTATGTAATGCTGTGCTTCATGGGAAGATAAATATTCTAGGTTTTGATATACACAGATAAGTTCGTGAACAAAGATGAACTGATACGGTTTATGATTTAAAGTTATCCTAAAAAACGTTTAAAATTGCATTGTATATTTCTATGAAGGAACAAAACTGCAAAAAGAGAAGTGGATCAGATGTAGAAGATCGACCACGTAGAGAAGAAACAAACTAACTGTTGGGACGTGCATGGTGCGTGTCTCCAGTTTCCGTTCGATACTGATGGTAAACAATTTACCTGTCAATAACATATAAACAAAAAAGTGTGACCTTGAAAGCCCTCCTTATCTGAAAACAAAACCTCGCCGGTGACATTACTTCGCAATATGAGTTTTTTTTCAACTGAAATTAGCTGGTCTACTGAAACTAGCTAGCAGATTTCGCTACCGAAGACTCTTTGAGAATTATTCGACGAATGGCTGTTTTTGTGATAATAGCAGACTGCTTTAGCTATTTATAGTGCCTATTACACCCCTCCACAACCTCCCCGCTTTTGTAACTCAACTGTCTATCCACCAGCCGCGAGGTCTTAGCCCATGAGCTGATCTGTGGTAAGAAAGAAGCCACGCTGCTAATCATGCAAAATAGCGAGAGCCAGTCAGGTGGTTGTTTGAGGTGACAAATGCACCCTATCTCAAGCCAACTGCTTTTGACACTCCACTTCTCTCTACACCTTGGGTCTCAGCCCACTGCCTGAGCAAAACAGCAAATGCCAAAAATGAACTAAATGGGCTCTTCTAAGAGACCCCTCTTATCGAGAGAGCAAAGTCCAATCGACTATGGTGTCTAAGACTTAACCTATAGACCCTACGCTTTAGAGTTACCTGTTTCGATGGGTCATATGAATGTAACAGGCCAGTTGTTACAGCAGCGCGGGACCTGATACCCGTTGGTCTGTAGGCGACCTGTCGAGCGCAGCACAACTGATTTCATGGTTGAAATGGAGTCAGACTACAACAGCTCAATGCCACATTCGAACATGGCTGGGAGACAAGATTTGAATTACAGCACACCTGTGTAGAAATGCGATAAGAAGTCTCTCAGTTTTAGGTTGAGGCATCTAAGTCAAATTTAATTTTTTTTGGAAATACCTCCGGTCGAGAATATACCTGGTCAATGTTTCCAGAAAAAAGAAATAAACTTGGGAGAATACCACACCGCATTCACATGATTTTGTTTGATCTCTTTGAATTGTCCTCAGCGCTAACAACCAAAACATAGTCACCTCGGCAGAATTAGGTATTTTATAATATACAGAACAAAAATTACGCGCGTCTGATTGGTTGAAAACGATAGCGTTTTTCGTGTAACATAAGTGCAAAGTTGTTACGCGAGTACGAATTACAAATAGCGCGCACGCGCGCTGTCAAGAAGTGGAGAGAAACACGAGAAGTAGTCGAGTGTTTCTCCCTACACTTCTTTCGTGCTCTTACCGCTTCCTGCGTGCTTTATAACAGAACAGAGCACACTCAAGGCTTCTCTATTTGTTTAATAAAGTATAGGGCTGAGCTAAAGCTATCACACCATCCGAATTGAACTATGTCCGATTATTTGCCGAACTTCTCTCCACCTTTTTTTCGAAAGTAAAATTTAGGAACAAGCCAGCCAGCAAATAGCAACAGAAGAACCAAACAAAGATTTGTAAACATGCCAAGCGCCGTAATTTACTTTATTATAACGTTAGCACATACGAAAATCCTCAAAGAGGAAACGAATTGGACAGTCCGAGTTTTGAAAGTTATCATGCTTAGTTAGATTGCAAGCTTAGGTACAGTAATAAAAATCAAACGCAGCTAACACTCGTATAGAATATATACTTTCGTGTTCAAAAACAAAAACAGAACAAAACAGGAATGATGAAGATGTAGCCAAACTGGCATAACTGTTAAAATTCATACTAATCCTGTTGGGGTCCATCGCGGCTAGCTCATCATGGCGATCTTAGGTCATCGCGGTAAAGCAAGCCTCAGAAATTACATCGGCCGCCCTTCGTGTGAACAACTCAGAGCTTGATCTGATATCCTTTCCGGTGCGTTAAGTGGAAGACTACATCACACATGTTACTTGTTGATCATTTACACGAAAAAAGCATCACAGGAAGTCAAGACAGACGAAATTTTGACAGCGTGCGCGCGCTATTTGTAATTTGTACTTTGCACTCGTGTTAAAACTTTGCAGTCGGCGAGTTTTACGGCACTGTTATCCCGAGCAGTCTTTATGTCCCTATGAATTCTGCTGTCATTCATTCATAAAACACACGCCTTGAGCGGTTTGTTTTCGAATTGTCATGTGAAAAGAGTAAACCCTAAGCCGGATTCCACTGAACATTTCACGTTCAGATTCTATATTTTGGAGACTAAAAAACTTCAGGCAAAAGTGTTAAAATCGACTTACCAAACTGTTTCAGTTTGTAAACTATTGCAGATTGTGAACTTTGATGGTTTCACATTTTTGACAGCTTTAGTCTTGTTCAACCAATCAGATTATTTGAACCATTCTAACAAGGATTCTGATTGGCTTATTGTCGCGTGCTTTTTGAGAACATGGAGCATGCTGACGACACTGTTGTTCACTTTGGAAACAAAGAGATGCTCATGCGGGGAGTCGTAAGATTATTACAGAGCCTTATGGGAGGATCAGGGAATATTTTATCGTGACCGAACCAAAATCCTTCAACCTCCTCTCTTCCAAGCGATAAAATGATGACCGGTCCCTAGATAAAATATTTCGAGTACGTCGCATCAATGCAATTAATACCACGATCTGCCTTTTTTCCAGAGAACTTCTAAGAATTTTCTCTGTTGAGGCAGCTAAGATCATCGGCTTCTCGCTGCAATCAGCACATATGTTTCTAGACGGCCCTGTTACAGTGTGAAAGAATTACAGAGAACGTGGGAAACATTGACGCGATTCCTAAGGCTGATAGTGCCTTCATACACAACTATAATTTTGTTAATGGCTCTTGCTCTGGCTCGAACTTGTTGCGCGTCACTGCATAACTTCGTGCACTAGAATTCAGGGGTCATTTAAAACGAATCAAGTATAAACGCAATTATAAGAACGATTTTTCTAAATAGTATCTATCTTTTCTGGTATACGTAGCCAGCGGATTTGATGGGGAGCTCTTGAGTAAGATGCGAAGCCGCAGTGGGGATGAAAAAAAAATTTCCACGCCCCAGGAGCGAGATACCTCACAAGCTAGGTGATTGCCTGACAAAAAGAAAGATCAAATCTAATGAAATATTTTAAACCTCCAAACGTGGTGAATCAGTTGCCAAATAAGTGTAACATATTTAGCAACTGGTTCGCTATCTTAAAATTGCTCACGTAGTGCGACAAAATATGTCCACTGACATGTCTCCATCGTTGAGACTGTTGTCGATTTTAAGACTTTGAAGCCTGTTTCTTTCCAGTTGAGTATTCTTTAGCTCGTTTGCTCTTCGTTTTCGAGGTCTACAAAGGTGTATTTTGGTCTAGAACGGATCAGAAAGAAGGAAAAACTACCTTGATAATTGTAGAGTATATGGTCCGACATTGGGACTGTTGTCATCGTTGATTCCAAGACTTTGAAGCTCTTTTCTTTACAATTGAGTATTTTTACGCACATTACCTCTGCGTTTGTAAGGTCTCTACGGGTGCCTTTTAATCAAGGATAGAGCGAAAAGAGAAAAGACAGCCAGACCATTCTAGCCTACGACATGATATTGGGAACAGAGGTAAGCTAACAAGGGAGGCTTGTGATTCCCATCTCCGCATCCCCTTAAGAACGCCTGGGACTATGATGCCGATTTGGCGACCAAGACGACAAAAAAAACGGCTTGCATTTTTAGACTCGAGCTTTCTTACGGAAGCATGGATAAGAAGTTTAGTCAGAGTTCCATATAACAAACTCCTTACTAACATCGCTTACTTGGGCCATACTGAGGAATATTGGCTCTCTGTCGTTTTCATACTGTTTCATACTGTTTCATACTGTCACGAACTTGGGCCAACATTCCCTAGTCGGTTAGTAAGAAGTTAATAGTCACGATTTAATAATTTAACAATGCCCAAACTGTCTTAAATTATTATGGGTCATTAGAAAAATCCCGGAACGTACTTGAGGAAAGCTAGGAATTGTGACATTCTCATTTTCCTGATTTTTTCGATCCTACAACAGCTTGAGATATCAATTTAAAGCTCTTGATATGCAAAGATCATTTTCTCCAGCGAAGATTGACACGTGAAACGTCAGCGTTTCCAAAATTCGTTGGTACAGTTAGCCTACATTCAGTTTATTAGCCTTCCAGGCCTGGAGCGGAATAGTAAATGAGGAGGTAGTAGAGTGAAAAAAACGAGAGAGGTTTGGGGTCGATCTGCGTAATCGACCCATACCTCCTTTGCTTTTTTCGCTCCTCCTCTACTATTGCGCCATTTAGGCGTCTTTTACCATTTCGCTCTGAAATACTAAGTGGAACAGGCATTCAGTCAGTTATCAAATTTGACTAATTGCTTTATTAAAAATTTGTTCAATCATTCGAAGTTTAATCATTCAACAAATACAAGCACAGTAGAAGGCAATTACAAAAGCGGAAATACATATGCGAGCAAAGCTTCATCAGCATATTTCACGATAAGTTTGCAAAACAATGAATAACACCATGACGGAAAGCTCAGAATAATAGGTTACTGAGGAAAGAGAGAATTACATTCCAGGAAAGTACAGGAAGCTTTAGAATGGAGAATATCAATATACATATTGCGTTATGATGCACTTTCTAAATGTCGTCCTTGTGTTTTACGTACAAGTCAGAATACCTCCACATTAAACAAAGTAGTGGAACTGGGTTCAGGTTTCTTAGCGCACTTCGTTTATATCTGAATTTTCTGGAATCTCTATATTTTTCATCTGCTCGCCTATTTCTTGTTCATTTTGAATGTTTTCGGTTATTGGCTCGTTGCGAGAATTTTGATATTGATTTCGAAACAGTTTTTAATGACAGTTTCAAATGCTATGGCCTGGTTTTCGACACTTTCGCGGCAGAGCTAGCCTGGGTCTGTCTTCCGTGTGTGTGTGTGCATTACTTGCTGGTCATTCTGAGCATCTCCAGTTTGTAAGACACATGATTTTGTCCCTCAAACCTAGCGATACTCCTTCAGCGGAAGTGGAGAGGCTCATGAACGACCTTCACTGAACTCTAAGAGACTCCAATTTCATTTAATTATTTTCAATTTTCCCTTCCTCCGGATGCTAAATAGGGGTCTAATACTGTTAATGATAATAATTTTTTCCTCTTTCGTGGACGTTTTATTCATATGTTGGTTTATCAAACTGTTTGCCGACACCGGCCCTCTGGATGAAAGGATTTCTGATATTGGCTTCACACCGAGATAAAATTGAGGTATGTTAGCTGACGTGTTCAGTTCTAGATTGGACCTTCTACTTCGCAATGCCACAAATAGCGGATGTTTTAACTTTATGTCGATTTATGTCCACAAAAGTCCCTCCTCAGTTTTTCATCTGCTTTCCCGGAAAGATGGAGGGCACACACGAGTGAAAAATCTATCCTTTATTAAAACACATCCTGTACCTTACAATGAATACGGCAAGCGGAACAGTACCAGTGCAATTAACGATACATGCATCTGATCGAAGCAGGAGCCGTCGAGACGTTTCGAAAACGACTTGGTATTTTTTCTTAGTTCCCAGATATGATATCACTATTTTTTTTCTCTATAAAAGAGTTTTTGCGACCATTTTCAGCTTACCCTAGTACAACATGGGTACGTCATAAAGAGTTAACGAATGCGTGCAGAGAAGATATTTTGATAGCGGCGATTCTTTGAGATAAAAATATCCAATGTAATCTTCTGGAAACTGGTTGCGGTCTTTGAAACCTTTCCATAGCACTTTCCTGAAAAATATTTTTAGGGTTCGCCACCTTATCAATATCTGCTGATTGCAATATCAAATATGCTTACCTTTCATGAAGGCTTACATGAATAGCTCGTGAAAGCTTACTTCGAGTAACCCATTTTGCTCCAAAATAATATACTTGGTCAGTCAGTTGTTCATCATTTTTTTTCTCCAGATACACACAGCAAAGAATTTCAATGACTTGAGCTGAAAGTGCTAACGAATTTCAATATATGTCAATTACTTGACACCAGGAAATTTTTATTACAAAGGGCTCTGATATTGTTGTTGTGGTGTTGCAAAAGACGTGGAAAGTTTTGTCCTAGACACGTTTCACTTTGGAACCTTGACTTAATATGTGATGTGCAGAAAATTTTTCAGCTGAAAGCCAACATTTGAGAAATTTAACGAAGATTTGATGAACAGACATGTCTTTTGTCGGTTGTGATATCTCACGGAAGTAAAGTCCAGTAATTACAATTAATTTCAAATGCATAATATTAATCCCTTTTGAATGGCATTAAAACCGTTTTATTTGTAATAACATAAAGAGACTTAATCTTTAACGAAGAATAGTTACATTGTAACACTTTCGCTCGAAAACAGACAAAATTCAGGAACAGTAAAGAAAAAAAGTGCTTGAGAGAACAGCTGTCCGTTTTTGATATCGGAAACAACAACAAATCAAACTTAAATAAGTCTTGAGTTGAATATAATGATGACATATTGTACATGCATTCATTTAAGATTCAACTGGCTGCAATAGATATCTATTTTATTTCAAAGTATTTGTTGGGCTCGAAACTAAAATAAAATTAATTTGACAAGACAGGGACAAACACAAGGGCATGTCAGACAAAAGTGCCTGATAAAATATGCTTATTCAACAAATAAAAACACGGAAGTCAAAAGTTCTGAATCCACCTCTTTTTGTTTCGCTGCTTAAAATACTCATAATATAGCGCCTATCGAACGCGGCTTCCATGGTTGCTTCATGCTGTCTAATTACGTACTGATTGAAAATCGCATCGCTCTGAGTAAACTTGAAAGTCGTCACTATGGTCAGGAAAGAAATCACTTGATTTCCTATATTTCAGAAAGGGGTCAGACTACTTAAGCAGCCCGAGTATGTTAAAAAAAGGTACAACAGTCAACCTGGGAAAGTGAACAATCACTAAGAAATCAATAGATTTGGCCGCAACACGGTTTTGCAAGAGTGGCAAAACGTTATTTATTTATTTATTTAATTTATTTTTTGATACCACACGCGGAGAATATGTGGTTGGCTCATTCAAAGTCAGCACTACTTTTTTTTGCTGTTGTTTTTTTGTTGACGAACTTAAGCTCCGAACTGTAACTTAAGTGTCTGCATTGTGTCTGTGATGTGCTGTAGTCTACCGCTCATAGATTGTAATTGCCTCACCCAGTGTAAGTAAGTATTGCTTAGTTTGAAGAGTAAGCTAATAATGGATTTAAAATTCGTTACGCAAGTAGTGCAAGCATCATATAATTTGTAGTGTTAGCTAGTTTAACAGAAAATCATCAATCATTTAAGTAGTCTTTAAACGTGAGTATTGATAAATAGAAATAGAAATAGGGGTAGTATTGTAAGTAACGTAAGCGTTGTAAGTATCGTAATTACTGTAAGTGTTTTACGTACTATTAGTATCGCCCTGTTGTATGTAAGTAAATGTCAATATAGACAATTTCAGACAAAAAAAGCGCTGCATAAACAGCTTTGCAGCTTATTTAGCACAGCTTTCAAGGATGCTTAGTGTCACTGGTATTATATAGTTAAGGTCTTAAGAGCGCGATTCAGTAAGTTCAACTAACGTCAAACCAACACTCTGATTAATCGCTATTTTAGGAAAAAATTTGTCCTATCTGTCAGTTTATTTGATATTACTACCAACATCTAACATTTGAAACCTGCAACCTTCAATTGTCCATCAAGTTCCAAAGACGACTTAAAAGAGGTACGGCCAGTTGCAAAAACCAGTCGGAGTTGCGAAGGTAAACTATCAACCTTTCTTCATAAAACGAAGGTAAGTGAGTGCTTCATCGTTGTCACAATGCTAGTTATGTCAAGCAATGTTCTTCAAGGATTTTTTTTAACAAGCTAAGGAAAAGCGATCTCAAATATCCTTTTGCGTGGCTGCCAAATTTTCCTTTTTTTTTCAGCAGCCATAATTCGCAAGAGAATATCAACTGTCGCTGATCTCGATAAAAAGATCGAACAGGTGTGTTTTCGCAGTTCAGATGAGTGTTGAGAACAAAAGGGAAATTAGGTGAATGTGGAATAGTAAATTTCGACCATAAACGCTCGCTGGTTATCGTGCTATAAGTAATTAAGAGCTCTAAGGTACCTAGAGTCCCAGTAGAAGTTCGGAACAAATTGAGGATCAGTAAATTTGCTATCGAAAAGTTGGCGGAAATTCAGCGTCGGCTAACGGTTTAGTTTTAAATTTGTTAGCAGGCAATTTTTCTACGCTTGTTTCAGTTGAGGTGTTAAAGTCAATTTTAGACTAGCTTTTTATTAAACTATGATGAGTGCAACTGCACGTTGCTTAAGGATGAAAATGTAGAAATAAAACCAAACTCGTTCCCTTTCCAATCACTTGTGGGACTCCTAGTTACGGGCTCATCTAGTTCTAAATCAAAGTTTTTTTTCCACGGGCTTAGAACCGTATTCTGCTTTATACCCCTTAAAGGACATTTGGTAACTTACCCCTATTCCTCCCTCCATATATTTGATTTCTTCCCTTAACCCCTCCCCCCATATGCATAATCTCTCTCACCTCTTACACTTCCTTCCTTCTCCAGAACAGTTAGAGAGCATGAAAATTATATGCAATTTTCTACTCATATGCCGCAAAGAGTGGAAAGCATGCATTCCATAAGCCTTTTGATAAAGGCTTAATTTTACTTTTTTATTTGTTTAACAGCACCATGTTGATGATAACCTTACTTATGGTGGCGTTCTTGGCTCATGTCACGCAAGGTGTAACCAGGTACAATACTGGCAGGGGCACCGTTTACAAGCTATCAGTGGTACAAGATGTCACGCTTGAACGTCCAAACAGAAACTTCAACTATTTGCCGTTCCTTCTCGTTTCTCAGCATCCTGGTTATCCCAATAAACGATCGCTTGTAAAGTTTGAACAGCTACCGAGGTACTGCCCAGCTCACAAGATAGTATCTGCGAAGATGTACCTGTACTATGTCTACGCACATAAAGCCAGCTGGCATCCTATTACCAGAACCCCTTTTATTCCCCGTTATATGCAGGTTCATTTGGTGAAAAAATCCTGGAACGAGTATCAAGCTACCAGCTCCAAGCGTTCATCATATGCCTATTGGTCGAAGCGATACCTTGGTTTGGATAACACTGACGCAGAGGCTGTTCCTCAGGATCGATCACCAGTTGTTATCTTTCCATATCGCCCTCGAGGCTTCGTGGAGTTCGACATCACACGAGCAGTCAGAAGTTGGCAGAGAGGAGTACCTAACCACGGCCTTGTGATCCGTGCAATTAATGAGTTTCAGAGGGGAAGAGGCATTCGGTTTGCAAGCAACGCGGATCGCGATCGTTCAAGACATGCGTATGTGCTTGTTCTATGCAGACAGTAAAGAAAACTTGTCGTTCTTACCCTCCCTGTTATCAAGATAATAGTTTAATCGTGTCGTATCACAGATAGGGGGTTGCTTGTATCTGCACTCTGTGGATGACAATAAAATATCACAAATAGCCTGTTTTTATTTTTACTCGTTTCTGCATGCACACCTGTAGCTTTAGGAGATATAATTGATGAACCAGTGACATGGTGATTCACTCTACATTAATCCATCATGCCCAAAACATTATTCATGTAGAAAGACATACACTGTTTAGTAACAACGTGATTATAAACTGTTTTATTACATCGCTGGTAGCGCCCGTGGGCAAAATAAAGCGAATCCTGTGTTCTGATTGGCTACCTGAGCCATCTTGCCCTCTTTGATCCCGCGCAAGAAAAGGAAGTTCGTTCGGTGGACCTAAAGAGTTCGTTATTTTTGGACAATGTCGGTGATAAAGTCGAAAAAAAAACAGTAGACGACAGTCACAAAAAGAAAATATAAAATGTTATCGTTGGTTTGTTGTGCTACAAACACATTTGGCTGTCTTCCCTGGCTCCCTCTCGAGATCGCAGTATATCTTTGGTCAGGGACTAATGGAGATACAATAGTATCAGTTTGCTTTTCGTAGTAAAATCAGATGGAATTATATTTTTGAGGCGACCGACTGTGGACGATTTATTTTGATTTTGTTCCTGTTAGAGGAACGGTTGTAAGCGAAGTCTCTTTTGCAACCGTTATTTGGTCTCGTCACGCAATGGCTCTCTCTCCAATGGGGAATAGAGGGCGTTGTGTGACGAGACCAAAAAACGGCTGCGAAAGAGACCGCAGTATGCGTGGCACCGATACATTTTATTTTTGATGAGAAGTACTTATACAATAGGGACAATAGACCACAAAATGCCTGTGTGATTTAAGATAAATTAGGTTTTTTCTGTTTCTCTTAAAGTGAAGTAATGCGATATTTTCGTTCTTTTGAAGGTTATGAAAACCATAGGAATACAAAGTGTCCCATCTCGACCTACACAGCTGAGAAAATAACTTGCATGCTACGCATGCCTATGTTTAACAGAGCGGTAGAATTTCCGCACAGCCCCATACTATTGTAAAACAAATCTGTTTTCCCAATGGCAATGTATTGTTTTAGTCATTGTTTTCTCTATTCAAGAACTGAATTCATAATGAAGTATGGGGCTGTGCGGAAATTTTACCAACAGAGCAAAATTTCTTTGCTGTATGTATGAAATTCTTTATTGACCAAACTTTTTCGCTCAAGATGGCTGGAAATTGACTAAAATTTGTTTTATGGTATAGCCCAAGTTTGAAACAGGCATCGACTAAACATTCTCATGGAGCTTGATCTCGTGATTTGTTTTATTGCATTACATTAAGGGCCCGCGCTAATTTTTCGCAATTAAGGGTGCCACAAAGAAGGATGCACATTGGAATTCCAATGAGCAAAACAGCGTAATTAACGATACATGGTTCTGATCACAGCAGGAGCCTTGGAGACGTTACCAAAAGCAAGTGCTATTTGTTGTTTTTCCTGGATGTAATATTGCTGTTTTTTTCTCCAAAGAAAAAGTTTTGAGATTATGTTTGGGTTACCATAGTACTGCGTGGGTACAGCACTTAAGAGTTACTGGTGCGTGCAGCGAAAGTATTCTTTTAGCGGCGATTGTTTGTAATAAAGTATCCAATGTAATATGCTGGAAACTAATGTTTGCGGTTCATTCTCTAAAAAACCTTTTTTATGTGTTCACCGCCTTCTCAATATCTGCTGATTGTAAAATCAAATATGCACACATGTTCTGCTAATTTGTGTGAAAATCAGGTGCTGTTGGTGACTCAATTTGCCGCTAAATATTGCACTTGCAGACAGTCCTTCTGATTTCTATGCTTGGGAATCTCCAGATAAAAACAGCAAAGAATTTATGTGACTTGATCTAATAGTGCAAACAAACATCAATATATCTCCATCAGATTTTTACACAAGTAATCTAAATGATAGGCACCAAGAGCTCTGATATTGCTTTTGTGCTGCTAAGAAAAAACGTGGAAAATTTAGCCTATTCTAAACAAGTTTTACTCAGGAACTTTGACTTAATATGCGATGTGAAGAAAAGTTCTTGACTAAAACCGAACGTTTAGTACATTTAAAGTAGAGGTGACGTGAAGATACTTTTTGGTTGTGATATCTCACGATGTTGAAGTCCAGTGACTATGAAGTTCAAATGTATACTATTTATTGCCTTTGTATGCTCGGCATGAAACCGTTTTACTTGTAATGACAATATTAGAGAATTAAGCTTTAACGAGAGAGAGTTATCCTTTAATATTTTCGCTCGAAATCAGGCAAAGTTCGGGAACGGCAAGAAAAAAGTACTTTGGAGACCAAGCTTCTTTTTGATATTGAAAACACAAATCAAACTTAATGATAAATATTGGATGACTTAATGATATGGTTCAATTAAGAATCAACTGCCTGCAATAAACCTCTATTGTATTTCAAAGTCTTTGTTTGGCTCGAAACTAAAATAAAGCAAATCTAATTTAGGAAAGCGTTGACAAAACAGGAACAAAAACAAGGGCTTGTCAGACAAAGGTTCTAGATGAAATGGAATTTCGCAAAAATTCTTATTGAACAAATTAAAAACACAGAAGTCGAAAGCTTTAAATCCACCTTTTCAGTTTAATATAACACCTATAATATGTCGCGATAATATAGCACCTATCGAACACAGCTATGTCTGATTGGAAATCGCATCATTCTAGGTAAAATCTTTGAAATTCTTCATTATTGTCCGGCATGGAAAGAAATCACCTGATTTCCTTTATTTCAGGAAGGGGCCAGACTACTAAGGCAGCCCGAGCACGTTGAAAAAGAGGAAAGAAAATCAGTAAATTTGGACTCAACACTCTTTCTGCAAACGCGGCAAAGCAGCTAGTGTTACGTAGTTAGGGCATTAAGTGCATGATTCAGCAAGTGCAGCTAACGTCAAACTAACACTCAAATATGTGTTTGTTCATTTGATATTAATATCCGCCAACATCTAGCATTAAACCATGCAATGTTCAATTGTTCGTCAAGTTCCGGTTTCGAATTCCAATGACGACTTAAAAGAGATCGCGGTGAGTTGCAAAAACCAGTCGGAGTTGCGAAGGTTAGCTATCAATAGCACTTCATTAAACGAAGGTAAGTAAGTGCTTCATCGTTGTCACAATACTAGTTATGTTGAGCAGATTTGCACTTTTTTTAACAAGCCAAGAAAAGAGTTCTCAATTTTCCTTTTGTGTGTTTGCCAATAATTCGCCAAAGTCAACATTTTTCGCTGACCTCGTTAGTAAAATTGAACGGAAGTTTCTTTGCAGTTTAGATGAGTTTTGAGAACAAAAGTGAAATAAGGTGAACGTGGAATAGTAAATTTTGTCCATAAACGCTTGCTGGTTATCGATTTAAAGGTAATAAAGGGCGCTAAAGTTGAAAATTGAAGACGAGTTTTATATTCGCCATATCACGACCATGTTACGATTGAAAAAGAATAGAATGCAGATGAATCCCTAATCATTAAAATCTGCTTTAATATACAGTTGAGCCTTTCTGTTGCCTCCCAACATATTTCGGTGATATATCGATAGTCATTGAAATCATTTATTTTCTTATAACAGAGTGCGTAGGTTTTTAAAGAAAATCTGGTGCTGCGTAAATGGTGGGGAATAACATGATAATTTGGTTTTATCACCTGAGTTAATAACGTAAATTGGCCACCGTAAAGAGTTTCTAAGCTCTTGAAGCCGGCTTGGTTGATGAATGAAGGGAAAAAAAGTCAGCCTGGTGTTAGTTCATTTTAAGGATTGATCAGTGATTTCAATTTCAAGACTATTCGCCACTTTTAGAATTTTACAGTCAATCGAAAAAAATATGTTTTATTAGCTGTTCAGTGACGCACAGGAGGCTTGGGAATCTTTTTGGTCTTTTCTGAGTGCAAGATCGGGCTAGATGAACTTATTATTTTCACTCATCTGTTCATTTCAGAAATTCCTTTTGTGCTAATTCAAAGACCAGGCAGAAACCGACCATCATCATAGAGCCACCATGACACATGTCAAATGTCTGTTGGGAGTCGTCGTTTTTGTCCTTCTGGGTAGGAAGTAAACTTTTTATCAGCATTGATCATCTTACTTCTAATTATAAATCAGCGATCCTCGGATGGCTATAGCAGTAATAATCCGGCAGTCTGGCAGTGGTTACATTTGGACTTATCCGAGTGCTCGAAAACGTAGGAGCAAAAATTATCTTTGATATTTTCAAGATTCTCAACTAGATGGCGACCGAAGCTAAAAGAATTTAGAGTGCTTTTCTGCTGAGTCGTAAAACCAAAGCCTCAACAATCTCGACGGCTAACAAGAGAGAGAAGAAAATTGTCAGAAAGAGCTAACGAGAGGTCAAAGAGTAGGGAAACACGGGTTACAATTGGAATGACTTATAGTTTTCTGCCAAAATTAAATTTTGAGTCGGTTCATTGCCTCACGTTCATTTCAGTAGTTAATAAACATTGTTTCTTTTTTTAAAGCCATAAAGGTCCTCTGTCAGGACCCTATTGATCAATCTGAACACGAGAATTTGATACTACTTTGTGATCCGCACCGCGCGAACGGTCACTGCTGTGGCGGAATAGGTTATCATCCACTTTCACAGCTGTGCTGTTCAGGCGCTATTCAACCGGTTAGTGGTCCTCAATACTCTTGCTGCAGGAAAACTTTCTACAATACTGGAACACAGCTCTGTTGCTCAGGTGTCGTGAGACCAAAGAGTCACTCACAAAACGCTTGCTGTGGAACTTCAGCTTACGACACTACCAGACAGATCTGTTGCATTAAATCCATCTTTCCAAAATTCTACGGCAGAACTCTTGCCAAATGTTGTGGGTAAGAACGCATTTTAAAGGCAATTTTATACGTAGAAGCCAGTTTACTCACTTGAGGGGTCTCAGGTTTTCGTTTTTGTGACATCATTTTGTTAATGGCTGCGATAAACTTGTAAGATGAATAAGTTGTTCGGTATTTCTTCGTCTTCCTTTAATAGTGTCATTGTAAATTGGCAGTTTCTTCTTCTGTTGAAACATACGATCGCCTTTGTGTGCTCATTACCTGGTTTGATTCTTCCACATGAAATCCATATGATACGTACAAATTACCTCACTTTAAACAGTCAAGATCTGCAGGATGACTTGAGCGGTTTCGAAAATAAGCGCCATCATTTCGATGGATTTTATCAGGGTTTTTTTGCATTTCATTCGGGTTTTCTGATAATAAGTATGAGTTATGTTCATGTAGCCATAACCAGACGAGTACAAATGCAGTATTATTTGATCTGAATTAACTTCTTTCAAGTTATTTTAACAATTTTTTATTTTCATTCCCCGTGATAAATACTCTGCAAAAGTGCTTTTTTTTTCAACTCAAATCTAAAGCAGAACTGTTAAGCAGAGTAAAATACAAATCCTTAAAAAATTTTTCCCTTTAGCTCTGGATCCTACTACTTTACTTTTGTACTCTTGCATTAATCCTTATTGTTCAGAAAAATGTTTCTTTCGTCTTGTCATGCGTCAGCGTGGAACAAAGAAAATTCTGAGCAAGATAGTAAATCTCAATCAGGAATCTTTTTTTGGGGTCTTTAGATCTGCACGCTATAATCCCACTACCGGAGGATGCTGTGCTTGGAGACAGCCATATTCTACCTCTACTCAACTCTGCTGTGGAGGAAAGGTTGTTCAGAAAATCAGAGGCTATGCCTGCTGTGGAAAAAGAGTTTATAACACCAACACCCAGGTAGATATCAACGAAATGATTTGATAGATGGCGAATTTATACAATATAAACATGATCAGTTTATAACTAATCGAGATTACAGAAATACATCTCATTTTTATTCTTGAAGTGGTGATTTCTAATACATTACAGACTCGCATGAAAACATCGTAAGCTCCCTCCCTCGTTGAGTTATCAATATTTATGGTAGCACTATTTCAGATACTTCTTTATTCACTGTTTTTACTATACTTGCCATCTTTACGCTATTATGCCAGGGTCATAATAGATGAAATAGAGAAATAGAGAAGCTTAGAGAAATACTAAGAGATCTCGATTTAAGAAGATATCAATAGAGAAAAGAGCAAGTCTAAGATCATTTTACTTTTCCTGATTCTCATATTTACTCGTGGTCTTCAATTCGTAAAGTAGTATTTAAAGATAAATTAGAGGAATACATGAAACAACTTGGTGTTGGTGGTGTTGTTCCAAATCAAACCATGGATCGGTGAGCTGTTGTGGCACGACAGTGATCTTCTCCAATTATCAACGTTGCTGCGATAATAGAGTGTATAACCCATCAACTCAGGTAGATAAGTTTTGAAGGTTATCTCTGACAAAACGTGCAGCTGAGGTCACCGAAAGTGAACTTATAGAAACTTGTTGCCCAAGGAGCACTAAAAAAAAGCATCTCCTTGCGACTAAATTGCTTTTACATATATAAGAGTATGCATGGAAGGGAATCAATAGCAAAAATACATTGACTATGAAAATACTGCTCAGTGTCTTTCGTTTCATCGGTGGAGTACCTTTCAGATTAAAGCCCAAAATTATAGACGCTTAACCCTCATTTTGCAGACTCCCCACTTTAACACTCAAGTAAGATCATTTAAGAATTCCTTGAAATAATCCCGAGCTTTGTTCTGAGCATGTTTAAATTTGATTTTCTGTTTTTCATTTTTTTCTTTTATTTGGTTTATGTTTAACGCTGAAATACTATTTTCCATGCTCTTGTGTAGGTTTGCTGCTCAGGAGTAATCTCCAAAAAACCACACGGTGTATCAACTCCAAGATGCTGTAAAACCCTACCCTACAACCCAAACACTCAAGTAAGATCATTTAAGAATTCCTTGAAATAATCTTGAGCTTTGTTCTGAGCATGTTTAAATTTAATTTTCTGTTTCCCCTTTTTTCTTCTATTTGGTTTATGTTTAACGCTGAAATACTATTTTCCATGCTTTTGTGAAGGTTTGTTGCTCAGGAGTAATCTCCAAAAGACCACACGGTGTATCAAATCCAAGATGCTGTAAAACCCGACCCTACAACCCAAACACTCAAGTAAGATCATTTAAGAATTCCTTGAAATAATCTTGAGCTTTATTTTGAGCATGTTTAAAGCTAACTTTCTGTTTCTCATTTTTTTCTTTTATTTGGTATATTGTTATTCCTCGCTTATACATTGTACCCACATTTTTCAGAAACCTTGGACTGAGAACAAAAATTTAAAATAAAACTTATTGATCAGGCAGCGCAAAAACATGCGTTCAATGGGTTCATCCACAGCACCAACACCCAGATAGATATCAACGAAATGATTTGATAGATGGCGAATTTATACAATATAAACATGATCAGTTTATAACTAATCGAGATTACAGAAATACATCTCATTTTTATTCTTGAAGTGGTGATTTCTAATACATTACAGACTCGCATGAAAACATCGTAAGCTCCCTCCCTCGTTGAGTTATCAATATTTATGGTAGCACTATTTCAGATACTTCTTTATTCACTGTTTTTATTATACTTGCCATCTTTACGCTATTATGCCAGGGTCATAATAGATGAAATAGAGAAATAGAGAAGCTTAGAGAAATACTAAGAAATCTCGATTTAAGAAGATATCAATAGAGAAAAGAGCAAGTCTAAGATCATTTTGCTTTTCCTGATTCTCATATTTACTCGTGGTCTTCAATTCATAAAATAGTATTTAAAGATAAATTAGAGGAATACACGAAACAACTTGAAATAAATTGATATTCACTTTCTCCGACGATTAAATTTTCAGGTATGCTGTGGTGGTGTTATTCATCCCAAACCAAGCCATGGACCGGTGAGCTGTTGTGGCACGACAGTGATCTTCTCCAATTATCAACGTTGCTGCGGCAATAGAGTGTATAACCCATCAACTCAGGTAGATAAGTATTGAAGTTTATCTCTGACAAAACGTGCAGCTAAGGTCACCGAAAGTAAACTTATAGAAACTTGTTGCCCAAGGAGCACTAAAAAAAAGCATCTCCTCGCGACTAAATTGCTTTTACATATGTAAGAGCATGCATGGAAGGGAATCGATAGCAAAAATATATCAACTTTGAAAATACTGCTCAGTGTCTTTCGTTTCATCGGTGGGGTACCTTTCAGATTAAAGCCCAAAATTACAGACGCTTGACCCTCATTTTGCAGACTCCCCACTGTCTCTGGCAAAATATTTTCTTCCACTCTCAGTACTTCTTTCCCCCTGAAAATTTGATTATCGATACTCCTCGTGTTGTCAACCCGAACTAGCAGTCTCAGTGATATCTTCAAAAGATAAAGTTTATGGTTAGCGCTGAAATACTATTTTCTATGCTCTTGTGTAGGTTTGCTGCTCAGGAGTAATCTCCAAAAAACCACACGGTGTATCAACTCCAAGATGCTGTAAAACCCTACCCTACAACCCAAACACTCAAGTAAGATCATTTAAGAATTCCTTGAAATAATCCTAAGCTTTGTTCTGAGCATGTTTAAATTTAATTTTCTGTTTCCCCTTTTTTCTTCTATTTGGTTTATGTTTAACGCTGAAATACTATTTTCCATGCTTTTGTGAAGGTTTGTTGCTCAGGAGTAATCTCCAAAAGACCACACGATGTATCAAATCCAAGATGCTGTAAAACCCGACCCTACAACCCAAACACTCAAGTAAGATCATTTAAGAATTCCTTGAAATAATCTTGAGCTTTATTTTGAGCATGTTTAAAGCTAACTTTCTTTTTCTCATTTTTTTTCTTTTATTTGGTGTATTCTTATTCCTCGCGTGTACATTGTACCCACATTTTTCAGAAACCTTGGACTGAGAACTTCAAAAATTTAAAAAACTTATTGATCAGGCAGCGCAAAAACATGCGTGCAATGGGTTCGTCTACATGCATTAAAAATAATGCTCAGCGGCTTTTATTTCAGTGGCAAAACTGTGGTACCCATCATTGGTGGAGTATCTTTTAAACGAACAACAAAAACTTCTGACAAACCACACATAAACCATCCCTGACAGATTCGTTTTCTTCCACTCTCAGTAATTAATTAATTCTTTCTAAAGCGTATTTGATTATCGATAATCTCCGTAGTTAAATTCCCGAAAATTACCGTCTATGTGATCCAAAATTAAGGTACGTTTTACTCTGAAATGCTGTGTTTCATGTTCTTTTTGGTAGGTTTGTTGCTCAGGAGTAATCTCAAGTAAACCATTTCGTGTATCAAATCCAAGCTGCTGTAAGACCACACCCTATAACCCAATCACTCAAGTAAGATCATTTGAGAATTCTTGGATATGGTTGAACGCTTCATTTTGAGCAATTTATAAATTGATTTCTCTCTTTTTCGGTTTGTTGTTTCTCTGTTTTGTTATATTCTAAGTCCTTGCTTGTACATGGACCTCACACTTTCCAGAAACCTGCAGCTGAGAAAATTAAAAATTGAAAATAAAACTGCTTGCTCAGCCAACACTGGAAAGAAACAATTTAAAATAAACCCCGGAGTGTATCAACTCCAAATTGTGGTGAAAACCGACCCCACCACCCAGACTCACGAGTAAAGTCATTTGTGAATCGGAGTTATGGTCATAGGGATAATTTTGAGAATTTTGTTTTGTAAATGCAAAGTCCTCGCCAGTATATGGAACACGTACCGTTCAAAGTCCACTCCTTTCGGTCAAATGCAAAACGGTGACGAGCGAAATCTCGGCGGGATATGGCATTTTTCAGAACAATAGAAATGCAATATTCTGAGTTGAAATTCAATAATTCATTGTTGATAATTTTCCTATTCTGACTGGCGTAAACGAGTATAGGCGGACTTTTCCATTATTTTGTCTTTACAATTCGTTGCCGTTTTGGTTTTGCCACCGATTCTTACCACTTTCAAATATCAAGGGAACAAGTTTGCCTTGCCATTATTGCTATAAAATGTTTTATCCTCCTTTTTTTTCCCTTTTATCCCTCTCTTCAAATGTAATATCTAGATAAACGAATGAACAAATGAATCAACAAAATAACAGCTACATTGATGTTAAGAGGATTGACTAGTGGACCAAGACCCATTTTGCAGTTGCGCCGGTGCTAAATCAAATTCCATTAACGGATTTCTTAAAACATTTTTTATTATAAAGATCTTAATTGTACTTTGTTTAACTTTTCAGGTCTGCTGTGGAGGCAGAGTATTTACCAACAAGCTTTGCTGCGGATCTGTACCGTATAATTCAAATACCCACTGCTGCAAATCAGGCTTCGTTCAACTTAAAGGCTGCTGCTATGGAAACTCACCGTTTTCACCCTGTCGCATACAACCTTGATCGAAATGTTGCAATTTTACTGTACCTAATGATTTAGAGGTGCTTTGCTTTAGCGACACTCTATAAACAGGTTTGTCGCCTTCAAACTTTGTGCTTGGGCCACAGCAGATTCTTAAGCAATGACTATTTTATGTACGTCGTTTTTAATTCAAATTAAACCTTCTCGCAGTTTTGATCTCACTTTCTTTAGTATGTTTATTATTATCCCTTCAATCAGGTATCCCTCATTGATTACATTTTTCTACAGAAGATATTACCATTTGAGAGATTAAATGAGATTGAACATTTCATTCCGTCACTTCCAAAGTAAAGACTCGAAAAATAAATTCTTAAAATTAGAGCCGCACCATAACCATGCACAAACATATACAACCCTTCTCGCGGGTTTATCACTTATTATTCAACATTATCTCCATGTTCTCTTATCTTTCCAACGTTGTGCCAATTTCTACAAATCGATTCTCCCTGTTGCTTCCAGAGCGCTGACGAATTCAGTGGAAAACTTCCGTTTAGATCTAATCTACGTGTTGCGTCACAAACCAACCCTCTGACAAGATTCAATAGATGCACGAACAACTGTGTTCAGAAGGACCGATTACAAGTTAAAACGGACTTGTCGTATCGACTGTAACTTTAATATCTCAATTACATGGTTAAGAGACCATGGTGGTATAATTATGCTGAAACTAGCAAACAAATTCTAGCCTACAAAGGAATAATTTTGTCTCGACGTGAAATTTTCGAATCAAAACCTACAAACATCCAAGACATCCAACGGTGTCGAGGCTCACAATTCTGATTTTTAATAACTCATTTCGTACGATTGAATCGTTGAAACTCATTTTCATATCTTCCCCACCCGTTGGACCTCCGATAGATGCCCGCATGAGATCAGGGCCATATGTTTCAGTCAGTCCAAGACGGCGTCGGATCGATACCCATGGGATATCATAAAACTCGCGAAATCTGAATTTTCCCGTAGGATTCAAGTCGTCAGTAACTTGTACTTGCAATGTTCTAAGTTTGAAGACGTTGAACATCGGTTTAATTAAGCAGCTTCTACCAATAAATAAATTTAAACCGCGTTAAAAAAATACAGTTTTAAAACATGGTCAAGCTTTGGTGGGTATGAGATATTCGACAGTTTCCAGAAAACCAAAAACAGGGAAAATATTTGTTCCGCAATAGCATCGGAACTTGAACTCATGGTTACTTCACTTGAAAACTTGACCTCTTAAGTTTCGGGTTGGATTGACAAGAAAAGGGATGATGTATGAAATGCTTTTCATCACGAAACTCAGACCTAATTTTAATGTCCAGACGGTCTCCATACGTGTGAAACTTTGTGTTTAGCTTGTCGGTTTAATTTTTGTTCGTTTGCTAGTTTCTCCGCTCTTATCACCTTTGCTCTTCCTAGTATTTATAGTCCCTGGTTTTTATCATTTTTTTGACTTAGTAATGACGTTTTAAGTAACATCGAAAGGTCGTCGCCTTTTCTACCTTTTTTTCGCTTTTTATAATGGTTTTTGAAAATGAGTTTTCGCAAATTTTTATTGTAAATGTTTTTTTTAAGTCACTTCTACGTTTAATTCTTGTGTTGGTTTTCAAACTGTTTACTGACACCGGTTCTGGCCGAGCGATTCCTGATCTTGGCCTCTCGTTGTGATAAAAACAGTATTTTCTTTTGTGCTCAGTTCTGGAATGTACCTTCTAATTTTTTAATACTACAAACAGCCTTATTATTACAGCGTTAGCAACGAGGAAATTTTTTTATTCTAAACACGTCTTATTCTAGACACCTTGGAAACTTGAATAAATGTATGATATGCAGAAAGTTTTCCGACTAAAAGTCAACATTTGAGACATTTAAGGAAGAGGTGATATGCAGAATTTTTTTTTTTTCGATTGCATGCATTCTAACTACAATAATAAATAGAGTACAAATCTCCCACGATATTGTACGGTTATTGTTCGTTACACTTGCGTGAGTTGTTTCAGCCACGCGTTTCTCACCCTTTGAGAAATGAATAAAGATGTTGGATAACAAATAACTTATAAAACTTTTTGGTGTGCCGGATCGCTGAGTATTGTTACTCGTTGTCTGTATTTTAACTCACCATGCAGGCTCGTCAAAATACAGTACAACTCGTTGATTTTTATACGGTTTATCGCTTTTGAATTGCTTTTAAAAACCATTCTATTTGTGATGGCAAAATGGGAAATTAATTAAGTTTATTATACGATATTGCAGCTTTAAAACGGACAACATTTAAGAACAGCAACTGAAAACATTAAGAATTGAAGAGCAAAATAAATCTGTGGAGGGCCATATTGATGGTATATTGCCTAACTAGTCATGCATTCATTTAAGGTTCAACTATAGCTAGCCATAAGTGATCTTTTATTTTGTCTTTGTTGGGCTCTAAACTGACATCAAATATCTTTATTTCTTTTGATTCAGGAAAGCGCTAACGTCAGAGGAACAAACGCAAGGGATGGTAAGACAAAGGTTCTTGATGGAACGCAGTTCCGCAAAAATCCTAATTCTGCAAAAATAAAAAAAATTTTAAAAAAGTCACTTTGAATCTATTTGTTATTGTTTTTTTCCAACGCTGTTGAAAGTACCGATGGCACCTAACGAACACAGCTTTCATGGTTGCTTCAGACAGTCCAATCATATACTGGGTGATTTAGTATTATCAACTGAGTTGATAACGTAAATTGGCCACCGTAAAGAGTTTCAAAGCTGATGTTTTGAGTGCTAGCCATTTGTCAGAGCGATTGACGAAGAAGATCGAATCGTCGGACGTATTACTCTGACGAAGGGCTAAACGTCAGCTTTGAAACTCTTTACGGTGGCCAATTTACGTTATCAACTTAGTTTATAATGCTTAATTACCCTGTTATACTCTCCCACCGACGCAACACCATAGTTTGTCTAGAGACGTACCCGCTTTATTCAGTCATATAGTGATTGGACATCGCATTGTCTCAGGTGCACGTTTTTGAAATTCTTCACCATCGCTTGGTATGAAAAGAAATATATTAGTTATTTCAGGATGAGGTTGCGATAGGCACGTCAACACACGTGGTAACGCGACGAAACACCGTTGCTGCCCATTAACCACAATTGTCAAGGTTGCCTGGTGTCGATTTGCGAAGTTAAGATAAGAGCAAGTTAAACAATCGTCCCACAGAAGGCAAGTTTGATTTAGGTCGAACCACTCATATTAGCAGCTATTTTAAACAAAACTTTTTCCTGTTTTGATTGCTCATTGATATTACTGGCAACATCTCGCACTCAAACCATGTTATGATCAATTGTCTATCAAGTTCCGGGTTCGAATTTAGGTGACGGCTTAAAAGGAGTACAGAGGGTGACTCTTAACAGTCGGAGTTGAGAAGGTAGACTTTCAACAGCTCTTCAGTTAACAAAATGTTGAAATGCTTCTCCAAACAGTCGACAAACCCTTTAAGTTGTCAGGTAAGCGTATAGATCAAGCCCAACTTTGGACAAAACTATGCGGAAAAGATGAACCCTCTAAAAATTTGTCTCGTTGTTTAGGTGTGGCTTCGTAGTTCATTTGGTAGTGAGGCCCAACGAGTATCGATATCGGGAAGAAACGGGATCGAATCACGGCGAAGCCTAAATTTTTTTAGGCTTCTCTTCAGCAGTCCCTTTAATCGTAGCTCAGCCACGAGGATCATTGCTTTACGTTTTTTTCATCTGCAGGTCAAATGTTAATTCATTTAAATTGTGATTAGTTTGCACACTTTTAACGAGAACTTTAAATAGCGCCCTAATTCTAGATGAGAGCCACTGAAAGGAAATAAAATTGAGGAGAAAAGGGTTACTCGGCATTACCTTACTTTGAGGGTAGCAATGTAAGGTCAGTTTATAGATCGATCGTTTTTACTTTTAAAATTTGTTTAAAAAACTCCTCAGTTACGCACACAAAGCGGAAAAGTTTGCTAATCTTTTGCAACCGTTATTTGGTCTCGTCACGCAATGGCTCTCTCTCCAATTGAGAATAGAGGGCGTTGTGTGACGAGACCAAAAAACGGCTGTGAAAGAGACCGCAGTATGCGTAGCACCGATACATTTTATTTTTGATGAGAAGTACTTATACAATAAAGACAATAGACCACAAAATACCTGTGTGATTTAAGATAAATTAGGTTTTTTCTGTTTCTCTTAAAGTGAAGTAATGCGATATTTTCGTTCTTTTGAAAGTTATGAAAATCATAGGAATACAAAGTGTCCCAGCTCGACCTACGCAGCTGAGAAAATAACTTGTATGCTACGCATGCCTATGTTTAACAGAGCAAAATTTCTTTGCTGTATATATGAAATTCTTTATTGACCAAACTTTTTCGGTCAAGATGGCTGGAAATTTATTAAAAATTTGTTTTATGGTATAGCCCCAAGTTTGAAACAGGCATCGACTAAACATTCTCATGGAGCTTGATCTCGTGATTTGTTTTATTGCATTACATTAAGGACCCGCGCTGATTTTTCGCAATTAAGGGTGCCACAAAGAAGGATGCACATTGGAATTCCAATGAGCAAAACAGCGTAATTAACGTTACATGGTTCTGATCACAGCAGGAGCCTTGGAGACGTTACCAAAAGCAAGTGCTATTTTTTGTTATTTCCTGGATGTAATATTGCTGTTTTTTTCTCCAAAGAAAAAGTTTTGAGATTATGTTTGGGTTACCATAGTACTGCGTGGGTACAGCACTTAAGAGTTACTGGTGCGTGCAGCGAAAGTATTCTTTTAGCGGCGATTGTTTGTAATAAAGTATCCAATGTAATATGCTGGAAACTAATGTTTGCGGTTCATTCTCTAAAAAACCTTTTTTATGTGTTCACCGCCTTATCGATATCTGCTGATTGTAAAATCAAATATGCACACATGTTCTGCTAATTTGTGTGAAAATCAGGTGCTGTTGGTGACTAAATTTGCCGCTAAATATTGCACTTGCAGACAGTCCTTCTGATTTCTATGCTTGGGAATCTCCAGATAAAAACAGCAAAGAATTTATGAGACTTGATCTAATAGTGCAAACAAACATCAATATATCTCCATCAGATTTTTACACAAGTAAACTAAATGATAGGCACCAAGAGCTCTGATATTGCTTTTGTGCTGCTAAGAAAAAACGTGGAAAATTTAGCTTATTCAAAACAAGTTTTACTCAGGAACTTTGACTAAATGTGCGATGTGAAGAAAAGTTCTTTACTAAAACCGAACGTTTAGTACATTTAAGGTAGAGGTGACGTGAAGATACTTTTTGGTTGTGATATCTCACGATGTTGAAGTCCAGTGACTATTAAGTTCAAATGTATACTATTTATTGCCTTTGTATGCCCGGCATGAAACCGTTTTACTTGTAATGACAATATTAGAGAATTAAGCTTTAACGAGAGAGAGTTATCCTATAATATTTTCGCTCGAAATCAAGCAAAATTCGGGAACGGCAAGAAAAAAGTACTTTGGAGACCAAGCTTCTCTTTGATATTGAAAACACAAATCAAACTTAATGATAAATATTTGGAAGACCTAATGATATGTTCCAATTAAGAATCAACTGCCTGCAATAAATCTCTATTGTATTTCAAAGTCTTTGTTTGACTCGAAACTAAAATAAAACAAATCTAATTTAGGAAAGCGCTGACAAAACAGGAACAAAAGCAAGGGCTTGTCAGGCAAAGGTTCTAGATGAAATGGAATTTCGCAAAAATTCTTATTGAACAAATTAAAAACACAGAAGTCGAAAGCTTTAAATCCACCTTTTCAGTTTAATATAACACCTATAATATGTCGCGATAATATAGCACCTATCGAACACAGCTATGTCTGATTGGAAATCGCATCGTTCTAGGTAAAATCTTTGAAATTTTTCATTATCGTCCTGCATGGAAAGAAATCACCTGATTTCCTTTATTTCAGGAAGGGGTCAGACTATTAAGGCAGCCTAAGCACGTTGAAAAAAAGGAAAGAAAATCAGTAAATTTGGACTCAACACTCTTTCTGCAAACGCCGCAAAGCAGCTAGTGTTATGTAGTTAGGGCATTAAGTGCGTGATTCAGCAAGTTCAGCTAACGTCAAACTAACACTCAAATATGTGTTTGTTCATTTGATATTAATATCCGCCAACATCTAGCATTAAACCATGCAATGTTCAGTTGTCCGTCAAGTTCCAGTTTCGAATTCCAATGACAACGTAAAAGAGATCGCGGTGAGTTGCAAAAACCAGTCGGAGTTGCGAAGGTTAGCTCTCGACAGCACTTCATTAAACGAAGGTAAGTAAGTGCTTCATCGTTGTCACAATACTAGTTATGTTAAGCAAATTTACACTTTTTTTAACAAGCCAAGAAAAGAGTTCTCAATTTTCCATTTGTGTGTTTGCCAATAATTCGCCAAAGTCAACTTCCTTCGCTGACCTCGTTAGTAAAATTGGACAGAAGTTTCTTTGCAGTTTAGATGAGTGTTGAGAACAAAAGTGAAATGAGGTGAACGTGGAATAGTAAATTTTGTCCATAAACGCTAGCTGGTTATCGATTTAAAGGTAATAAAGGGCGTTATAATAAAGTTCGGATATAACGCGTGCTGTCATTGGTTGAAAGAGCGTGCTCTATGAGAGTATAGAGCATAGAGCTGAGCTAAAGCTGTCACGCCATCTGTCAAATTGCACTATGTTCGACCTTTTCCGGGACTTCTTTTTAGCTCTTTTTCCGATAACTGAAAGTGGAATTTCGGAACTGAAGCGAGCCGGCAAGTAGCAACAGAAGAACCAAACAAAGGTTTGTAAACATACCAGGCGCCGTAATTTACGTGATTAAAACGTGAGCAGATGCGAAAATCCAAAAGGAAAAACAAAATAGACATTCCGAGTTTTAAAGATTTTCACGCTCAGTTAGATTGCAAGCTTACGTACGGTAATAAAAATCAAACACAGCTAACACTCGTATAGTATATAAAGTTCAGTGTTCAAAAACAAAACAGAACAAAACAGAAATGATGAAAAATATAACCAAACTGGCATAACTGTTAAAATTCATACTAATCATGACGGTGTCTGAGCGAATATGATCATGCTGAAGTTCATCGCGGCTCGCTCATCATGGCGATCTCCGGTCATCACGGTAAAGCAAGCCTCAGAAACTACATCGGCCGGCCTTCGAGTGAAAAAATATGAGCTTGCTCTGATATCCTTTCCGATGCGTTGGGTGGAAAGTCACATCAGTCACTGCAACCGAGTTTTGCGGCGCTGCCATCCCGAGCGATCTTCATGTTCCGGTGAATTCGGCTGTCGTTCCTTCAAAAAACACTCGCCTTGAACAGTTTGTTTTCTACCTTGTCATGCAGAAAAACTCACGTGTTTTTATGAGCCATAATTCGGCTGTAGTTCACTGAACATTTCACTTCAGGATTCTGTATTAGAGACTTAAAAACTTCAAGCAAAAGTGTTAAATTCGACTTGCCGAACTATTTTAGTTTGTAAACTATCGTAGAATGTGAACTTTGATGGTTTTGAACTTTGATGGTTTGACACTTTTGACAGCTTTAGTCTTGTACAGCCAATCAGAGTATTTGAACCATTCTATCAGGGATTCTGATTGGCTTATTGTAGCGTGCTTTATGAGAGTATAGAGCATGCTGACGACACTGTTGTTCGCTTTGGAAATAAAGTTTGTTTTGGAAATTGAAAGTAATGCTTTGGTACTTTAACGGATCCTTTATTATAAAACAAATAGAGAAGCCTTGACTGTGCTCTTTTCTGTTATAAAGCACTTAGGAAGCGGCTAGAGCACTCAAGAAGTGGGAAGAAACACTCGACTACGTCTCGTGTTTCTCCCTACACTTCTTTCGTGCTCTAGCCGCTTCCTGCGCGCTTTATAACAGAACAGAGCACAGTCAAGGCTTCTCTATTTGTTAACTAAAGTTGAAAATTGAAGATGAGTTTGGATACTGGCCATATCACGACCATATTACGATTGAAAAAGAATGGAATGCAGATGAATCCCTAATCATTAAAATCTGCTTTAATATACAGCTGAGCCTTTCTGTTGCCTCCCAACATATTTCGGTGATATATCGATTATCATTGAAATCATTTATTTTCTTACAACAGAGTGCGTAAGTTTTTAAAGAAAATCTGGTGTTGCGTAAATGGTGGGGAATAACATGATAATTTGGTTTTATCACCTGAGTTAATAACGTAAATTGGCCACCGTAAAGAGTTTCTAAGTTCTTGAAGCTGGCTTGGTTGGTGAATGAAGAGAATAAAAGTCAGCCTGGTGTTAGTTCATTTTAAGGATTGCTCAGTCATTTCAATTTCAAGACTACTCGCCACTTTTAGAATTTTATATTCAATCGAAAAAAATATGTTTTATTAGCTGTTCAGTGACGCACAGGAGGCTTGTGAATCTTTTTGGTCTTTGGATTGCAAAATTTTGTTCTGTCCGTGCAAACCTAAAGCAAATGTGGCATTTACCCCATTTGCACCACATTTGCTACGGCTTTGGACCAGATTTGATGACATTTGCACTGCGCAAATATGATGCAAATCCGTTTTTTTCGTCCAGTGAGATGAACTTATTATTTTCACTCATCTGTTCATTTCAGAAATTCCTTTTGTGCTAATTCAAAGACCAGGCAGAAACCGACCATCATCATAGAGTCAACATGACACATGTCAACTGTCTGTTGGGAGTCGTCGTTTTTGTCCTTCTGGGTAGGAAGTAAACTTTTGATCAGCATTGATCATCTTCCTTCTAATTATAAATCAGCGATCCTCGGATGGCTATAGCAGTAATAATCCGGCCGTCTGGCAGTGGTTACATTTGGACTTATCCGAGTGCTCGAAAACGTAGGAGCAAAAATTATCTTTGATATTTTCAAGATTCTCAACTAGATGGTGACCGAAGCTAAAAGAATTTAGAGTGCTTTTCTGCTGAGTCGTAAAACCAAAGCCTCAACAATCTCGACGGCTAACAAGAGAGAGAAGAAAATTGTCAGAAAGAGCTAACGAGAGGTCAAAGAGTAGGGAAACACGGGTTACAATTGGAATGGCTTATAGTTTTCTGCCAAAATTAAATTTTGAGTCGGTTCATTGCCTCACGTTCATTTCAGTAGTTAATAAACATTGTTTCTTTTTTTAAAGCCATAAAGGTCCTCTGTCAGGACCCTATTGATCAATCTGAACACGAGAATTTGATACTACTTTGTGATCCGCACCGCACGAACGGTCACTGCTGTGGCGGAATAAGTTATCATCCATTTTCACAGCTGTGCTGTTCAGGCGCTATTCAACCGGTTAGTGGTCCTCAATACTCTTGCTGCGGGAAAACTTTCTACAATACTGGAACACAGCTCTGTTGCTCAGGTGTCGTGAGACCAAAGAGTCACTCACAAAACGCTTGCTGTGGAACTTCAGCTTACGACACTACTAGACAGATCTGTTGTATTAGATCCATCTTTCCAAAATTCTACGGCAGAACTCTTGCCAAATGTTGTAGGTAAGAACGCATTTTAAAGGCAATTTTATACGTAGAAGCCAGTTTACTCACTTGAGGGGTCTCAGGTTTTCGTTTTTGTAACATCATTTTGTTAATGGCTGCGATAAACTTGTAAGATGAATAAGTTGTTCGGTATTTCTTCGTCTTCCTTTAACAGTGTCATTGTAAATTGGCAGTTTCTTCTTTTGTTGAAACATGCGATCGCCTTTGTGTGCTGATTGCCTGGTTTGATTCTTCCACATTAAATCCATATGATACGTACAAATTACCTCACTTTAAACGGTCAAGATCTGCAGGATGACTTGAGCGGTTTCGAAAATAAGCGCCATCATTTCGATGGATTTTATCAGGGTTTTTTTGCATTTCATTCGGGTTTTCTGATACCAAGTATGAATTATGTTCATGTAGCCATAACCAGACGAGTACAAATGCAGTATTATTTGATCTGAATTAACTTCTTTCAAGTTATTTTAACAATTTTTTATTTTCATTCCCCGTGATAAATACTCTGCAAAAGTGCTTTTTTTTCCAACTCAAATCTAAAGCAGAACTGTTAAGTAGAGTAAAATACAAATCCTTAAAAAATTTTTCCCTTTAGCTCTGGATCCTACTACTTTACTTTTGTACTCTTGCATTAATCCTTATTGTTCAGAAAAATGTTTCTTTCGTCTTGTCATGCGTCAGCGTGGAACAAAGAAAATTCTGAGCAAGATAGTAAATCTCAATCAGGAATCTTTTTTGGGGGTCTTTAGATCTTCACGCTATAATCCCACTACCCAAGGATGCTGTGCTTGGAGAAAGCCATATTCTACCTCTACTCAACTCTGCTGTGGAGGAACAGTTGTTCAGAAAATCAAAGGCTCTGCCTGCTGTGGAAAAAGAGTTTATGACACCAACACCCAGGTAGATATCAACGAAATGATTTGATAGATGGCGAATTTATACAATATAAACATGATCAGTTTATAACTAATCGAGATTACAGAAATACATCTCATTTTTATTCTTGAAGTGGTGATTTCTAATACATTACAGACTCGCATGAAAACATCGTAAGCTCCCTCCCTCGTTGAGTTATCAATATTTATGGTAGCACTATTTCAGATACTTCTTTATTCACTGTTTTTACTATACTTGCCATCTTTACGCTATTATGCCAGGGTCATAATAGATGAAATAGAGAAATAGAGAAGCTTAGAGAAATACTAAGAAATCTCGATTTAAGAAGATATCAATAGAGAAAAGAGCAAGTCTAAGATCATTTTACTTTTCCTGATTCTTATATTTACTCGTGGTCTTCAATTCGTAAAGTAGTATTTAAAGATAAATTAGAGGAATACATGAAACAACTTGGTGTTGGTGGTGTTGTTCCAAACCAAGCCATGGATCGGTGAGCTGTTGTGGCACGACAGTGATCTTCTCCAATTATCAACGTTGCTGCGACAATAGAGTGTATAATCCATCAACTCAGGTAGATAAGTTTTGAAGGTTATCTTCTGACAAAACGTGCAGCTGAGGTCACCGAAAGTGAACTTATAGAAACTTGTTGCCCAAGGAGCACTAAAAAAAAGAATCTCCTCGCGACTAAATTGCTTTTACATATATAAGAGCATGCATGGAAGGGAATCAATAGCAAAAATGCATTGACTATGAAAATACTGCTCAGCGTCTTTCGTTTAATCGGTGGAGTACCTTTCAGATTAAAGCCCAAAATTACAGACGCTTAACCCTCATTTTGCAGACTCCCCACTTTAACACTCAAGTAAGATCATTTAAGAATTCCTTGAAATAATCCCGAGCTTTACTCTGAGCATGTTTAAATTTGATTTTCTGTTTTTCATTTTTTTTCTTTTATTTGGTTTATGTTTAACGCTGAAATACTATTTTCCATGCTTTTGTGTAGGTTTGTTGCTCAGGAGTAATCTCCAAAAGACCACACGGTGTATCAAATCCAAGATGCTGTAAAACCCGACCCTACAACCCAAACACTCAAGTAAGATCATTTAAGAATTCCTTGAAATAATCTTGAGCTTTATTTTGAGCATGTTTAAAGCTAACTTTCTGTTTCTCATTTTTTTCTTTTATTTGGTATATTGTTATTCCTCGCTTATACATTGTACCCACATTTTTCAGAAACCTTGGACTGAGAACTTCAAAAATTTAAAATAAAACTTATTGATCAGGCAGCGCAAAAACATGCGTTCAATAGGTTCATCCACAGCACCAACACCCAGATAGATATCAACGAAATGATTTGATAGATGGCGAATTTATACAATATAAACATGATCAGTTTATAACTAATCGAGATTACAGAAATACATCTCATTTTTATTCTTGAAGTGGTGATTTCTAATACATTACAGACTCGCATGAAAACATCGTAAGCTCCCTCCCTCGTTGAGTTATCAATATTTATGGTAGCACTATTTCAGATACTTCTTTATTCACTGTTTTTATTATACTTGCCATCTTTACGCTATTATGCCAGGGTCATAATAGATGAAATAGAGAAATAGAGAAGCTTAGAGAAATACTAAGAAATCTCGATTTAAGAAGATATCAATAGAGAAAAGAGCAAGTCTAAGATCATTTTACTTTTCCTGATTCTTATATTTACTCGTGGTCTTCAATTCGTAAAGTAGTATTTAAAGATAAATTAGAGGAATACATGAAACAGCTTGAAATAAATTGATATTCACTTTCTCCGACGATTAAATTTTCAGGTATGCTGTGGTGGTGTTATTCATCCCAAACCAAGCCATGGACCGGTGAGCTGTTGTGGCACGACAGTGATCTTCTCCAATTATCAACGTTGCTGCGGCAATAGAGTGTATAACCCATCAACTCAGGTAAATAAGTATTGAAGTTTATCTCTGACAAAACGTGCAGCTAAGGTCACCGAAAGTAAACTTATAGAAACTTGTTGCCCAAGGAGCACTAAAAAAAAGCATCTCCTCGCGACTAAATTGCTTTTACATATGTAAGAGCATGCATGGAAGGGAATCGATAGCAAAAATATATCAACCTTGAAAATACTGCTCAGTGTCTTTCGTTTCATCGGTGGGGTACCTTTCAGATTAAAGCCCAAAATTACAGAAGCTTGACCCTCATTTTGCAGACTCCCCACTGTCCCTGGCAAAATATTTTCTTCCATTCTCAGTACTTCTTTCCTCCCCGTGGATATTTGATCATCGAAACTCCCCGTGTTGTCAACCCGAACTAGCAGTCTCAGTGATATCTACAAAAGATAAAGTTCATGGTTAGCGCTGAAACACTATTTTCCATGCTCTTGTGTAGGTTTGCTGCTCAGGAGTAATCTCCAAAAAACCACACGGTGTACCAAATCCAAGATGCTGTAAAACCCGACCCTACAACCCAAACACTCAAGTAAGATCATTTAAGAATTCCTTGAAATAATCCTAAGCTTTGTTCTGAGCATGTTTAAATTTAATTTTCTGTTTCCCCTGGTTTCTTCTATTTGGTTTATGTTTAACGCTGAAATACTATTTTCCATGCTTTTGATCATCGAAACTCCCCGTGTTGTCAACCCGAACTAGCAGTCTCAGTGATATCTACAAAAGATAAAGTTCATGGTTAGCGCTGAAACACTATTTTCCATGCTCTTGTGTAGGTTTGTTGCTCAGGAGTAATCTCCAAAAGACCACACGGTGTATCAAATCCAAGATGCTGTAAAACCCGACCCTACAACCCAAACACTCAAGTAAGATCATTTAAGAATTCCTTGAAATAATCTTGAGCTTTATTTTGAGCATGTTTAAAGCTAACTTTCTGTTTCTCATTTTTTTTCTTTTATTTGGTGTATTCTTATTCCTCGCTTGTACATTGTACCCACATTTTTCAGAAACCTTGGACTGAGAACTTCAAAAATTTAAAAAACTTATTGATCAGGCAGCGCAAAAACATGCGTGCAATGGGTTCGTCTACATGCATTAAAAATAATGCTCAGCGGCTTTTATTTCAGTGGCAAAACTGTGGTACCCATCATTGGTGGAGTATCTTTTAAACGAACAACAAAAATTTCTGACAAACCACACATAAACCATCCCTGACAGATTCGTTTTCTTTCACTCTCAGTAATTAATTAATTCTTTCTAAAGCGTATTTGATTATCGATAATCTCCGTAGTTAAATTCCCGAAAATTACCGTCTATGTGATCCAAAATTAAGGTACGTTTTACTCTGAAATGCTGTGTTTCATGTTCTTTTTGGTAGGTTTGTTGCTCAGGAGTAATCTCAAGTAAACCATTTCGTGTATCAAATCCAAGCTGCTGTAAGACCACACCCTATAACCCAATCACTCAAGTAAGATCATTTGAGAATTCTTGGATATGGTTGAACGCTTCATTTTGAGCAATTTATAAATTGATTTCTCTCTTTTCGGTTTGTTGTTTCTCTGTTTTGTTATATTCTAAGTCCTTGCTTGTACATGGACCTCACACTTTCCAGAAACCTGCAGCTGAGAACATTAAAAATTGAAAATAAAACTGCTTGCTCAGCCAACACTGGAAAGAAACAATTTAAAATAAACCCCGGAGTGTATCAACTCCAAATTGTGGTGAAAACCGACCCCACCACCCAGACTCACGAGTAAAGTCATTTGTGAATCGGAGTTATGGTCATAGGGATAATTTTGAGAATTTTGTTTTATAAATGCAAAGTCCTCGCCAGTATATGAACACGTACCGTTCAAAGTCCACTCCTTTCGGTCAAATGCAAAACGGTGACGAGCGAAATCTCGGTGGAATATGGCATTTTTCAGAACAATAGAAATGCAATATTCTGAGTTGAAATTCAATAATTCATTGTTGATAATTTTCCTGTTCTGACTGGCGTAAACGAGTATAGGCGGACTTTTCCATTATTTTGTCTTTACAATTCGTTGCCGTTTTGGTTTTGCCACCGATTCTTACAACTTTCAAATATCAAGGGAACAAGTTTGCCTTGCCATTATTGCTATAAAATGTTTTATCCTCCTTTTTTTCCCCTTTTTTCCCTCTCTTCGAATGTAATATCTAGATAAACGAATGAACAAATGAATCAACAAAATAACAGCTACATTGATGTTAAGAGGATTGACTAGTGGACCAAGACCCATTTTGCAGTTGCGCCGGTGCTAAATCAAATTCCATTAACGGATTTCTTAAAACATTTTTTATTATAAAGATCTTAATTGTACTTTGTTTAACTTTTCAGGTCTGCTGTGGAGGCAGAGTATTTACCAACAAGCTTTGCTGCGGATCTGTACCGTATAATTCAAATACCCACTGCTGCAAATCAGGCTTCGTTCAACCTAACAGCTGCTGCTATGGAAACTCACCGTTTTCACCCTGTCTCATACTACATTGATTAAAATGTCGCAATTTTACTGTACCTGATGATTTAAAAGTGCTTTGCTTTAGCGACACTCTATAAACAGGTTTGTCGCCTTCAAACTTTGTGTTTGGGCCACAGCAGATTCTTAAGCAATGACTATTTTATGTACGTCGTTTTTAATTCAAATTAAACCTTCTCGCAGTTTTGATCTCACTTTCTTTAGTATGTTTATTAATATCCCTTCAATCAGGTATCCCTCATTGATTACATTTTTCTACACAAGAAATTACCATTTGAGAGATTAAATGAGGTTGAACATTTCATTCCTTCACTTCCAAAGTAAAGACTCGAAAAATAAATTCTTAAAATTAGAGCCGCACCATAACCATGCACAAACATATACAACCCTCGCCGGTTTATCACTCATTATTCAAAACTATCTCCACGTTCTCTTATCTTTCTAACGTTGTGCCAATTTCTACAAATCGATTCTCCCTGTTGCTTCCAGAGCACTGACGAATTCAGTGGAAAACTTCCGTTTAGATCTAATCTACGTGTTGCGTCATAAACCAACCCTCTGACAAGATTCAATAGATGCACAAACAGCTGTGTTCGGAAGGACCGATTACAAGTTAAAACGGACTTAATATCTCAATTACAATTACACGGAATTAATATCTCAATTACATGGTTAAGAGACCATGGTGGTATAATTATGCTGAAACTAGCAAACAAATTCTAGCCTACAAAGGAATATTTTGTGTGGACGTGAAATTATCGAGTGTATAATCAAAACCTACAAACATCCAAGACATCCAACGGTGTCGTGGCTCACAATTCTGATTTTTAATAACTCATTTCATACGATTGAATCGTTGAAACTCATTTTCATATCTTCCCCACCCGTTGGACCTCCGATAGATACCCGCATGAGATCAGGGCCATATGTTTCAGTCAGTCCAAGACGGCGTCGGATCGATACCCATGGGATATCATAAAACTCGCGGGACTGAAAAAACGATATGAGAAGTAACGAAAGGCTAACAGTCGAAACTTCATTTTATAACGACTAATTCACATTGTTACCCTAACTGATAAAAGCAAACTTTATGGTTAAGTGATATTCAACAACTCAGGGCTTCTCACTGTTTCCAGAGTAACCCTGTTGATGTTGGCTTAGTGAAAGATCACCTTCCTTGAAAAAGGTATCTTTGCTACTGGCTGATTTTGTGTGATTTTTATCTTATGCTATGTGCACATCAGCAAAACATGCTTAGTTAAACCGAATTTAAGTAAATTAAAATCTGAATTTTCCGTAGGATTCAAGTCGTCAGTAACTTGTACTTGCAATGTTCTAAGTTTGAAGACGATGAACATCGGTTTAATTAAGCAGCTTCTACGAATAAATAAATTTAAACCGCGTTAAAAAAATACAGTTTTAAAACATGGTTAAACTTTGTGAATGAAGTGATCCTCGCAGTAATGTGCACTACTTAGGCAGTAGTGAAAATAAGGCCTGAAAAAATTCAGGCCTGTACGGTGGGTATAAGGTATTCGACAGTTTCCAGAAAACCAAAAACAGGAAAAATATTTGTTCCACAATAGCATCGGAACTTGAACTCATGGTTACTTCACTTGAAAACTTGACCTCTTAAGTTTCGGGTTGGATTGACAAGAAAAGGGATGATGTATGAAATGCTTTTCATCAAGAAACTCAGACCTAATTTTAATGTCCAGACGGTTTCCATACTTGTGAAACTTTGTGTTTAGCTTGTCGTTTTAATTTTTGTTCGTTTGCTAGTTTTTCCGTTTTTATCACCTTTGCTCTTCCTAGTATTTATAGTCCCTGGTTTTTATCATTTTTTTGACTTAGTAATGACGTTTTAAGTAACATCGAAAGGTAATCGACTTTTCTACCTTTTTTCGCTTTTAATAATAGTTTTTGAAATTGAATTTCGCAAATTTTTATCGTAAATGTTTTTAAGTCACTCCTACGTTTAATTCTTGTGTTAGTTTTCAAACTATTTACTGGCACCGGTTGTGGTCGAGCGATTCCGGATCTTGGCCTCTCATTGTGATAAAAATAGTATTTTGCTTTTGTGCTCAGTTCTGGAATGTACCTTCTACTTTTTTAATACTACAAATAGCCTTATTATTATAGCGTTAGGAACGAGGAAATTTTTTTTTTATTTTAAACACGTTTTATTCTAGACACCTTGGAAACTTGAATAAATGTGTGATATGCAGAAAGTTTTCCGAGTAAAAGCCAACATTTGAGACATTTAAGGAGGAGGTGATATGCAGAATTTTTTTTTTTTTTTGATTGCATGTTACGGAAGTAAATCTCAATTATTTTCTTACTACAATAATAAATAGAGTACAAATCTCCCACGATATTGTACGGTTATTGTTCGTTACGCTTGCGTGATCATGAGTTGTTTCAGCCACGCTTTTCTCGCATATGAGAAATGAATAAAGATGTTGGATAATAAATAACTTATAAAACTTTTTGGTGTGCAGGATCGCTGAGTATTATTACTCGTTGTCTGTATTTTAAATCACCATGCAGGCTCGTCAAAATACAGTACAACTCGTTGATTTTTATACGGTTTATCGCTTTTGAATCGCTTTTAAAAACCATTCTATTTGTGATGGCAAAATGGGAAATTAGTTAATTTTATTATACGATATTTCAGCTTGAAAACGGACAACATTTAAGTTATGATGGCAAAATGGAAAATTGATTAATTTTGTTATGCGATATTTCAGCTTTAAAATGGACAAAATTTAAGAACAGCAACTGAAAACATTAAGAATTGAAGAGCAAAATAAATCTGTGGAGGGCCATATTGATGGTATATTGCATAACTAGTCATGCATTCATTTAAGGTTCAACTATAGCTAGCCATAAGTGATCTTTTATTTTGTCTTTGTTGGGCTCTAAACTGACATCAGATATCTTTATTTCTTTTGATTCAGGAAAGCGCTAACGTCAGAGGAACAAACGCAAGGGCTTGTTAGACAAAGGTTCTTGATGAAACGCAGTTCCGCAAAAATCCTAATTCTGCAAAAATAAAAAAAAATTAAAAAAAGTAACTTTGAATCCATTTGTTGTTGTTTTTTTTCTACGCTGTTGAAAGTACCGATGGCACCTAACGAACACAGCTTTCATGGTTGCTTCAGACAGTCCAATCATATACTGGGTGATTTAGTATTATTAACTAAGTTGATAACGTAAATTGGCCACTGTAAAGAGTTTCAAAGCTGATGTTTTGAGTGCTAGCCCTTTGTCAGAGCGATTGACGAAGAAGATCGAATCGTCGGACGAATTGCTCTGAGGAAGGGCTAAACGTCAGCTTTGAAACTCTTTACGGTGGCCAATTTACTTTATCAACTTAGTTTATAATGCTTAATTACCCTGTTATACTCTTCCACCGACGCAACACCATATTTTCTCTAGAGACGTACCCGCTTTATTCAGTCATATACTGACTGGACATCGCATTGTCTCAGGTGCACGTTTTTGAAATTCTTCACCATCGCTTGGTATGAAAAGAAATATATTAGTTATTTCAGGATGAGGTTGCGATAGGTACGTCAAAACACGTGGTAACGCGACGAAACACCGTTGCTGCCCATTAACCACAATTATTATCAATATACGCGGCCAAATAGAAAATCGGCCTCTTCAAAACACACGCTCAGCGGGCCGCAAAAGACTGACAGCGGGCTGCTAATGCATTATCAGCCCTACAGCTGATTGGTTCTTGCTTCATCATCCGATGGATCATTTTAAGGTTAACTTTGTGATATGCCTATTATTTATAGACGATTTTAAGCATTTTTCGGTAATTTTCAATAAGTTCACTGGACTGAGTTGATTCTTTAATAGCTTGTTCAATCAACACTTACATGATGATTTGAAGTGACTTTGAATTCGTCATTCACTTAGCTTGTATTATTAAAACTCGCATTCTTGATATCATTTGGCCTTGTTTATTGATAATAATGATAATGACATGACTTTTGAGGGAATATTGTTTATTTGCGCCCTTGTAGTGTCATTTGCGGCCCTCGCGCTTCGCGCTCGGGCCGCAAATGACACTACGCGGGCGCAAATAAACAATATTCCCTCAAAAAGTCATGTTATTCCCTTATTGTCAAGGTTGCCTGGTGTCGATCTTCGTAGTTAAGATAAGAGCAAGTTGAACAATCGTCCCACAGAAGGCAAGTTTGACTTAGGTCGAACCACTCAAATTAGCAGCTATTTTAAACAAAACTTTTTCCTGTTTTGATTGTTCATTGATATTACTGGCAACATCTAGCACTCAAACCATGTTATGATCAATTGTCTATCAAGTTCCGGGTTCGAATTTAGGTGACGGCTTAAAAGGAGTACAGAGGGTGACTCTTACCTGTCGGAGTTTAGAAGGTAAACTTTCAACAGCTCTTCAGTTAACGAAGGTAGGTAAGTGTTTCATCATTATTGAAATGCTTCTCTAAACAGTCGACAAACCTTTTAAGTTGTCAGGTAAGCGTATAGATCAAGCCCAACTTTGGACAAAACTATACGGAAAAGATGAACCCTCTAAAAATTTGTCTCGTTGTTTAGGTGTGGCTTCGTAGTTCATTTGGTAGTGAGGCCCAACGAGTATCGATATCGGGAAGAAACGGGATCGAATCACGGTGAAGCCTAAATTTTTTAGGCTTCTCTTCAACAGTCCCTTTAATCGTAGCTCAGCCACGAGGATCATTACTTTACGTTTTTCTCATCTGCAGGTCAAATGAATGTTAATTCATTTAAATTGTGATTAGTTTGCACACTTTTAACGAGAACTTTAGATAGCGCCTTAATTCTAGACGAGAGCTACTAAAAGGAAATAAAATTAAGGAGAAAAGGGTTACTCGGCATTACCTTACTTTGAGGGTAGCAATGTAAGGTCAGTTTATAGATCGATCGTTTTTACTTTTAACATTTGTTTAAAAAACTCCTCAGTTACGCACACAAAGCGGAAAAGCTTGCTAATCTTTTGTGAGCGCAATATATACCTGGGATCATGCATTTTTTCATTTCTCACCGGTACAATTTTGTAGCTTATCTTTCAGTGCCAGCTCAACCAAGAAAAGTAAGGACAATTTTCTTAAGCATAAAATCGGAACAAATGGAGGATCGGTAAATTTGCTATCGAAAAGTTAGCGGAAATTCAGCGTTGGCTAACGGTTTAGTTTTAAATCTGTTAATAGGCAATTTTTCTACGCTTGTTTCAGTTGAGGTGTTATAATCAATTTTGGACTAGCTTTTGTTAAACTATGATGAGTGCAACCGCACGTTGCTTAAGGATGAAAATGTAGAAAAAAAACCAAACTTGTTCCCTTTCCAACTTGTGGGACCCCTAGTTACGGGCTCATCTAGTTCTAAACAAGAGTTTTTTTTTCCACGGGCTTAGAACCTTATTCTGCTTTATGCCCCTTAAAGGACATTTGGTAACTTACCCTTAACCCTCCCTCCATATATTTGATTTCTTCCCCTAACCCCTAACCCTCCCCCCCCATATGCATAATCTCTCTCACCTCACTTCCTTCCTTCTCCAGAACAGTTAGAGAGCATGAAAATTATATGCAATTTTCTACTCATATGCCGCAAAGAGTGGAAAGCATGCATTCCATAAGCCTTTTGATAAAGGCTTAATTTTACTTTTTTATTTGTTTAACAGCACCATGTTGATGATAACCTTACTTATGGTGGCGTTGGTGGCTCATGTCACGCAAGGTGAAACCAGTTACAATACTGGCGAGGGCACCGTTTACAAGCTATCAGTGGTACAAGATGTCACGCTTGAACGTCCAAACAGAAACTTCAACTATTTGCCGTTCCTTCTCGTTTCTCAGCATCCTGGTTATCCCAATAAATGATCGCTTGTAAAGTTTGAACAGCTACCGAGGTACTCCCCAGCTTACAAGATCTTATCTGCGAAGATGTACCTGTACTATGTCTACGCAAACAAGCCCAGCTGGCATTCCATTACCACAACCCCTTTTATCCCCCGTTATATGCAGGTTCATTTGGTGAAAAAATCCTGGAACGAGTATCAAGCTACCAGCTCCAAGCGCACATCATCTACCTATTGGTCGAAGCGATACCTTGGTTTGGATAACACTGACGCAGAGGCGGTTCCTCAAGATCGATCACCAGTTGTTATCTTTCCATATCGCCCTCGAGGCTTCGTGGAGTTCGACATCACACGAGCAGTCAGAAGTTGGCAGAGAGGAGTACCTAACCACGGCCTTGTGATCCGTGCAATTAATGAATTTCAGAAGGGAAGAGGCATTCGGTTTGCAAGCAACGCGGATCGCGATCGTTCAAGACATGCTATGTGCTTGTTCTATGCAGACAGTAAAGAAAGCTTGTCGTTCTTACCCTCCCTCTTATCAAGATTATAGTTTAATCGTATCGTATCACAGATAGGGGGTTGCTTGTATCTGCACTCTGTGGATGACAATAAAATATCACACAAGGCCTGTTTTTATTTTTACTCGTTTCTGCATGCACACCTGTAGCTTTAGGAGATATAATTAATGAACCAGTGACATGGTGATTCACTCTACATTAATCCATCGTGCCCAAAACATTATTCATGTAGAAAGACATACACTGTTTAGTAACAACGTGATTATAGACTGTTTTATTACATCGCTGGCAGCGCCCGTGGGCAAAATAAAGCGAATCCTGTGTTCTGATTGGCTACCTGAGCCATCTTGCCCTCTTTGATCCCGCGCAAGAAAAGGAAGTTCGTTCGGTGGACCTAAAGAGTTCTTTATTTTTGGACAATGTCGGTGATAAAGTCGAAAAAAAAAACAGTAGAGGACAGTCACAAAAAGAAAATATAAAATGTTATCGTTGGTTTGTTGTGCTACAAACACATTTGGCTGTCTTCCCTGGCTCCCTCTCGAGATCGCAGAATATCTTTGGTAAGGGACTATTGGAGATACAGTAGTATCAGTTTGCTTTTCGTAGTAAAATCAGCTGGAATTATATTTTTGAGGCGACCGACTGTGGACGATTTATTTTGATTTTGTTCCTGTTAGAGGAACGGTAGTAAGCGTAGTCTCTTTTGCAACGTTATTTGGTCTCGTCACGCAATGGCTCTCTCTCCAACGGGGACTAGAGGACGTTGTGTGACGAGACCAAAAAACGGCTGCGAAAGAGACCGCAGTATGCGTGGCACCGATACATTTTATTTTTGATGAGAAGTACTTATACAATAAAGACAATAGACCACAAAATACCTGTGTGATTTAAGATAAATTAGGTTTTTTCTGTTTCCTTTAAAGTGAAGTAATGCGATATTTTCGTTCTTTTGAAAGTTGAAAGAAAACCATAGGAATACAAAGTGTCCCATCTCGACCTACACAGCTGAGAAAATAACTTGTATGCTACGCATGCCTATGTTTAACAGAGCAAAATTTCTTTGCTGTATATATGAAATTGTCTATTGACCAAACTTTTTCGGTCAAGATGGCTGGAAATTGACTAAAATTTGTTTTATGGTATAGCCCCAAGTTTGAAACAGGCATCGACTAAACATTCTCATGGAGCTTGATCTCGTGATTTGTTTTATTGCATTACATTAAGGGCCCGCGCTAATTTTTCGCAATTAAGGGTGCCACAAAGAAGGATGCACATTGGAATTCCAACGAGCAAAACAGCGTAATTAACGTAACATGGATCTGATCACAGCAGGAGCCTTGGAGACGTTACCAAAAGTAAGTGCTGTTTGTTGTTATATAATAAGCTCAGTTGTGCACGCATTCTGATTGGTTCTCACTTATGATCTATTGGAGGACAGACGTATACATGACGTCATCATTAAAACTTTTTTTAATTCTTTATTATATAAAACAAATAGATTCCAAGTTGCCGTGCCTCTGTTCAGTAATAGATCACAGAGGACGTCAAAATGTCGATAGGTGCTATATTATCGCGACATATTATAGGCGTTATATTAACCTGAAAAGGTGGATTTAAAGCTTTTGACTTCTGTGTTTTTAATTTGTTCAATAAGAATTTTTGCGAAATTCCATTTCATCCAGAATCTTTGCCTGACAAGCCCTTGTTTTTATTCCTGTTTTGTCAGCGCTTTCCAAAATTAGATTTGTTTTATTCTAGTTTCGAGCCGAACAAAGACTTTGAAATACATTGAGATTTATTGCAGCCAGTTGATTCTTAATTGGAATTAGGTCATTAGCTTAGCTCATTAGGTCATTCAAATATTTATCATTAAGTTTGATTTGTGTTTTCAATATCAAAATGAAGCTTGGTCTCCAAAGTACTTTTTTCTTGCCGTTCCCGAATTTTGCCTGATTTCGAGCGAAAATATTCTAGGATAACTCTCTCTCGTTAATAATATTGTCATTACAAGTAAAACGGTTTCATGCCGGGCATACAAAGGCAATAAATAGTATACATTTGAACTTAATAGTCACTGGACTTCAACATCGTGAGATATCACAACCAAAAAGTATCTTCACGTCACCTCTACTTTAAATGTACTAAACGTTCGGTTTTAGTCAAGAACTTTTCTTCACATCGCACATTAAGTCAAAGTTCCTGAGTAAAACGTGTTTAGAATAAACTAAATTTTCCACGTTTTTTCTTAGCAGCACAAAAGCAATATCAGAGCTCTTGGTGCCCATCATTTAGTTTGCTTGTGTAAAAATCTGATGGAGATATATTGATGTTTGTTTGCACTATTAGATCAAGTCACATAAATTCTTTGCTGTTTTTATCTGGAGATTCCCAAGCATAGAAATCAGAAGGACTGTCTGCAAGTGTAATATTTAGCGGCAAATTGAGTCACCAACAGCACTTGATTTTCTTAAGTGCTGTACCCACGCAGTACTATGTTAACCCAAACATAATCTCAAAACTTTTTCTTTGGAAAAAAAAATAAGTAATACTACATCCAGGAAATAATTAACAAATAGATCCCAAGTTGCGGTGCGTCTGTTCAGTATTAGATCACGGATGACGTCAAAATGTGGTAAGAACAAAAAAGTGGCAAACGAGGCGCAGCCGAGTGTGTCACTGATGTTTCTCCAAAGAAAAAGTTTTGAGATTATGTTGGGGTTAACATAGTACTGCGTGGGTACAGCACTTAAGAATTTGCTGGTGCGTGCAGCGAAAGTATTCTTTTAGCGGCGATTGTTTGTAATAAAGTATCCAATGTAATATGCTGGAAACTAATGTTTCCGGTTCATTCTCTGAAAACCTTTTTTATGTGTTCACCTCCTTCTCAATATCTGCTGATTGTAAAATCAAACATGCACACATGTTTTGCGAATTTGTGTGAAAATCAAGTGCTGTTGGTGACTCAATTTGCCGCTAAATATTACACTTGCAGACAGTCCTTCTGATTTCTATGCTTGGGAATCTCCAGATAAAAACAGCAAAGAATTTATGTGACTTGATCTAATAGTGCAAACAAACATCAATATATCTCCATCAGATTTTTACACAAGTAAACTAAATGATAGGCACCAAGAGCTCTGATATTGCTTTTGTGCTGCTAAGAAACACCGTGGAAAATTTAGCTTATTCTAAACAAGTTTTACTCAGGAACTTTGACTTAATATGCGATGTGAAGAAAAGTTCTTGACTAAAACCGAACGTTTAGTACATTTAAAGTAGAGGTGACGTGAAGATACTTTTTGGTTGTGATATCTCACGATGTTGCAGTCCAGTGACTATTAAGTTCAAATGTATACTATTTATTGCCTTTGTATGCCCGGCATGAAACCGTTTTACTTGTAATGACAATATTATTAACGAGAGAGAGTTATCCTAGAATATTTTCGCTCGAAATCAGGCAAAATTCGGGAACGGCAAGAAAAAAGTACTTTGGAGACCAAGCTTCATTTTGATATTGAAAACACAAATCAAACTTAATGATAAATATTTGAATGACCTAATGAACTAAGCTAATGACCTAATTCCAATTAAGAATCAACTGGCTGCAATAAATCTCAATGTATTTCAAAGTCTTTGTTCGGCTCGAAACTAGAATAAAACAAATCTAATTTTGGAAAGCGCTGACAAAACAGGAACAAAAACAAGGGCTTGTCAGGCAAAGATTCTGGATGAAATGGAATTTCGCAAAAATTCTTATTGAACAAATTAAAAACACAGAAGTCGAAAGCTTTAAATCCACCTTTTCAGGTTAATATAACGCCTATAATATGTCGCGATAATATAGCACCTATCGAACACAACTATGTCTGATTGGAAATCGCATCGTTCGATCTGGGTAAAATCTTTGAAATTCTTCATTATTGTCCGGCATGGAAAGAAATCACCTGATTTCCTTTATTTCAGGAAGGGGTCAGACTACTAAGGCAGCCTGAGTACGTGGAAAAAAAGGAAAGAAAATCAGTAAATTTGGACTCAATGCTCTTTCTGCAAACGCGGCAAAGCAGCTAGTGTTACGTAGTTAGGTCATTAAGTGCGTGATTCAGCAAGTGTAGCTAACGTCAAACTAACACTCAAATACGTGTTTGTTCATTTGATATTAATATCCGCCAACATCTAGCCTTAAACGATGCAATGTTCAGTTGTCCATCAAGTTCCGGTTTCGAATTCTAATGACGACTTAAAAGAGATCGCGGTGAGTTGCAAAAACCAGTCGGAATTGCGAAGGTTAGCTATCAACTGCACTTCATTAAACGAAGGTAAGTAAGTGCTTCATCGTTGTCACAATACTAGTTATGTTAAGCAAATTTACACTTTTTTTTAACAAGCCAAGAAAAGAGTTCTCAATTTTCCTTTTGTGTGTTTGCCAATAATTCGCCAAAGTCAACTTCCTTCGCTGACCTCGTTAGTAAAATTGGACAGAAGTTTCTTTGCAGTTTAGATGAGTGTTGAGAACAAAAGTGAAATCAGGTGAACGTGGAATAGTAAATTTTGTCCATAAACGCTTGCTGGTTATCGATTTAAAGGTAATAAAGGGCGCTAAAGTTGAAAATTGAAGACGAGTTTTATATTGGCCATATCACGACCATGTTACGATTGAAAAGAATGGAATGCAGATGAATCCCTAATCGTTACAATCTGCTTTAATATAAAGTTGAGCCTTTCTGTTGCCTCCTAACATATTTCGGTGATATATCGATTGTCTTTGAAATCATTTATTTTCTTATAACAAAGTGCGTAGGTTTTTAAAGAAAATCTGGTGTTGCGTAAATGGTGGGGAATAACATGATAATTTGGTTTTATCACCTGAGTTAACGTAAATTGGCCTCCGTAAAGAGTTTCTAAGTTCTTGAAGCCGGCTTGGTTGGTGAATAAAGAGAATAAAAGTCAGCCTGGTGTTAGTTCATTTTAAGGATTGCTCAGTGATTTCAATTTCAAGACTACTCGCCACTTTTAGAATTTTATATTCAATCGAAAAAAATATGTTTTATTAGCTGTTCAGTGACGCACAGGAGGCTTGTGAATCTTTTTGGTCTTTTCTGAATGCAAGATGAACTTATTATTTTCACTCATCTGTTCATTTCAGAAATTCCTTTTGTGCTAATTCAAAGACCAGGCAGAAACCGACCATCATCATAGAGCCAACATGACACATGTCAAATGTCAGTTGGGAGTCGTCGTTTTTGTTCTCCTGGGTGGGTAGTAAACTTTTTATTAAATATTTACCACTGATCATCTTACTTCTAATTATAAATCAGCGATCCTCGGATGGCTATAGCAGTAATAATCCGGCAGTCTGGCAGCGGTTACATTTGGACTTATCCGAGTGCTCGAAAACGTAGGAGCAAAAATTATCTTTGATATTTTCAAGATTCTCAACTAGATGGCGACCGAAGCTAAAAGAATTTAGAGTGCTTTTCTGCTGAGTCGTAAAACCAAAGCCTCAACAATCTCGACGGCTAACAAGAGAGAGAAGAAAATTGTCGGAAAGAGCTAACGAGAGGTCAAAGAGTAGGGAAACACGGGTAACAATTGGAATGGGTTATAGTTTTCTGCCTGGTTGTTTAAGGATCGGAGGTGGTGCGAGTTTTTTTAACAAATTATAGAACGAGTTAAACAGAACCGATGATATCTCAAATCCTTTTCCAGGATCATTTGAAAACTTCTCTTATTAGGAAAGTTGATCGTCATAGTAAGGAAATAAGTATTACACACTGATCATTCACTTATATCTTCTCAGTGTATATTAGAGATAAAAGTCCAAACTTGATCTTTCATCATCACCATCATATTAATGATTGCTCAGACTATTATTGATATCATACTCATGATTACTGAAGCTATCCCCATCCAAAGTTAAATTTTGAGTCAGTTCATTGCCTCACGTTCATTTCAGTAGTTAATAAACATTTTTTCTTTTCTTAAAGCCATAAAGGTCCTCTGTCAGAACCCTGTTGAACTCCATGATTTCATAGAACGTTGTGATTCGCACCGCACGAACTGCTGTGGCGGACTAGTTTATCATCCACTTTCACAGCTGTGCTGTTTAGGCGCTATTCAACCGGTTGGTGGTCCTCAATACTCTTGCTGCGGGAAAACTTTCTACAATACTGGAACACAGCTCTGTTGCTCAGGTGTCGTTTACGACAAAACTCTTGCCAAATGTTGTGGGTAAGAACGCATTTTAAAGGCAATTTTATACGTAGAGGCCAGTTTACTCACTTGAGAGGTCTCAGGTTTTCGTTTTTGTAACATCATTTTGTTAATGGCTGCGATAAACTTGTAAGATGAATAAGTTGTTCGGTATTTCTTCGTCTTCCTTTAACAGTGTCATTGTAAATTGGCAGTTTCTTCTTCTGTTGAAACATACGATCGATTCTTCCACATGAAATCCATATGATACGTACAAATCACCTCACTTTAAACAGTCAAGATCTGCAGGATGACTTGAGCGGTTTCGAAAATAAGCACCATCATTTCGATTGATTTTATCAGAGTTTTTTTGCATTTCATTCGGGTTTTCTGATAACAAGTATGAATTATGTTCATGTAGCCATAACCAGACGGGTACAAATGCAGTATTATTTGATCTGAATTAACTTTTTTCGAGTTATTTTAACAATTTTTTATTTTCATTCCCCGTGATAAATACTCTGCAAAAGTTTTTTTTTTTTCAACTCAAACCTAAAGCAGAACTGTTAAGCAGAGTAAAATACACATCTTTAAACAATTTTTCCCTTTAGCTCTGGATCCTACTGCTTTACTTCTGTACTCTTGCTTTAATCCTTATTGGTCAAAAAAATGTTTCTTTCGTCTTGTCATGCGTCAGCGTGGAACAAAGAAAATTCTGAGCATGATAGTAAATCTCAATCAGGAATCTTTTTTGGGGGTCTTTAGATCTGCACACTATTATCCCACTACTCAACTCTGCTGTGGAGGAACAGTTGTTCATAAAACCCAAGGCTCTGCCTGCTGTGGAAAAAGAGTTTATAACACCAACACCCAGGTAGATATCAACGAAATGATTTGATAGATGGCGAATTTATACAATATAAACATGATCAGTTTATAACTAATCGAGATTACAGAAATACATCTCATTTTTATTCTTGAAGTGGTGATTTCTAATACATTACAGACTCGCATGAAAACATCGTAAGCTCCCTCCCTCGTTGAGTTATCAATATTTATGGTAGCACTTTTTCAGATACTTCTTTATTCACTGTTTTTATTATACTTGCCATCTTTACGCTATTATGCCAGGGTCATAATAGATGAAATAGAGAAATAGAGAAGCTTAGAGAAATACTAAGAAACCTCGATTTAAGAAGATATCAATAGAGAAAAGAGCAAGTCTAAGATCATTTTACTTTTCCTGATTCTCATATTTACTCGTGGTCTTCAATTCGTAAAGTAGTATTTAAAGATAAATTAGAGGAATACATGAAACAATTTGGTGTTGGTGGTGTTGTTCCAAATCAAGCCATGGATCGGTGAGCTGTTGTGGCACGACAGTGATCTTCTCCAATTATCAACGTTGCTGCGATAATAGAGTGTATAACCCATCAACTCAGGTAGATAAGTTTTGAAGGTTATCTCTGACAAAACGTGCAGCTGAGGTCACCGAAAGTGAACTTATAGAAACTTGTTGCCCAAGGAGCACTAAAAAAAAGCATCTCCTCGCGACTAAATTGCTTTTACATATATAAGAGTATGCATGGAAGGGAATCAATAGCAAAAATACATTGACTATGAAAATACTGCTCAGTGTCTTTCGTTTCATCGGTGGAGTACCTTTCAGATTAAAGCCCAAAATTACAGACGCTTAACCCTCATTTTGCAGACTCCCCACTTTAACACTCAAGTAAGATCATTTAAGAATTCCTTGAAATAATCCCGAGCTTTGTTCTGACCATGTTTAAATTTGATTTTCTGTTTTTCATTTTTTTCTTTTATTTGGTTTATGTTTAACGCTGAAATACTATTTTCCATGCTTTTGTGAAGGTTTGCTGCTCAGGAGTAATCTCCAAAAAACCACACGGTGTATCAAATCCAAGATGCTGTAAAACCCTACCCTACAACCCAAACACTCAAGTAAGATCATTTAAGAATTCCTTGAAATAATCTTGAGCTTTATTTTGAGCATGTTTAAAGCTAACTTTCTGTTTCTCAGTTTTTTTCTTTTATTTGGTATATTGTTATTCCTCGCTTATACATTGTACCCACATTTTTCAGAAACCTTGGACTGAGAACTTCAAAAATCTAAAATAAAACTTATTGATCAGGTAGCGCAAAAACATGCGTTCAATGGGTTCATCCACAGCACCAACACCCAGATAGATATCAACGAAGTGTTTTGATAGATGGCGAATTTATACAATATAAACATGATCAGTTTATAACTAATCGAGATTACAGAAATACATCTCATTTTTATTCTTGAAGTGGTGATTTCTAATACATTACAGACTCGCATGAAAACATCGTAAGCTCCCTCCCTCGTTGAGTTATCAATATTTATGGTAGCACTATTTCAGATACTTCTTTATTCACTGTTTTTACTATACTTGCCATCTTTACGCTATTATGCCAGGGTCATAATAGATGAAATAGAGAAATAGAGAAGCTTAGAGAAATACTAAGAAATCTCGATTTAAGAAGATATCAATAGAGAAAAGAGCAAGTCTAAGATCATTTTCCTTTTCCTGATTCCCATATTTACTCGTGGTCTTCAATTTGTACTGTAAAGTAGTATTTAAAAATAAATTAGAGGAATACATGAAACAACTTGAAATAAATTGATATTCACTTTCTCCGACGATTAAATTTTCAGGTATGCTGTGGTGGTGTTGTTCATCCCAAACCAAGCCATGGACCGGTGAGCTGTTGTGGCATCACAGTGATCTTCAATTATCAACGTTGCTGCGGCAATAGAGTGTATAACCCATCAACTCAGGTAGATAATTATTGAAGGTTGTCTCTGACAAAACGTGCAGCTGAGGTCACCGAAAGTTAACTTATAGAAACTTGTTGCTCAAGGAGCACTAAACACTTACAACTTTCAAATATCAAGGGAACAAGTTTGCCTTACCATTACTGCTATAAAATGTTTTATCCTCTTTTTTTTCCTTTTTTTCCCTTTTTTCCCTCTCTTCAAATGTATTATCTAGATAAACGAATGAACAAATGAATTAACAAAATAACAGCTACATTGATGTGAAGAGGATTGGCTAGTGGACCAAGACCCACCTTGCAGTTGCGCCGGTGCTAGATCAAATTCCATTAACGAATTTTTTAAAACATTTTTATTCGAATTCATTAGTATAAAGATCTTCATTGTACTTTGTTTAACTTTTCAGGCCTGCTGCGGAGACAGCGTATTTACCAACAAGCTTTGCTGAGGATCTGTACCGTATAATTCAAATACCCACTGCTGCAAATCAGGCTTCGTTCAACTTAAAGGCTGCTGCCATGGAAACTCCCTGTCTTCACCCTGTCGCATACAACCTTGATCGAAATGTTGCAATTTTACTGTACCTAATGATTTAGAGGTGCTTTGCTTTAGCGACACTCTATAAGCAGGTTTGTCGCCTTCAATTTTTGTGCTTGGGCCACAGCAGATTCTTAAGCAATGACTGTTTTATGTACGTCGTCTTTAATTCAAATTAAAGCTTCTCGCAGTTTTGATCTCACTTTCTTTAGTATGTTTATTATTATCCCTTCAATCAGGTATCTCTCATTGATTACATTTTTCTACAGAAGAAATTACCATTTGAGAGATTAAATGAGATTGAACATTTCATTCCGTCACTTCCAAATTAAAGACTCAAAAAATAAATTCTTAAAATTAGAGCTGCAACATAACCATGCACAAACATATACAACCCTTCTCGCCGGTTTATCACTCATTATTCAACACTATCTCCACGTTCTCTTATCTTTCCAACGTTGTGCCAATTTCTACAAATCGATTCTCCTTGTTGCTTCCGGAGCACTGACGAATTCAGTGGAAAACTTCCGTTTAGATCTAATCTACGTGTTGCGTCACAAACCAACCCTCTGACAAGATTCAATAGATGCACGAACAGCTGTGTTCGGAAGGACCGATTACAAGTTAAAACGGACTTGTCATATCGACTGTAACTTTAATACCTCAATTACATGGTTAAGAGACCATGGTGGTATAATTATGCTGAAACTAGCAAACAAATTCTAGCCTATAAAGGAATAATTTTGTCTCGACATGAAATTATCGAGTGTATAATCAAAACCTACAAACATCCAAGACATCCAACGGTGTCGTGGCTCACAATTCTAAGTTTTGATAACTCATTTCGTACGATTGAATCGTTGAAACTCATTTTCATACCCTCCCCACCCGTTGGACCTCCGATAGATACCCGCATGAGATCAGGGCCATATGTTTCAGTCAGTCCAAGATGGCGTCGGATCGATACCCATGGGATATCATAAAACTCGCGGGACTGAAAAAACGATATGAGGAGTAACGAAGGGCTAACGGTCGAAACTTCATTTTACAACGGCCAATTCACATTGTTACCCTAACTGATAAAAGCAAACTTTATGGTTAAGTGATATTCAACAACTCAGGGCTTCTCACTGTTTCCAGAGTAACCCTGTTGATGTTGGCTTAGTGAAAGATTACCTTCCTTGAAAAAAGTATCTTTGCTACTGGCTGATTTTGTTTAGTTTTATCTTATGCTATATGCACATCAGCAAAACATGCTTAGCTAAACCGAATTTAAGTAAATGAAAATCAGAATTTTCCCGTAGGATTCAAGTCGTCAGTAACTTGTACTTGCAATGTTCTAAGTTTGAAGACGATGAACATCGGTTTAATTAAGCAGCTTCTACGAATAAATAAATTTAAACCGCGTTAAAAAAATACAGTTTTAAAATATGGTTAAGCTTTGGTGGGTATAAGGTATTCGACAGTTTCCAGAAAACCAAAAACAGGAAAAATATTTGTTCCGCAATAGCATCGGAACTTGAACTCATGGTTACTTCACTTGAAAACTTGACCTCTTAAGTTTCGGGTTGGATTGACAAGAAAAGGGATGATGTATGAAATGCTTTTCATCAAGAAACTCAGACCTAATTTTAATGTCCAGGCGGTCTCCATACGTGTGAAACTTTGTGTTTAGCTTGTCGGTTTAATTTTTGTTCGTTTGCTAGTTTTTCCGTTTTTATCACCTTTGCTCTTCCTAGTATTTATAGTCCTTGGTTTTTATCATTTTTTTGACTTGGTAATGACGTTTTAAGTAACATCGAAAGGTAATCGACTTTTCTACCTTTTTCCGCTTTTATAACAGTTTTTGAAAATGAATTTTCGAAAATTTTTATCGTAAATGTTTTTTTAAGTCACTCCTACGTTTAATTCTTGTGTTGGTTTTCAAACTATTTACTGACACCGGTTCTGGTCGAGCGATTCCTGATCTTGGCCTCTCATTGTGATAAAAATAGTATTTTGCTTTTGTGCTCAGTTCTGGAATGTACCTTCTACTTTTTTAATACTACAAATAGCCTTATTATTATAGCGTTAGCAACGAGGAAAATTTTTTATTCTAAACACGTCTTATTCTAGACACCTTGGAAACTTGAATAAATGTGTGATATGCAGAAAGTTTTCCGACTAAAAGCCAACATTTGAGACATTTAAGGAAGAGGTGATATGCAGAAATTTTTTTTTTTTGATTGCATGTTACGGAAGTAAATTTCAATTATTTTCTAACTATAATAATAAATAGAGTACAAATCTCCCACGATATTGTACGGTTATTGTTCGTTACGCTTGCGTGAGTTGTTTCAGCCATGCTTTTCTCGCATATGAGAAATGAATAAAGATGTTGGATAACAAATAACTTATAAAACTTTTTGGTGTGCAGGATCGCTGAGTATTATTACTCGCTGTCTGTACTTTAACTCACCATGCAGGCTCGTCAAAATACAGTACAACTCGTTGATTTTTATACGGTTTATCGCTTTTGAATCGCTTTTAAAAACCATTCTATTTGTGATGGCAAAATGGGAAATTAATTAATTTTATACGATATTTCAGCTTGAAAACGGACAACATTTAAGTTATGATGGCAAAATGGGAAATTAATTAAGTTTGTTATGCGATATTTCAGCTTTAAAATGGACAACATTTAAGAACAGAAACTGAAAACATTAAGAATTGAAGAGCAAAATAAATCTGTGGAGGGCCATATTGATGGTATATTGCATAACTAGTCATGCATTCATTTAAGGTTCAACTATAGCTAGCCATAAGTAATCTTTTATTTTGTCTTTGTTGGGCTCTAAACTGACATCAGATATCTTTATTTCTTTTGATTCAGGAAAGCGCTAACGTCAGAGGAACAAACGCAAGGGCTTGTTAGACAAAGGTTCTTGATGAAACGCAGTTCCGCAAAAATCCTAATTCTGCAAAAATAAAAAAAATTTTAAAAAAAGTCACTTTGAATCCATTTTTTGTTGTTTTTTTTTTTTTACGCTGTTGAAAGTACCGATGGCACCTAACAGACGCAGCTTTCATGGTTGCTTCAGACAGTCCAATCATGTACTGGGTGATTTATTATTATCAACTGAGTTGATAACGTAAATTGGCCACCGTAAAGAGTTTCAAAGCTGATGTTTTGAGTGCTAGCCCTTTGTCAGAGCGATTGACGAAGAAGATCGAATCGTCGGACGAATTGCTCTGACGGCTAAACGTCAGCTTTGAAACTCTTTACGGTGGCCAATTTACGTTATCAACTTAGTTTATAATGCTTAATTACCCTGTTATACTCTCCACCGACGCAGCACCACGGTTTCTCTAGAAACGTATGCACTTTATTCAGTCATATAGTGATTGGACATCGCATTGTCTCAGGTGCACGTTTTTGAAATTCTTCACCATCGCTTGGTATGAGAAGAAATATATTAGTTATTTCAGGATGAGGTTGCGATAGGCACGTCAACACACGTGGTAACGCGACGTTGCTGCCCATTAACCACAATTGTCAAGGTTGCCTGGTGTCGATCTTCGTAGTTAAGATAAGAGCAAGTTGAACAATCGTCCCACAGAAGGCAAGTTTGACTTAGGTCGAACCACTCAAATTAGCAGCTATTTTAAACAAAACTTTTTCCTGTTTTGATTGTTCATTGATATTACTGGCAACATCTAACAATCAAACCATGCTATGGTCGATTGTCTATCAAGTTCCGGGTTCGAATTTAAGTGACGGCTTAAAAGGAGTACAGAGAGTGACTCTTACCAGTCGGAGTTGAGAAGGTAAACTTTCAACAGCTCTTCAGTTAACGAAGGTAGGTAAGTGTTTCATCATTATTTAAATGCTTCTCTAAACAGTCGACAAACCCTTTAAGTTATCAGGTAAGCGTATAGACCAAGCCCAACTTTGGACAAAACTATACGGAAAAGATGAACCCTCTAAAATTTGTCTCGTTGTTTAGGTGTGGCTTCGTAGTTCATTTGGTAGTGGGGCCCAACGAGTATCGATATCGGGAAGGAACGGGATCGAATCACGGTGAAGCCTAAATTTTTTAGGCTTCTTTTCAGCAGTCCCTTTAATCGTAGCTCAGCCACGAGGATCATTGCTTTACGTTTTTCTCATCTGCAGGTCAAATGAATGTTAATTCATTTAAATTGTGATTGGTTTGCACACTTTTAACGAGAACTTTAAATAGCGCCTTAATTCTAAACGAGAGCCGCTGAAAGGAAAAAAATTAAGGAGAAAAAGGCTACTTGGCATTACCTTACTTTGAGGGTAGCAAAGTAAGGTCAGTTTATAGATCGATCGTTTTTACTTTTAAAATTTGTTTAAAAAACTCCTCAGTTACGCACACAAAGCGGAAGAGCTTGATAATCTTTTGTGAGCGCAATATATACCTGGGATCATGCATTTGTTCATTTCTCACCGGTACAATTTTGTAGCTTATCTTTCAGTGCCAGCTCAACCAAGACCCACCATGACACAGTTAAATTTTCTGTCAGGAGTCATCGTTTTTGTTCTTTTGGCCATGGGTAAGTAGAAAAGTCGCAAAGCGATTGAAACAAAACTGGTGATATTCCGCATCACTTTTCATGATCAATTAAATAATTCTCTGTCCTAAGAAATATTGATCGTTGTAGGAAAGAAATAAATGATTCTTATAATTTTAAAGCCATCTTCATTCAAATTCAAATTTTGAGTCCGCTTCATACCTTACCACAGTATGAAGATAATGAGCATAATTTTATGATTCCTACAGTTTCAGAGAGCCATTGTCAACTGAATCAGACTGCGAGCCCGTTTAGACTTCTCCCAACTTGTGGTGGGATAAGTTATGACCCAAGGACACAGCTTTGCTGTTCAGGTGTCATATCATCCAGGAATGGCTCTAAAAATGCTTGCTGTGGAAATACTTCATACAACACCAGAACACATTTATGTTGTTCTCGCACACTTCATCCAAGATTCTTTGGCAAAGTACGTGCTTCATGTTGTGGGTAAGTTTGCATTTAAGGGCCAGTAATATCTATTACATCAAGTCGCTCCTATCACTTGTAGAAGGAAACAATTTTTTTAGGTTTGTACCTTGAGTGATTTGCCATCAGTCATAATTAATCAAGGTCACTTCCTTTTCGTTCGTTTTGATTGAGATTCCAAGGGAGAGGAATTTTGGTGGAAAATTGTGCAATATTCTCTCTCAATTTAATCACTTGTTGGTATTAGTTTTGAAATGTAACTTAAGCACTAAGCAAGATTTTTTTCCGTTACTACAGGGAGCAAAGCTACAACCCTTTAAGTCAAGGTTGCTGTAGAACTAGGGCGCTGACTGTTTATAACAGAAGTACAGAGGTATATATGTAAAGAAAATGCCTCAATGTCTATATATATCTTTGTAAAATTTTAACTTGCTCGATCGGCTACTTCTTTTCAGGTAGGGATATATCAATGGAAACTGATTCTTAGTTAATTGTAGATATGCTGTTGGGGAACTGTTTGTGATAAGCTGACGGACTGCGGACTGACGAGTAGTTGTGAAAACTGAAAAAATCGAAACCAATATTTCAATTGATAAATAGTCTATTCAGGAATAAAAATAAGTTACATTGTTTATTGCTACTATCTTCCATAGATCTTGCATTTGACCTTGTATTTCGTTCACATATAGGCTTGTTGCTCCTGGAAAATTGTGCCTAACCCAACCGGTGCACTATTTCCAAGGTGCTGTTTAACCAGTCCGTACAACCCAAAGACTCAAGTGAGTATTCATTTTGTTGAACTGCGTATTAATTCAGTTACTTTTCCTTCAACATTGTTCATTCAATTCATTGTTCAAAAATTTTAACTCGCTCGATCGGCTACTTCTTTTCAGGTAAGGATATATCAATGGAAACTGATTTTTAGTCAATTGTAGATATGCTGTTGGGGAACTGTTTGTGATAAGCTGACGCGCTGCGGACCGACGAGTCGTTGTGAAAACTGACAAAATTGAAACCAATATTTCAATTGATAAATAGTCTATTCAGGAATAAAAATAAGTTACATTGTTTATTGTTATTATCTTTCATAGATCTTGGATTTAACCCTGTCTCTCGTTCACATATAGGCTTGTTGCTCCCGGAAAGTTGTGCCTAACCCAACCGGTATTCTAGTTCCAAGTTGCTGTTTAACCAGTCCGTACAACCCAAAGACTCAAGTGAGTATTCATTTTGTTGAACTGCGTATTAATTCAGTTACTTTTCCTTCAACATTGTTCATTCAATTCATTGTTCAAAAATTTTAACTCGCTCGATCGGCTACTTCTTTTCAGGTAAGGATATATCAATGGAAACTGATTTTTAGTCAATTGTAGATATGCTGTTGGGGAACTGTTTGTGATAAGCTGACGCGCTGCGGACCGACGAGTCGTTGTGAAAACTGACAAAATTGAAACCAATATTTCAATTGATAAATAGTCTATTCAGGAATAAAAATAAGTTACATTGTTTATTGTTACTATCTTTCATAGATCTTGGATTTAACCCTGTCTCTCGTTCACATATAGGCTTGTTGCTCCCGGAAAGTTGTGCCTAACCCAACCGGTATTCTAGTTCCAAGTTGCTGTTTAACCAGTCCGTACAACCCAAAGACTCAAGTGAGTATTCATTTTGTTGAACTGCATATTGATTCAGTTACTTTTCCTTCAACATTGTTCATTCGTACTCCTGTAGAGTGGTTACTCTGGGAGAATCTTCGGTTCAGGTAGGTATAAATTAATAGAAAATGATTTTTTTTATCATTGAATTATAGGCATGCTGTGGGGGATGTGTTGTAAGAAGCCCGAGCCGAGACTGCGGACCGACGAGCTGTTGTGGCAGCACACTAATCTTCTCCACTTATCAGATTTGCTGCGCTGGAACGATCATATCTAGGCCAACACTGTATGCGCGGTGCTGTGGAACTGCAGCTTATAACCCATACAAAGAGGTGACTCCACATTATGCTTTCTATCCAAGAAAAAAACTGTATCTTGTTTCAAAGTCTTGGGTAATTCGGGTTGTATTAATTCTGAATCACTGTGGTTATAGTTGGTCAAAGAAACTCCGCTTTTCCCTCTTTACAAGTCAGATGTAGAAAAAAACAAAACAAAACAAAAAGGCAATCGCGACTCGGTCACTCTTGTCTTTCTGCGTTAAAGCAATTTAGTTGTTGTTACTTTGAGGTCTTGTTGGGTCCGTATTATATACTTACCTTTCTCGCATGACTGGTCAGGTGATAACCTTGATCTTAATTTACGATAGCCACTTAAAATGCGTTCCATTATTGATGGTGAACATTGTGTACCAACATAAAAAAATTGATAATAATAACTTTAATAATTATTCTTCATTAATTATTTTCAAGTTACAAACCTTAAACGGTATTTTCTGGCTCACGTACTTTTGCCTCAACATAAACTTAAAGAAGATTTTGAGTCGTGATTGGTGCGGTAGGTTTCCCTCAAGTGGCTGCACGTAACGAACTTGAAATTTCTAATAACGTTGTATCTAAATGGTAAAATTGCATACTTTCATAGCCTCTTAAAGAAAAAATTCTGCGCTTTCCTTAGCTTCTTTTGAAGAAAAAAAAGTTTTTCAAAGGGTGTTCGTATGTGATTGCTGTCATTGTGCGCCTTACTTCTTTTGAGAAAATGTAGGTTCTGGAAACCCAATTTCCCGCATTTTGAGACCCATTTTAGGCAAATGTAGAAGTAGCGTTTTAAAACAAAAAAAGAACTGTTTTTATTTTGTTTTAAAATATAGTTATAATCATTTGTATTTTTTCCTTTTAGTCTCATCCTATAAATTGAGACCAATATTTCATTTGATAGTCTCTTCACCTGTGGAAATAAGTTCTATTGTGAATTTTGTTCGTATCTTCCACGGAACTTGTATTTAACCTTGTCTGTCGTACACACATAGGCCTGTTGCTTCGGGAAAATCGTTCCTAACCCAACGGGTGCATCACATCCAAATTGCTGTGGAACTCGTCCGTATAATCCAAGCCGTCATGTGAGTATTACATTTTGTTGAATTGTATGTTTGTTCGGCTACTTTTCCGGCAACATTGTGTTTTCATACACTTATATCCGTAGGTTTGTTGTTCTGGGAGAATCATACCGAAACCATGGGGTTTAACTCCTGCACTTTGCTGTGGAAACAGTCTGTATAACCCAAAGACTCAGGTGAGTATTTTCATTTTGTTGAATTGCTCGTTAACTCGGTGACTTTTCCTTCAAGATTTTGCGTCATAAACTTACAGGTTTTGCGTCATAAACTTACAGGTTTTTGCTCTGAGAGAATCATGCCTTAACCATGAGGAATCTCCCTCTTTTATCTAATTTCCCAGGGTTGCTGTGGAACTCTCCTGTACGATCCAGGTCTTCAGGAGTGCTGCCGACCAGGGTTAGTTCAGCAAAAAGGCTGCTGCAAGCCAGGATACTCCAGTGCCCTTACAAAACGCATCAATCCGGCTGGGAATTGATGCAACGTTACAATTTTGCTGCACTGATGGTTTAAAGTCTTTTGCTTTTAGCGACACACTATAGCGCGTTTGTCGCCATCAATAACTAAAATTTAGCCACAGTAGATTGTTAGATATTTCGTTTAAAGTAATAACTACTTTAAATTAGTTGTTTTCGCTTCAAAATAAACTTGTACGCAGCATTTATCTTTTGTATCAGCCTTTTAGTCAGATATCCCGTATTTATCAAATTCGCTTCCAGAGGAAATAACGATTTGAAATAACGATTTGACAAATTAAATGAGAGTCCGAGAACATCTGCAAGACTTGAAGTACGTTCTCAAAGTTAGTGCTTTACCACGGCAACTAACGAACATACACAATCCATCACGAGCGTCATTCGTCATATTAACCATAAATAACATTTCAATGTAGCCGGTTTCTCATATCTTTACAACGTTATGTTAACTTCTACTAATCTGAGTGCCTGAGCGTTGCTTCCTATGCTCTGACGACCCCATTGAAAACTATTGAGATTCGATCGACGTTTTGTCTCACAAACCAACCCACATGTACCTTAATAATTCTTTAGATCATCGCTCCAGTCGCTCTAATTTATAAGGAATAGTTAAAAATTACCATCACATTTTAAACGTTGGGGAGATATTTATCGAAGTACAATTTTCAAGCAGACTTTGGGGTTTCATCCCTGGGTTTTGATTTAAGAGCTTTTGTGCCTCAGAGATTAAACGGGAACCCAAACTACTTTGGATTCTGGGATAACTTTTTGATCCTAATAATCTGTGAAAGTTTGAAAGCCGGTGGGTTGGCATGTGTCACACTTGCCTGGTCCTCTCCCTGAAAGTGTAGTACATTCGCAAAAATCTGCGTAGTCTGAGGACGGAAATGCCTAGAGAAACGGTGAACTCATCCAGAAATTTACGGGATTCTTTACAAAACATTAGATTGATTATTCAATCAGTTCTCTGCGTTGCTGTCCTGTTAGTATGAGGTCCTTCACTTCCTATGAGTGGAAGAGAGGACTCTGGGGACGAGACTTGTTCGTTCCCTGTTTCCCCTCAGCCATGAGCCGTCCTTAATCCTGGGAACTTGTGAGGACCAAGATGGCGGCCCGGTTGAAGTTAGGTGAGATTTTGTAAACACACGTGTTGCAATGCCAGTGCACAACAATGCGTGGAGTAGACTTGTACTTACAATTTTAGCAAATGTCACAGGAAACTTGACGAGAATTTATAGCCCATACAAAATTACAGCCTCCTGCCTTGAGTTTGAAGCTCGCGTGGTTCCTAACTAACTGAAGTCATTGATACATGTACATGGGTTAATGTCAGTTTGAACAGTTAAGCCAAGCACAACAGCAGCTGAATTGACACTGCTTATTACTTGCAGTCCGCGGCTATGAAAATATGAAACTTCCACAATTGGTTATGAAATTGAAGACATACACTGTACGCTCGCAATGATTTGTTGAAAACAGTCGTGCAGTGTCCAGTCTTTAGTGTTGAAGCTCGTGCGGGGCCCAAGCAAAATCTACAAACACATTCATGTTGCTTAAGTTTTCACCTTATCAGAACGTTATAAAACAGTGTGAATTCTATTTATCATTACCGAAACAAATGAACTTGTTGATAAAACTGGATGTTAAAATTTTAAACCAGAGAAAATATTAATCACGGTGCAAATGTGCATAAGGAAGGATACATCTGTAGGTCGCGGCATTAATTTACTAATTTTATTTTGCATTTTATTCCCAAGTTTGCCCCTTGTGTGATGCTAGAAGATGTTTATGGAGAAGAATTTCCTTGCTTTAATTTGTAAAAACCATGAAAGCACCTCACAATTAAATGATAGCAATGGAATTTGAAACATTGGGAAACAAAACAGGAAACCTGGAAGATGTTTCTAGGCCAGTCAAGACAGTTGAGGTGCCTTTGATTTGTATTACTACATCTTTTGTTAATTTTGAAGAACAACTCCCTGAAAAAAACCAATCAGCTAACAGTTGGCCAACAGTCAGTCAACAGATGGCTGACAGTCAGCCAACAGATGGCCAGCAGGTGGCCAGTTGTCAGCGGTCAGTTTTAACCAGACCAAAGTGTAAATAAAGTACAGTCAAAATTTAGTTTTTCCCTTTTATTCTTGGGTGCATTGCCAATATTGGTAGCCTGTGGGTAGCCTGATAGTGACCTGTTGGTTATCTGTAGGCCAACAGTCAGCTGACAGAGTTTCTTACGGAGCTCTTCTTCACACTTACCCATCTTTCAGTAATGTATGAACTTTGAGGCTCAGTGACACTAACATAAACCAGAATGAAGCTGCACGACTGCCAATGCACTCCAGTTACATGAATAAGAGTCCTCTATTGAGATATTGAAATGGTGTTCAGATTAGCATATTGTATTACATCTATATAAAGCCAGTGGGGTCCTTAGATATGTCTTGATAGGGGGGTAAATACTTACAGCTGTATGCTGCTCCTGTGAGCACCCCTTTCTTAGAGAGTGCTGTGATTACTTGTCATGGCTGACATGAGTTTCAGCTCATATGTCTGGCCTATGACACCTTTAAAGGAGTCTTAATTTGTCACCTTTTTTCAGTGACAAATTTGTCTTAATTTTACAAACTGATTTTTTTTCCTTTGTAGGATAAATGGAAACTGCTACCAGCATTTTTAAAGGTAAAGTATCCCTCTCTGCTCATGAAACCACAGACACATTTATTTACATATTATCAGAGAATAATAAGGATAAGGATTAGATACCCACAGTTCATGGTGTCTTTAAAGGAAAGAAAACCATCCAATTTGGACTCTGAATTAGAGGGTACATGTTCTTCTGGATATCGAAAAATTTTCGGGGAAGCTTAACAAAATGATGTGGGCTGCTTGTTTTCATCTTTGTTCTCCTGAAACAGTTTAACATATTTGTTCAATATTTACATATCAAGTTTTTTTGCATTAATTTTAAATTTGCAGGTGAAAGGACTTGTCAAGCAACACATTGATTCCTTTAATTACTTCATAAATGTGGATGTAAGTTCAATTCTTAGTCTTCCTAATATCAGTATTCCTACATGATTGTACAGTTTTTGTGAAATTTAAGGTATGCAAAGGAGAGGCTGTATGGTAAACAGTGTAACTCTGCAAGAATTGTCAGGGTCAGAGTAGTCCTGAAGGGAATTCATGGACATAGCTGGGAGAGGGGGTATTCCAGGGTTTCCTGTGGGCTCCCCCCCCCCCCTTGTAAGCATAACATGGCATGGAGATTGACATGGCAATCTGGTGTGTACCCTCTGCTTGTCACAGTGTGACACCCCTGCTTGAAAAATCCTGGCTATGCCCTTGGACTGTAGCTGGTAACAGTGACTGACTAAAGACTTAGGTGAATTCATCATCAGAGTTGAGTGAGGATTTATTTTTCAGTTGGATGGAGGGAGATAATACTGGCGATGTTGTATTTTGATGTTTGTATTGCCCTACTTTTCAGATAAAGAAGATTGTTAAAGCAAATGAGAAGATCACCACTGATGCTGATCCAGTGTGGTATCTAAAATACCTGAACATATACGTTGGCAGTCCTGATGTGGAGGAATCTTTTAACATCACTAAACCCATCTCACCTCATGAGGCAAGTTTATTGGATAATCTGGATGCTGAATGCCAGAAAGTTTCTACAGGTCCTTTTAACAACAAACTGATTACTGATATGGTTGGGACCATTATGGGTTTGAGGTTCATGAACTGGGGGCAAACAACAATAAACAATGATGTGTCAATTCATTTGAAGCTTCAACTTTCCTTCCCCTCCTTCCCTCCCCCTACTGGGAAACCTCCTGAGGATTGGACCTTTTTTAAGATTACTTTCTTTAAAGTCCTGTCTCCAGGTTCAAAATTGGATTCAAATGCCCCAAGTGCCAACCTTAGTGGAAGAGAAATTTTTACCTTAAGACACCTCGTTATTAAAAGATGAAACATGGTCAATATGCTGGAAGGGGTTCACAGTTCTGGTTCAAATTTCCCACCCTACCCTGGCAAGGCTTAAATCCCCCTCCCTCTGGGCACTGGGTTGCCCAGGGGGAGTGGGAGAGGGGAGAAGAATGAAGCTTTTTATTGATCAGTGCATAGCATGATATGGTGAGAATCCAGGAGGTAATCCCTTTTGGTTCTAGTTAACATAAGTTTTGAATTACAAAGGTTTCAAGTTATAATAGGAGTCAACTGCAAATATGAATGAAAGCTATGAAAGGTCAAAACTTACTTGTAATTACAATCATTGTTTAGTGCCGCTTACGGGATATGACATACTCAGCACCAATAACGGTTGACATTGAGTACACTAGAGGCAGTCAGGTAAGGATCATGTTGTTTTGCTCAAAGTAATAATTATTTTCTAGATTACTCTGCTCCCTTTCTTTATAAGGGAAATAAGAAGCATTTAATTGTGTTGTTCTGATGCACCCAGTTGTTTAAAGTAGTGAGTAGTTCTTCTAATTTTTGATATAATTGTTATTAAATTTACTTGTGTGCATATTATTCAAATTTGCTTAAATTAAAATTTTGTTACAGTGTAACCTGTAAGTGGTTACCTACAGGGAATACAGGGTGACCACTTAATGCAGTTTGGACTGTAGCTTGAAATTTTTTCATCTGGTACAGCAACTTTAAAAACACTTTGGCCCTTTTGTGCAAGTTGAGGTGGTCACCTTGTAGCTCTGCTCTGAACTGCCAAACATTTCTTGACTTTTTCTCTGGGTGTAAAATAGATTTTTTGGATTTGTTTGACAGAATTTTTTTTCTTGTATTACAAGGGCAACTTCCCCTTGATAATGATTAACATCTCTGTATCATTGAGGAAGGGTGTACTGTATGTGTGATATTGAATACTAGCAGGGTGGCCTTGTAAAGAGCAGATGTGCAGGGGAATTTTGGTTTTGAATAGTGTAAGAAATGTAATTAGTTTACCATCTAGTAGGATGAAGTGCCCTCTTCTATGTTGGTGAATAAAACCTGACTACTAACCACTAATTAAGTGCTTGTTGGAATGTTGTTTTACAGCGTGTGGTGAGGCATAACCTGCCAGTAGGGAGGTAGGTGTGACCTAGCTGATATTTTGAGTAACACATGCATGGCGGGTTATTTGCATGAGATCTAACCCAATCTGTGGTTTTACACATTCAAGCAGTGTGCCTACGGGATTCTCTGTAAGAGGGTTGATTACATTAAAAAAAGTCTTTCCACTATTAGCACTCGGCTTTCTTTACACTGTTCACAGAAATAAAAAGTGAGATTAAAGGCTCTGCTAAATTGAAAAAGGTTTAGACCATGGCTTTGTTACACAACAGCTAAACTTTGTTTAATAACTGGCACGTGATGTCCACACTAATAAATTCAATTGGGAGCAGAGGAGAAAAAGCTGCCTGTAGACAATATTTAAGCATTTCTTTTCCTCCAACTTCAAATCAACTTTGTTTTAGGTTTACTGCTTGTTATTCAAAAGATAAACAAAGGGTAACCAGAGATTAGATATGGAAAATGTTGCCAACAATTAGCCATCAGATTCAAACAATGTAACTAACAATAAAGTTGGTTTCCATCAACATTGATTTAAGAGATTTTGTTTGAGATTTTACAATTTTATTTTCTTGTATAAGTGCCATATGAAATAATTTCTGCCAAAATATGTTTGTTTTTATCAATTTTTAGAATGCCTATAATGCTTCGCAGTTCTAACTGTGTATTGACTGGTAAAAGTCCAGCTGAGTTGGCATCCTTGAATGAGTGCCCTATTGATCCAGGTTGGTTAGAGTATAATATTTTATGGTGATTCCTCAGTATTGCGCTGGGTATCCTGCACCAACCATTATGTCAAGTACAGTAGTTGGGGGTAAATCCTGAAATGTACTTCATTTTGGTTTCTCAGCTGAAGAGTAGTGTCATTCTTTGCTTTGGATGGTTGATACCATACATTAGTTTATTATTATGCTAGGTGTTGTAAGTGTAAGATGCTGTTTGGATTGAATTTGGATGGGAGCAGTTTACTTCCTCTAAGTACAGTACATGTAACCGTTTCTCTGCCAGTTTCCCCACAAAACCCATGTTGATCACTTCAACCCTTTAACTCCTAAGAGTGACTGGTGTCTAATTTCTACTTTTGATATCATCCCTGAATCAAACATTAAGGTCATGAGAATAAAGGAAATGATCACCAACTAAAGAGACTTGTGATTGTTTGACAAATTCTCCTTGTCAGCACCTTAGGAAATGTATAGAGAACAATATGAAGAATCTGTGCCTGTATACTGATGTTAGGGTGTAAAGGGTTAAACAACTATTTTTTATGTGGGTGCAGCTGTACATAGAGAGGGTTATGATGGTTTGTTTAAAAGGCATTCTAATTTTGAATTCTTTGATCACTCTCTTGAATTACAGCTAGCTGTAAAGAATCAACTATTATAGAAACTGTCAATTGTTGATTATTTTGAATTTTTAGGAGGTTACTTTATAGCAAATGGGACAGAAAAGGTGATATTAATTCAAGAACAGTTGTCAAAGAATCGTATCATTGTGGAAGTAGACAAAAAAGGGAATATTGGATGTTCTGTTACAAGGTGTGTGATTCACAGCTGTCTACCATTTACTACTGAAATAACTCTTTTACACATACAATAGGGTGCACTGCATTCTCCTCCAGAGATGAAATTTTATCTGTTGTTTATATTTTATCTTAGTTCAACAGCTGAAAGAAAAAGTAGAACAAGTATTGTGACCAAACAGAACAAGTTTTGTTTGAAACATAATGCTATGTCAGAGGTAAGTTTCCTTATATTTATTTCAATGTGCATTTTATGGTGATAGTTCTGTTTGTATACCCTCCAACTTCTTCCAGTCAAAGATACAATTACATGTATGAGTTCTTTATTCTCTGAGGTCCAGTATTTTTGTATAAATTCTTACCACTTCCAAAGATGTCCAAATTTTTTAACAAGCACATAGTTTTCCTGAGTATTTCCCTTTCTCAATTGAAGGTTTTAGATAAGTTAGGATCATTCCTTTAGACCTCTCTTCTCTCTTACTCTTTGAGTTTTCTTTTGTTATGCAATGCATTTTTTTTTTATTGAAAAGTTTGAATTTATAGGCAAGGTAGGCCTCAGTAGGTATGAGACCAGAATTTTCAGTTCTCACTCAGATGTGATTTATCAATTAAGGTCTTGATAGCTTGAAGATGCAGTGTATATATCCGTTAGTAGACAGAGTTTTTTTAATCCCATAGGATGTCCCTGTTGTTGTGATCTTCAAAGCCATGGGAATGGAATGTGAACAAGAAATCGTTCAAATGGTTGGCTGTGAGGAGGAAGTGATCTCAACATTTGCTCCATCTCTTGAGGAATGTCACAAACTAAATATCTACACACAATTACAGGTACACCACTGTTATCAAACAAATATGATTACAAAGATTTAAATAATTATATACCATGGAATCTACCACAGAGATCAGTTTCAGCCTCATATACACGTACAGTGTACATCTTCAGTAAAAATAGCTAGGCATCTTATAACTTGTCATAAGATAGATTACATATTAAGTAACTCGATAGAAGAAGTGCAATGAGGTACACTTGTAGCATTTTAGTAAAAGTGCAGTCGTCTTTGAAATGCTTTTATTGAGTAGTTTCTATTTAAAGCATTTGAAGCGTGTTAAAGTAATGATATGCATGCTGCACACCGGTTTTTTGAAGTGAGCGACGATTGGAAGAAACATGAAGACACATTTTGTTGTCATCAAGGAGATTTTAACAAGCCACCCTCAGTAATAACTGCTGTGTTTAGAAACTTTGTTAATGAATGAGCCCCCTATCAACCACCCCTCCTCGTAGGGCTTTTAGGAGCATGTACCGTTAATCTCTAGATTGGGAATGACGTGCCGTAATGTGTGCTACACCTCTCTAGATTGTCACCTTGAGACGTACATGTAAGCACAGCTGGCGAGGGTTTATATTCCTGTTCAGTAGGGATTTGCATTTTTAGACTCCAAGCAAGTTCAACCTCGTTGCGGGATAGGCAAAATTCCTGTTTAAAACCAGTCCAACTGTCTATCTACGCAAACTGTAAGGGGTATAAATTAACCAGCATAAAGTAAACTGCATTAAAATAACATATGCCCTATGTTTGATTTTATTATATTAACAGGCTTTGCAGTATGTTGGATCCAAAGTGCGTCAGCGTGCAACTTGGGGGAAGAGCAGAACTAAAGTGGAGGAGGCAAGGGAGTTGTTAGCAGGAGTTATGCTCGCTCATGTTCCGGTAAGATTATAATTCTACACCTCTTACTAACCGAGTTCGACGTCACTACTGTAAATTACGGCTTAGTTTTTTCCGCAACTTAGCATACACGCGGGTTAGTGAGATATCTTTACTATACTGTATCTCTGAGTTCAGATAGAGGCGGTAGATTTCAATTCAAACAACTTTTGAATCTAGCAGGCCATGCAGTGATATACAGCTGCTTAAATTGACCAATCGTAGTGCATGTACAGGTACAGTACTGCATTTAGCTGAAAGATATAATATAACTGATGACAACACAGTTGGCTTTATTTGGCGCCAAGACAAGAGACGCTTACTGAAGGTACTTGTTCGTGGACTTTTTTTTTTTTTTTTTTTTTTTTAGGTTATCAAGTATGATTTCAAAGCCAAGTGTGTATTCTTAGCTCTGATGGTGCGTAGAGTCATTCTCGCGTGCAGCGACGAGGTATGTTGCAAAGTGAACCTGTTGATCTGATCTGATCGTCTGTTTTCAAGGTGGCTCTTGGGGAAGAATTACTGCAAGAGGAAGCAAAACGTTATTTACTCGAAATTTAAGATAATTTCTGCTTAAAATGTCAAGCTGAATTCAGTGTTTATTATTGCGAAGATCGCTCTCATTCACCTCTTCAGCTGCGGTTCACATGTACGATCATTTATTTTCATCACTTCACGGGCTTCTTACGAACCAACTTAATGACCAGCTCCCAGTTGGCTTGTTAGCTCAGTTGGTAGAGCACTACACCGGTCTGTATCGCATAGGTCGTGGGTTCAAATCCCGTACGGGCCTGAAATTTTTTCAGGCCTTATTTTCACTACTGTTAAGTAGTATTCTTAACTGCGAAGATCGCTTTCCGATTCATTTCTTTTAAATATTCACAGTCATGAATGCAACTTGTTTGCCTCAGAGTCGGCTCTGCAATTTATACTGTCCTCCATTCACCAAAAAAATTTAAGATAGACAATAAATAATTATAGTTTCAGGCCTACCGTTAGCTATCATGACTTGTGTATAAAGGTTCATCTGTACAAGTATGTCATATTTTTAGGCCCATGTAGATGACCGTGATTACTATGGTAACAAGCGGCTGGAACTCGCAGGCCAGGTATGTAGCACTGTTCGGAAAACTATTCGCTTCCCGTATACAGATATCCTTGCTTCTTTCCATACTATTGTTTATTTGTGCAAAAATGATAAACTTACTTCGAGAAACTAGAGCAGTTTGTCAGTCTTCTTTATTGTCTATTTATTCTCAGAAGCACGTTAGTTACAAGCTTCTGATTCACTTGAATAATGACTTGGTGTTTGTCTTTTTACAGCTTCTGTCTCTTCTCTTCGAGGACTTGTTCAAGAGATTTAATGCAGAGGTAAGCGATAAGGTCTATTTCGTCTACTGGGGTGTATTTTCCTCCAAATTAGTCTTCCCACCTCCTGTGGAACTTAATGAATAGCAAAAATCCTGTATTTGCCCGCTTTACACTTGTTTGATACTCGTATGCCTGCTGTACCCTTCATAAATATTGTTTTTTTGTTTGTTTTTAGCTTAAGAAAATTGCAGACCAAACAATTCCAAAACCAAGAGCTGCCCAGGTATTCCGTTGTTTCGTTCAGTTTCTCTGTGATGTGTTCTCGGTGTATGCTGCTTTTAGGAGTTTAAATGAAAACTTTTATTCAGTAACTTCCAAACATATTTCGAGAAATGATTAAAGGGGTGAGTTTAAAAAGAAACTGTGGTGCTTGGTGGGGATAAAACAGAATAATTTGTTTTTATTTCTGATTTGATAACGTAAATAAGCCACCGCGAAGAGTTTTTAAAGCTCTAAAACTCTTACGATTTTCTGTAAAAGGCGACGAAGCCGACCATTTACTTATCATGGTACGAAGCATTAAGCTTAGTCCTGATTGGTTGGCTGATAACAACAGTGATTGACCCATTTCCCAAGCTGGGTTCCCTAAGCTTTCCGCTATTAAACAATTCAAATTTAACCGAAAACCAACTAATCACAGTGGGGTGTAATGCTTTACCAGTCGACACATAACTTGTCGATCACATCGCTTAAAGGAGACTGGGAATATGCAACATCGAAACATCGCTATCAACAGCGGAAGTGACTTAAACGTGAGGCAAACTATAATACTTTGTTACAAGTGTCTTCAGCATGACGAATAACCACAAACTTCTCGTAGCATGGTCAATTCTTTTATGAAAATCTGCATCCCTGGAACAGAATTTTGTTCTTGCGACAAGACGCACAAAAATAAACGCAGAACATGTACACACAAAGATTTTCGCAGACACCTGTCACAGTGACTTTTTGTCACGTTTGTCTTTGCCTCAATGAAATATTTGTGGTTTTAAAGATTAAGACTTGATCTGGCTGATTGGCTAATTATGATTTACTTTTTGTGTACAGTTTGACATCGTGAAGCACATGCGTCAGGATCAAATTACCCATGGTCTGGTTCATGCAATCACCTCGGTAATAAATGCCTGGAACTTAATTTTTATTTTCATTTGTACATGTCTTTTCAATAGCTTGTTAATTAATGTAGAATGATAATAAGTAAAGACCCCAAGGACTTCTGACTCCTTTCTGGTCAAAATGTACCTATAGTTAGTTTTTGAGATGTTATAATGAAAACCTTGAGAATGGACGAGGTAAGTGGAGATAGGGGAAGGGTAACTTATGATGTGGAGCATATTTAAGGTCTGAAATTATACTCCTTAAAAAGTGAGTACTACTTTCGTGAATAGCCAAACCTTTTACAAGCACTTCATTATTTATATGAATGTTGGAATTTTTTTTATGTTTGCTTTAGTATTATGTCTAGTCATGTATTGTAGCTCATAGAGTGGGAAATTAGTACGTCTTTCTGACGAGGTTTATATTAAGAGCTAAGAAATCCTTTGTTTCTGGTGGCAGGGTAATTGGATCATAAAGAGATTTAACATGAATCGTGCGGGGGTCACACAGGTAGGCATAATGAACTAAATAATTTTTGCTTTACAATGTACTTGTACTTCAGAAAACCTTTCAGTCTTCCATCGGGGTGGAAGGGGGTTTTGGGGGTGAGTGTGGGGGGGGGGGGGGGGGATAGCCGGTCACTTAGGTCGTTTGCTAGACTTTTGCGCTGTGGAACATCAATTTTAATTAAGATTGCTGATTCCATTGTGCGAAAAATGTTTTTTTTCCAGGTTCTTTCGCGGCTTTCATTTATTTCTGCTCTTGGAATGATGACAAGGATAAGCAGTCAGGTGAGAGTGAAAGTAATCTTTGAGTATGATACTTAAGAACTTGAGGAGAAATGTTGAATACAATGCAGGATAAAAGTTGAAAATATTGGTGTCAACTCTGATTATTACAGATAAGTTCCCCCCCCCCGACTAATTTTATTTTTTCGGTGAATTGTGGAACTTTGAGGTTTCACTGTCACACACCATAAGACTTCCTCATTTTTCAGTCTTAAACTTTCATAATAAAGGACACTGGACTTCAATCTTTGCTTTGTTCCATTACTTCCAGTTTGAAAAGACCCGTAAAGTTAGTGGTCCTCGGTCGCTACAGCCATCTCAGTGGGGAATGTTGTGCCCATCGGACACCCCTGAAGGAGAGGTGAGTAATGGGTACGTAACATGGATCAATCAAAAAATAATGTCCATATTAGTCTCGAGAGTGGGTAAAGGAAAGTCCGAGTTTGGCAAAGGATACAGAACTCATAACACGGAACAGCTTAAAGTCCCTGTTTCCCTTACAACCATTGCCCTCCAGGTTTAGTCGTAACAAAACTTTGATGGTAGCAGCTATCAAGTGTTAGTGCTTATCATTTTGTAGGAAATTCAGCAATAATCAAGGCGTATTAAAAAGGCGCCCACCCTTGTATTCACCTTGAAACGATTTGAGTGCTGTTTGAAAATTACTGACGAGGGATGTTATGTATGTTGATTAGGCCTGTGGCTTAGTGAAGAATCTTGCACTGATGACACATATTACCACAGACCAGAATGAAGAACCCATTATTCGCCTGGCTTATAATTTGGGAGTAGAGGTGAGTTTTTTTTGCAGTGTTAGTAATTAGAGCTTGTTTTATGTGCCATAGTCGAAGATGTAACTGGAACTAGTTGCGGTTTGAACTAAGAACTATCAGCCAAATGGTAGAGTCATACAACGCGTAAAAAATGAAGCCCCTTTCCCGTTTCAAATGCTAAAGCAACGATTGGATTTTTTTTTTAAAGTTAAACTGGCAAGAGTTTTAGTTGATCCAGTGACAAATCTTAGGAATGCGCCAAAAAGAAACAGAAAGGAAACATTTCAGCGATTGTAGAATCAGACCTTGAAGTGGAAGAATCTAATTTGTTTCTGCCAACTTTGCTCGCAAATATATCATGGTTATAATTGAACACAAGTCCAAGTGTTGTTTTCCAGAATTTGAATATGTTGTCCGGCGAGGAGATAAGCCATCCTTCAGTTTATCTTGTATTCCTGAACGGTGAGTTAGATTCTTTCTCTATTCCTTTTTTTTTTCTTTGCCCTGCCATTTCTACAGTTAACCTGAGCTTAGTTTGTTTTACCCGGCTCTGCCGAGCGATTAATAATACATAGAGAGAGATTTTATCTACGATGACAGAAGCCAGAAAACTAAAGTAGCCAGCCCTCAGTTCAGGGGAAATTTAATTTCATGATATTATCTCGTTTTCCTGATGTAGTTTACGTTTGCGTTTATTATAAAAGTTGATTTTATGTATTAAGCCGCATTTCTCTGTTAGGTAACATTCTTGGTGTTGTAAAGAACTACAAGCGCTTGGTCGAAACGTTCCGTCTGATGAGGAGAGGTGAGGTTTTCGAACTGGACAACTGCATGCAGACAGCAGTTTTTCAGGAATTAGTTGTTGTTATGATATACAGCTGTACGTGTCCTCGGCATTTCCACATTCTTTGGTCACGCTAATTCGTTTGAAAAGAAACTACTTACACGAAGCGTGTCAAAAGTTTTGTTATTGATATGTTGACTGGTAGTTTTTGTACAAGCCTGTTCAGCAGTTCTTCGATCCCTTTTTTTCCCGGCCTGAAAATATTCAGATGGACAGGAGAAGGCGATTGTGAAAATAGGCTTAACGGACGGGACGCTCAGTATGAAGTTGGGTTATTGGAGGGGCACAGAGGGAGGTTATGATGAAGAATGCACTGAGGAGAGCCACAGTTAGAATATTGTGTGTGGTATACACCCCAGCACTTCGCAAAAGTTACAATATTTAGAAAGGAAATTTGTAAAGGTTTTCAAACACAAGTGTGATTTGTACAGAAACGTTTTTCTGTCCTAAATGAAGATAAGGATACCTTCAGTTTGTTTGTTTGTTGTTGTCTTTTTTTATGAAGAGGGGGAAGAGAAAGGGAACGTATTCAAAACTTGAAGCTCTAGACCTAGCGGCAATTTGCAAAGGAGAGGGGATTGGGTCTTAGGAAGGGAGCTTATTCTTAACTCCGACACCCCTTTTTGTCCTAAACATGTTCTACACTCCTACTCATCTCAGCACACATTTAAAGATAATTTTTCCTCATGGTATTGTCTTGTTTCTTTTAGCTGGTTACATCAGTGAATTTGTCTCCATTTGCCCAAATCGCCAGCACAGGTAGCTCAGCTTCCTAAAATGTTGCTAATTTTCTGTCAGTTTTGTTCAGTTGACCTTTTTCAACAGAGTAACCAAGCATTTTTTGTTGCAGATTTGTTAACATTGCATCTGATGGAGGACGAGTTTGCAGGTAATTCCATAGACTTTTTCCCCCCCCTACAACATCTTCGGTATCTTTTATAATCTGATACAATGTGACTTGAACAATTTTTAGGCCTTACATTATTGTTAAGAATGGAAAACCTAAAGTGACTGATCAACACATTCAAGAACTCGTGCAAGGTTTCAGGTGAGAGTTTTTTCCTAGTTCCCAAGGTGTTCATATACATATGGTGGCGTTATTGTCATCCCCTGGTGCCTTCCTTCAAACTGAAATATTAATGTTTTCACATTTTTGAAAACCTCCACTATTCGTCAGCGAGCACGTTCCAAAACCTTAGTTTTGCTTATCACCGAAGTCAATGTAGATATAACCTCTTTTCGATGACTCGGACCATTTTCAGCGCTGTTGATTCAAAACTTGCAAAGGTCTTTGGTAATGTTGACCATGCATGTCACATGATCTGAACATGCTCAAATAGACGTCTGTTGTGAAATAAAACACTTTTCAAGCTTTGCATGGAAAATGGTTCGTTCATTATGGCTTGTTTTGAGCGGCCATCTCTCTACTTATGGTTTAGTTACGGAAGGTTAGACTATTTTTGTTATTTTAGTACGTGGCCTCTTGTAAACATGATATTTTTGTTTTGTTTTGACCAGGAGCTTCGAAGATTTCTTACATGATGGTCTAGTTGAGTATCTAGATGTCAACGAAGAAAATGACTGCGCAATTTCCTTGTACGAGAAGGAAATTACAAAGTATGGCAAGACTGACTTAAATCATTTTGTAGGCAGTGTATTACATCTGCATCGCAGGGTTCCAGTTCGGTCCTTCATTTAAGTTAATGGTTTTGTGCAAACATCTACGCATGCTTCAACTGAAGAGATATCGTTTTTATAAACAGAATTTCAACGCTCTGCCGAGCCAACTGGTCGGTTTATTTTCATTATTGCGGGATTAACTTTGAACTGCAGGGATTGCTTACATCTGAATCACTAGCAATTATTCCATGAGCATGCGTTGGACCTCGTTGGTTATCACCAATCTCGTATCCAACAAGCGCGAATAAAATCGTTGTTTTATTAAATTTCACGTTTGGATATTTGGAACCTTTTTTCAGCTCCGCAACAGTTGGCGCAATTCAATTCCATGCGAGGTGACTTGGGATATGAACTAATAACCGTAGTTTAGTGAACCAATCAGAACACTAGAAATGCAACATTCGGAGTTGAAAATTTAATGATCACTAATAGTATTAACTGAACTTACTATATGGTAAAAAGAGTGTCGCTCTCTTCAAATAGCGAATAATTGTATCAATTGTTTTCATGTTTCTCTAAAAGTAGCACTTGGCCTTATAGGGAGACAACACATCTTGAGATAGAACCGTTCACGCTGCTAGGGGTATGTGCTGGCCTTATACCATATCCTCACCACAATCAGTCTCCTCGGAACACTTACCAGTGTGCTATGGGCAAACAAGCTATGGGTACGTACATTGTTCTGCTACTTTGCTTGTATCGGAAAATGGGGCAGTGGTTATGAAACAATTCTGGCACAGATATCAGCATATACACTAAGAAGGAAAAATACGAGTATGAGTATGCCTTCACCTGATACTATTAACATTGTGAACTTGTTGGTAGAGGCTTTATGTTACTATTTGTTATATTTGTTACTTTTCTATGCCGTTTTAATCTTTTCATTTTTTGTTAATTTCTAGGTTCCATTGGGTACAACCAGCGTAACAGGTAACGTGCATTTCTCGTGTTGAAATAAATACCATGGTCAGCTTCTTTACAAAGAGGAGAGAGTTGTACTCGTTTTTTTCGCGATTGTACGGTTATAAGCAAATCATATATTAACTGATCCAGCGGGTACATAAAGTTTCAATGTTTTGTTTGTTTTGTGTTTTAGAATAGACACGCTGTTGTATTTCCTGTGTTACCCTCAGGTGCCATTGGTGAGAACTAAGGTAATTTTCTGTTAACCTCAAAAAATTGCTTCAATCTATGAAGAGATTAGGAAAAGAAAAACCAATTTTGCTTTATGGTTCCTTTTTTTCAGACTATAGACTTGATTCAATTCGACAAGCTGCCGGCTGGTAAACTCTTTTTATTTCTCGGGCATTTTGCTTGTTGATTGGTCAGTTTTGTGTACCTCTGTAATGGTTTGTGAAAGTTTATTTTTGTTGGTTTTGTAGGTCAAAATGCAACAGTGGCTGTTATGAGTTACAGTGGTTATGATATTGAGGTAAAGACAGTTCAATGAATTCCCCAAGTGGTTTACATTAGTTTTAGTATTAAGCTTCCTCAGATGATAACTTTAAAGTTTTTATTTATTTCAGGATGCACTGATACTAAACAAAGCGTCTGTTGACAGAGGTACCATCAACCATTGGTGTTATACTGAAATTAAAACGCGTTTCCTACAGTAGACCGTTTTAACCCTGAATCAAATTATTTTGTCTCGTGGTACAGGGTTTGGACGCTGCTTGGTATACAGGAAGCAAACGTGTTTGTTAAAAAGATATGCGAATCAGGTGAATACCAAGTCAGATGTTTTTTTGTGATTTTTGAGGGACAGGTTGCTATAAAAGGAGAGGCGAATCTGGCCAGTTTTGCCGCGAAATTGTTCGTCAATCAGATTTTTGACACACTACAGATTACTGCTGTTAACAAAGGAACAACAGGTTCTGTGGATATCTGTTAACGTGAGGATTTCAAACCCCATCTCAACCTCTGTGGTATCCTCGCTTCCTCTCGCCTCCAGGTTTCGTCTGTTGTTCAAAGGTGAAATTTCGGTGTAAAGGACTGTTTGTATTTGATCGCTAGAAAGATCCCCTTTTTATATCTAACATATTTTTCGTTTCCTTTCTTTTCTTTTCTCTCTTGTATCGTCATCTTTTTCACTTCAATTGGATCTGAAAGACATTTGATCGTGTTATGGGTAAGACTCGTCTTCTAATTTTAATTTTAACTTCCCGTCGAAAGATATGCATGCCAATAGTGCCTTAGAATGTAATCATTACAGTATATCAAAACATCTTCAACCGTGATTTGGGGCAATACAAGGGTTTTCAGATTTCGACCAAAAACACTTGAGGGAGTAATTAGTTAGATGTAGAAGTACAAATTCGTTACTGACTGTATTCAACGCTTCAAGCAGTGATTTTTTGAGTTGAAAACAATTTTGGGAATATAACTCGCAGCGAAGGTTGCCACTTTGGTGACCGATGGTGACATCAAGAGTAAAGAATTGGAAATAGCCCCTCAAAATCTGTGAATAACAACTCGAAAGGCCCAATACTCGCAGGGGGTTTTACCATTTACCTTCAGTAGTTGGAGATAGGAATAATGTAACAACTTACTAACGAAGCGCCTTATGTAACAAAGAGTTTTTCCTTCTGTCAACCTCACCAAAACTTACTTTCCTTCTGCTTTTAAAAGTCAAGCTACAATAAGCAATGCACATTAAATAAATACAGGCTGTCAATCTTGGATAGTAAGGAACTTCGCAAACCTTCAACATGTGCTCCTGGTAGACGTTGCGTTTGTGTTTAATGATGTGTTATGTGTTTCATTGATAATCAAGAGTGCAAGGGAAACCGGGAAAAATTATGATATTGTCCTAACGTGTGAACAAACGTAAACAACCAGGGAGTTTTATGTCGTTGAGCAATCTGGTAAAATCTGATAAAAAGGGCGTGCCCGGCAATTAAATAAGAACTCATTTAGTTTATGAACCAGGGTCTACCTGACCTTCGTGTTGTGAATTTTTCAGGTCCTAGTAGAGATGCAGCGACAGGTGAGGTAATCTGGAGACACAGAGCTCTTGACGCTGATGGAATTTGCGCTCCAGGTATTTCAGTTTATTTTGTTGTCCTGTGTGGTGTATGGAAGATCTCTGGAGTTAGACGTTCAAAGTCTGATGAACGTAACCCCAAGATCAACCCAACTTGAATTTTGATCCCAATTGCGTGTCAAATTTGAATGCCATCGAGGGTTTTCCTCAAAGTGCTGTTTATTAAGTTTGATTATTTTTTACTTCTCGTTGCCTTTGATTGGTTCGCAAAAACCGCTGTATCGTCTAAACCAATCAGATACAAAACAGTCTTACATAGTATCTTTTTTTCTTCTTCTTTCTTTGTTAGGTGAGAGGGTGGAAAACAAACAAGTTCTCATCAACAAATCCATGCCTGTTGTCACTGCTTCAGGGCTTCAGCCAGGTATGGCCGTGCTATCGTTATTGTTTACATTTGAAAAAGAAAATCATTTTTATTGATTTAATGTTTTGTCTGTCACAGTGACACCAGGTCAACCACCTCCCCAACCTGAATACAGAGATGTACCAGTGTCGTAAGTAAATTTTTTGATATGCATTATTTATTAGATCCTATCATGGCATCATTTCATGGCTTTAAGAAACCCTACAGTTTTATTTAAACTTCCAAATTTGTTAATCGCTGTACGCTTCTCTGTGTTCTTCTTTTCTCTTCATATGTAAAATCGTCCCAACTCGTGTTTTTATTCCCCTTTCTATTTGTTCTGCTTATAGGTACAAAGGGCCAAAAGATATTTACATTGAGCGTGTGCTGGTGACTTCAAATGCTGAAGAGGTGGAATTTTGTTTATCTCTACAGTCATGTCCTTTAAGTACTTCAAATAATGACAAGTGTCTTGACAATACGCGTCAATAAAATAACTCAGTCTTCACTTAACAATATCTGTTCTGTCGTAATATTACACTAATAAGTTATTCGTTTTTCTTTGTTAGGCATTCCTCATAAAGATTCTTCAAAGACAGACGCGGAGACCGGAGATTGGGGACAAGTTCAGCAGTAGACACGGCCAGAAGGGGTGAGTTACACAAATAACAGACCATGCTGCTGGGCCTTGCCCCTTAACCCGTAGCTCCTGTGTACCGTTAGACGGCCACTTAGTATTCTACCCTGAGATGTGGGTCTTGATTGGTAACAGATATTGTAGTCTCTGTAATTACTGATAATTACACAATTTTACAGCAGGTTACAGTAATATTAGGAAGTGTAAAACCCGGCAATAATCAATTGTTTGTTTTTTGTTTCAGCGTTTGTGGTTTAATCGTAAATCAAGAAGATATGCCTTTTACTGATTTGGTAAGAAAGTAAATATTCATCTCTGGTATTTGCTTCTTTCTTTTCCATTTACGTTCTATGTTTAGAAGTTTTTCCTTCTTTTTTTTATTAGGGTATTTGTCCTGATATTGTAAGTATCATCTTTCTTTTGTCACTGATTCAGAAATTTTTTTGGATCAATATCAGTATCCGGGCAACGGCCCACCTACCCCTCCCCTAACCCAACGGCAGTCAATTGATAACAACTTAGGGTGAATGTTGGGTTAGGGGAGGGGTAGGTGGGCCGTTGCCCAGATACTGATATTGATCCATTTTTTTTTTTGTTTTGTTTGGTCTGGTTTTGTTTTTTAAGTTTTCCTTCTAGGAAACAAGCAAAAATGTAAAAAAAATAAATAAATAAATGGGGAAACGGCAACAACAAAGCAACCTGTATGAAAATAAAAGAGAAAAAATAACCAAAGAACTGTTAATGGAAAACCTGACCATCAGCGTCTTGTCTGGTTCTTCGTTTGTTCTGTTTCGATCTACACAGTGTTCTGTTTGGTTTGTAATCATTGTGGACAAAGCTGTTTGGATTAACAACTATTAGATGACAATAAATCAACACTTAAACTTTCAGAAGTGATAAACATGTGAATTCTCCCTTTCACATCTAACATTATTTAGCAAAAAGGTAATGAGAACTCGTCAGGTAGAAGTTGTAATCTTGATCAAACACTAAATTCTGACTAATTCACAAGGAAATGTGTAACAAATAGAGGGGCGAATTAACATTCAGATCTTGGAAGATGAAGGGTCAAGTTAACGAGATTTTTAGTAGTTCTACTAATTTACAACTGGTTTGTATGACAGATCATGAACCCGCACGGCTTTCCATCGCGGATGACTGTTGGAAAACTGATAGAGTTGATGGCAGGCAAAGCTGGGGTCCTCGAAGGACACTTCGGGTATGGAACAGGTAAACACTCAAAACGCACGAAACCACTTTTTTAAAAGGTAAACCAAACATATTGCCGTATTTACTTGAAAATAATACTTTTTTTCAGCATTTGGAGGTGACAAAGTGGAGGATGTTTGTGGTGCTCTTGTAGACCATGGCTTTAATTACTCTGGGAAGGAATTTGTCACGTCTGGTATTACAGGGTAAGTCATTTATATGGGTAACAGTTGGAAGTGAAACGAGTTTTCACGTTATAAACGCTCTGTTAGTGCAATTTAAAACGTTGGCAAAGTCGTTGTGATTTTCGTTGCCCTTCATCGTGCTTCTAGGAAGTCAGAACCAAGTTGTCTTAAGAATATTTTTTAGGGGGTTTAACTCGAAAGAATATGACAAATCAATGGAATACTCGCTCTTTTCTTCCCTTTCTTTTGATTCCTTTTCCAAACGTCTATGAACGCTCTGACATCTTTTTTCCTTAATGGAGCTTGACACCGGTTGTTTCGTATCTTTTTGTTCTACATACTCGCCAGATGATGGCGCGCAGCTGGCCAGAACTGACCCACTTAGGCTGGGAATGCCTTACGTTTTACCACTGAGCTACGGTTTATATACCCCTATTTGACTTGAATTAAAGCTACTTTATCCCTCAGCTGTGATTTAACGAAAACCCTGACAAATCTCCGTTACCCATGTTAGAGAGGGACTGGTATTGACTTATATAGTAGTAACCAATAAGAGATTGGAATTGCATGGAGCGCTGAACTTTCCGTTTATTTGAATATTTTTTTAAATAAAAAGGATATGTAGTAGCCGAGGAATAATGATATAAATAACATACTCATCACTGCATAATGTTTCATTTCAGGGAGCCATTAACAGCATATATATTCTTCGGTCCGGTATATTATCAAAAACTCAAACACATGGTGTTGGATAAGATGCATGCCCGTGCTAAGGTTGGATTCATTGCATCCCTCAGTGACTGTATTAAACGTTGTAAAACAAACCTCTTCTTGAAGCTACTTCATCTTTAAAGACCATTAATCTAAACATATCATTTATGTTTTCGTTACACTAATTCTCTTATAATTTCTGTCAGCGAAGCCTTGAATCAAAGCTGATGGTAATCGAGAATAATCTTTCCTTAACATTTTCTTTTAAATTGATTAGTGTTGTTTTCTTTTTAAAAAATCAATTAATCGTTTATTTATTGTTTATCTAATATGATACCTTCACTGGAGAAAAACACACTTTATTATAGTGATTATGTTGAATTGATAATCAGCCAATCTAGGGGTACTAGTATAAGTCTACTCACTTTTGTCAAACGCGTATAAAGCGAGCATTAGCCCCAATAAGCTCCTATCTTTTGCTTCCTTCTTTTCCCATCAGACGAAATTGTATCCGCATGTCTCGTGGGTTTGAGCGTGAGCCGGTTTTCTGTCTCGTAAGAACGGTGTTGTATTTTATTGTTACTGTTTTTCATGATTTTTTCAGGGTCCCCGAGCTGTGCTGACCAGACAACCAACAGAAGGACGATCACGGTGAGAAATACCGTAACCTTCTCTTAGGAAAAGGCCCAGATTATTATTAAAACTGTAGCTGTATGATAAAGTTCCCATTTGGGCATCGGAAAAATGAACGCTTCTGCGGGAACAAAGAACAACAAGTGACAAAGCAGAGGGAAAATTCAGAAGAAGAAGCAAGCAAATAAGTCAGATGCCCAGCGTCACTCGCGAGGGAAACATCTTCGACCAAACTGTTATTATTTGTTCTTTTATATTTGACTCGACTTAGTGGGTGGCGCGTATCTCAATCCAAAAAGAAAGTAGTAATCGGCAAGATGTAACTTTACAGACAGACTCTTTGTAAATATGTTTCTTACGAACACTTGTTTGTGTTATCAGGGACGGCGGATTAAGGCTGGGAGAGATGGAGCGAGACTGTTTGATAGCTTACGGTGCCAGGTGAGTTAAGTAAACAAGAATAAGTCTTGATATTGAGCTGTGTATATTTTATAAGAGAAACTCTTCTTCCACAGCCCAGCCGAGATATATATATGAGGGGGGCAGGGAACTTTGAAATAATCAATAGAAAACCTCCTGCCGAAGGAAAAAATGAAAAAGTTTGTCGCGTGAAGCTCAGGAAGATAAGGAAGAACGCAAGGAAAAATGAGACTGAAAATTAAATTCGAGCACAAAGGATTCAACCATCTCTTTCCTTAGAAATAAAATTGCATCTCCTTCCCTTTCTCAATTGTAAATACAAATATTTTTTCCCACGAACAGCATGCTCCTTCTTGAAAGACTAATGATATCAAGTGACGCCTTTGAAGTAGACGTGTGCAGCGAGTGTGGCCTTATGGGATACTCAGGATGGTAAGGATGTAGCTGCCAACACTATATCAGCTATCTGTTTTAGTTTAGATTCTTGATATTTAAACCTAGTTTATGGCTTACCTCACTGGCAGGTTTTATGTCGCTCAGTTGGATGCGATAATTGAATTATAGGTGGAACTCGGGCTCAATAACTAACTGCTGGTCCTCTCCGAAGATTCTCTCTTCGGGGAAAAACGAATACCAAACAAATGATCCGAACACAGGCGAGAGACGGAAATCGAACCAAAAGGAAGTCAGATTGTGTTCTACGCTCGCGACAAATGTAGACCATTTTATAGCTTTCATAAATCGCATGAAAATTATCAAGAAAGAAATGGTCTTTATTAAAAGAGAGAACAGTTAGTGGATTTTTTTCCATCCAGGTGTTTTTGTTGTTAACAGTAGGAATGGAGTACAGTGTTGGCCTCATAGATAAGGAAAAAATTTTGAAAACCCTGAATTGCAGAGTTTTACGTTTTACAAAACTTATTTTTAATGGCATTTCGTTGTGAAATAACAGAAATGTGTACTTTCTTGGTGTGTTTGTGTCTCAGTGTGCATGTCCATGGTGACTGACTTTTACTTACTATGTGGTTTTTCACCAAATGAAGCCGACCTAAGCTTACGTGTAGCCGTACCCTCCTCCCTCCCCAGGAGTAACGTTTCTCCTTGGGAGGGTGGAAGGGTTCGGCTACGCGTAGGCCACCTGCACCACTTTTAATTGTGTGAAATGTTGCCATTTTTGTATGATTATGGGGTACGATTAATTTTATCTTGCATATTTTTTTTTTGTAGGTGTCATTACTGTTCATCATCTCACAATATTTCAACTCTAAAAATACCTTACGCTTGTAAACTTCTGTTCCAAGAACTTTTGTCCATGAACATAGTACCGCGGCTATCACTAAAACACTACACGGATGAGTGAAGACGCCTTCAAACACCCACATCATTTCCAGATTTATCACAGAGGACCTGGCAGATCAAAGAATTGTAGGCATATATGGTAGGGATGAAATACTCTGCCAATGGAATTACGTGCGATTAAGATCCAGTTATCTGAAGGGGAAATTCCTTTAACTGGGAGTTAAAGGTGGCACACAAAATTATTTTCGGGAATCTTGGAAACTTCGTAGCTCTTGTAAAGCTGCTTTTTTGAAAATTGAAACATTGTATAAACGGTTGACTACAAAACAGAACGAACTTTGTTAGTGCCGTCGTTGTTAGATTGTGAAAATAGAGATGCATCGCCTTCGTTGACACAATGGAAGGCAAAGTCAATGAGCCCTAGCCGGTGCTGCTTTGAATTCTTTCAGTCTCCATTTGGCCGGTTTTGTTTGTTTGTTTGTTCGGAAACAAAATCCAGGGTAGGGTAACTCGTACACAGACCAGTATTCAAGTCAGTTTCAAACACCTTTATCTCATTCACACGACCTCGCACTGATTCTTCACAATGGAAAAATTGTAGGTGCAGCAAAGGTGTTGATATGCCGCCATGACCGTACTGAGCACCTGCCACAGGGTTGCATATAAACATGGAGTTGAATCGTCACTCTACTGTATTATTTTAAAAAAACAACAACACAAAACAAAACAAACAAAAATCAACGGAAATCACTGAAAAACGAGGATAATTTTAACAACTTTAGTACATTGTTAAGTTATCGAGTTTCCGTCAGGGGTTGGGTGGGTAATGCATTTGTAACAAAGTCCAGTCATTATAATTGTAGCATCATATCACATGACACAATAGGGATAAAAATACAACTAACTCGATCAATAAAAACCGTTTTTTCTTAGTCTCTGTCAAACTAACCCTCGAAAATTACTCATCCATTATCCGTTACCATAACTTGAAATAGGTTAAAAATTTGAATAAAAACAGCGGTGAGAATGTAACAACACAACATATTGATCATTATCGATTACTTGTGTAATTATCGGAACAATACTCATGTGTTCACGCTTCCCCACACGAAGTGTAAAGTCCCTAATTTTCCAAAAAATTGTTTCTCATTTTCATTTGGATATAGTTGCTTTGTTCTCCATTTCTTGCTTAAAACGGATGTGCAGTTCTTCGGACCGTCAGGAGTCTAGAATTAATTTTACTTCCAGCTAGCTAGCCAGCCCATTTTCGATTTCCATTTACCCTCTAACGGCTCGACATCCTGCGTGGAATTTCCTCGTGGACATTCACGTGAGTGAATAAATGGAGAGACGATGGGCAACTATTAAGTCCATAGGTAGACCTTTCCACTTGAGTTTCCACCAGCCAGCATGTTAACCGAAGGATGAAGGACATTTAAGGAATTCACAGAGTTGAGGTTCTCATGGGTTAAATGCATCAATGCGTTACTTTTTAGCTCGGAGGAAAAAATATCAATCTGCCGAAAAGAAGATCAAAGAAGGTTATCCACGGCAAGTGCTTAGCTGATTGTAAGTTTTAACTTGCCTGAGCATTAACATCCAAAGCAGGGGTTTCGGTAGCCTTCTAACGCACTGTATTTCGTTGACGAGAAGAAGAATTTCGTCTATAGAGGAAATGTGGTGCACAGCGGTAGTAATAGTGATAGTGATATTCACCTGTCGTGGTCTTCTCATGCTCCCAACAACCGCATATTTTTCAAATTTAGGATCCCAAGTGGCACGAAAACTAGTGAGCCAGCGTCCAACTTGATTGTCATGTCTGAAAACAAAAATTACACCAGAAACACAGGTGAGTAATAGTGCAAAGGGACTTGTTGTCTTCACGAGCGGAACACGTACGAGCCAAAGCAAAACACGAAGACCTTGTGAAGCGTTGATCATTACTGTCTTCTTACACACTTTTTTCGTCTTCTAATTGTGAAAAGACGAGCGTTATTCAGTAGAGGGTCATAATGATAAAGCAAATGAAAGTAGTCACCGAGGCCAATCAGAACAAAGGAAATATCACCACGATCCACAGAGAGCTCAAAGCGAACTCAGACACGAGTGACCGGACCTCGAACGCGGGAAACGAGTGAGTCAAGACCAGTTTTAGTTTGACATCTCATTGCTTGAGAGAAGGCACGAAATTTTACGACCAATCACAAATCAAAGTGAAGAGAACCCAACGCAATCCTGGAATGATTCTGACACTTAATTTAACTGTATGTTGTTACTCATAACGATGAACGCTCTACTGCGTCCAGGGCTCGAAATTAGCATTCGCAAACTCGCGAAATGCGAGTGGTTTTTCGAAGTTGCGAGTCTAAAAAACATCCTCTAGCAAACATTTGCTAGTTAGGTTCCTTCTTTTGCTAGTAAAAAAAATCTTACTAGCAAAACTTTGCTAGTAGACAAAAAAGTTAAGTTCGAGCCCTGGCGTCCTTCTTTGTCGGCTAACGTCGCGATTTTCCTTCTGCTGTTAAAGTACAGCAGCCCTTAATAATATGACACAAAATGATCATGACAGAGAAAAGAGCTTATCAAACCAAACACGGACGGAAATGGAGCTGATCTTCTCAATTCGAATTACCTGAAACAACACTTGGCTGTAGTGGAGACTATACCAGAAGCGTCAACGTCATTGATACTAAAAAACAAAATAGAGAAGGCAATCTATGGTTAGAGCTTCACTGTATCAGGTCAGTGAAGCTGCGCCTTGATGAACAAATATACAGCAACCCTTTCCCTTCCAAGTGGAGGCGCGGGGCCTGATGGTTAGTGCGCTCGACTCCGGATCGGGTGGTCCGGGTTCGAGCCCTGGCCGGGGTCATTGTGTTGTGTTCTTAGGCAAGACACTTTACTCTCACAGTGCTTCTACAAATGGGTACCAGCAAATGTGCTATGGACTAACATCCCATCCAGGGGGGAGTAGCAATACTCCTTGCCGCTTCATGCTAAGAAAACCGGAGTTAAGCACCGACCCCATGGGCCCATATACCACTTTACTTACTACTTTCCCTTCCAAGACTTGAATACAAAATATTCGCTTTAGGCCGTCCCCTGTTGTTGTTTCTCTATCTTCTTATCACCTTTTTGTACGAAAATTTAGAGGGAAAAATTATCTATGAACATTCCGACCTGTAAGTGATGAAACTACTAGACTTAGCCGCACTCTCACAGGGGAAAATTCAATCTGCGCTATCACTTACGTAACGTAATCATCCATTGACGTCACCAACACCTGACTGCCAGTCAAAGGAGAAAAATAAGCTGAGGAAGTGACACGGGTTCGCTGTAAACTGCTCAACTTTGATTTCATGTTTTTAATGTTCCGTATGTCCCAGAATGCTACTGACCTGAAATTCAAGAGAAAAAGAGAAGATGAGGAAAATTCCGTGGGTGAACACGGCTTACAAACGACTAATGGCTTTGGTGACTGTAGAATCCTACAAAAAATTCAAAACTGTAAGTGTCCGACTTAAAACGCTGTCAGAGAGAGAAGGAATGCCCAGAGATGGTTTAAAAAGGAGTGGGAGTGGCCGGTAGGCTAACGATAGGGCCAAAAGCTGATTTTCCCGCCTCTCATCCGTGGATTATGCTTCTGGTTGCTACTACTTTTCAGTTTTATTAGTTCAGCCAACAACAAAAACAAATTCTCCCCTGTAGCTGGTTATCGGGAGAAGATACATGTTAATCACTTTTGGGAGTTAAAGCACAATACTGAGAACCCAGAAGGCCGAGATTGTACATATATCTCAAACCACGGCCTACTGCAAAAGCTTACCCGTCGGTGGAAGATGTGAGGAAAAGATTACGGTTTAACGGATGGACATCAACGCACTTGATAACTTTGTCATGAAGGCCATAACTTTGCTCTGCTAAGGTTTTGCTGAAAGACATTGATTGTTAGTAATTGCCTGATTCAGTAACTCTGTCATTGAAGAGGTTGTTTCAAACTGAGATATAAGATAGAAAGGAAGAAGAAAACACTCTGAAGCGATATGTCAACCAAACGGCAGAGACTATTTTTGACATCGTGACCAGAATGGACCAATCAGAAACGAGTACGCATAGAAAGATAGAATAAAAGAGATTGCAAGTTTTGAGCTCGGTCAAGAAATAGAGAAAGACATTCTTCGTCTTGTCACAAGCATGGGACAAGGCAAAAATTCAGAGTCCCCTTGAGGAATCGAACCTCAGACCTTCGGATTCCGCGCTCCAATGCTCTACCACTGTTCCACCGAGACCATACGGTGAGCGAAGTTTATTACGAAGTATTCTTCTTTGTTTTTTCGCTTACTTGACGATGATTGGTCCAATCTGGTCAAACGGTTAAAAACACTTGATTTCAGCTGGGAAACGCTCTGGCTAATTTCACTTTGCTCCAAAAGTATTTGCTCCTTAACTTTATTGTGCTGGAGAACACGAATGTTTTCTCAAACGTAAATTGAACATCATATCGGTGAGATTGTATAGGACGGTATTGAGCCAATTGTAGGCACAATAATGTCAACAATCTTACCTGTTTGTTCTTGTGTCAACTACCATGACATAACCAGAGTCCGTCGCCGCTAAGATTGTACTGCTGCTGGGCGAGCCAAACGCAAAGTACATGAACCTGGAATAGTCGTCATCATCAAAAGAGTAAACCTGAAACGAATGTCAAATTGGAAGACTGAAAAACGCGTCAAAATTTTAAGCTTTTCTGTGTGCTGAAGTAATGAGTGGCCAAGGCGCACCCAAAACTCGCCGCTACACAGGAAAGTTGAATCTTCTCTGAAATTCACTGTTTAAATGGACGACAACAATTAGAAAATTAACAGGTGAGAATCGCATAGGCAGCCAAGGTCACATTTAAAGTGCTTCTGAAACTCTGGAAAGTTCGTATTTTTGTCGGTTGTCAGTTGCAATTTTCAAAAAAAGTTATAGTATCTTATACAGCTGTACACATTCCTGCTGCAAACAAGCTTTCAAACACACCATTGGAACTACCCCTTGGTAGTCAAATTAAGAGTTGATATCCTTTCGCTTTTCTTTATAATTTGAATATCCCAACTTGATGTCATATCTATGTTACCTCCTGAAAAGTAGCCGCCCTGAAATCGCCGCACCTCAGTGTTCCATCGTAGCTACACGAATAAAGTTTTCCATAGTTTCCTGGCTCAAATGATATGCAGTTGATAGGACGAGAATGTGGTTCAAACAGGTACACACCATCGTCTCCCTTTGAAGAGTCCTAGAACAAACATAAAGATGTGTCGAAGGTAAAAAGGAGCTGGAAAATTACTGTACCTCAGGGAATTGTCCAACATATTTTCACATTGCATAAAGGAGAAGTGTGTTCCTGAACTGAACCATTTAATTTTTATCTATACCATTTAAAAGTATATGCAAAAATTTATTAATAGAATTGTTTCAAGATTTTAAGGAGGAGACTGTCATTTTTCAAACAGTCCTCCAATGTAATCCTATATGCTGAAAATAAGACTTCAGATGTCACCATTTAGTCAGGCTGGAACGTGCTGCTCACAAATAGCTTGGTAACCAGCCAACTGTGCCAGTTTTCATTTAGCTTGCACCCCATTTCAAATTAGCAATGTCAAAGAGTTTGACTTCAGCCATGTTGTGTCCTTAAATCTGTTATGTCATTGGTAAGGCAGATTTCTCAGCAATTTTTAAAGTTGCAACATCCACAATTAACTTTTTAACTCATTGATATTCATGCATGTTACTCTTCAGAATCTAAAATTGCATGCCACAACATCCTAACTCTTCTTAAACTTACAACCAATTTCTTACCACATCCCATATGCCAAGGTTCCCCCACTTGTCCCCTGCCAGTATAAGTGTTTTGTATTTGGCAGGATGGAAAGCCATCGAAAAGATTCTGTGTGGAACAAGTTTAGCGACATGTCCTTCTGTGATTTCTAAAGATTGCATGGCCTTTTTGTAGCTGAAAAGAGAGAGAAAACTTTTGAGTTTAAGGTTAGATTTTGGGGCAACCACATCTAACTGAGTCTGAATCCCATCAAAGGTCATATCTAGTCAGTTTATCTTATGTAGCAAGTAGCCACCTCTATAGAGAAGTACTTATTCCTGAATGATATAAATTTTTTTAACCAGTGAAAATTATGTACGTTTTGCTGCCCCAAGCAATGGAAATGAAAGCTTGCTGCAATCAAGCCTGGTGAAGCTTGTGGCATGAGAGAACTGGACTTGGCAAACAATACCAACTACAAACATCAGGTGAGTACAAAACAATTTGTCATAGCACTGCCCATATATGTAATCAGTATCCTAGTCTTGAGTTAAGATTTAACTTAACCCTTTCATTCCCGTGAGTGACCAAGACAGAATTTTCTCCTTACAATATCAGTACAATATCAACCAGATAAGTGATGAGAATTAAGAAAAATATCAATTTGGGGATTGTTAGTTGATTCAATACTAAATTCTCTGAACTAACATGATAAGAATTGTATTGTTGATGGAAAGGAAAATTACAAATTTGATCTGGGAGTTAAAGGGTTAAGGAATGTAAGTTCTCTAATGGATATATGTACATGTAAGCATCCAGGCAAGGACCCTATTCAGTTCAAATCTTATTAGTTGACCCTGTCAACACTGCACTTGATCAAGTAACCAACCTCACAACATCTGGGTCTATAGCAGCATCATCATCCGCATTTTCCTTTGACTTTTCCAGCTTGCGAGAGACAAAAGGCAATCATCACCAGCTTATTATAAAATGATATCATAAGGGGAGGTTCTTGGGAAGAGACAATTGTCAAACAAAACTATTTATCGAAAAAATAAATCAACACAATTAAACACTGACATCAATTTTGCAAGGTGAAATATGTGTAGATGTTGTAAGAATAATTATGCCTTCACTGGTCAACTAGTTTAGGTTGAAAATGCAAGTTGATCAGTAAGTTAAGATTAGCTGTCCAAGTTAATCAAAGTTAATTATCACAACTACTGTAAGTGGCCAGAGATCAGGTAAAAGGATGGGAAGGAGTAAAAGATGGCAGTTTTTCCACACTGGGTTCATTTATCTCATCCACAGGAAACATTTGGCCTCTGCAGGTGTCACCCTCTTTTCAGCAAGTGACCACATGAATGCTGTATCTTAAAAACACATTGTACTTTTAACTGACCTATAAATACAAAAATCATCTCAACAGCAAGATTGAGACCAGAAGTAACTGCCTAAAATTGGCATCATTCAAATCCAAAAACCGAGGAAGATGCCACCCACAGTACCTGTGAATCCAACTAGTGCCTTGCAATATGCTTAAGACTTACTATGTTTGCCAAGACAGTCAGTTCATCAATAAATTCCTGTGAATGTGTCTGCTCAACATTATTACAAGGCTTCATTTCCAAAGGTCCAATCTTACGTGGCTGGAAGAACAGTGAGTAAAAAAACCTTTTCAAAATTGATGTAAGTACATTTGTATATATATAACCTTATAAAGTGGAATGGTGAAAGTTTTGTTGACTATCATTTTACAGCTTGTTGCTTTATGACCTTACTTACAGAATCATAGACAGTTTGTGATGCTATCAATGAGTTAATATTCTTTAATCCAACAGCTTTAAGTGCAGGTTGACGAAAATATCGAAAAGTTCTCTAAATGAAAAAGGGCAAACAAAAGTTGTATCAGAGAGATGCATTTGATGTGGAAAATAGACCTGGGAGACCAGAATTTAAGCTTGAACAAATCTTTATTTGCAAAATTGGCTTTTGTGGAGAACCAGTAGGTACATCAAGTGTTAAAAAGGAAGTCAAAAGTTGAAAATGAAAAGTATTATGAAGATAATGATGAATAGCTCTTTTTTGTAATTGATAAATTAATTGTTTCTTAATTTTTTGTGTGTGTTGACTGGTATGGGTGCTTTCTCGTAACAAAGAGGTTTCTGGTTTCCAAATGACGGGGGAAAGATCAAACAATAGTGACCACCCTTTAAAATCCATCTGAAATTATGCTGTGATTAATTACATTTCAGCTTTACATGACTCGTGATTTCTCTCTCTTGAGAGCTGAAATTCATCACCGTGGCTCTGAATTTCTTGAGAATCAGTTACTTACTCCTTAATAAATTGCTTTCAGTTAACCAACAGATATAGAAATAAAAATGTTTTAAATAAGCAATATTTTCTAAAACAAAAACAAAAGACTTAAATTTGGTCTTGCTCAGTAGGCAACATTCAGCTCTCAGGGCAGAACATACAATTTTCTTACCTAGTTCAAAAGAAAATACCTAGATAATTAACTCAAGAATATGAATTTTGTCACAGTGGGTAATGGATTCTAAAGGAGTGATTCATGGAAAGATCCAGAAATTACTGTGATTCTGAATTGCTGACATTGCAAATTGGTTCATGAACACTGTTTTGGGGTAGGGCTAGAAAAACATTGTGGAAATGAAAGAAATAAATCCAAAATCCAGCTTGTCCTTAGGGCTTGGCAGAAAGTGTGCCTTGTCTGGATCTCACCCAGCAAGTAAGTAACTTAGAAAGTTAAAGTTGTTTGCCTTATTTCAAGATTTAATTTACCCAAACAATGGCCCAAAGTTTAATCCATGGTATAGTGACCTGAAATATGTTTGTAGTTTGCACACAAATTTTAAACAGAACATTTAAACAACTTCTCACATGTTCATCAACAGATTGGTAGATCTCAGAACTTGATGGCTCAGGAAGCACTTCACCACTGGGGTCTTTCTTGCGAATACGAAGTGACTGACGCGTGGGAAGAGCAGGCACAGCTTGTGTAGTCTTTTTGGGCCTGTAAGAAATATCATTATAGTTCTGCATTGGTCTAAATGGCATGATTCTTTTTCAACAATTCCTTTGGGAAAACAATTTTGAGTATTAATCCAAGAAAGTTGTTTCAGAACTCTGAACTTTTAAGTCTTTCTATCAAATTGAATGTTATAATTATACATATCTACCTCTCACTAATCGAGTTGAAGGTTTGTACTGTAAGATGTAGACTGAGAGAATAAGATAGTAAGATAATCACTATATTTCTTGGTTCAAAAAGTAAAAGAAAATTTCAGTTCAATCAACCCTTTGAATTTAGTGGGCAGTAAAGTGAAATATTGCCAGCCAAATTGACCAATCATACTCACTGACAGCAGTGTTCTCCTTTTCAGGCAGTAACCGGTAACATTTACCACCTGTAGTACCTCTTAATACCGTTTAAAATTGCTTGGAATTCTTGAAAATTAAACAAGTAAAAGGATTGCTTTACTGGTTTGAAAATTTATTTTACCTGTCATGCTTAAAGTAAGGGAGAACTCTGGGACAGATATAATAAATCTGTGTATTAATCATTTCCTAAGATGAGTTTTGTGACTACAAATACTTGGTTTCTTAGAAATTGTGTCAAATAATTTGTAATGTAAATCTACCTTGTCAGCCCTCTTTCTTTCACTTTTGATGGAGTGGACCTTGATACAGCCTGGTTAAATTCATTCTTCACCTAAGAAGGGGAGAGAAGATAAAAGGAAAAGCAGAAACAATGAGTAAAAAAAAATTCTGCACTCGAGCGACATCGCCCAGTGATCAGCTAGAGCTTTTCACTGTTTCCTCAGCCTGGAGTAACTAGGAGTATCACTCCTGCCCCCTGGATGGGATGCCAGTCTATTCCATGGTTACCCCCCCTTCCCCCAGAATTTCATCAGGATTCTCTGAAAATTTGCTGGTACCCATTTAAATTCTTGGGTGAAGAGAGGCACTGTGTGAGTATGTTTTGTCCAAGAACACAACACAATGACTTGGACTTCTCAAGCAGGATTCCAGCACAGTAAATATAAGGGCACCAAGTCTCCCACACACAATGAGTATGCATTTTATAATTCAGTCTGCTCTGATGTATTGGTATTGCCACTCTTCTTTACTGAAGTGTGATATGCCTTGATATTTTGATGTATAGTCAGTGAACGTGGCCCTACACTTCTGATGACTAAGTATTCTTCAGATATATATATATATATATATATGGGTATATGCAAAAGCAAAATGGCATAACAGCAAAGTCATTACCTCGGTAAGTTGAAGGCCATCAAAAAATTCACTGTTCTGTCTGATATTCTCCAGACGCTTTTTTTCATATTCTGACAATTCCCCGCTGCCATGAGCATTCTTAGGCAAACACAGAAGATGTAAGTAAGACTGTCAAATAAAATTTACTGTCATGCCCCTTGAACTTAAAAATGATTATGTAACACAATTTCGAAATGTCTGCATGGTACGATTATAATGAAAACATAAACAGAAAGCTTTAGCAATCATAAACAACAAACTGATGACTGTGGATGAAATTCATTCATTGCTGATCATCTGGCAATTTCCCTTCCCACAAAGTTTCTTTTTAAGGTTAGTAACCCGACAGATGTATATTCATAGACACAAAGATTTGTACATACATCTCCAGTTCTAATTGCTGTATTACGGTGAAATCGAAGCTGATTTTGTTAGATTTCTTTCAACACATTATATTATTGCCGGTGCCTTACAGGTATAATTGCATACTGATTCATATTAAATAGACAGTTTCTGATTCCCTGACTGAAGACTGTAACAGCGAACCCTTTGGTTTGCGAATTTTGCCTCGCTCATGTTGATCAGGGTTGGGTAATGAATGATCCGTTCAGCGGAAAATCAGATGACTGATCAATACAACAAAATCGTTTTACTCGACAAGCTATGCTCGAATAGCCTTACCTCTTTTAGTCTCTTTGATTTTGGTGACAGTCCAGGACTTGAATCGCGATGTTTCTTCGGCATTATTGCTGATCGAGTATTCTTTATGAGGTAATTGCATAATAACTAGTAACAAAGCCCCACTGTAATTTTTCGCGCCAAATTTTGGGAGCTGATATTCCTCCTGTCCCTCTCATGGTGAAGTCACTGAGGTTAAACATTAAGATAAAAACATGTCGCCGGTATTATTCGCCATTTTTACCAAGAATTAAATTAATTTGGCGATGGTCTCGAAATAACGTGAGTGCTAATGATCAAATAATTGATGTAACAAATAGTTTAAGTGGATAATAGAAATGATTACTTAGGGGAGAGAGTTGGGGATCGTTTTTGTTGTATTTGACTCAGCTCAGGAGGCTTGGCTGCTAATGATGCTTTAGAAACCGAGTAACAGTCGAGTAACAGAGTTCGTTGTTAGCTTCGAAAAAATTTGCATACGATCGCTACCTCAAAAAGTTAGGCACTGAATTGAAGGTGTTTTTTCGTAAAAAAAAGCTGTCTCTTCAGTGGTGTTGGAATATATGACGAATTACTAATCAGGTGAAACTTTCATAGAGAAGACATTTGAAAAGAACACTGGCGTGACATACACAAACTTATCGTAACTTTGCAGACGACAATGAATTGCTTTGGCATGGAGACTTTAATGTGTGACTTCTGTTCAAACACATTTGTTTGAATGTATCTCACTCAGGTTCGAAACCAGATTCCTGACTACGTTTAAAAGTGCATTATTGACAAAATACTTTCGTAGATATGTTTCATTAAATTTCTACGTGAGGTTTCTTGTTCGAATTCGTCACGATATATCAACAAAGAAGATTTAGTGGTGCTAGAAAGTTGTTTCTCAGTTGTGACGGATAAGACTTGGAGAAATGCAGAGCTCCGAAGCTGTGAAAAGTGTTTTTCAGGATACTCATTTGTTATCTACAAGTCTAAATCGACCAGAACCTACGCGATATACCAAAACAACAACTAATCAGCGACCAAGACCTGTGTCAGGTGAGTTATTCATCGTAAGCTTCTAAGCTAACAACCTAGCGTGTTTATTTGTTTATAAACATTCAGTCAGAACAAGTGGAAAGACTTACGTTAGACAGTTGAGAGGATTTTCCCAGATAATGAAAGACTGATTTCAACTGTTGCGTAGTTTTCATTGCGATACTATACGTATTTTAATAACTTTTCACTCGCCTCTTTCACACTGCTTAACATACAAATGTACGCGCTCTAATTAGACAAAAAAAGGAGGGTGGACTTTGAGTTCGGGAATTAATTTAGAGATGTTATTCGTTTTGTAAGGAAAGAAACTGTCACTCCCACAACCCCACAAGGATTCAAACCTCAGACTTACGGATTTCGCACACTTGAGGCTTTAAGCTGAGTTAGCCATTCTAAATTAGTCTTTATATACTTGACAACTGAGCTCAATTTTAACTCTTTCTTCGTAGTATAAAATTACATGACACTTTGGACATTGTTGATCCTAACAGTACTGTATAACGCAGGGTGCTTTTCACGTCGCCTATAATTTAGAAATCATCAAGCTCACTTCCTGGACAAGCCTGTTGACTGCAAGTGAAATAATATTGCCGAGAAATTTGGCATAAATTCCCAAAATGTTGCATTACAACACAGTAAGGCAGCCAATTTTTCCTACACCATTTGGGAAAAATACTGACAGTGTTGTAACCTTTCTTGTTTATAGCACCCCCTGCCAGTCAGCAACCTCGTTGGAGACACCCAAACTCACCTGAACCGAAAAGGGCAAGAAAGTTCCATGTGAGCCTGTACCACACCCCATTTGAGAGCAAGACAAGTAAAAAGGCTCCCTTTGCTCCAAGAGCTACAATTGGCGGCAGTTCCACTCTGCGTGGAAAAGACTTTTCTCCAGCAACATATAATTCTCTGAGTGACCCTCATTTGAACCCATACTTTTCAAGAAAGTTTGGAAAAAGTGCATCTTTGAGGGAGTCAGGACCATCCAAAACAAGGGTGTGTGTAATGTTTTGGTGTTTGTTCCTGCTGAAAATAATTTCACGTCAAAAGAAAATTCAATTGATTGTGAAGGGTCAATTGGCAAATGAATACTGTACATATTACATCAGAAATAATTAGAGACAGTAAAAATCAAAAGGAGAACTCAAACTCATTTTCAACTGCTAAAACTCCACTTGACATAAATTGTAAACTCAGATGATGTTTGAAAGAGACTGCTGTCAGCCAATTTTACACCCTATCATCAGAATGTCTATTCCTCATACTGTTCTCTACACATTTCCCAAAGTGCTTACAAGGAGAGTTTATTTAACAATCTGGAGCATCTTTAGTTGATAATTATTTCCTTAAATCTTGCAACTTAAATGTGTGATTCAGTGATGATGTTGTAAGGAAAAATGAGATGCTGGTCACCAATAGGGTTCAAAGCTTTGAAAGAAAAAAGGTATAAATGACCCGTGGGTTTGACATAAGATGAACAAGGCTTGTAGAGTATCTGAATTAGAAAGAGAAGGTAAAGTTCCTTCTCCAAACTACTTTTTGAGTACTTAATATGTACTTAAACTATAGAAAGACACAATTAGTTATTTAGGAATTTCATGTGCAATTCATTTTTGGAGGTAATGACTTGATAATTGTGCATGCAGTAGTATTAATAGTTTAACCTTAGAGCTTAATATGTTTGGTTTGTGATTTTTTATTAGGGAAGACGAAGTACCAGTGGAAAGACAAAGAAAAAAGGTTTTGAATCAGGATTTTTCTTCTTTTTGTTATGAACTTTAAACATATTATTTCACAAGTACAGCAGCTGTACATTAAGTCATGTACCATTTACAGGTTGTTTAACTTGATAAGTGCAGTGGTACTGAACATGTGCTGGTACCATTCAATTGAAAAGGAATCTACCTAGTTCAACTTCACAATAGCAGTAATCATGTATTTATTTCATTAAATAATGACATCAATTTTAGCAAATGTAATTGTAATACATTTTCTTGAAGGGTTAGTGTTCATCTTGGTAATATGTATGCACTGGTAAATATAACTGACCACTCTCCAACCTGGGCATTTTATGTCCAAAGTAAACAATCAGAGATGCAATTAGAAATCCTAGCAGGCAAGAGGCAAACATTTAGCTGTTAGTAGATTGCAGGGAAGGATTACAACATTGAGGAATCAAGAAAACCAGATTACATGTCCTGCATGTACCCCCTCATCTTTCTAACATTTTCCCTCCTCAAGATCATTCCCATTAAATGCAATTTTCAATCACATATTTTGTGCAGGTGGAGTTACATTCAAAACTATAGTGAAAACTGGAGCCAAGAGAAATGGTGGCACAGATGCAAAGGTATGAGAGAGAGGGATGAGACACTCTATAGTCTTGCAGTTTAAATGTGCCAGAATTACTAATTTTGAAATTATTAGACCAGTTTACTTGAGGTTTGACACCCTCACTTGTTTTATTAGGTGACTTATTTTATATCACTGTACCAGTACATGTAGTATGATTTCTGCCCAAATCACCATAAAAATAATGTCATAAGATAAGCATATGATGCAATGTATATAATTATATATATATAGTGCATGTAATTGCAGCTATCACTCCATGTGGTACTTTGCAGTTATAGCCTTTATTGATTTACAGCATTATCAATGAAATATCACAAAAAGATTTTGCTTTCTTAAGAATCAAGAATGACTTTTTTCATTTTGAGAGCTAAGAAAGAGAGCCAACTGTGTTTGTAGCACAATAAACCCTGGAGAGTTGTTTATGTCTTCTTTCTTTTTCAGAACACAAGATTAATGTTCATATTGTCCATAGGTGCTTCCAGCAATTTAATGAATAACTGTATTTGATTTGTCTCACAGGTTTTTGCAGAATTTCGGGGAACAAAAGGCAAGTTTACCAGACAACTCACTCACCAAATGGATTCTGCTGTACCATCAGCGTTTATAGCAACATTGCCACCATTCCAATTCCACTCAGGAAGCACTGAGACTTTTACTGTGAAGGGACCTGATATTGGTGACCTTATACAGCTTATTATTCAGGTACAAGACTTATATTGACCAATCTTTCACTGCTAATATTTAAAAATTAATCCCTAAGTGCATGTTGGATGTGAGGTGGGCTATAACCAATCCCATATTCAACAAGGGTGAATGGAATAACTGTTTTACTAAATTTCATTAAATCCTGATTGTTTAGATATTTGGAGCCTTTTTTGGGCTTGGCAAAAGTTGGTGCAATGCTTTTCTGTATAACTTGAGTCAGAATGTGAGCTGCTCCTATGGAGAAGATGTTCTTTCCTTCTCACACAGAAAAACTTCTTATTTTTCAGTATCAAAGTACAGGACAATACATTTAGACATGGTACAATAATACAATTCACCAAACTACTGTTACCAAATCACTATAACAAAACATACAGTCATGTATTTTTATTATAACACACACCAAAGATTAGAATATGAATGAATTTGTCACATAGCTATTATTAATAAAGTGTGCCCATTTTGTGATTTTGTTATAAAGACTCAACTGTGGAATTTTTTTTTCTCAGCATGATGGCCGTGAGCGGAAACAAGGATGGTTCCTGGATGAAATCCAAGTGACAAACCCTCAGAAATCAAAATCTTGGACATTCCCATGCTATCAATGGTTGTCTTTGTATGAGAGTGATTGTCAAGTAAAACGCTGTTTAAAACCACTGGTGCACAAGAAAGCTGAAAAAGTTGGTATGTTGGCAGTTACATGATATATATAATTCTAAATACCATATTTCCTTGAAAGAGTGTGCATGTGCTTATTTAAAATCTCAGCTAAAAGGGGGGCACTTTTTAGAAGGAGGGTGCCTAATTGAGGGGTCGATTATTATGTAAGTGCAGCCGTAGAACAAAAATCAAAAGACAGATAATGCACCTACATGTAAAGGAACTCTGCAAACACATAAAGATAAAAATACAAGTAACTGGAAAGGAAAAAAAAACTATTCTCCTGTAGTTGAAGCTTAAAAAGGTATAAATAAAGTGGCAATAGAATCAGGATTTCCTTGTAGTCCGACTATTTAAGAAGGTGAGGGAGGACAGGGTGGGGTGCATTTATTCAAGGGGGGCAATTGTTTGAAATTACGGCTTTGGGGGTGGGTGCTTATTTGGGGATGAGGGTTATATAAAAGTGTGGGCTTATTCAAGGAAATGGGGTAATCATTGTGCAAGAATTTGACACAGTACAACATGTACATTAGGGCATTGTTTTTTCCATTGATAACACACTGTACATGTACATTGTACTCTGAAGCTGCCTTCTTTAAATCATTTGTTTGATTGACAGTTTACGTAATAGAGGTATACACTGGGGACAAAGCTGGTGCAGGGACAGATGCTCATGTGTTTATTACGTTGTATGGCAAGAGAGGACAAGCCCCTAAAACACAACTTATCAGCAGGTACAGGTTTTAGATTTTGGTTTTTTTTTTTATTATAATTATTTTATGTACTTATTGGCCATGCATTGTTATAGATAATTAATCCCCTTGCATGTACTATTGGCCATTACTTGGTGTCATTCTTCCCTCATAGACTAAAACAGGATTCAGCAGTTATTTTTTTTCCAGGTTAATTGGTTAGTTTTTAATTCTCGCAAATAATTTCTGCCATTTTCCTTTTCTGTTCTTCTGCACCCAACAGGACTGATGATGCTTTTGAAAGGAAGAAAAAAGATGTTTTCAAAATCAAAACAACTGACCTTGGATCCTTGAAGAAGTTAACGTAAGCAGTCTGTATAAAAAAAATAATTTTCTATTGTTTGACGTTAAAAATACAATTGAAAGCAGCTGCATGAAAAAACAAACAAACAAACAGAAAAACAAAAACAAACAAAAAAACAAAAAGTTACATGTAAGTGATACTGCCAATACTTATGCATTGCATTGTGGATCTTAGCAATTGTGGAGTGAAATTAATATTTGCAGATGTAGTGTTAAATGCTACTGATGATAACATTAAATTGATGAAATTCTTAAATCTCACATTCTTTTATAAACCAATCAGTTGCCTTTATCTCTCATAATTTTCATGGACCGTAAGAGGATTAAATATTCTTTTGTTTTTCATCATTTTGTAGCGTGGAACACGATAGTTTTGGTTTTTCTCCAGGATGGTTTTTGGACAAGGTACAGTACCTATGTTTTAAATAGCAATACACTAGTTGGAAGTCTATTTGTTATGCGAGACAGCACTGAAAATTGCACTTTTTGGCTGTTCATTTACCCTGATTTTAATGATAATCACCTACGTGTGTACAAATTTCTTTCAGATAATAGTGTACTGTCGTGAGAGAGAAGATCAGAAATTCTATTTTCCCTGTAATCAGTGGCTGGCCAAGGATGAAGGTGACGGAATGACAAGGAGGCAGCTGACGGCTTCAACAGATTCTTCAGCTGTATTTCAAGGTTTGTTACATTGAATCCCAGAAGAATCAATTAAAGTTCATGTTGTTAGAAACAGAAAGCATTCCTATAATCAATAATTCTATGATATCTCTCGGATGTTGTTTTTTACACAATTTTTATGTTCATATACAACAAAAATCAAACTGATACGAGTGTGTGTTCTGTTCCTTTTTTTTTCCCTTTTTTTTGTTATCTAGGCCACCGATATCTTGTTCACACGTACACTGGTGACAAGAGAGGAGCTGGAACTGATGCTAATGTTGTAATTACCATATTTGGAGAAGATGGTGACTCAGGGGAGAAGAAGTTGGATAACGCAAGAAATAACTTTGAACGTGGAAAGTAAGCGGTGTATTTAAAGACTAACTGCAAATGTGTTTGTGACATGTATGAATGCAGTACACTTCTCGTAATAGCTCTTGAGGGATTTCCTATAAGCCTCAGACTGTATTACCATAAAAAGAAATATATAATGGCCGCTTTGTAGAGAATAACAACTTGGTTGGCTCCGCACTGAAATATTTCACTGGACATAGAAATGATGTTAGCATACTCCTTGAAGGAAGGATTGCCATCAAATTCCTGGGATGTTCCTACACATATTTTGGCATCAGAGTGATTCGATAATACATACATTTAGCCAAGCCTAAAAGCGGAGCACGCATTTTTTTCCCGCACGTCTCAAGGGCACAACGCCTTGCCCCGGCCAGGACTAGAACCCGGGTCGTCCGACTCGGAGTCCAGTGCACTGACCACTGAACTATTGGACAAAGCCGTGGCGTTGGCGTGCCCGCGGTACAGTTAACCGCGCATGTTAAAAGTAGCACCTTGTACGGTCGTACGATCGTACGGTCGTACATCCAAATTTTTTCGGCTTGATGGGTTACTGCTATTTTGTATAATTATGGAGCTACGCTCTGCGAGCTCCGCTATTATTTCAGATCTGTTATAACCTTACCAAATTTATTTGTTACATGGAAAGTCATCACGAGAAGTTTCCGTTTGATTGTATCTGAGAGTCAAAGGGTTGCAGTTGTATGTAACTGTGCTCTATTTTCAGGAAAGATTCCTTTAAGGTCATTTGTGGAACAAGTCTTGGACGCCTGACCAAGATAAGAATTGGACATGATAACAGTGGATTAGGGCCTGGCTGGTTTTTGAACAAGGTTAGTTCATTTGATAACAGCCATCGTGTAGATGTATACAACACAAATAAATAGAACTTTTCGCATGCGCTGACTTAGCTGGTTCGGAAGTGATTAGCTAGCAATGTTCACCTACCGGCGGCTGAGGAGAGAAATCGCGCAACAAGAGTTTTATTTTTGACCATTTCTCGGTATACAGATAGAAATAGGCAAAGTTGTTGGTTATTTACTTAAACAATTATTCACCTTAGCTTCTTTGAAAGTGGTGGACATTCACCTCCACTTCGGTAAATTATTCTTTTGAAAGTATATTATCAGTAGCGATAAGTCAATTACAGTGTACTGCTTGATGTCACCAACGAAGTTTTCACGTTGTAAATTAGTTTTATTTCCACTTGTTTCCTTTTCCAGGCAACTGTCGAGGATCCCAGTACAGGAGAAGCTGTTGGTTTTCCTTGCCGACGCTGGTTTGCTAAAAATGAAGATGATGGTCAAATCTCACGTGAACTGATCCGAGCAGACGCCAAAGATGGTGATTTAGTTGTTGACAAAGGTCAGAGCTACTTTCTTGTCGATCGTAACAAATGTAACAGATTAATTTAGTATTATCAACTGAGTTGATAACGTAAATTAGCAACCATAAAGAGTTTAAAGCTGACGTTTCAAATGTAGATGATCATGGTAACAAATGTAACACAGACGTTGGTTATGAAACAGGTTCACGGCGGGCTTTTGTCATCATACGACCTTGAGTAGAGAAAAAATACTTTTTTCGCTAATTAATTCAATCCCATTTTGCAAGAATGCTATACGCTTTCAAATTTTAACCAAAAAGATATGATAAGGCTAAATGGTAGAAAGTTGAAAAAGTGTTTTGCGCAACCTTTGCTTGCGAAGATATTGAGTATCCTGGAAATGATCTCTATCAGAATTTCCACACGGTACTCTATCGAACGAAGGAATACATTGACTTCCGAAGTTGAAGTTGTCAAAGTTCATAGAATGTGGTTTTGTTTTTGAACTGGTAGGAATTCCCTATCATATTCATGTCACAACTGGAGACGTCAGAAATGCGTCGACTAATGCACGTGTTTATGTCATCCTTCACGGAGGGGAAGACGGCGAAAACAACAGTGGCAAACTGTGGCTTCAGAATGAAGAGAAAGACAACTTTCAAAGGGGAAGGACGGACATTTTTACTGTAGAAACAGCAGAAATGCTGAGTCCCTTGCATCATTTAAGCATTGGTCATGACAATAGTGGTCTTGGTGCAGGATGGCACTGTGAGAAGGTAACTGAAATTTATGTATTAAACTGTGTATCAAAACCAAAGAAATAACAATGCGGAAAGAAGGAAAAATCAAAATTAAAAGGATCAATAGTTAACGTGGACACCCTCAAGTGAGCAAGAGATGCAACAGACCAAGTGCCAATTGGTTTTAATCAATTTGCACCTGACTGGTTGAGAGGGTTCATAACATTCCTGGATCAATCACCGAGCGAAAAACAGAAATACTATTGTAATGAGTAACCCATGCAATTGAGTTCCCTGAAGTCCCGCTGCCTTCACATGACTCTCGCATAGCTAAAAGGATGTGTGAAACTGCTAAGCAAGCCATGTAGAGTTTTCATCCTGCATTGATTGACAATGGTTAGAAATGCCCAATTTTTGAGTGTTTTGTTTTTCCCTCAGGTGGTTGTCGACTGCCCCAGCAGTGGAGATCAGCAAGTATTTTTGTGTCAGAAGTGGCTGGCCGATGATGAAGGAGACCAATTGATTGAGAGAGATCTCTTTGAGTCTGAAGATATGAGATTGAAAAGACGGCCAAGTATGATTCACAGTGTTCCCTTTATTTTTGTTTCATGAAAACTGATATCCACCTAGAAGAGAACAATTCTCAAACGTCAGAGAAAAATACTACGCATTTGTAAATTCAAAAGCATTTGCTTCGCACCTGTCCATATACATGTAAGCAATGAACATGAGAACGTCAGGTCCTTTCGGTTTTGCATTCCTGTTGAATGTCGTAGTCAAGGCAGTGCAAGGACAAACGATAGACTACGCGTAAAATTATGGTATTTTTTGGAGGAGAATTTTTGTGTACTAGGGGCTGGTTTTTCTAGTACAGGATTTAAAGGTCAATCTGGTTTTGGTTTCTTAAGTATTGAAGCGTTTATTCCAGCTAAAACTCGCTCTGTGAGGTTTCAACTTAGTGCAGGGGTAAAGCAAGATAAATCGTGGTTTAAACAGCCAGGCACAATGCTGTTGTAAAGAGGAGGACTTCACTGGGGAAAGGTGCTAAAATGAGAACCGTTGGTAAGAGTGTTTTTCTTTTTCGGACAGAAACTGTGTGGAATGTCTGGCTATGGACAAGTGACATGAGAGGAGCTGGCACAGATGCTAATGTGTTTATGACATTGTACGGAGACAAAGGCAAGACTGATGAGGTACCGCTTGGAAATGCCACTGACAACTTTGAGCAGGGACAGCTTGATAAGTTTAAGGTAAGTTCTGATCACTCTTCTCTTCTGTTGTCCAAAGTGCTCTTTATATTCATGGAAGTTTTAAACTTTTTCCACGTTTTTCCTCCCTGTTGAGCAGCTTATATTCTTTGTTTAGCGGATCTTAATCACATGCATAATTTGATCATTGCCATGTATTCAAACTTACACAAAACAATATTTCCCTTGTCATTCCTCAATGTTCTGTGTTTTTTTTTTCTTTTTATGCTAGGTTGAACTGACTAGAGTCGGAAAACCATACAAGCTGAGAATACGACATGATAACTCAAAAGCGTTTTCTGACTGGCATTTGGAAAAGGTAAGTCCGTCTGTCCGCCTGTGTTTTGGTACACTTATTTGTCCCTCCGCCTGCCTGCCCGCCCGCCCTCCCGTCCGTCCTCCCGTCCGTTTGTCAATCAGTTAATCAACGAATAGAATAATCGATAACAACTTTGAGTTTGCGTATAGTTTGCGCATAGTTTACGAATGTGCTGGTACATTGTAATAGTAAAGACTTGATTTCTACTTTGTTCTGTTTTTTATTTTTTTGTTTTAAAACGTTTTGTGCGATTAATGGGTAAGAAAGAACTAGACCTAAGGGCGTAAAAGAGTCTTGGGGAGCTTCTCACGCGTAATACTCTTTACGTGCTCGCCGCGCTCGCCTCGCGTTGGATTCCGGCTGCATAAAAAATGCCAAAGATGGCGCCTGTTCAGCACACCACTAACTTTGTATTCTTTGCAATGAAAACAGAGAGAAGTTGTGATAGCACCGTTCATTTAATGATAGTCATAGCCAGCTGGGGCTGTGTTTATTTAACGATGAACACTCTTCCTTTTGTGGATCAAAATGCATTCACATTTTGATATGAAAAGATAGACCATGAAACAAGCTTACCAAATGTCGGTTTGATTTATTTTGCTTAGATCCAAATGGAAAATGTCAAATCAAGTATTAAGTGTTCTTACAAGTGCAACCGCTGGCTGTCTAAGAGTGAGGACGACCATCAGATTATTCGTGAACTGCCAGCAATCATCCAAGGAAAAGAACCTTTACCTGGTAATGAATAAATTCAAAGTTTTATTAACAACGACAAAAACAGCAATTCTTTCTTTCTTTAGGTGTTGAAGCTGATGAAAATAATGAAAAATGATAGTAATTATAGTAATAATAAATGTATGTTTGAACTTAGATTTAATAGAGCACAGCTACTACCAGCTAATTCTTTAAAAATTAAACCAGCCAATCCATTTGAAGCTTCTTATGAAAATAATCTTGATTTAATGTGCGTTTTCTGTTTTACTCTTTTTAATCTTTTCAGTGTACGTTTACCATGTTTATGTCCACACCGGTGACAAACGAGGCGCTGGTACAAATGCCAATATATTTTTTAATATTTTTGGTGAGTTGGGGGACACCGGAGACAGACCTCTGGAAGAATCAAAAACTAACAGGAACAAATTTGAGAGAAATCAGGTAATTTGTAAAATATTTTGTTTTCGTACTGTTGATATTTCTTTGAAGCTGGGTCATGCGTTAGGATCAGTCCAAAAGCATCAAGACATCGATAGTCAGTGTTTCTTCGTAGCTGGTTTTTTCTCTACTCGCCTGAACGGCTATAAATCTTGCGTAAAGTTCTGCGTGAATCTTGAATCCGTTATCTTTCAAACATATTCTGCATTGTGTGGACAAAAACAAATCACGCAGCGGTGTTTTATCTCAATGTATGAAAAACCAGAAGAGTACAAAGTATTAATAAGAAACCTCTCTAAAACAATCAAAGACTTGCATTAATCGTGGGTAAGCTTAACCATGTTTTCCAGAACCATACATGTGCACGTAATTGCCCCGTTGAGAGTGTTTTCCGTGATATCCAGTTTTGCGCGCAGTTATCAACTGTGATGTATGTTGACCTCTTTACTTGTGTCTGAAGGTGGATGAGTTCCTTATCGAAGCAGTGTCACTAAAAACCCTCGAAAAAGTCCGTGTGGGCCATGATTCCACTGGGCCCGGATCAGGATGGTTCCTAGATAAAGTTGTGATAAAGGATCCTGAGGACAACACCAAGGAATATGTGTTCCCTTGCAACAGGTTTGTTATGAATATCTATCACGGAAACCTTTCCTTCGACTGACGTTATGACTACGTATGACTGCGTTACGATTACGTATTGGGCGTTCATTTGTTTCGTGGGCTCACTTGCAGGCCTTATTGGCCCACTCTGGGACAGGGTAATTATTGGGAGGAGGAGATTGGGCTTACGGTAAGACTCTTTTCAAAGACAAATCGCATATTCGGGACGGGTTGCATGCATGCACTGTATCTCGTTGCATTTCCTTTCTCCTTTAAGTTTTTCGGTGGCATACCCTGGGTGTAGCCAGGGAAGGGGGTAGCTGAGGCACCGGTGTCCCCCCCCCCTTTGTAAGCCTTTTTCGGTAACATATGACATAGGGGTCGACAGGGCAATCTAGTGAGTACACTCTGTTTGACAGGGTGACCCCCCGCCCCCCTTTGAAAAATCCTGGCTTAATTGGCGAAGTGAGTAGTTAAGCAAACTTATTTGGTTTTGAATTTCAAGAGTAAGGTTAGGTCGTTCTTTGATTCCATCGGTGGCTCTTAAATTTGTTTTGAAATTTTTTTATATGTTTTGTTCTTAAATTGTAGGAATTTTCAAGATCCATTCAGGCTTCCCTTTCCCTCTCTTTTTAGCACTTTGTATTGTTTCATATTTATTGTGTGAAGTAAAACCGAAAGCAATTTTTAAAAATGTAATGATCAAAACAGAGTGTTGAACTCAGACAAACTCTCCCAAGGGAGCTTACTATATTCGCACTCGGTATGAAGCTCAACAATTGTGCTACTGACTGGCTTGGTGCTTCGTTCTGTTGCAGATGGTTGGCAAAAGATGAAGATGATGGTTTGATAGTCAGAGAGCTCCCCCTTGGTGGTACAAGTCTGCTCAATAGTACGTCAGTTGTATTTATTTACTCCGCTATTTCAACATGTCCTACTTCCAGATCCTACGCACGGTTACTTTCGTCGCAGTTGTGCGCAGTCTTTGGCATAGATGCTTGAAATCCAAACGGTGACTGGAAATTTTTTTTTTTTTCTTGCAGCCACTTCGTATCTAGTATCTGTAAGGACTGGTGATGTTCGTGGCGCGGGTACGGATGCCAATGTTTTTGTTCAAATTTTTGGCGCTAAAGGTGACACTGGAAAGTTACAACTGAGAAGCGCTGAAAACACGAAAAACAAGTTTGAGCGAAGCAGGACTGACCAGTTTGTGCTGGAGGCCGTGGACATTGGAAAGGTGGGTAATGACAAGGGAAGAAACAAACACGCACAACCTCTCTGTTAGTGTTAAAAGACCTAAGTTTAAGCAGTATGCAGAAACCTCATAACGTTGATATGGAAAGGAGGCAGAATGGCCTCCATCTAAATGGGGGTCCAGAGTTCTTGATTTCAACCCGCTGGCCACAGTTTTAAATGCCACCGTGATTGTCAGGGTTATTCTTCTTGGCAGAGTCGCGCTCGGCACATCAGTCATGATTGAAAACAGTCAATTGGTTTGCCTGCGGCCAGTTTGTGTCTTGATGCTTTTCTTTTAACTTCTAGGGTTATTAGTGACTTTCCTTTTTTTTTTTTTTTTTTTTTTTCTTGTTTAATTTGTTTGTGTTTTCAATATCACGTTCCTAGCCTGTTGTGTTTTTCCCGAATGAGGTCATAGCTCAGAGCATCCGTCCTTTTTCGCGAATATCTCTGTCCTCGGTTTCTCAATGTGTTGTTTTCTAGGATTCATACACCAAACTTGGTACAATCACTTCATAACGGCAGTAGATTCCTTGAGGGAACCAAATATGCTGGCTCCGGTTGTTCGAGGCTTGGTTAACGCTATCCACTGAATAATCTCTATCCGGTGGATAGCGCAGTACGTTTTAATATCACTTATCCACTGGATAGCGGTTTATCCCTTAGATATCGTTATCTGCGCTTTATGCAACTAGGCCCTAGTCAAGTTTAATGCGGGTTTCTTGACTGAATATTTTCGATGTATTCTTCCCATCAGGTTGAAATGTTGCGTATCTCGCATGACAACAAAGGTGGTGCTGCTGGTTGGTTTCTTGATAACGTCACAGTAGATATCCCTTCACGTGGAGAACACGTGGTCTTCCCATGTCACCGCTGGTTGGCAGATGATGAAGACGACGGCAAGATTGAGAGGGAGTTGTACCCAGGACAACAGACTCAGAGCAACCCAAGTAATTTACGTTTTTGTTCCTTCATTTTCCCGAGTAATGCCTTAAAAGTAGTTTGTGGAACGTTCATATAAAAAAAGATAGACACTAGAATATTGTTGTTTTTGTTTGGGTAGAAATCCCTCACGAAGTGACGGTGTACACGGGTGACGTCAGAGGAGCTGGTACCAACGCAAATGTGTTTCTTGTCATGTATGGCGAGAAGGGCAAGTCTGACCAGTTTGACCTGAGAAACAAGTCTGACAACTTCGAGAGAGGCCAGGTTGACAAGTTCAAAGTAAGTTCTGAGGATAAGGTTAAAGGCTCGCTCCCAAGCTCTCCCTTCCAGGGGGGAGAGTAGACAGAGCCTGGAAACCATCCGGTAGAGGGCAGAAGACATAAGTAGGAATTATTTTTTTGAAGCGGCGAATTTACCACGATATTGACGAGCAAAATTGCTTGTACAGTGTGTATAGAAGGCAACTGCTATACGCTTTCTTGTTCCCAGTATATAGAATTTTGCGTCATATTATGATAATGCCTTGACACCTGACAAGTGTATTCTTCTGTTTACCACTTTTCTGGATATTGTATTGATGTTATAAGGAGAAGTTATGTATTTATTGCCTCTGGGAGTACTAGGATTCACCACTCAACCTTTTTTCTTTTATCCACCAGGTGGAGTGCGAGGATATCGGACAGCTGGTAAAAATTCGTGTTGGTCATGATAACAATGGAATGCGCTCAGCCTGGTTCTTAGAGAAGGTAAAATGATTCAGTCGAGTATTAAATTTACTGTAAACGACGCGTGGGCCATTTGACTCGAAAAAACCTCCTTTGATTATTCGCGTTCAGCCATGGCTGCATGAAGTTTTGCTCTCTTGTTTAAAAGGTTGAAATTCGCCGCGTGAAGCCCGAAGACAAAGAACCAAGCAAGAAACGAAGGAATTCTGGGGAGGTTGAAGAGATGAGTGATGGAGATGAACATAATTATCTTTTTGTGTGTAACCGCTGGCTGGCTCGGGACGAAGACGACGGTCAGATCGTGAGGGAACTGGTACCCGTGGACTCCAGTGGCAGACCAAGACGCGGCTCGCTTGCAGGTAACTTGAACAGATGAGCCCATAGTATCAAGGTATAGGACAGCGGCCGGGGTACGTGTGCTGAGAGTGCACAAGGTCGAATGCTCATTTGTTTTTTATCTTTCATCCAAATATTCTGTTATACCTTTGATAGAAAACACGTACCGTGTCCACGTACACACTGGTGATGTTTCTAATGCTGGAACGAATTCCAATGTGTTCATCTGCTTGTATGGTGAATTTGGCGATTCTGGAGAACGAAAGTTGGATAAATCTGAAACTCACATGGACAAGTTTGAAAGGAATAATGTAAGATCTGTAATTAGGGCGTGTTTGTAGGTTAAAGCGAGGACTCCTATGTCCTTATGTATAGTTTAAATGCGTGTATTTCACTTCATTGTAACTGCAAAGATAGATTTGATCAGTTGGGCAATGGAAAGGAACCCAATAATCTTGTATATATCGTTTTTGTTATGCAGTGTGATGATTGACCAATTAGTAACTTTAGCCTATTCTCGTGCAAACACACGTTTCTCGTGAGTTCTCCTTTATTTTGCGTAACTGGCGATTTTGTATTCGCCTTGAAGCGGTAAGTAGCGTAGCCGTATGCACCCAAAACCGCCGGTTACGCTAGCTCTGTTCCTTTCGCTCACCTCGCTGCTGTGGTCATAGAAATGTTACTTGGTTTATTGGTCAGAAGTCAAAAGTTTGGAAAAGTGTTGAAGTCGTAAGAGTCGTAAGATTAAGAGTTTTACCACTTTATTGTCGTACTTTCATTGAATATGTAGCAATCCTGCTTCCTTTTTTAATCCAACACTTCTCGCGTAGGATCATTATTACCTCAAGCTCTTATTGGCGCTGATATCTGGTAGATGTATTTCTTGGTTTTTAGGAGGACATATTTTCGTTCAATTGTGTCAACCTCGGCCCACTCAGTAAAGTCAAAGTGTGGCATGATAACAGTGGATTAAAGAGCGCTTGGCATTTAGACAGGATCGAGATCGAGGACAAACTAGCAGAGGAGAAACATGTATTTCCTTGTAATCGGTGGCTTGCAACCAGCGAAGACGACGGCCAGATTTGTCGCGAACTTGTTAAAGTTGACGAGCGAGCTTTGAAGCTGGAGAGAAAGAGGACTTTGTCCAGAAAAACAAGTGTTATCTCCAACGTTGATGGTGTGGATCTTGAGGCTAAAGGTATGTTGCCCTGTTACTTCTGCTTTTTAACGGAAACAGATGAAATCTTGGAATTATTTATTGCTAATTCGCAAATTGATTGAAACTGTTCACATAAAGTCAGCTAAACCAGCCCGCGTGTGTTCTGGAATCATGCATACCCGCCATAACATTTAGTACTTGTCAGTTGCAAAAAGAGAAAAATCTAATTTATTGTTCTAGTGTAAGATATAAATTTAGAATGTGGATAAGCATATCGTACAATCATGATTATTTTTTCTCTCAATTTTATTTCGCTGGTGTGTGGCCTCTTGCAGCTCGTATCACGACCTACGAAGTCTCTGTTATTACTGGTGACGTCAGAGGAGCCGGCACCAATGCGAATGTATATGTTATTATGTACGGAGCAGAAGGGGATACAGGTCAGTCAAATGAAGAGATACATCATGTGCTCAACATAAAAATGAAGACCATGTAATGTAGCCACTCGGGGGAGAGCGTTCCCAAGTTCTAGTGACTGATTTCCTGGCAATCCGAGAGCATGTTGAGGCGTCGAAGATTTACCCATCCTACAGGATTCTGTTTTATTTTTTTATTCTGTTATTTTATTCTGGTTTGTTTTTAAATTTGTGCTTGGAAGTCTTCTTGTCATAACATTTCTGTTGCCACTTATTCGTCAGGCAAAGTTCCTCTCAAAACCTCGAAAACGTTCAGAAATAAATTTGAGCGTGGCCAAACAGATGTCTTTACCGTTGATGCCAAAGTTGGAGAAATTGAAAAGATCAGGTAAAATGATAATGCGAGATTATGAGTAGATAAAAAGAAGAATTTCTGAGTTGTTTTTAGGTCTAAAGTGGATACGCTTGCTCTATGACAGCCTGCTTACTCCCAAAAGGAAGTGACGCTTGAAACAGCGTAATTCTAACATCATGATGGACTTTTTGCTTTCAAGTATTTGGGGTTTGCATTTTCTGGCAACCATTATTAGATTCTGTCAATGCATATTATCTGATATGTTCAACATTGTGTCATTTTATGGCCACCTGGAGTAACTTAACCATCTCAACTTGTAATATCGTCATTTAACCACTGCTCTTGCTGCAGGATCGGCCATGACAATAAAGGTGGATTTGCTGGTTGGTTCCTGGACAAGGTGATTATCGATGTTCCTTCCCTTGGTCAGAAAGCTGTGTTCCCGTGCGACCGCTGGCTGGATAAAGGCAAAGATGATGGACAGTTGGAGAGAGAGCTGTTTCCTGGAGTGGACACCGAGGAAGCTTATTCTCCGTGTAAGGAAATCACTTCGTGTCGCCCCATATATTACCCCACATGTGTCACATCACCTATCGTTAAACCGTATTACGTTACTTCACTTCACAGTTCATCACATTCCAGACTGTTACGTCACGCTAATCAACATGACATGACAAAACGTCACGCCGGATCACTTGTCACCAAATCACACTGTGTTGAATAATGTGACAACAATTTAGGGTGCTACGCTTCATTACGTCACAGTAACGTAACATCTTGTCAGGGCACGCTGCATTGCATCAAATAATATTTTCCAACACGGATATCGTGTCACATACTTCGTCGCGCGAATTGAAACCTTAAGTTGTGTTTTTACGGATCCTGAGTATTGCGAATTTCGACTGGATTTGATTGATTTGAGGCCTTTTCGTTTGGATCAGTTTGTGCTTAGATATACATTTACCTAGTGATGTTGCTAATGTATCTACGAACCTTTCAGATGTGCCGTATGAGATGACTGTGTTCACAAGTGATGTGATGGGAGCTGGCACCTCAGCTCATGTTTATATTGTACTATACGGCTCTGACGGCTGCACTGAAGAGGTTATGTTAGCAGACACGTCAAAGAAACAAAAGGATTCCTTCAAGAGAGGATCAACTGATCAGTTTGTTAAGGAGGTACGTGTATTAGGTTGGAAGAAATGTATAATTATTCACCTAAGTAGAGGTGAATAGATGGGGGTATTTACTTAGCCGCGAGGCAAATATCCACCGCTAGCCGCTGAGGTGAAAAGTTGTTTTAGTATAAACCAAAAGAAATTCCTGCAGTGATTTCAATCCCGTGCGCGTTGCTCAGAGGTGAATAGCCAAGGATATCCGGAGTTCGAGTGGCCAATCAGCGTGTGCCTTCAACACTATCTACTGTTGCTGTATATGACAATTGTTATTAGTATATACCACAATGTGTCAATTCAAGATTCACGAACAAGCGCAAGCAAAAGAGAATTGAGAACACATTATATATTGGGTTCCGTGGGTTTTTATTCCGTGCACCGTATGATATAACAGATGTGTTGATATACAGAACAGTCATGATAATGGTTGTACGCTCACACCTGCTAATCGTAATGATGACTTGCTTTTTCATACGTCTATTTCTGTATGAGATTTAATCACTTTTTTGCAGCTCGACAATGTTGGTGATGTGATTGAAAAGATTCGAATCGGACACGACAACAAAGGCATGACCCCTGGTTGGCATCTTGACAAGGTAGAGGTACGACGCTTGAAAGATGACGGCGAATCTTCCACAACGTACACCTTCCCCTGCAAGAGATGGCTGGCCAAGGATGAAGACGATGGATCTGTTGTGCGAGAGCTGATTCCTAATAAGGTTATCGAAGAATCTGTAACGGAAGATGGAGAAGTGGAAACTAAGGAGGTCGATCAAGAGACGTTGGAACGTAAGTAGGCTCTACAAGATGGGACCATAACTGAATTTCTTTGTAGAGACAGTAAAAAGCAGTTGTAGTTGGGAGAAGTTGCCAAGATGGAAAGATGCTATTGTTGGTTTTTATTCGTTCTCTATGGTGAAGAGAAGTAATTTGAACGGATCCGGTCTCGACCTTAACATTTCTCTCAAATCGTAGCCTCTCTTGTTGTAAACGTTCCACAGTAATGGTTTTTAAGATTTGTTAATGGTTCTTTTTTCGTGTGGCTCGAACTGAAAAGATTGTAGTACCGGTAATTTTTCCAAATTTGCTCCTTATTTGAGCAGTTTATAGGTGCTATATCTCATTCTGTTTTCTGCAGAAGAATTTTCGGTTTTTTTGGGAGGGATTTTACAGCCAGGCGCAAAGATATATTATAGTTCAGTTCATAATACGTGTTTTAAACCTTTTTACTCGTTCTCTTTGATTTATTGTTTTTCTTTGTTGTTTTACCTTCGTCTTGAACTATTGTTTTCAGATGAGTTCTACTAAAACTTACAATTTACATATCATTTTCAGTCCGCAAGTACAAAGTTCATGTCTTTACTGGTGACGTCAAAGGCGCAGGAACAGATGCTAATGTTTTTATCACCTTATATGGTGAATATGGTGACACAGGGGAGAGGCAACTTGCTAAGTCAGAGACATACTCTAATAAGTTTGAAAGGGGAAATGTGAGTGTCGAAATAGTCTTACCTGTGTGTTTGCATTGGAATTGAACTGACATTAGCATAAACTCAGCAACTGAAATAGAAGATGACAAGTAATATTTGAGGTGGAATGTATCCGAGCTTTGACTGATAAGTGACGACGTGGCCCTAACATATAAAACTCAATTTTATTTTAGTCCCTTTTAAGATACAATTACCAAGTGTTTTCCATGCCCAAACCGTTGCTACATAATGCCTCGTTACAGTCAGCTTTTCGGATTTTAAATTTTTTTTAGACAATATCTCTCACCAGGCTTTCTTTGTTTGTAAAATTATTCTTAATAGTATTCTTCCTTGCTTAACAGGAAGATATCTTCACCTTGGAAGCCGCCGAACTCGGGAATGTTTTCAAGGTGAAGCTTCGACACGACAATGCCAATTTTAGTCCCTCCTGGTTTGTGGATCGTGTCGATGTTCGAGATTTGGAAACAGACAAACTTTATCCGTTCGTTTGCGAGAGATGGCTTTCTAAAAAGAAAGAAGAAGGGAAAATCCAACGAACGCTTTATGTAAAAGGCTATCAGGTATACTTTACACAGCACGATAATTTTTAACCTTTTTTTTAAATGATGAAGATATGAACTATTGCCTCGTACTCAGGACATCTCCTTTCTAAGATGGGCGCACTTATTCCCGTGGTCCCCCGCGTTTCGCTCTCATCGCCAGTCGCTCGCGTTTTCGTTCTCTTTCCAATAAGTATCTTCGAAAATTAGTGAAGGAGGATGTGTCTTACCTTAAATTTGAAATGAGTGCTGGCGGCTTATTGCAGAATATAAGGTGTTACCTCAGAGCGCTTCCTTTTTTTCTTTTCCAGGGCGAACGCTCTACTCTTGGCACAATGAGTCTGAGATCTTTGAGCCAAAGCAGCCTCAGTCCCCGACGAAGTAGTCGCGGAAGCCTCGCCAGCAGCCGAGGGTCTCTAGGAAGAAGCAACGAAAGTTTACCAACAGCGAACCGAAGTGCGACAGCTGATGCCATTTTCATGGAAGAATTTGGCCAAGGTGATAAAGATGCAGCAGCTGTTCGTGAAGGTAAAGTCAAACTCTAGCTCAAAAAATCTATGCTCTTCTTTGATTGCCATGCCTTCTATTTTAATTGCAATGAAGAGATTTTGCCGTTACATACGCGGAGTGAGGTGATTGTGCTTAATCTAACTGCAGTTCCAATATGATCCGAAGCTTTTGAACAGTAGCATTTTTTTTGACAAATTTCATCTTTGTATCTGTTCTATATAATTATTTGTTTGTGTTTACGTTTTTGTTTTTGTTTTCATAGCCTGCTCTGTAGAGGGAATTATCGTTCTTTTTTTAGTTTCCTAGAAACAAATTATTCTGGCAAATTTCCGATCTGTGTATCATTTCTCTATAATTTTTGTTTACTTTTTTGTTTGTTTGTTTGTTTTTTTTTATAGCCTTCTCTGTAGAGGGTGGAAACTTATCTTTGTTTATTTTGTCTCAGCTATTGCCTACACCATCCGCGTGACCACAGGCGACCAATCAGACGCTGGCACCAAAGCGCAGGCACACATAGTTTTGATAGGAAGTGAAGCGGCCACGGAAAAGATCCCATTAGCACTGATTCAGAGAGATGGGTTCACCCCTGGCCTCACTGAGACGTTTTCAGTGGAAGCTGTAGATGTTGGAGAAGTGAAGAAAGTTGAGATATCCAACAACGGTTACGGAGCGGACAGCGGCTGGTTTGTGAAGGAAGTAGAGGTGGATGTACCCACTAGTGGTAAGAAATACTTCTTCCCGTGCAACAGGTGGCTGTCACAGAACAAGGAGGATGGAAAGGTGGTACGCGTGCTGTCTGCGTCAGATGATCATCTGGTTACTTACAAACCACGTGAGTTACTCGCAGTGAAATTTTGAAGTTTTCGTACGAAAACTGTTTTGAAGCTAAGTTCGTGAATGTAACGTCGGTGAAAGAATAAACTTGGATTCTCTTCGCTCGTCAATGCCAAATCGACCCCATCATCCCTTTTCTCAGTTAGAGAAGAAAAAGGCAAAATTAAAACGAAAACCAGACAGCAAAGCCGCACCCAATGTTTAACTGCACTCACTGGGACTCACACAATCGACTTTCGCTTTGACATGGTCTTTTTGGTCGAAACTTTGCCATTTCAGTTCCAATACTTGGAATACTTCTTGCCACGAATTCTAACAAGAAAAAGCTTTCAATATCTTGGAGACTAATTATTTTCTTGGGGCGAGGGAAATAATTTCCCTTTTCCACGTTTGTAGCACTCTCGTTAGTAGTGTTGGATTTGGTAGCGGTCTTGTAGTTAGTCTGATAGGCCCTCGTTTTTGACTAGATACACCCAGGAAAACGCTGGTGTTAACCGTGAGAAAAATAATGTGCTATTGACATAAGTTGTATTGGTTTTTTGGTATAAACGATTGTTTTTGGTGATAATGAAGTCAATTATTTCCTTCCAGATGTGCAATATGAGATAGAGGTGTACACAGGGGACGTAAAATCAGCTGGAACAGACTCTACTATATCCATGACAATGTTTGGCACTGATGGCACCACTCCAGAGTTTGTACTCGATAAAGACGAGTCGCGGTTTGAACGAGGAGGAGTGGATCTGATTAAAATGGACTTGTATGATGTGGGAAAACTGCTTAAAGTCAGGATCGCAGTCGATGGTAAAGGCACTCGTCATGATTGGTTTTTGGAAAAGGTATGAATTTTGAACCAACAGTTGACGATTCAGTCAGGTACATTCGTACTGATAGGAGGTACAAGAGATCATGCGAGTTTTTTCCCCTCAATAGATTATCATACGGAACATGGAGACACATTGTGTGAGCGTTTTCAAGTCTAACCAGTGGTTTTCCAAAACAGAAGGCGATGGCAAACTTGTTAAAGAGATTCCCGCTGAGGTTGACGGAGAGGAATTACTCAAAAGTAAGTGCCTACAGAAGCTGGTGGATCAAATGACCGAGGACTGAATATCTAACCTTTATTTCAAGATTTACTCCCTTTGTTCATCGTTCTATGGAGTCAACCATCTTTAAGACATGTAATGTAAAGCGCATTAGATCATTTACTTATAACGAATTTTGTGCTAAAAATTAAAATTTATTATTAAATTATTAAATTTAGTATTAAATTTGTTTTATTTTATTATTAAAATCTGAGAATTTAACCGATGCTTACCTACAGATTTATTTATACAAAATTCACCGATCTAACAGTTACAACGTTTAAAAAGTCTTAACTTTCTAACAATTCAAAGCTTTTTTACGCGCTTCAAGAGTTTGATCTCTTTTGCTTTTATTTAACCAGTTATTCTTGTGCAATCACCAGAATCGCCATCACTAGTAATATACCAAAATTAGCCTTTATTTCACAAGACCATGTTTTCTTTTTATCTATTTAGCGAGTTGTGAGAGTACAGTTAGACGAATTTTATTCACGTTGCCGTGAAATTGGTGACGTTATCTTGTGTGATCGATAACACCTTTTCGTTACAAGTTAAGGAGTTGATCACTTTTCTAAATTAAGAACTTATTCCACAACTTTTTCGAAACAGGAACTTCATATAAAGTTAACGTGAAGACGGGCGATGTGCTGGGAGCCGGAACTGATGCGAACGTGTTCATGGTGATATTTGGAGAACATGGAGATAGCGGAGAATTGGCTTTAAAGAATTCTGAAACATACAAAGACAAGTTTGAAAGGAATCATACCGACGTGTTTAGCTTCAAAAATTTCCTAAGTTTGGGTGAGTGTAAAGTGAAGTGACTGGCGGAAAGAAGCTCTGTTCTTCATGGACCAAAGCAAATAGCATTAAAGCAACTCTTTTACGAAGAATTTCCATGCCTGACTTTTGTGACATCTAGACCAGAAGATTTTAAAACAGTCTTAAGTTTGACCCTTCTGGAATTTTTTTTTTTGTATTGCTCCATATGTTATCTACTGGTATAAGTTGCCCGAAATAGTTTAACTCTGAAACGCTACGGTGGCCAGGTTGTCTTGGAAGGTACTAGAATTTCTGTTCTGGACTAAATTTTAGCAAATCAATTCAGCTGAGTTACCTAGCTTAGTTTATCGCGGAAGCGTTGTGTTTCAGTTCTCACGCGATTGTAACAGAAATTATGAAAACCTGTTTGGACTGTATTTCACTGTTTGGAGCCAATGGTTGAGTCTATAAGTATGTATTCTTACAGCTGTGTGATAAATCTGTTACATTCTTTTCCTCATCGATGTAGATTTTAGTTTCATGCGAAACTCTCTCTTTGTAGGTGAACTTACTAAAGTCCGTATCTGGCACGACAATAAATTTCTCAAAGCAAACTGGTTTCTTGAAAGTGTGGAAATCATCAACGAATCCAATGATGAAAAATACTTATTTCCTTGTAATCGGTGGCTGGCCAAGGATAAAGACGACGGAAGCCTGGTACGAGAGCTAACATGCGCAAATGCTAAGAAGAGTACCGACTCGCGAGCGCCCACAAGTGAGTATTAGCCGCTCTCCCACCCCTTGAGGGTATTTTATTCCATAAAACGAAATATGTTATTGTGTAATCAAACAGATCATGTTCGTGACTCAACAGAAATCCTGCTTAATACTTGCTTCGACCAATCCCTATCAACGTTATGTAGTTTTCCCTATAAGACGACGGAAGCGCAGACCAACTAACTGATTGAAGGACCTTGGCGTATATCTCTTACTATGAATAAGTAAAAAACATTTCTTTAGATATAAGATACAACTGATCATGAAACCCAAATTGGTTTCCAATGATGTTTGCAGCTCTAACAGTTATAGACGTGGTGTGATTCGGTTCAAAAATGTACTTGCCCCACGACTATAAACATCTCTCTCATAATTCCTTTTTTGATTCCCTTTTTGTAGCCTTTGAACTTACTTTCCTTACAAGTGACAAGCAACATGCCGGGACAACCCAGAATGCTTGGATCGTACTTGAAGGAGAAGAGAGGAAATCTCAGGAATACCCGATAGAAAACAGCGCAAAGAATAAAGTTCTACGTAGAGGACAAACAGACACATTTAAATTTGCGACCAGAAGTCTTGGGAATCTTACTCACGTGACACTGGGACATCGAAGACGGCAGGGATCTGTTGTCAAGGGAACTGGGAAAGAGACTGGTTGGTTCTTACATGAAGTGATTGTGACCAACCCTGAGACAGGGGAAAAGTAAGCTCTCTGTTGACTCTGTTTAACCTAACTTGAATTGTTTCTTAGGTAAAACGGAAATTTAATTATTTTGAAGGACTCTTGGAGTTAGCGACAAACCATTTAACTTGGACGGTCTATGTTTAAAAAGAATATATCTCTGTTTTAAATGCAGTAAATGTCATCAAAAGTATTTACAGAGCAACAACTGGTAACGAGATGCAGCCAACATCACGCAGCATATGTGACTAAGCACTTGAAGTGACATAGTGTTGTTGTTATTTTTATTATTGTTTTTGTTGTTTCCTGTAATTTTGCGTTTGTTTCCATGAAAGCATCGTGTAGTGTCTTCCCTATCGTTAATTCTGCTATTTCACTGATACAAGTATTTTTATCTAGCATAGCTGAAAAGTGAGATTGTGAGTGGCCTTCATGTCGTATTGTTTATAAGATTGTAATCACTTAATTTCATTTGATTACAGATACGTGTTTCCTTGCCGTCAGTGGATTCCTCTCAGCGATGACAAGAATGATGCAGTTCGTTTAGAGTGCAAGTCATCAGAGAAACCAAAGTCAGCAACCATTAGAGGTAAAAGATGCTTAAATCAAAGGGATCCTCTATAGTTACAGATTATTGTCCCTCAGAGGTGTTGCCGCTACGTATTTCTCTTCGTTCTGCGAATATATTTGTAAACTGATTTCATTACCGCGGGTAACGGACATTGATGTAACGTCTTTTTACCTCATTTTTATCTTTTCTTTTCTCGTTTTAGACCTTCAACCCGTCCAGTATCTAATAGAAGTCTTTACCGCTGATGTAGCACACGCAGGTACGGATGCCAACGTCTCCATCCTCTTATATGGCGCGAACGGTGACACTGGGCAGAGACAGCTGAGTAAAAAGTTCGTCAACTTGTTCGAGAGAGGAAAAGTGGACGACTTTAAAATTGAAGCACTGGATCTTGGTCAGCTTACACGTTTGCGTATAGAACATGACAACAAAGGTTTTGGAGCCGGCTGGATGTTAGAGAAAGTGGACATCACAAATCTCACGAGTCAAGAAAAAGTGACTTTTCCTTGCAGTCAGTGGCTTGACAAGAAGAAAGGAGATGGAAAGATCTGTCGAGATCTGCTCCCATTAACGAAATGACCTCTGTGATCCCTTTGCAGCTCTGTCATTTTAAAAGTAGTAGTATTCGTCGTCTCCTGTAAAAATGACTTCACCTTTCTTCAAGGAATACCCACAGAAGCAGCATTGGCATGAGCTCTCTGTTGGGATTCTTTGAGATTTATGTAATTATGTGCTCATTTTTTGTAAAAACACTTAAAACAGTTATTTATGGACACGGGAATACAAATTATTTTGAACTGTAGAATTTGATATTTATGCGCTAACCTTGGCAATATAAACTGTATAAGAGTGGGATAATTGAGGCAAAGATTATTCTCCACATGCTAAGGCAGTCTTTTCTCAGCGTCACAATGACAAAGGTCTGCGTAATACGTACTAACAAGCAAGAGCGTGGACATCATGGCGACATATCAGCTATGAACTTAGCGAACATGAGAGAAAAAGATTAGGAAAATAGTGGAAATGATAAGAAAAGTAAAATAGTAATGTTGCAATTGAATACATAATGTTGTATCGATGTGTAATTGATGTTTTTAATGTGGTTATTTATGATATCTAGGACTCTAAGGTTTTTTTTGTCATCTTCCAATCGAGAACAAAATTGCTTATTTTTGTTGCGTCAGTCAAATGTGTCAAGTTTGTCTAGGTAGGAGGCTCCACTTGCGTGCACCTTGTTTATTCATTAATTACTTAAATCGGTATTTAGTCGGTATTTAGTCGTATGTGCCACCATTCTTTGCATTTTAATAAGCGCCATATTCGTTAATTTATACTGTAAACGCGAAGGCGCCCTCTAAAAGGAGAGGTGCTCTAGGTACTTACCTTTGGATCATTTTTTAATCAACCGTCGTGGCATACATGCGCGTCTATATTCAAAACAGTTTGAGCTGCAGCCGATCCAAAGCGAGTGAACAGCAGGTTGATTTCTCAAAAGCTCTCATAAGTTTCTACGTTTTCATCACAATGTAAAAAAATTTGTCAAGGTTTTTATTTCCTTCCGCCATTCAAAACCGTCTTCGTTTGTGGCGGTAAATTTAAAATTCGAAATGATTCACTTGCCATCACGTATATAATATTAACACAGTGTAATTTACATTTGAGCTTAAACCAAGGGGCGGAGCCAACCAACCGTGTTATTGCTTGACGACAGCTGACAAAGAGTCACACTGTCTGTCCGCATGGGTGACAGGCAAGTGGAAGCTTTTTTTACTTTATTGAGCATTTGAAATAAGAAAAAGACATGACCGAAATTTGACACCTTCCTCTTGAAGTCACTGAACCTCCAAAAATGCGCACGCAGAGCACGAGTCTTACATCCGGGACCTTCTGGAGACCAAGTTTCATTTTCATTTAATGATGAGCTTTTTTTTACTTTTTATCCTCAAGAGAGAACATAATTGCTCAAATGCACCTGCTCATTCAAAAATTCAAATTATGGCTCAACAAAATACTATTTTGTTGAAATGCAACCGATGACAGTGTAATCGGTTGCATTTCTAAGTGTAATGATGAGGATAATTTTAAAATCGTTACAATTTAGCTGGCAGACTTTCTGAAAGATAGGCTTCATATATATGATGTAACACTACCGCCGCGGTTAAAGCACACGCTGTCCACAGAGATGGTGTGACGACTCCTAAAATAGGGGCGCTAAGAAGAACACAAGCAAAAGGAAATAGCACAACCAAAATATGCTCACTATGTACACTGCTGTTAATAAAGACTTCCTCGCTCTTGACTCTAAAATCGACCGTGGTGGAATATTAAGTTGAGAAACTGACGAAAGTTGAGCTTCAATCCCTAAAAAGGGGGCGAGATGCGGGATTGCTATTATGAACGGGACACGGGAATCGGCGATTTTGAAGAGCGGGATACGGGAAATAGTCACTTTAACGAACCGAGAACCGAGATGGCCGTTGACGAGAATTTATGAAGAAATTGACCCTCTCAGTCATGAAAAGCGCCAGGTGCGCAAACTCTTAAGCATTCAAGAGGCAGTCGGGCCGCTTAACGACACTCTTCAGTAATTGCGCGGAAATGAAACGAAGTTGCTAATTTATCAAAAATTCTTAATGGCCCACAAGGTAGCGTGGCATCTAAGACTGCTGCGTCAATTGAAATATTGCGACTTAAGGCGATTTAAGGCGACTATGGGCGACTTAAGGCTACATAAGGCCACATAAGGTGACTTAAGGCGACTTAAAGCGATTTCATATGACTGAAGTGATAAAACCAAAGTTAGTAACAGTCTCTCCATAAACTTTAAAAATATCAACAGAAACCCTCGCAATAAACACAGTAGTCATTTTGGTTACTTCTATATGCTTACAAGTCACCCTATTCTAAAATATCCAGATTTCAAATCAATTTAGCCAAAAAAAAAAAAAAACTTAGAAAGAATTACCATAACAGTTATTGTTTAGTTATACAGTCAAAGCTAGTGAATAAACAGCCAGGAAACTAAGTTAGCTAGAAATGTTCAAACAGAATTACCACAACAGTTATTGTTAAATTATACAGTCAAAGCTAGTGAATAAATAGCCGGGAAAACATTGTGGGTTATATGCCCAACATCAAACAAACCTATCAAAAATATACACAAAGTGACATAAATTTGTAATTTAAGAAAAGATACATGATTTGTATAAAACTATCAATAAATTTTCCACAAAATTAAATAAAACTAACTTGATTATTTACGTGTATTAATTATTTCACAAAGCTTCACAAATTAAAACAAACTTTTTGGTAAGAAAAATAAAATTCCAGGCCATAGAGGAAGTTGGATGACTTAGACGCCATCATTAGCAGATACAAAACATTAAATACGCGAATACAACCAACGCGTTATAGTTAGCGCTACAATGTAATGGGTGGTTTAAGCGATCTATTTTCCCGGGTCAACTGTAGTTCAAACTGTTAATAAATTATTAAACAACACTGAAATGCGAGAACAATCTAACTTTTACCTTTAGCCGCAATCTGCTGTATCATGTAGGTAGATGACATCAGTTCTGTTATCACAATTTTAACGATCAACAACCGTGACACGCAAGAGCTTGTAAGTTTATTTCAATGTTTTTTTATTATTGTTTAAGTTATCTCATTTGTAGCCAAGTTATGCTAAACTTGTAGAAAGAAATGTCGAGAAAAATACCCGGCAAGCGGTATTCCTCGATCCGCTTCATGTATTTTCAGCTTCGGTTTTTTCCTTTGTTCGCTGCTTCAATACGTTCCCGAGAAGTTCTTCATGTGATACTTTTCCTGGAATATTTGTATTTTCCAGGGCCCCGATGTCTGGCTTACAGTCAAAACTTCGATGCATTGTCCATTTTGACACATTAGATGCCTGATTTTCCTCACTGAAAACAAAATAAAGACTTCATCGTCTTATAATTCCATTAAACACAATGGTTGCTTTTCGGCAGAATAGACCGATGAAAACTTGTCGATAAAAATATTCCAATTTAAGGGTGATAAAATGTCCTCTCATTGTACGGCATCGTATAGCGCATTGGTATACTACATATGAATTATAAAGCAGTTGGTAAACTTGGTAACACAATCAATTTGAAGATTTTTTGTTTTATTTGACAATGCCAAAGTATGATGGCATGATCAGTCAGTAAAATGTTCATGTTAACCAGTAGTATTATGCTTTTTCAAAGGTCTAATATTTCTTGTTTATGTCTATATTCCTGTACTATAATTTACGCTGTTAAGTAACAAATTTACAAATGTATGGCCGTTAACATTAATCATTCAGAGTGAGGTAACCAGTAACTGTTAAGTTCACATTTAAAATTATCAAGTTGTGATGGATGTTGAAGTTTCACTAACATTAAATACCAAAATATTGAGTAGTGATTCAAAATGACATTCTTTTGGTTATTAGGAATGTTCTGTTTTTTGTGGAGGCTGATACAATGTTCAGTCAGCTCAGAGGAAAATAAGCTTTTCTAGATCACACATTAATTTCAGATCGCCTAGTGAAACTTTCAGAGTGAATTATTTTGAAGTTTTTTGATGATTTTTCTTTTCTTTTTCTTTTTTTTTTTTTTTGCCCAGATAAATTGGTTATTTCTCTACACTTGTCAGCAGGCTCGCGTGCGTGTTGTCACGGGACAAAACTAAGTCACGCGATCAAATATGACTGGCGGCCATGTTTGTTGTAAAAGGCTCGGCTTAGAAGGGGCTCATGTGTGTTGATCATCAAACTGACGAAAATGAAATTTACAAAAAGACCATCAAAGTCTCAAGATAGATAAATATTTACGCCTTTAGTAGGTTTGTCGAGCTACAAAGGTTTAAGGTCTTTCTATTTTGTTTTATCATGATGATCCGGAACTTTAGGTTTGATTTGATTTAATATTTAGTATTTACTGATGATAATATACGGTATCAACCTTTTGATCAACTTGTTCATCATGAAATCTAGTTGAAACAGATGGCTGTTTTATTAAGAAAATAGAAGAGTATACATTGTCACGTTTCCTACATCAGGATTGTCTATATGTAGGAATTACCCATACCAGCACAGGGGCTAGACAGGTGAATGACTATTTTCACACGGGGTTTCCATGTATATGGAAGCCATTGCCCACCTAAAAATAACTCATAGTTCATTGCAGGGTTTCCTCCCCTCACAACCAGTACCCATATTTACATCTGGAAGAGGTGAGGCACTTTAAGCTTACAGTTTCTTGCCCAAGAACAAAATGCAATGACCAAACTGGACTGCTTAATAGTGAGTCCAGTGCACCAACCATTCTGCCACCATGCCTCCTCCTCTGATCTTTATGATTGGAGTGGAGTGAATGGGGTCAATTGGAAAGGTTGGAACCCTTATAACATTGCGTAACCAATAGCGACTTAAGGCAATTTAATGCGACTTAAGGTGACTTCAGACGACTTAAGGCGACTTAAGTTCCCAAAGTAGACCTGAAACGGTTGAACCGAATAAAACACAACCTAAATTTTGAACACACTATCTAGCGATGAAAATGTCTCCTTATGAAGAAACTATACCTCTGGCCTCGGTTTTTCAAATGCTGGATACCGCTTTCCGCCGGATAAATTGCTAACCAGCGATAGGTGTTAACAAAACATCCCATTCTTTCTGCTGTATGGAAATTTATCCAATGGATAGCGTTATCCAGCCTTCGAACAACCGAGGCTTTTTCTAAACCAGTTTTAAAAAAATTTCTAACCAGTTTTAAAATAAGATAAATATAAGATAGTATCAAGAGCTTAAGGTGTACTAAGGTGCTGTTAAGCGATATGACACACTCATATTTTACAATCTTTCTTTCACGAGACGTGGAAAACGCATTTGCAAAATCGTTTTAGTTTCACGGGGTTCACGTCTAATCATGTTTTCTAGATAAGTTCTGACAAACGTTTACCATCATACGACTAAAACTGCGGACACTGATCTACGGACTAATATTGTTCCCATGTGACATCTAAAGTCCCCTACACGGAAGGTAGACAGCTGAGCGGTGGCCATCTATAGGGTGCTTACTTTCTACATTTAAGATAGAAGAAAGCGTTTCATTGGCTGGGTGCTAGCTTTAGGCTCTCTTCAGACTGATTATAACTTTTCATGGCGACGTTTCCTCCAGGTTTTTCATCAGCATCAGCATCATTAGGTAACACAACATTTTTGTTTTTTCTCTTCCTCTTCAAACTAAAATAAAGAGATTGAAGAATAGCTTCACATTGATAATTCAAATCTCTTGATTTTTATTTGAATTTACGTGGTGAAGAGACAATGGAGGGAGCTGTACCCTTATATGTGGAGCCTTTGTCTCCAAATCATACGGCTCAGGCTCGAGACATAGCTGGATTTATTGTGTTATACCTCTGGGCGCGTACGTTGCCTTAACAGAACCTCTTTAAAATCGTTATTACATACAAGCACCGGAAAACTGTCAGGAAAGCTTGAAAAAATGCAAGGGGATTGCCTGGTATCCCAGTCTGGGGGAGAACTGGTACACAATAATGAAAATAAAAGTAAAAATAAAACCAGTAATAATAATAATAATAATAATAATAATAATAACAATAATAGTAATAATGATAATAATGATATTGACATCCCACGAGACGGTTTGGAATGTTTGGTTTTTGTGAAGAAAGGAAAGTCCAAGAACTCCGAGGAAAACCCTCAGAGCAAGGACAAGAACCAACAATAAACTCAACCCACATGTGACAGCAGATCCAGGATAAGAGGTTTTGGCGCTAAGAATTGTTATATTGACTTACCATCTGCAAACGATAATGACAACGATCATGAATACAACCACTCCTCCCACGCTAGCACCAATTATAATCCACATCCAGGATTTGGCATCCGGTTCTTCTGTTCCTACAGATGGTAAAGAAAACCAACACCAAAAGGAAAGATTAAACTTAAGTTCCCTCAAAAGCAGTGCGAAATAAATATAAATCTTGATAACAGATATCGAAAAATCAATGTGGCGACAAGCCATATAATAGTCATTAAAGTAAAATTAATACTTATTGATAACATATGCTTTAAACCATCATTTTTCTAAAGGATGCAAGGGATGAAGGGCCATTGATCTCAAAACTTAGAGAGTTAGAAAACTTTAAACCTGTAAAGAAAACGGAAAACTGCGGAATATTTGTTTTACATAACGGTGGACAAAAAGAGTTTGCATGCCCTGTGTTTTAGCCGTGGATTTGGTTGTTTCTCATGGGTACGTTTTCAAATTTTCGAAGGAGG